AATAATATATATTTAAACATATATACTTAAGCTTTTCCAGAAAGAAAAACAATGTGCACTTGGTGATGAAGACATAAACATAAACTCGTGTTGGTGGCAGCTTCTATTTATCGAGTTGCAATAATATATTTGTAGAGAAAAGAGCGGAAGATGAAATTAGTCATTGACGCTTTGCCTTTTGCACGTCGAGTGTTTTTGTTTTTGTTTTAGCTAGCTACAATTCTCGGGCGTCCTCGATTGCGCTTGAGACTTCATCAATCACTTTGGAGGATACCTTCGGCTCCGGAGTGCTGTCAGCCCCTGCGGGCACTTCCTTCACAGGATGTCCAATGTCAAAGGCACCCTCGTGACGACGAAGATGCGGGTCCGGGCGCGATTCAGAAAAGTTGGAATGCGCTACACCATTGGGTGACTCATTCGTTGGGTACATGCCACCCGCTTCCCCCACAGTTTCTTCCTTTGTGGCGTGCCGATGGACTGCCTTTTTTGTCGCCCATGCGGCCATGTACTCGTACACGTTGGCCGGGTGATCCTCCATCGTGTCCGTAACAAACTCCTGCAGAATCGAGCGCATGCCGACCTTCTCCAGGTACGCCTTATCCTCCTCGAGAATCTTGTGGAAGTCGTTCATCGTGTTGAAGTGGAGCAAGTCCAGCTGGTGATAAAAGCGATCAGAAAGAAGACGTGCGGTAGCTGCGTGATGGCAGTTCTCCGGCTACGGATTTCTCTTCTTTCGTTCTTTCTTCGTGGGCGAATGGACGCAATCTGAAAAGGCGGGAAAAAAAGAAGGACAAATTGAAGTACATGAGAAGACAAGAGTAAGGGGGGAAGGAGCGGCATTCTCTGTTTGTTTGTCTTACATTTAATGCCAAGAAGGAACGACGAGTGTCGGCTCTTACTAGCAACAGATGCTGGCATCAGAGAGGCTGGGCCTGGTTTTTCCCTCTCCGCAGTTTACACGGAGCAGCACACCAAGAAGCTCATTTGGGGAGCATTATTCAGAAAAAGAACGTAGAAAAATGCTGTTTGGCGTGAAAAGCGCAGATGATGCAGATAGCTGCTCTCACACAAAACAAAAAGGTCCGTGAGAAGTTTCAGATTTTAAAAAAAAGGACATAAGATTGCCAAGGATATAAATGTACATCGTTAACGCATTGCGCATAAAGCTGGTGGTGATTTCGTCTATTGCCCATCACGGTGAAAAACCACAAAGCGCGGAAAGAATGAAAAGAGCTTGGAGAATACACTGCAACGATGGTGTGCTTGAAACCAACAGATCACCTCTTTGCTTTGTTCACCGCTGCAAAACCTTTGCTTCCTGTTGCTACGGCGCCTGCATGCGCGTGCTGCTTTGCGTCGGTGACAGAGGCGGATGGCAGAGGAAGAGGAGGGGGGTGGGATTTAGTAGTGCGGTCAAGGGGCACTAAGTAGCCCAACTTCTCGTCCCACTTCACGCGGCATCGACCGCAGATCTTTTTAGGCGGGTCACCTTCAAAGACGGACACCCCACCGGTCGCATGGTGACAACCTTTCGTAAACTTCTCCTGTTGCTCCTCGAACAGCTTGCGCTGTTTCGCGAAGATTTTTGCCTGCCGACGCTCTCGCTGCTCACGCGCAGCGGTGATGGCGAGCTGCTCTGGGGTGTTGAGGAACCGCACCAACGCACGCTGCGCCGCCTCAGCCTTGCTAGTCTCCTCGGCTTGAAAGAAGGCCGTCCAGTGACGCGCCGCCTCCTCCTCCAAAGAGGTCCTGATGTTGTGCTCTTGCACCACGACAAAGGTGACGGCGGCGCGGAACCGGTGCGAGGCTGCCCGTCGATCGACGGCACTTGTCTCCGTCTTGGTGACTGTCGCTTTCATCTCTGCCACCTGATCTATCCACGCCGCTCGGCCTTCTCGCCTCTGCTCAGCGTCCTCACGTGCGTAGTCGTGCGTGAGGCGCGCCTGAATGCGCAGCTCCAACAATTGAAGCGGGAGTGCCTCCGCAGATTTTGCCCGCAGCAGGGCCGCAAAGCGCTCCTTTTCCCAGTCGCGGAGTGCTTGCGCCTGGCTCATGGCATCCTCGATTAACAGGCGGCGCTCCTGCCCTTCTTCGTGTATAACGTCTTTGCGCTCTTGCAGCCGTCTTCCTCGACTGTACTCGAGCCGCGCCTCCACACGCAGCTGCGCAATCTCGTCGGAGGTGAAGAGGCGTTGCGTCGCAGCTGGTAGAAGGCCGCGTTGGTGAAGAACTGAACCATCTGCACCGCTCATTTGCGCGGCGAGAGGCTCGGGAGCTGACGGCGGTGTGGCAGCGAAGCACACAGCGGCGCCATCGTCATGACGCATAAGCCCGGACTCACGGGTGCCAGTGCAGGACGGCGCATCGGCAAGCTCTGCTGTGGTGACACACCGGGAAGCACGTTTCCCTGGCGGCTCAGCGGCGCCAAAAGTTCGGTTTTTAAGTGGAGTTGTCAAACAAGGGCGCAGAAAAGGAAGGGTAGTCGTACTCTGATAGACAGGCTTTCCGTCAGCGGCTGAAAACGCAGAATTTGCGTTGTCACGCGTGTCTGAAGCGGGTGGCACGGCGGTGTTCGATGCCACCTGCGAGCCCTGACTGGAACGTCGCGACAAGTCAGCAGAGCGCCGGAGTGGTCGAGTTGGGCGTAGCATTAGCAATGACGATTCAGAGAGGGCAATGCAACATCCAAAAAGAAAAGAAAGATATGAGTCAACGCAAATGCTAACGCCTCCTAATAGACCAATATATATATATTCTTCCGGTCTGCTGAGCGAAAAGATGTTTTTGAATTAGGCAGAAACGAAGAGAGAGCGAGAGAGAGACATTTTTTGTGTGTATGTGATTTCAGCATTCTTCTACGTCAACCTTCTCGACGACGGAATAGGAACAGCACGGGAATAGAAGATCAGAGAAGGAGAAATGGCAAACGTGTATGGCGCTCGACAGAAAAGTCGATGCGGTTGCTTTCCTTTCACAGCCCCGCGGATTACCACCGACGTGGAGACAGTGTAGCTCGTCACCGCTTCACGTGTTTAGAAAGCAAAAAAAGCGGTAGCACTCGTGTGGCATACGTCCACTCATCGAGAAAATAAACGTTGGAGTTTGCCACGGTAGCGTACGACATAGGCAAGCAAAGAGAAAGAAGAGAGTTACACAAGAGCCTCCAAATTTGGCAGTGAACTCCGATCGCAACGAAAAACCTCCAGCAAATCTGAAAGGCGCTCCAAGTTGGCGTGTCGCTCGCCAGCCAGTGTGTAGAAGCGCACCATACTCTCGACGAACGGGTCGGAGTTGCACAACACATGTGGCTCCGCTTTCGCGTAGTCTTCCATCGTGGTGCACAAGTTTTGTATCAACCTTGCCGGATCGGCGTCGCTGCAGTACGCCATACACGTTACCTGCGACACTTGCGCATTTGCACAAATTTCTTGCAAAGTCCACCACCGCAGTGCGTGCTCGCTGATGGTGCCGTCTGCGGCACTCGTCAGACCTGCGCTACCGCTGCCGATAAGGTCACCCGTCTTCAACGCTTTCTTTGCTGCGGTGCAGCGGTCCACCACATCACGAAACAGCTGAACGGCTTCGTTGTAGTCGCCTTGGAACACCGCCAAGAACCCGTCACACGACTCCGCGACCAGCGCCAGAAGAGCACTGTTAGTCAGAGCGGTTGGTGGTGTCGGCGCGGATGACGCTTCCAGTTCCGTTGCTGTTTGGCGGATAGCCCGGTGCACTTCGCGGGCTTTTTGTGCGTCCCCGACGTGCAGCGCGAGGCAAAAGATCTGCTGCAAATGAAGCACGTGACGGAGCTGGTAGAGGTCATCGGAAAGCACGCGGAACGTATTGTGCCACTCGTGGTCGATGCGAAGGACCTGCTCCACCACGCAGTGGGCCAGAGATTGCTGATTCATGTGAATGTGCACATGCAAAAGTGCGCGCTGCACCCGAAAAACGCGCTGCGTCCACATGCGCAACAGTCGCTTTACACATTCCGTGTTCGTTGCACCGTCAAGTGAGCTGCCTGACGTGGACATTTCGTGCAACGCCGCACCGCACTGCCGCTCCCGCAGCAGGCATTCTTCTAGGAGGGCGTGCAACTTCTTCTGCGCCTCCATCGGAACTCCGAAGTACAAGGGAAGAAACGCGGCGATGAGGCGGAGGGAAAAGGGTGCGAAGCTTTCCCGGGTAACGGGGTGCCGAAAGCCCTCCCCCTCAACGTCGCCCAACTCATCGATTACTTTTTTCGCCGCCACGATGCGACGCATTTTGAGATTTGCCGTGACCTGCACCAACACGTACGGAAGTCGCGCATTCCGCACCGCTGCATCTGTGGACAGCGGCGATGGCGCCACCACCCCTGCAGAACAGTCTTCCAGAGCAGGGGAGAAAGACGGCGACACCCCTATCGACGGAGGAGAAGCTGCGTGTCCTGCCTCCGTCCCTTTCTCTGGAACAGTGTGAGCAGGCCTTGTCGCACACGCAGGGGTGGTGAGTGAAACCGTCGCGTACCTCGTTGGATGCCGGCGCGCCTTCGCCGCAACGTGTGCGTCTAACTTCTCCGCGAGTGCCAGCACCTCCGACCAGTTCCCGTTTGCCGCAAGCAACCTCAAGCCTTCATCGTTTGCGGGAACATCGGCGAGACTGGCGCGCGTGAATGCCACGTCCGCTTCGTAAACTTCGTTCCTGCAAAATTCCTTTGCGGTGTTGACGGCACCTTCCGATGCCATTCCAATAATGCAAAAACGAGAGTTTTTAATGAACGTAATTAGCTGCTGTGGGGTGGAAACTTGGTTAAAGTGGTATTGATAGTTGCATCACGCGAGGGCATCTGCAACAGAGAAAAGAGGTCTGTTGTCTCTATCACAATCTGTCAAACTGTGTGTTTTGCGGGTTGCTTACCCATTTAACAGGTGTGAGCAATCACAGTACCTTGTGAAATGAGAAAATGCGGAAGAGGTAAAAGCCACGGATGAGTTGAGTTGGCTGATGATGGTGCGCAGCGTAGGTGAGCAAAACGACAAAGCGTCGGTGCCTCTTTCAACTATGCGCGGCACTACACGTTTTCTTTCCTTTTCGGCTATTCGCCGTACTGCCGTTCAAAAAGGATTTTAGACACGAAAAAAAAAAGGGAGAGAGCAGCTTGAAAAGGAAAGAAAACCGTTGAGTTTCTGTTTCGGGATCCGTTGCCATCAAACGGCAAGTATGATTTACGGTGGCGGAGGAGCGGTAGACCTACCGGGAGGTTGGATGTGCATTGTAATGTACCGGGCGAGCTTTGAATGCCTCGACACAAACCGCGTTGCGACGTCCAACAAAGAGACGCCGTTTTGCCGCTGTCGCGGCCAGTTTGAACCCGCTTTGCGCAGTACTTCGAGAGTATCAACTGCGTCTTTGCTCCGCCTCGCGCTCATCACGCACCACGTGGCAGGCGTGAGACCTTGATCGTCCTCGACATCGACCCAGAGCGGATCCAGTGGCCTCCAGAAAAGCTCGCCTGTTTTCGATGCGGCGCCGCCGTCCTCCACGGAAGCCGGCAGCAGCGTTTCCAGGAGAGGAGCGTTGCGGCCCCGCGCGCAATGATGCAGGATGGTCGCACCGTGTGAGTCGCACAGCTGCCGCACGTCTGTCTTGCCTAGCACTCCGTTAAACCACCGAAGCACACCAGCGTTCCCCACCTCCGCTGCAGCGAATAGGAGGCGCAGAATACCTGAATTCTGCAAGTCTTGGTTGCCAACCCCAGCAACGCCGCGATGCATGCCCACGCGCTCAGCGGAGGCAGATGTTGTTTCCACCGTGAGAAGGGATCTGATGGGCGGCATGTCGCGCGAGAGAAAAAAGTCCAAGATGTCGGTGCTGTCGTCCTTCGACATTGCGGCAATCATCAGTGCATCCAATGTTTTTCTGGCGTGCAATTTCTGTAACGCGTGAGGGTGTTCCTTCTCGATCCACTCCAGCAGTGCAACTTGCTGACCGGCCACGGCGCACTGCGTTGCGTTTAGGTCGCTCATATACCGCTGTATTCCCCACGTGTAGGCAGTGGAAATAGGTGGCACGCACCGCTGTTCCCGAAGCACGAAGTCCGCACCAAGCACGCTGATGAGAAACGCGATGTAAGCGATGTGGCCACTCATCCCGGCCAGGTGGCTCAGGTAGAGACCCAGGTGGTCCGGGCAGTACGCGGCTATCTGCGCAAACGAACGCAACTCTGTCCGTCGCCCCTGCGTCTGATGCGTTTGATGCGCGGAGTCAGACGTCGTGCAGCCCGTCACACCAAAGTTGCTCGACGTCCTCGCCTCTCCGAAAAGCCCGCCGTCCCCAAAGCGGTCATCTCGGTCAAAGCCGGATGGGGTAGAGAGCCAGCGGAGAGGAAACCCGTGCGGAAATCGATGGAAGAGGGAGTGGAGGTAGTCGACGTCCCCCAGCTCGGCGGAGAAGTGAAGGAGGCCATAACACGCAAACGGAGTTGATGAGGGTCCCCCTTCCATCGCGTAATTTGTTGGATGAGAACGTGCACTTTCTTGTGTATCTAGCTGGAGAACGTCCGCAATATACTTAGGTGTCTTTTTGCGTGACTGCGATCCACCTTTCATCGCCGCCAACTGCCCCAGCACGGGATCCTCGAGCTTGTAATTGAGCAGCGCAGCTTCGCGGCGGCGTAGATCGGGAGAAAGCTGCTCCGCGTAGTACGCCCCATATCCCTCTACAAAGCTCTCCCATAGCGTCAAAATTTCTGGAAAAGTGACGTTGGGGTCTGCTTCAGCGGCCGCTAGAGTGAAACACAAGTCGTCACATCCGGCACTCTGCGATGTTCTGTGCGCGTCTCCCTGTGAAGGAGAGCACCTCAAGGGCTCCAAATTTAACTGGGACACCACCGCTGGAAAGTTTTGAGTTGGCTTAGGAGACTGGTGAAATGAAGAATCTGCTGACGTCTCCTTCTTGCTTTGTAAGCAATCGAAAAAGATTCTGTAGTCTTCAGAAGAGGGAGCTCCACAGCTCTCACCTTGCGCATCAGAATTGGCGGTTGGGATTCCATCTTGTGCTGGTTCTCTGAGATCTGGCAAACCGTGGAGTGGAAGACTGTTGTTGTTAGGGAGAGAGGTAGACTGATGTTTTAAAACGGATAATAGGAGGGCTTCCGGGTCCAGCACGCGTCCTGCGCAACGAAGGATTCGCCGAGTCCGGAGCAGGCTGAACATGAAGCAGCATTCATGCCGTTTACGGTGACTCTGTGTTTGAAGATTTGTTTGTGCAGACACAAGCCATGTTGGATAGCAAGAGAGAAAGAGAGTAGAAGAAGAGTAAACAGAAGAGCAAGTACAACAGGAAGAAGGTCGCGTTACCCCAACTGTCTGCAGCACATGGTTTTCGCTTAGTCTCTTTCAAAGTTCTTTTCAGAGCCAGTCATGATGATAATGACGGTGAACTCGAAATTGATGCTTAATACGCGGCTTTCCCCATTTAAGAAAACCTACATGCCAAAGTCAAGCACACACAAGCACACGATTTGTAATCGAGGAATTTGAAGGAGAAAAGAAGTTGTTGATCGTTTTGGCGTAGCGGTAGCGAACTATTTATTAAGCAATCAGTCACTGAGCTGCATAAAGAAAGGAGAAAAAGAAAGATAAACACGTTGAGCTGTAATACACTGAGGTATAAAGATTGCAAACCTTGACTCTGGGTTCTAGATTTTCTTCGTGAATCTATCTGCCCCATCACAGTCATTTAAATTGCAAGGATCATCCTGATACATCAAGTAAAACACACAAACGTTGACAAACAATTTAACCAACAGATACTAGGGATATTGCGACAGGAATAAGAAAAAGAAAGCGAAAGAAGGTGAGTCACTTTTACACCCTTTTTCGTTTTATGGAAACAGATGAAAAGACATTCCGTTTTCAACGGTGTGAGGCAAATGAAAAAAAGCACAATGGTAAGACGATTCTGGGACACATCTATGCGGAGAGAGCGTGTGCGGACAAAACGAACGACACAAAATGTGGCAACATGCAATGGGATGACACTAACAACCTAATCACGGTTTACTAGTCGATTTCCTCGTCTTTCGTCGTCGCAAACCTCACCCTACTGACCCACCAACAGTACATGAATGATGTACTGACATATGTTTTCTCAAAGCAAAAGCTGTTCCCAGGCTCTTCTTTACAGTTTGTTTGTTTGAGGAAAAAAAGGGGAAAAAAGGAAAGGGTAAAGCGATTGAAACGTCAGATTACTTGGGCTAACGCATCTCACCTTTGGGTGGAGCAAACAGACTTCAGCTTCGTCTCAGTAACAGTCGCTAGCAATTGTTCCACGATTAAGTGCGTTTAACCGACAGCCATACTGATAAAAAGAAAGAAAGACTACATCCAACAGTAAAACTCAACACACAGGCAAGAGAAAGAGAACGAAAACTTCGGTCTTAGAGGTACACAATCCAAAACAGGAAAAGGAGAAAAAAGAACACAAGCAGAAAAAGATAATTTGCAAAGCTATCCAGACGCAGCAGTTGAGAAAGGTTAGAGGAAAATGCACCTCTTAGAGCGATGCTTTTCATCCGCAGTACAAGTAAAACTAATAGACGCAAGGGAAAAAGAACGGTGCAGAAGCTTTATAGAAAGCTGTGTAAACATAATAAATATCAAGAGTTTGGAAGTGTACTTTCAGGGAGCTTATAAAAGCAAAAACGATGATCGTCAGGAAGTACACGAATTTGTAAGTTTAATATAATAATAATAAATCTCACAGTAGCGTTCAGCAGTTGCAACGGAAAGGGAGACGAAAGAGCCAAACGTGACGCATCCATTCATAGAATGAACTTCCTTTTCTTCAGTTCAGTAGAGTGAAGAAATTTCAATAGAGAAACATCTTCACGAAATTCATTTCTGCGGTGCGCTTATCGCAGAAGAGAGAGAGAAAAAAACAGTAGCAACACTAATAATGTAGCAAAGACAAGATAACTATTTCTCTTACATTCGCCCAACCTGTGTTTTTTACAGGTCATTAACTTAGCCGTTGTGAGCGCTGCAGCGCTCACAAATACAGATAGGACAGGATAGTTGAGTGTTCACTGTAAAAAAAAAAAAACAGCAGTCCCAAAGCCTAAAAACGTGAGTAGGAGGAGTTTTTTTGTCTTGTCGTCTTACCGGCGCACTCCCTCCTCCCCACGTTTACGCGGACCGTAGTGAGAATACAGAGTGAATCGACGGATCTTGCCGACTGGTGTACTTCGCGTCAAAGATTGTCTCCAGTTTCACCACAGATGATGTCGCGGTGTTGCCAGAAATGAGAGGATGCATGAGAAGATCACGCGCACTCCAGCGACGCTCCGGGTCCAGCTGGAAGCATTTGTTCAGAAAATCACACAGCGCAGCGTTTTGGGGCACCTCCGCCAGGTACTCCTCTGTCGATTTCATCTCGCCCAGCAAGGTTGAGTGCTCCATGAATGATGGCGGGCACGCAAAGAGCTCGCAGACGAGGCAGCCGATGGACCAGATGTCGCAGCTCAGAGAATGTGGGTCACCTTTATACACCTCGGGTGCCATGTACCGGAATGTCCCTTTCACCTCCTTTGCCGCCTTGCCTTGCACCGCGGTACCAAAGTCGGTGAGTTTTACGGTGTCGCCCTTGAGAAGAATGTTTTGCGGCTTGATGTCGCGATGTGTAATGCCGCGGCTGTGCAGGTACGCAATAGCGGTGAGAACTTGCCGTACAATCTGCACCACGGACAAGTGAGCGGGTTTCTGGCGCCGCCCCACGATGATGTCAGTGAGAGAGGCTTCGCACAACTCCATGAAAAGGCTAACGTTGTTGTCTTTACGCTCGCAATGGAAGTAGTGTACGATATTGGGATGGTTGAGGCTGCACATGATGGAGATTTCGTTCAGCAGCGTGCTAATCGACGACTCTACATCGTGCGAGAAGTAGAACATCTTCACGGCCATCTTGCCGCCGGTAAGATCGCTCACCGCCTCATACACCGCACCGTAGGACCCGCGCCCGAGCAATTTGCCGCGTGTCCACGGAGAATCCTGGCGGAAGGTGAGAATGCGTTCGCGTTCCTCACGCGCGCTGATGGCGTTCTTCTTCATTGACACCGCCTTGCCGACCTCCAAAATGAGTTGCTGGACATCCTTTCGCACAAGAGGCATACGAATTGTGTACTTGAAATCAGCAGGCACGGACATCTGCGCGCTGATCAGCGGAATCACAATGGCGCCGTGATCGTTTTGCATGAGCAGGTCACGCGACGAGCTGAGCCACTCGCTATCGCACACGACAACGTCCACGTCGCATGGACGCGCCGACAGGCGCTGCTCCAAGTCACTGCGTTCGCGCACACTAGCGAGGGACACGAACATCGTCTTCAGAAGAATAAGCGACAGGTTATGCTGGTCCACCATGTTGGTGATTGCAGTGATCACGTTAACGGTGCAGTTGATGATAGCACGAGCCTGTGTGAGCTGCAGGGCCTGATCGGATGTCGGGTTGTTCTCGCTGTCGTCGACGTCGTCGAGAATCGGCGCTACTTGACACGGAAAGTGCAGAACGACTCGCTCTTCGAGGTAGTAGACGCTGCCAGAGGTGGTGCGCAGCAGCTGCTCGAGTTGCTTATCTAACTGAACTTGGTCCCAGGGACGGCACTTCGGGCCTAGCAGCACCGTTACCGCCAAAGAGAAAACGTTGCCCGTCAAGTTCAGCATCTGAAGCGTAACGGTGCAGCGCCCGCCCGCCATTTCCGCCACGGCGCCGAACGTTTTGGGCACGTCAGGGTGGACGCACAGTGTGGGTGGGAACAGGGGGTCTACCAGAACTTCATGCTGATCGATTCGCTGCCCCAACGCCCGCCCAAGCAGCTGCTCGACGCTCGTCCAGTCCCAATCTGACTCCATGCCGCGTGCCAAGGTCTCGATGTGATTGGCTAGGCCACTTTTGACGAAACGGGTGAGTGAGTTAACAAGTGCTGCATCCTCGTGCGCTAACGTAGAGCGCTCTGACAGGGCCGACAGCGCGCTGATCGTCTCGCTCACCTGGTAGTTTTGAACGTAAATGCGGTATTCGCGAAGATTATCTAGCGAGTTGGCGCAAATGAGCACGTTACCAATCGACGTGTTTTCGTTGTTGAGGATGGGCGCGACCACGGTGCTAAGTGTTGTCGGCGCGGCGGTCAGGGACCTCAGCTTGATTTTAAGAAGGTTTCCGCGACGTGTCTGTTTGATCAGCGCGCACACGTCCTCGTCTTTCGGACACTGGACAAGCTCGTTAAGTGGCTTGCCGATGCAACCGTCCTGCAAAAAGCCCGTCATTACCTCCGCGGCGTTGTTCCACCACGTGATTTGGAAATTGCTGTCGAATGCAATCATCACCACCTGCGCATTCATTTGCTTGCCCTCAATGTAGCCGATCCCGTTGTTTTCACCGTAGGGTATTGTGTAGTAGCCCATCTTCGTCTCCCGACCCATTTCCAGTCTCTTTCCTGGTGAGTCGCGGGGGCCGTCTTTACCTCGCGGCTTTGAGAAAGGCTCTTGCAACGAGCTAAGAAGAATGTCGCACGGCGATCCGCCTGCAATGGAGTATTCGTGAAAGAGCTGAGCGTACAAGACGTGCAGGGAGCGGACAGCTGTGACACAATTGTAGGCGACAAGAGAGCCCGAAAGCATGAGCAGCACACACGCGACGCAGCCCACGGGCACGCCTGTTTTTCGTGCAGGGAGTATTGCGGAAGGACGATGACAGCGGCGCACGCAAAAAGTCCCGTGAGGCCGAAAGCCACCATGCTAAACGAGAAAAATCCGGAGCCAAATGTGACAAACTCGCGCCGCAGTTTTGTGCGGAATGAAAAACGGACACGACACCGATTCATGTGATCAGCACAGTCCTTGGCTAAAGAGAGAGAGCGCTTCCGCCACAGCAACGCCTGCGGCCCAATGTCCACCTTGTTCTCAAGAAAAACATGGCGAAGCTGGTCAATCAACTTAGGCAGTTCCTTATGTTCTGTTTCTTTACCAGTCAGTTCATCGTAGTGACGGAATGCCCCGCGCGGCACCCCTTGTAACACAAGCAGGCGCTGTTGTATTGTAAGATGTAGAACTTCTGCACGTGTCTTGAATTCTTCCGGAGGGGAGGGTTCTGCGCAAATTGTTTCAATGGCGTCGAAGAAAGCTTCTAGAAGAGATGGGAGGTTGAAAATCACACGTATTACATAGTCTTCATCATCCTCGGAAGCGAGGATCGGATGCGCTAGCATCCTTAAACTATTTTCGATGCGCGACGGGACAAAAAAAGAAATATGGGAAAAGAGAAAAGAGAAAAGAGAAAAACAAACAATCAGCCAATGGCAAAACAAAAATACAAGGAGAAAGAAACACTTGTCGGGAACCCCAATTCGACTTTTGCACTTTTAGTTTTGACGCGTACGGCCATTCTATTTACTCGGTTGTTGTCGTTGGAGAAGAATAAAGAGTTAAAAGTAAGAGGAGAAAAAGTGACAGCTCATGTAACAAGAGAGGGAGCCAAGGAGAAAAAGGCTGATCTTTTTTTGTGTGTGTGAAAACACAGTCGAACGCTCGAAAGAGCTTGGGCTTATTCTCCTCTTCAGTGAACAGGAAAGAGAGACGGCTATACCCAAAAAAAAGGAGGTCTTCGACTCGCTTGTCGCCAGCCGATGACGTGACGGAGACAAACGCACCGAGACGCTGTCGCTGTTCTTCGTCGGCCACTTTCACAACAACACAGCGCTAACACGCACGTCGCGGCGAAACAGAGACAAGGTGCGTTGTCACCATTTGCAAATTAATTATTGTTTGTGTGTGTGTGTGTGTGTGTCGGAAGGCCTTTTGGTTTCCAAACCTAGTTGGTGTTACGCACGTATATATATATATATATATATATCTGCCAAGAGGCGCGCAAAACAATTGATTCACCACACCGAAAAGAAACTTGTGTTTTTATCGTTTTACACATAAGTTCAAGTAAATAAACAAGGTGTGTGAAAGTACTGTACATGTTTTAGTCCCTTTTCGTTTTCTCTTCTTGAAGAGTGAAATATCGTCGCCGCGTTTGTTAGAATATCAGTCTTACCGCTTTCCGTCACCCTTGTGCTTGGTGCTGGAAATGTGGGCTTTTAATTGATGTCTTTTTGAACGCGGCGGCGAAGGGCTAGGATTTCGAGAGGCGGATCGGACTCGAGGCATCCCATCCGCGCCGCGACCCCCACCGGCCCGCGCTGCCGAGTCTGCTGCGACTGACTTTGTTCGTGCAGCCTTCCGGTCTGCCTTTTGCCGCCGCCGAGGATTCCGCTTCTCCTTACCGACGGTGCGAGAGGGGCGAGATGGTCCTCTTCGAGCCACGGATGGTCGTATGGATGAGCTTCGCCGCCCTCGCCCGAGGATGCTCTGACGCTTTTTCAGGGCGGGGTGAAAGGAACCTCGACGCTGCATCATTGCCGCCGCCAGACGCCTGTCTTGCGAGGTAACCAGCAAGTCGGGCGGCAGTTCAGGCCGTGCGGCAATGTTGTCCTTTTCATCTACTTGGCAGCGATCCAGCACCGGAATTGGCGTACCCCAGTCCGCCGAAGACCGTCCCCGCGTCCCTCCCAGCAGCGGCGGGAGAATTTCCTTGGAAACACCGTCTTTTGCTACAGCAGCACCGCCACCACCTGTTAATCTGTGTCTAGCGGTGTCGAGGCCGTACATTTCGCGGTGATCGATGTAATGCGTCACAAGTTTTTCCACCTTAGACCCAACGTTGTACGCACCGTCGTCATAGCGTATAAGCGACGTGTTAGCGTAGCACGGCACGACAGCTCGCATGGCGTCGTCAAGCACCTCGTCCTCTTCGGAAGCATCGCCATCGAAAAGGTTACTTTGCACATGAGAGCGGCCAACGTTGTATTGTCGCCGGCCTTCGCGCGTCACGCGGGGAACGTGGACGAGCAGGCCGGAAAAGGTACGGCCACCACGCGTTTGGGTGGCAGGGTTGTGACGATCGGCAGAAAAGGAGGCGCACTCCGACGTGAAACTGCGTTCCTGCTCCTGAGCTTCACTGAGGTGCTTCTGCGAAAAGGAATTATCCAACTCGCTGTTGCTGCTGTCGGAGCTGCTTTTCACAATGTTCTCTTCCACGGCCCCGTAAGTTCCGTCGCTCGCGCGGTTCGAGGAGGAACTGATCTCGAAATCTCTCGTGAAATGTGCAGGGTCCTTCAGACCCCTGTTTTGCAGCTTCAACACGAGGCTTTTTACATCCTGAAGTGGCAGGCCCTCGTTGACGTTGACAACTTCCCACGTAGAGTCCCCGTGCACTTTTATCTTCCGAATCATGAGCGAAATGCAACTCTTGCTTAGCTCTCCGGATACACACAACGGGACGAGGCAAAGTGGCGAAGGGCTTCGCAGTTTCCGTATCATGTAGAACACGTTGGGCTCACGGTTAAGGCTCGCGTCCTTGCCGAACAGTGTGGCGCAGACAATAAATCCAGTACATGTTCCAAGTTGTCGCAGGTTTACCGCGACTCCGTCAGCCGCGCCCATTGTTATCGGCCCGTTGTTCGCGGCATTACGGCTAACGAGCACGTCATCGTCGTCCTCGAACGCGTCATTGTTGTTGCCCAGCAGCGACTCGCCATCGGGGCGTGTGATGTTGTAGTTGCAGTATGCCCCAGTGCCCGCCTCATCTCCCAGCACAACGAGATGAGGAATGTAGTGCATGCCTTTGGAGTCTGCGGTGGTGCGACCTGTCGCGACGTAGTCCATCTTTGTGAGTTCATCATAGAAAATGCACACTGTCGTGTCGAAAAACAAAGGAGCATCAGCTGCGAAGTCACCGAACCTCACCTCGTTGCCGCCGTTGGACCCTCGTTTCCCTACGAGTGACCCCGTGCCTTCGTCGGAAAGGAGCTCTAGGGCTGCATCACGTGTCAAGCCATTGGCCGCGTTGAGTGCCGCAGCTGCTGTCTCATTCTTCTTTCTGTCAGCGTGAGCAGCTTCAGCAGATCCTGGTCCCATTGTAAACGTTACCTTGGTAGCAGTGGGGGCAGTAGTGGCGCTACTAAAACAGTTTACGGACTCCTTAGAGGTACTGTCGCGATCCGGCCCGGCTGCATCTGCCTCGGTCTGCTGGTCCGAAAGCTGATTCTCTTCGAAGCGCGTGTGTTGCTTCGGACGAAAAAGGACTATTTCAAGCTCGCTAAATTTTCTCCCGAGCATCATCGACTCTCCCGGTCGCAGCACCCGGACATAGGTATCGGTTTTTTTCACCATGATTGCCCTTGGCGTGGCGGGAAAAAAAAAAAAGATGAGCACAAAAGCGAAGAAAGCAACGATTTGGCCTTGATTGGTAAAACTCCGGTCAAGGGGCCGGCTTCTTTGTGTACGTGTGTGCGTGTAAAGTTACTTTTGTTGTTTTTGTTGTTCGTCAAGAAGAGAAACAGGCAATCACAAAAGAAGAAGAAAAAAGGAAGGAAGAAAAGTAAATTGTGATTCCCGCCCTTTCCCAAAATAATTGTCGTGGCAGCAGCAGAAAAAAAGATGAAGCGTATGCTGTTTTGGAATGTTCGTCGGGTCTCGCATTTGACGATTATTGATTTCGAGTCATCACGCACTCAATTTCTAACGCAGGGGTATAAGGAAGGTATGGAAGCCACGTGAAGCGCTTCAAGCATTGTACAAACCATGAGAAAGAAAAGAAAATCTAAGCAGATTACTAACGACAATAGCGGCAGGGAGCAAAGATTCGCCTAGAAACGTAATAAAAAGGTGAAAATGGGCTCAACGTCAACGAAAAGTCTTTTGCAGTACCCTTCGTAAATAACTACAGAAGAACATTGTAGCTGCTAAACAAGACAGCCTTCACTTACACAGCTTTCGGACGCGGTCGCTCACGGAGAGGATTTTTTGCTGGAGCTTGCGTTTCTCTTTCTGCCAGATCTGTTCAACTTCTTCATTCGTCAACCGATCAATACTGTCAAACGGAAGCGGCTCATCCTTGTCTAAAGCTGTGAGACACAGACGTGACAGAGCGTCTCGATGAGGGCTAACACGAAGCAACGGCTGTGGTGCAGACTCTTCCAAGTTCAGCTCTATAAGTGCGCGTTCGTGCCGGAAGCGCTGCTCTAATCGTTCGCGCATCATGCTTTCTTCCAGCATATGTAACAGTAGAGATTCTTCGGCCACTGTGACGGCGTAAAGACGCTCCTGCCGAGTCTTCTCTGACGCCGTCCACTTTGCCAAGCTTTCGAGAGTTGAGGAGGTACTCGCCATGAGCGAGCGTTCGCGTGTCAATCACAGTAGAAACGTAAATAAGACCTCTAGGCTGCCCTTTTCTAGTGTGCAGCTGCTGTTGAAAAAGGTCGTGCGCGGCGGCGCCAACACTACTGACGGACAGAGACGTACATTATTTGAGGGAGAAGAGTAGAGCAAAGGGCAGAAACAGTAGAGGTAAAGGTGTCATCACGAAAACGAACATTTCCGCTGTGTTTCCTCTGACGTTGTTGTTATTCACAACAGTAAAAGTAATGCCTTTAGGTCTTCTGAAACGCACAGTTCAGTTTTCTCTTTCAAGCAGTGGGACGCTAGTACAGCGCAGTGTTCAGGGGTAACTACACGCAACGTGCTGACCGCACCTCACCGTCGTCTCTTATGTGTATCAATGTCTGCGGCGACACGCCCTGATGCCATCTCTGGCACCCAAGCAAAACATATTAATACCGCTGTTTAGTTTTGGAAAGGAGAACGCAGTCCAATGCGAAGGGGAAATGATAGATTATTGGGAAGTCCCAACGTAAAAAGAAAATGAAAAGCGACTCACGAAAAGAGAACGCTTGCTACTGAATTTGTTGATTTATTTCCTGAGGTTTCCTACTTGAGACCAGTTCTTGCCTTCTCCATTTCTTTTTAGTTGAAAACAAAACAAAAGTAATAACACAAAACGACGGAAAACACAAATACTATACTCCTATGCTATGTAAAAAACTTGACGACAAGGAAAAAAAAATATCCGTCTGCTCCACTGTCTGAAATGAGTTTGAGGTGTTGCTACTGTTTTTCTTGCTTTTTGATACAAACCTCACTTCCTGCAGTTTTAGTTGATAACCTTGTTACCGTTCTTGTACTCGTCAAGGCGCTCAATGACAGCGGGGGTCTGGAACACGTGATCCGGAATCTCGGCGCCACGGTACAGCGACTCTAGCAGCGAAGCAGCACCTCGCGGCGTCGCCTCCCACTTCATGGTCTCCAAAAGAGACTTGGCGAGGAACTCGACTAACTCAATGTGCGGGATGACCACCTTGGAGTAGTCGTCGTCTGGATCGGCGAACGCGTCCAACTTGTGGCCGTCCATCTCCACCTTCAGCTGGCCACCCTTATCGTCCAGGATGGGGTACGCCATCAGGCTGTAGCACTTCAGCAGACGGTGAGGATCACCCAGATGGGGAGGAAGAAAGACGCGAATGAACGTCTTGTTCTCCTTGGAGACCTCACCGAGGCGCCGTAGAACATCGGCGTCGCGGGGATCCATCGTGGAGGCGTATTGGGTGCGAATGCGGTCGTTCACCTCCGGCTTGCGGAGCATGCTGCTGTAGATGGTGTCCAGGGCAGCATTGTCCCAGCCCTTGCCAAAGAAGGTGCGGGCGCACGACACTGCGACCAGAGAGGGGATGCAAAAGCGCTGCATTCTAGTGGACGAAAAGCTACAAAAGATATTTTCATGCGAAGTATGTGAATAGGAAAAAAAAAGAAGAGAGAAAAGGAAAGCAAAGGGATGTTCGCGCGTGGTGTTGCCAGAACAGAATATGCGTTACTCGACGCTTAAATAGAAGGTGAGGAATTTTTTTCCTGAAGAATCAAGCACGCAAACTGAATAGCTTTTTCCGATCGAAAGAGCGGTAGTTGGAACTGGAACTGGTTCCCACCCGTTTGACAATTGAAAATCGGACAATCTCTTTGAGCTGTCCCCATTTCAATGTGTTCATTCTCTTCGTTTCATTTTTGAGGTAAGGCCTTTGGCAAAAAAAAAAATGAGCACGAACAAATCTGCTTGCCTGACTCGCGTTCATTGTCTGGAAACAAGAAAAAAAATATTTATCTGTGGCAGATGCCATGCGCAAAAAAAAGAATTGCACATTCTCATATACTTTGATGGTAAGACAGACTCCTCATTTTGCTACTGAAAATCGCGAAAGGGTCGCCTTGCGGAGTATTCGCCGTCACTTGAGGCTATGTCAAGCGGATTTTGCTGTCTTGGAAAGTTGCGGCGCAGAGAGATCTGAATTGAATGGTCGCCTGCTTTTGATATAAAAAGAAACCTACAAAGAAAACAGACCTACCTCAGCACAACTATCGTAAAATAAGAACAGAAACAGGAAAAATAAGAAACGTAAGCTTTAATTTTGAAACGACTTTAACTGGTGAAGCAAATCCATAGAACGGTAGTGTAGTTGAACTTAAAGTCGCAAAAAAACTAAGTTATAAAAATAATTTTTGTTGTTGTCGGTGTTGCGCTGGCAATACTAGTTCGAAATAGCTTAGCCATCTTTGTTCCACTTGCAAGGACCCACGTGCGGCTCCGCGGCCTTCATCCGACCAGAAGAAGTGGGTAGCAGCTTCTCGCGCTTGGCAGCATCACGCTCGCGCACAACACGGCTGCACAAGTTGATGTTCGGGTCAAGCAGAAAGTCGAAGAGTGTCCCAGGCCACGACTTCGTCCGATAAAGGTCCACGTAGAACTCGGGTGCAATCGTGTTCAGCTGTGCGATCTTCGTCCAGGCAACGTTGGGGAAGTCGTGGTGCTCGACGTGGTAACCCGCATTCCACATCACCCAGTTCAGCGGACCGTAGTACGAAAACGTTTCCTGACCACCATTCCCAACAAAGACAAAGTGCTCCGAAATGAAGTGGCCTGCCAGTGGATGCCAGCTGGTTCCGAGTAAGGTCGAAAGAAGGAAGTACAACAGAGGCCACCAGCCGCAGAAATAATACACAAGTAAATTAAAAGAGAGCTGAACAATGTAGTTGAGCACATGCAGTTTTTCAAACTTGATTGTGCGCACAACAGTCGGGCGGAAAGCGTAAAACAGAACCTGGAATGACAGGAAGAAGAACTTGCCAGCGTAGTTTGACAGGTACTTACCTTCAAAGCGGGTCGGCAGGTCGGAGTCAATGCCATCCCACCCGAGGTACCGGTGGTGCTCGGCGTGGTACGTCTTGAACATCATCGCATACGGCACAGGCACAACGAGGTTTGCAAAGAAGGCGTACGCGTCGTTGAAGAAGGGCGTGATGAAGCACAGGTTGTGTGTAATCTCATGGATGGCCAGGAATACACTGTGAGTAATCGTCCCACCAACGAAATACGCCACCAGGAAGAGTGTTGGCCACCCCATGTCCTTGGCGCGGTAGCCGAGGTAGAGCTGCAGGAGCACGAACGGCGTCAACAGACGACGCAGCCAGGGGTCCGGACCGAAAAGCTTCTTGATCTCAGCCCCATGCGCCTTCAGCATCTCGCGGTTGCGTGTTTTGTGCGTGTACTCGGTGTCAGACCAGTAATAGTCATCCCGACCGCGGCGTTGAAACATGGAATCCAGAGGCATTGTTGACAACGTTTTACCAACCAGTTCTTCAATTTGAACGAATGCGTGCTCTCCTTTTTTTTCCAATAAAGGCGGTTATCAGTTAATCTAATGAGCCTGATAAAGCGAGTGTCTCAGAAGAGTGCTACACAACGTCGACTTTTTTTTTAAGCTTCAATTTCTTCGCGCACAGCTTACTTATCTAAAGAGAAAAAGAAGCTAAACTACCGAAACTGGGGGAAATGACAACGACAATATCTTTTACTTTTGTGTGAGAAACCAATAGTAATATAAGAACAAAGAAAGACCAAAGAGAAGCAACAGTGTTAGTTTATCAAGCATTATTGTTGATTAGTACATTGACACGAAGGTACTTATAGATGATTTATTTACATTTCATGCATTTTCTTTTTTCAGAACGTATTTTTTTTCTTCGTAAAGGACAGTTTCTTTTCTACAATTCCCTGCAATCTACGCAATCTTTATTAGTGGAATCAAAATGAAGTTTTTGTTGTTGTTGTTGCTGGGTACATTCCATTCGTTACTCATTTCAAAAGAGAAAAAGGAAGGCAGCTGAAAAAAAAACAGAAAGCTTCCAATTGTAGAACAGCAATACAAATATAAGATCGTTAATTGTTACGAACAAGAAAAGAAAACATAACCGAAAAAGGGTGTCTTTAATGAAGCGCTGGTACTCGTTATATTTTCTAGAATAAAAAATACAAAGCACAGCTAAAAGCAATACAATCGAATAGAATTTGGAAACACTTTTTTCGACGTTCGTCTCCTGTCCATAAAAAAAAATCTCAGCGCAATCTAGAGAGAGAAAAAAAGCGTGTTGTCGAACGATCACTAGTTGCACAAATGCCTATCAACTCGGCACCTCAATTTTTAGCAGAGTTCAAACGCGCAAAAATATCCATATATATATTACCGTAGTTATAAGCAGCTGCTACAAATACATACAAAAGAATTGTATCTATTTGTAACGAAAAAAAAACGGGATCGGTTTAAGAGACAAAGCTTTCCGCGTAAACAAAAACTGCGAGTGGTCAAAATACCTTAGCCATCTTTGTTCCACTTGCAAGGACCCACGTGCGGCTCCGCGGCCTTCATCCGACCAGAAGAAGTGGGTAGCAGCTTCTCGCGCTTGGCAGCATCACGCTCGCGCACAACACGGCTGCACAAGTTGATGTTCGGGTCAAGCAGAAAGTCGAAGAGTGTCCCAGGCCACGACTTCGTCCGATAAAGGTCCACGTAGAACTCGGGTGCAATCGTGTTCAGCTGTGCGATCTTCGTCCAGGCAACGTTGGGGAAGTCGTGGTGCTCGACGTGGTAACCCGCATTCCACATCACCCAGTTCAGCGGACCGTAGTACGAAAACGTTTCCTGACCACCATTCCCAACAAAGACAAAGTGCTCCGAAATGAAGTGGCCTGCCAGTGGATGCCAGCTGGTTCCGAGTAAGGTCGAAAGAAGGAAGTACAACAGAGGCCACCAGCCGCAGAAATAATACACAAGTAAATTAAAAGAGAGCTGAACAATGTAGTTGAGCACATGCAGTTTTTCAAACTTGATTGTGCGCACAACAGTCGGGCGGAAAGCGTAAAACAGAACCTGGAATGACAGGAAGAAGAACTTGCCAGCGTAGTTTGACAGGTACTTACCTTCAAAGCGGGTCGGCAGGTCGGAGTCAATGCCATCCCACCCGAGGTACCGGTGGTGCTCGGCGTGGTACGTCTTGAACATCATCGCATACGGCACAGGCACAACGAGGTTTGCAAAGAAGGCGTACGCGTCGTTGAAGAAGGGCGTGATGAAGCACAGGTTGTGTGTAATCTCATGGATGGCCAGGAATACACTGTGAGTAATCGTCCCACCAACGAAATACGCCACCAGGAAGAGTGTTGGCCACCCCATGTCCTTGGCGCGGTAGCCGAGGTAGAGCTGCAGGAGCACGAACGGCGTCAACAGACGACGCAGCCAGGGGTCCGGACCGAAAAGCTTCTTGATCTCAGCCCCATGCGCCTTCAGCATCTCGCGGTTGCGTGTTTTGTGCGTGTACTCGGTGTCAGACCAGTAATAGTCATCCCGACCGCGGCGTTGAAACATGGAATCCAGAGGCATTGTTGACAACGTTTTACCAACCAGTTCTTCAATTTGAACGAATGCGTGCTCTCCTTTTTTTTCCAATAAAGGCGGTTATCAGTTAATCTAATGAGCCTGATAAAGCGAGTGTCTCAGAAGAGTGCTACACAACGTCGACTTTTTTTTTAAGCTTCAATTTCTTCGCGCACAGCTTACTTATCTAAAGAGAAAAAGAAGCTAAACTACCGAAACTGGGGGAAATGACAACGACAATATCTTTTACTTTTGTGTGAGAAACCAATAGTAATATAAGAACAAAGAAAGACCAAAGAGAAGCAACAGTGTTAGTTTATCAAGCATTATTGTTGATTAGTACATTGACACGAAGGTACTTATAGATGATTTATTTACATTTCATGCATTTTCTTTTTTCAGAACGTATTTTTTTTCTTCGTAAAGGACAGTTTCTTTTCTACAATTCCCTGCAATCTACGCAATCTTTATTAGTGGAATCAAAATGAAGTTTTTGTTGTTGTTGTTGCTGGGTACATTCCATTCGTTACTCATTTCAAAAGAGAAAAAGGAAGGCAGCTGAAAAAAAAACAGAAAGCTTCCAATTGTAGAACAGCAATACAAATATAAGATCGTTAATTGTTACGAACAAGAAAAGAAAACATAACCGAAAAAGGGTGTCTTTAATGAAGCGCTGGTACTCGTTATATTTTCTAGAATAAAAAATACAAAGCACAGCTAAAAGCAATACAATCGAATAGAATTTGGAAACACTTTTTTCGACGTTCGTCTCCTGTCCATAAAAAAAAATCTCAGCGCAATCTAGAGAGAGAAAAAAAGCGTGTTGTCGAACGATCACTAGTTGCACAAATGCCTATCAACTCGGCACCTCAATTTTTAGCAGAGTTCAAACGCGCAAAAATATCCATATATATATTACCGTAGTTATAAGCAGCTGCTACAAATACATACAAAAGAATTGTATCTATTTGTAACGAAAAAAAAACGGGATCGGTTTAAGAGACAAAGCTTTCCGCGTAAACAAAAACTGCGAGTGGTCAAAATACCTTAGCCATCTTTGTTCCACTTGCAAGGACCCACGTGCGGCTCCGCGGCCTTCATCCGACCAGAAGAAGTGGGTAGCAGCTTCTCGCGCTTGGCAGCATCACGCTCGCGCACAACACGGCTGCACAAGTTGATGTTCGGGTCAAGCAGAAAGTCGAAGAGTGTCCCAGGCCACGACTTCGTCCGATAAAGGTCCACGTAGAACTCGGGTGCAATCGTGTTCAGCTGTGCGATCTTCGTCCAGGCAACGTTGGGGAAGTCGTGGTGCTCGACGTGGTAACCCGCATTCCACATCACCCAGTTCAGCGGACCGTAGTACGAAAACGTTTCCTGACCACCATTCCCAACAAAGACAAAGTGCTCCGAAATGAAGTGGCCTGCCAGTGGATGCCAGCTGGTTCCGAGTAAGGTCGAAAGAAGGAAGTACAACAGAGGCCACCAGCCGCAGAAATAATACACAAGTAAATTAAAAGAGAGCTGAACAATGTAGTTGAGCACATGCAGTTTTTCAAACTTGATTGTGCGCACAACAGTCGGGCGGAAAGCGTAAAACAGAACCTGGAATGACAGGAAGAAGAACTTGCCAGCGTAGTTTGACAGGTACTTACCTTCAAAGCGGGTCGGCAGGTCGGAGTCAATGCCATCCCACCCGAGGTACCGGTGGTGCTCGGCGTGGTACGTCTTGAACATCATCGCATACGGCACAGGCACAACGAGGTTTGCAAAGAAGGCGTACGCGTCGTTGAAGAAGGGCGTGATGAAGCACAGGTTGTGTGTAATCTCATGGATGGCCAGGAATACACTGTGAGTAATCGTCCCACCAACGAAATACGCCACCAGGAAGAGTGTTGGCCACCCCATGTCCTTGGCGCGGTAGCCGAGGTAGAGCTGCAGGAGCACGAACGGCGTCAACAGACGACGCAGCCAGGGGTCCGGACCGAAAAGCTTCTTGATCTCAGCCCCATGCGCCTTCAGCATCTCGCGGTTGCGTGTTTTGTGCGTGTACTCGGTGTCAGACCAGTAATAGTCATCCCGACCGCGGCGTTGAAACATGGAATCCAGAGGCATTGTTGACAACGTTTTACCAACCAGTTCTTCAATTTGAACGAATGCGTGCTCTCCTTTTTTTTCCAATAAAGGCGGTTATCAGTTAATCTAATGAGCCTGATAAAGCGAGTGTCTCAGAAGAGTGCTACACAACGTCGACTTTTTTTTTAAGCTTCAATTTCTTCGCGCACAGCTTACTTATCTAAAGAGAAAAAGAAGCTAAACTACCGAAACTGGGGGAAATGACAACGACAATATCTTTTACTTTTGTGTGAGAAACCAATAGTAATATAAGAACAAAGAAAGACCAAAGAGAAGCAACAGTGTTAGTTTATCAAGCATTATTGTTGATTAGTACATTGACACGAAGGTACTTATAGATGATTTATTTACATTTCATGCATTTTCTTTTTTCAGAACGTATTTTTTTTCTTCGTAAAGGACAGTTTCTTTTCTACAATTCCCTGCAATCTACGCAATCTTTATTAGTGGAATCAAAATGAAGTTTTTGTTGTTGTTGTTGCTGGGTACATTCCATTCGTTACTCATTTCAAAAGAGAAAAAGGAAGGCAGCTGAAAAAAAAACAGAAAGCTTCCAATTGTAGAACAGCAATACAAATATAAGATCGTTAATTGTTACGAACAAGAAAAGAAAACATAACCGAAAAAGGGTGTCTTTAATGAAGCGCTGGTACTCGTTATATTTTCTAGAATAAAAAATACAAAGCACAGCTAAAAGCAATACAATCGAATAGAATTTGGAAACACTTTTTTCGACGTTCGTCTCCTGTCCATAAAAAAAAATCTCAGCGCAATCTAGAGAGAGAAAAAAAGCGTGTTGTCGAACGATCACTAGTTGCACAAATGCCTATCAACTCGGCACCTCAATTTTTAGCAGAGTTCAAACGCGCAAAAATATCCATATATATATTACCGTAGTTATAAGCAGCTGCTACAAATACATACAAAAGAATTGTATCTATTTGTAACGAAAAAAAAACGGGATCGGTTTAAGAGACAAAGCTTTCCGCGTAAACAAAAACTGCGAGTGGTCAAAATACCTTAGCCATCTTTGTTCCACTTGCAAGGACCCACGTGCGGCTCCGCGGCCTTCATCCGACCAGAAGAAGTGGGTAGCAGCTTCTCGCGCTTGGCAGCATCACGCTCGCGCACAACACGGCTGCACAAGTTGATGTTCGGGTCAAGCAGAAAGTCGAAGAGTGTCCCAGGCCACGACTTCGTCCGATAAAGGTCCACGTAGAACTCGGGTGCAATCGTGTTCAGCTGTGCGATCTTCGTCCAGGCAACGTTGGGGAAGTCGTGGTGCTCGACGTGGTAACCCGCATTCCACATCACCCAGTTCAGCGGACCGTAGTACGAAAACGTTTCCTGACCACCATTCCCAACAAAGACAAAGTGCTCCGAAATGAAGTGGCCTGCCAGTGGATGCCAGCTGGTTCCGAGTAAGGTCGAAAGAAGGAAGTACAACAGAGGCCACCAGCCGCAGAAATAATACACAAGTAAATTAAAAGAGAGCTGAACAATGTAGTTGAGCACATGCAGTTTTTCAAACTTGATTGTGCGCACAACAGTCGGGCGGAAAGCGTAAAACAGAACCTGGAATGACAGGAAGAAGAACTTGCCAGCGTAGTTTGACAGGTACTTACCTTCAAAGCGGGTCGGCAGGTCGGAGTCAATGCCATCCCACCCGAGGTACCGGTGGTGCTCGGCGTGGTACGTCTTGAACATCATCGCATACGGCACAGGCACAACGAGGTTTGCAAAGAAGGCGTACGCGTCGTTGAAGAAGGGCGTGATGAAGCACAGGTTGTGTGTAATCTCATGGATGGCCAGGAATACACTGTGAGTAATCGTCCCACCAACGAAATACGCCACCAGGAAGAGTGTTGGCCACCCCATGTCCTTGGCGCGGTAGCCGAGGTAGAGCTGCAGGAGCACGAACGGCGTCAACAGACGACGCAGCCAGGGGTCCGGACCGAAAAGCTTCTTGATCTCAGCCCCATGCGCCTTCAGCATCTCGCGGTTGCGTGTTTTGTGCGTGTACTCGGTGTCAGACCAGTAATAGTCATCCCGACCGCGGCGTTGAAACATGGAATCCAGAGGCATTCTGCTCGGTTCTTGTAAAGTGAACAATAATAACAGACGAATAATGAATTTCTGAATAAAAACAGCACTTTATCGGCAAAAGCAGTAATTTAAAAAGAAATCAAGAAGACGTTGTACGGAAAGAGCAGTTTGAAAATGGGGCAGAAAAAGGAATTGGGAACCAGTTCGATCACGTAAAGCATGTTCAAGATCTTTCCGGGAAAACCAAATGAGTTTCGCATGTGAAAGAGGAGGAAAAAAAACGAGATACATTTGCAATAACAACGCGCTGTTGTTCGCCTTAATTTGAAGTTTGAGTTGTTGAAAGCACCGACTTCAACGCCCGATAATCACTATTGTTGTTGAGAAACCTTTGACGCAGGAAGGAATAATACTCCTCGAATTTAAAACGAAGACCAATTGAAAGGGAGAAGTAAAACTTTCCCATATTATTATTATTAATAATATCACGGCAACTGCGGAAGAACATTAACAATAACGACAATGCGGTATTTCCGTCATCCTAGAAAAATCAAAATACATAGAAAGAAAATACAGCTGGTGTATCACTCATACTAGCTCCCAAAGAGTCTACTTTTCCCGAACGATTTAGCACGTTTGACGCGTTAAATCATGTTTAACTTGCAAGCACTTTACACAGGAAAATTCCACCATCCAGTTTGAGAACAATCAAATCCTCCGCACGGAAAGTGATATGACGACAGGTTAGAAAGATTTCGCAAACTTCAAAAGCATCGTAAGGTAGTTGCCGATAAACTCACTGGAGTGCACACACGCGCAAATTCTGCAATCATTGTTTCTTTTGAAAGTCCAGTAGTGTTCCGCTTGCGACGTTCATAATGCATTGTTTTCCAGGCCGAGAAACAAGCAGACAAAGAAGACACTTACGCTTTATCTCACGACCAGCACAGCAAGCTGCTGAGCAGAAAGCCAATTTTGTCCGACAGTCCTCATGCGGCTTGCATCTTTCTTAGTCCGCTGCAATGCCTGAACTTCACATGCTGTCAGACGGCAGGCGCAGTTGTCAAGCCAGCATCCATGCGTCTTTTGTCGCCCCAGGTGCCCCGCCGCCACTCATGAAGCCACCTGCTTCCTGATCTTTTCCTCCCTCTTCCCTGTCCGACTTTCTTTTAACGTCTCCGACAGCGGCCTTAATCGCGTACCCAAATACGTCATCTCCTACTCTTCGCCCCGGGCTCAGCACTTCAAAACCTACCCCTCGCAAAGCACTACTGTAACACCGCTTTTCGCCTTGGAAAGCACCCCCGTGCTATCCAATGCTGTAAACCAGAGCAATACTTCGAGAGTGTTGTGCCTCTCCAGCAGTACGTTTTTTCCCTGAAATTGCCATTGCCCAGCATTCGGTGGTCAATCCTTCCCGGCGCAACGAACGATAGGTGCTAACCCCCCCCCCCCTCTCCCCAGAGAAAAAAAGGTCGATCGTGAAGAAAAACGGCATGTTGGGACAACAGGTTTTTCCGTTGCCACTGCGCATTAGACTGTTGTGCTCCGTTCTTTGTAGATGATTTAGTTGCTTTGATTTACTGTACCTAATGCCTGCGGTTCAGATCATGTGCGTTAAGCAGCAAGAAGAAAGAACTCGAGCGACGGCTATTAAACGATCACAGTGCACGATTGTGAAGTCAGAGTCCTACAGTGTTTTCGTTGCAGGGAACATTCTCTTCGGAGCCGATTGGGTCTCTGCTATGCTCTCCCTGGTATTCGTATCCATCTTCCCCTCTCTTCTCACTCCCTTCTCGTTGCTCAAGGTTTACACACTGGCTAACCACATTGGTTCACCTTGGCATTCCCTCTTTTCTTTTCTAGACAAAGCAACAAGCATCTTAATTCTCCAATTAAAGACGGCCACACTCCTGTGCTATTTTCCTTATGCTCAGTGTTCATATTCCTAGTTTTCTATGGAAGAATAGCTGTTGTTCTCATGTAAAGGTTTGACCTTTTGGTAGGTGATGATTTGTAGGGTGTAGGTTATTCTAATAAGAGAAAGAGTTACGAGCCTTGATGATACCGGCCACCTCGGCGTGGTGCCAGGCTCCAGTGCTCACTATGCGTTGAAGCCAAGAGCCTGCAGCTTGTCTTCGTGTCCGGTTGCGGGCTTATTGGCTCGGCGGACAGGTCTGGGTCGTGCACATGCTGGAGAGACTTGCAGCAGTTCATACCTCCAATACGACTCACAAAACGCGTGTCAACAGGTTGCTAAAAACGTAAGATAAACCGCTGATATTGTTTTGCTATTACGCTGTGATGATCTTGAGCGCAGCCCCTGACTCGCCACAGCGTTTGTGTACTTGAATGGAAGGGACCATTTCGTGGAGAGTACTAGCAATATCCTCCGTGTTTTGATAAAAACGACACATATGACAAAAGTATGGGAATAAAGCATTGAAACCTGAGTGAAATAACCTCCTTTGTTAAACAAAACAAATAGTGTAAAATGTTGATACAACAAAGCACAACAAGAGACAACAATGCACAAGAGACAAGTTACTCGCTATCCAGACAAAGACGAAAGACAAGAGAATAACCTGCACCATTCAAATAATCACCTACCGGAGAAAGCAAAACCTATACATTAGAATATCATACAACTATCTTTCCCGGTTTTACACCACCATGTAACTATCAATACGTACAACCATTCCAACACAAACAAACTATTCAACAAACTCCACGAAGTGGTAGCCCGTCGTACGCTTCCGCGCTTGGTGACTGGGGAGTTCAGGGTTGGGCGGGTGGGAAGAACAGAAAAATGAAAGAGCTGCTGAATCCTAGCGAGAGTAGTTTCGCGGAATTCCCTCCTTTCAACCCTTTCAACGCTGCCGTGGGGAGCTGGTGCTCCCAGAAGACTTTTCCAAAGAGAAAGATTCTTTCTGATTTTGATGAGTGCCGATGATGGCAGACAACGGATACAAGCTACACAGGTTAACCGAAAAGAACAGAGAACGTCTCCTGCCAGGTTGTGACGAGAGCCTCCGGGGGACGGTGGGAGGGACAAACGGAAGTAAAAACTACGACTGCTGAGGAGTTGCAAAAACAGATGAAGAAGAAAAGTGCAAAGGCTGAAGCGTTTACTAGAGAGAGGGAAAGAGAGAAGCGTAGAAGAAAATGTTTGGAGAACGAAAAGGTGGTGGTACCATTGTCAGCGTCTCGATCGCTGAAGGCTTTGCAACGAAGTGAAAGAGTCTGTGTCTGTCCGTACAACGTCCTTTAAAGCTCTACAATTGTTGTCACACTGAAGATGAGAACCACTGAAGACAATTCTTGAAAAGAAAATCCCGGGTGTACGATTGAAAGACAACTGGGAACTGGATGTGCTGTCGGGTTCACCACGCAAGTTGGTAGTGCTGGTCGATGTCAAAGGGATTCTGGGTATTTCCCTTCCCGTTGCTGTCGGTTGTGTCGGTGGCTCTCGTGGGGTTGAGGTAGCGTTGAGAAACACTGAAAGAAGTATTGAGGGATGGCGGAGCTGCCTTAGGTGGCTGGAATGACTGAGGGCAGCTGATGGGTGTAGGCCTTCGCTGCCTTTTTCCGGAAACTAGAGATCCTGATTTGTTTGAAGCCTTGCAGGGAACGTATTAATTATTTCGGTCAATTGTTTTTTCTCTATTTCCTCTGGGGAATAGCTCTCCGGATGATGCCGACCATCTCAACGTGGTATGAGGGTTCAGTACGCATTAAATGAGTGAACCAAGCGCTTGCGACCTACAGAGTTCAGCCGCAGGTTTATCGGCTCGGCGGACGGGTACACGTCGCTCTGAGGTTGAGAGAAATGGAAGTAAGATATTTCAAATAAACTACCCTTTCATTCCCGTGGCCGGAGGCGGCGGTCATCGAATGGCACAACCTTGTATGTGTGTTGAGTTCTCTGCTGATTGCGGTGAACACGTATGGTCATGATGGTATGTGGATGGCCGGTGGCTGGCTGGGCGGATCCGTGCGTGCTCTCTCTCGCTGTTTGTCACTAGTCCCATTCCTTCTTTCCCTCCCCTCTCTCTCTCTCTGCTGCTCGCTGTTGTCGTACAACTTCACACGTACGAAGCAGCTACGCTTCGGTTTGCTGAGACCTGCGTTTGTATTTTCAGAGCCCACCCGCCCGCCCTGTATGTTTGCTGCTTTCGCGGTGGTGGATTTGCCGCCCAGCTACCTTGTTGCCCCCGACTGCGCGTACGATGTGCGCGAGCGTGGCGAACTTTACTGTGAGCGCGCCGGAGCACGGAGGTGATAGCGGTAGCAGGAGAGGGAGAGAGCAGTTTGTGTAGTGTGGTGGATGAGGTTGGTTCTCTTGTTTGTTTCCTTTCTATCGGCATCGGTGGCACACGAGCTTCGTTTTCGGTCTTTCGGTTTCACTTTCCTCCTCTCTCTTTTTATTGTTTTCGCTCCTGTACCTCATTTCATTTCGCGTCTCTCTATAAGTCTCAGTAGATAGAGCTTTATTACAGTTCTTCCGTTCACGTCTCTGGATGCTTTGTCCCTGGGCGGGCCCTGGACCCTGCTGGTTCTCTTGGCAGGGTATCGCGCCGTGGGCGTTGTCTCACTTTATTCTGTCTTCCTTAACCCCCTGCTCGGGGACGGGGTGGTGACCGGCACGATCGGTGCACCACAGGCCGTTAACGTCTGAGTGCTGTCCGTTGTGCGTCGTGTACCTGGTAGTACTTTCCATTGTTTTTGCTGTACTGTGTTTTCTGTCGTTCTTTCTCTTCTAGCTTCCGCGTCGGCGCCTGCGACATGGCCCGAGTGTTGTGTTTCCTGTTTTCCTGTCTTGGGCGTGTGTGCATGTGTGAGCGCAGCTGTTGGGCTTTCCGCTGCGTCGCACCACGCCATCCACCCCGTAATGTGTTCCCTGTTTTTCTTGTTTTCGCTGTGTGCCCCGTGCCGTGTGTGTCTGTTTTCTCCTTTGTTTCTCTCTCTCCCTGCACGTCTGTTTGGCGTGCGTCCACCCAGTGTTTCCTCCCGGTGCCTCCGGCTCGGGTGGCCCCCTGCTGCCGTGTGTGTGTGTGGCGCGGCGGGGGGTCCTCCGGGCCGGGGGCCAGCCGTAAGAAAAGGGCACCAAGCTAGTCATCCTGACGTGATGTGCCTCCCGCGACTGGTCGCGGTGGGGTGGCCTGCTGCAACGCATGTTGTACAGGCGGCGAGTGTAGTTGCGTGCCTTCATTGCCGCTTAGCCGACATGCCCTCGGCTCCGTACGTGTCCCCTGGTTCACCACTTCTCACCTGACCACCTCCACCTCACTCACTCACTTCCACAGCGACACCTCTCACACAGGACGGTTGCCTACGTCAACGCGGGTCTCAGCGCGTCAAATCCTCCATGTTGGACCTCATAAGTCATTTTATTTCTGCGCTGGGGTGACATCGAGCACAGTCCTGGACTCGCGTTGCGGTGTGCTCAGTGGAACTGCAACGCGTCACCTCGGCCCAAAAGACTCGCGTCAGCCTTTTACCAAGTGGAGAGTTCGGTGCCGTTGTGCATCTTCCAGGGGAGACACTCACAGTTAAAAACCTAAGGTGATGTGGGCCATAGGCACCGCACGGACCCATCTGACGAAGTAATTTTGCATCGGGTAAGCGCGGCCCAGGGTCATCGAGGACAGTTTGAAGAGGTGGGCCGGCGCTTGGCCACAACAAACGCGGAGGGGCCGGGGTGCCGCGCGTAGGAAGCTGTTTTAGATTTTGTGAAGTTGCGAATGGAATGACTTCACCTGAGAATTGTCCTCCCTCTTTTCCTTTCTTTCCGTAATTCTTGTCGCCGTGGTTTCTGGCGTGCTTCACTTTCACTTTTTCCCACCCGCCCAACCGTGAAGCGTAAGTCGGACTACCCGCTTCGAGAATTGTCTTCAGTGGTTCTCATCTTCAGTGTGACAACAATTGTAGAGCTTTAAAGGACGTTGTACGGACAGACACGGACTCTTTCACTTCGTTGCAAAGCCTTCAGCGATCGAGACGCTGACAATGGTACCACCACCTTTTCGTTCTCCAAACATTTTCTTCTACGCTTCTCTCTTTCCCTCTCTCTAGTAAACGCTTCAGCCTTTGCACTTTTCTTCTTCATCTGTTTTTGCAACTCCTCAGCAGTCGTAGTTTTTACTTCCGTTTGTCCCTCCCACCGTCCCCCGGAGGCTCTCGTCACAACCTGGCAGGAGACGTTCTCTGTTCTTTTCGGTTAACCTGTGTAGCTTGTATCCGTTGTCTGCCATCATCGGCACTCATCAAAATCAGAAATAACCCTTCTTGGAATATTTGTAAGGCGTCGGGTGTTCTTGGCGTGTTTTGGCGGGGCTGCATTCCGGGTTTCTCTCAAGGAGCGATCTCCTCCACGTGGAACCATTGTGTCTTTCAACGCACAGCTACCTCCTTCTTGTCACCGTCCCTGAAAACAAAAAAAAGAAAGGAGGGAGAGTGGAAACAAGGAGGTGAAGGCATGGCGGAGTGTCTGCCGCACGTGACCAAAGCGCATGGTGCTCTTCGCAGCGTCCGTTCGGATTTGTGTAAAGTGTGACGCTCCGTAGCGCCCCGTCTGTCGACGCGAGTGCTTTCGAGACGGATGAGCATTTCCACGCCCGCGCTACGACCGTTGGTGCTAGCAAAGGGATAATCGCGGTTGATGGGTGCAGGTCGATGGGATCTTCTGGCATGGAGCGAAGTTCTCCGATCCGTTGAATGCACCCGATCCGAACCTCTGCCGTCAGCGCAATCCAGGTAAGAGGGCTCCCGCGCGAGCGCTACGGAAACATACAGCCATCCACTTTCCCCTCTTCCTCCGTCATCACTAGGTGGCGCGTATCCTGACCTGGGAGCAGAAGGGGGACGAGCTCGCACACACTGCCGTAAGTCTCGTTGCGCCGCTTCCCACGGTGCAGAGCCGTGCAAGGTCTCCAGCAGCTGTAGCTACCTCTCACCATTGCATTCGGCATAGGCGCACAGCAGAAACGGGAAGGAGACGACTGCGGTTTGTTTATTGCTCACGTGCTCCTTCTCACGCCATCACCTGTCAGGTGTCCTTCCTCGCCGGGCATGCCCGCCTCACAAGCGCGCTATTTACCTCACATGGCCCGTCAGCAAGGCTGGTGAGCGGCTGCTGGAGGGACTGCAATTCTCTCGGGATCGACGAGATGGACTGCTCCACCGTCGTCGTGTCGAGGGCTGCCGTTTGCTGCCCGTCAGGGCCGAGGATGGAGGCATAACCGCCTCCGAGCAGGATGCCGTTCTTCGTCGTTGCGAAATACTTGGTCCAGGCTGGATCGCCACCCGCCTCAGCGCCACCACCGGCCCACTCCTCCGCGCATACGTGGAAAGGCGATGAGTCCTGTGCGGCGAGCTCCACGGATGGGAGGCTGGGGCTTGCACGTTTACGATCCACTGGCCATGTGCGTCCGCCGCGTCCGCGCACAGCTTCCGCACAGCGTACCAACTGTGATGTAGCGGCTGCTGGTAGCTGGGAATCTTCAGCACGATGGCGGCAAGGTGCAGGGCTTCGAATGCGGCATTCTCCGTTCTCGGGACCAAGATGCATGCCGCCACCATCACCTCTAGTGGGGCCGGTGCACCGTGTTGCGCATGCGTCGCAAACCCCTTCCATAACCGCTTCGTCAGCGAGTTGGGCTGCAATCTGGCGATGCCACGCGTCGACCGCCTCCGTCTGCCGACGCAAGAGTTCCAGTTTGCCTTGCTCCGCCGTCTGGACGGAGAAATAAAAAGCCTTCGCTGGGGAGCTGGCTGTCCCGGCCACGCTCTCTCTGCTGCTTCAGGCGCCGTGCTTTTCGCCATCGCGTGCTGCGCCATCCTTGGCGCGCGCTCAAGCGCTGCACCGTATTGCTCCGCAGTCACCTAACCCTTGCTTTGTAGCGTGTTGGGAGCCACGACATGCGTTAGAAAGTCTGACATTGTGTTGTCGGCAGAAGAGTGGTTGGAAAAGACGCTTTAGAAAGCGAAGAAGCGATGGAGGCTGCGGCACTAGTCCGTCGCGGTAAACGAGAGTTCAAGGAGGATAGATGGGAGGGAGAGGAATTTCTTTTGGCAGTCAAAGCCCTATGATCGCTTTCCACCTTTCAACAGCTTTGCCGACTTGAGCGCTACCTCGCACTGTATTTCGAGTTGCTGTGTCCTTATTCGTTTGCCATTCTTTGCACACGACACTTTCACGACACACTGCAACCTTGGACGGTTGGGATATTGGAATTCATTTAATATCCGTAACACCGTAAGAAGTGAGTCGCTCGTGCTCTGATAAAAACACAAAATGAAAGAAAGCGGAAGCTTATGTAGGGAGGGAAAGAGAAACGACCGCTTCCGCGTGAACTGACAAGCTCTACGAACCGCGAAGAGCGCAAGGAAGCAGTTTGTGTCGTTGCTGCCTCGTGATGTATCCTGTGTTTCTACCCCTCCTCTCGGTGCTCCTCTGCTTTAACAAGAAAGAGAAAAAAGAAAGTAAAACGGTGTGCGCATGGACTCCCAAGTCAAGGAATGCTGCTCGTCGCATCACCAGGATCAACGAAAGCTAAAAGGTGAACACGAAGGGAAGAAAAGAACTACGTGTCTTAAAAAGAGCTTTGCTTTCATTGCTCTCCCTGTGAAGCCCATCGTTAAGATAACAACGTGTGTTTCTGTGCTACTTCAACGTTTCCAATTTCAGGTGCTGAAACGTTGAGTTCTTATAAATGGGCAGGGGAAAAAAGATCTTAGAGCGATTTCGACTACTAAATAATAATTCATAACTATCTAATTGCGGCGCGAAGCGTAAAAATAAAACTCACGCAAACCATAACGGACGAAAAACCGATTTAGTATTGTTGCCAGGTTGAACCACGGCAGCGATTCAACAGCTGCGGCGGCCATCGCTGAACTCCCCTTGCTCTTCCCCCGTGAGCTATCTTTACGTCCTCTCCTCACCAATTCAACAAAGTGATACAGAAGACAGAAAAGAAAAAAATGACGTTCTCGTGTGACCAACACAAAAACGCGGAGAGAAGAACGCGAGAGAAACCAAACATCAAGGAAGAAAGGGCCATATCAATTGAGCCGAAGAGAAAAGCAATAATAACTTTCACTTTCGGAGAAGGTTATGCGTTAAACAAAGAAACAAAAAAAAGCGTTTTCGTAGTTAGTGTGCGAAACAAAACGAAAAGATACGCGACACACGTCAGCTAAATTCGACCTGATTTTTTGCGGTTGTTTAGATCGTCCGTGCAGAGAAAGCGCGATAAAGCACTGGATGACGCTCCTTTGTGGCAAAAAGAGGAACCGTCTCTTCGACAAAAACGTCAACGGTGATCGCCCTTTTCTTGTTGCAACCATGCTGAAAAGGAAAAATAAAACAGAAGAGAGACAAAAAAACCCCGAGAAAAAGTCTTTTTGATTTGGTCGTGCAGTGATATTTAAGCACTCTCTTCCTCGCGCGCTTCGATCCTATTGCTCCGGCCGTCGTCCAACGCCACAAAACCGTGCTTCGTTGTGGCGTTTTGGTGACGGCGTTTCGCGCAGACGCACACAACTGTCGTCACTGCGACTGCGATGACAGCGCCGACACAGAAGGTGCCGAGGGAAACCCCCACGACAGCACCCGCGCTGAGCCCGCTGTTGTGACTCATTTTTGTCTGGTCAGCCGTGCCCTTCGCGCTGGCAGCGCCCTTCGCCTTGGCGGTGCCCGGCCTGGTGGTGGCGCGGGTCGACGTGCCGCCCAGGCAGGAGTCGGTGGAGCAAACGCACTGGTAGGAGGCACCGTCGAGGGTGTAGCCGTTGGTGCAGGCGAAGGACGGGCAGGCGGCGCGGTAAGACTGGCACGTGCTGGACAGCGGACCGTAGGCGCTGTTCCCCGACGGGCAGTTTGCAATGGCTACAGAATCGGGATCGAGGAAACAGTAGCCGCGCGCGTCGCCAGGCTCCGACCAGCGGATGTAACGCTTGAAGTCCTCAAACGGGCAGGTGTGTCCATCTGCAATGTAGGTGGCGCCCCACGAGTTCATGCAGCGCAAGTTCCACGAATTGTCCCAGTCGAAGACAAAGTTGGTGTCAGGGGACTGGCCCGGCGCGCCGCGCAGCACGCGCACCTGCTCGGCGCCCGTCGACTTGGACTTGAGCAGCTCCACCACCATAATTTGCGCAAATGGAGGCAGCATGGCCGTGTCCGACTCGTCGCCGAGGGTGCCCCAGACCGGCGCCAGCGTTGTATCATGTCCGCTGTAGTGCATCAGCTTGTACGTGTTCGTGCCAGCGATCTGGTTGTCCATGTTCTGCACTAGCTGCTTCAGGAAAGGCTGACCGCGGCCACCCTGTTTGAACATGAGAGGGTCGGTATGGTCGTAGTGATACTCGTAAGCGAAGAGCACGCGCGTGATGCTCTGAATCTTTTGATAGTTGGCCTTCAACAGCGGGAACTTATCCAGTTCACCGACCGCCATCTTCGCCGCGGCAATGTCGAAGAGAGTGCGCACACAGTCCGAGCGTGTCTCGTATACGTTGCAGAAACCTTCAAGAAAAACCTCCTTGCCAATCTTCGTAATCTCCGTCCAGTCAGGGTAGAGCTTGTCGGTCAGAGGGTTGCACACTTTATGCAGCAACGGCTTGTTGTTCGAGTAGAAGAACTTCAGCCACGGCTGTACATTGCTGTTCAGCAGAATGTCTGTAGCCTCCGCCACCGTGTGGATGGCCGCGTAGAGGCTGGTGGTGTTCGGGAAAAAGCCGCGCAGGAAGGCCTCGGCGCTCTGCAGGGTGCGAAGGACGTCCGAGGAGCGGCTATAGGACACATCAAGGTTGTAGCTCGGCGACGGAAACAGCGGCGTGTTCACCACCGTCGTGTCCTCATTGTAGCGTTTACGCAGGTAGGCACCGGTGTTCAGCAGCATCTTGACACCGGCCCAGGTCAGGTACCCGCACGGAGCCTCGGTGCAGATATCGGAGGTGTTGAACCGCGGCGTGCCGGCACGAGCGCCGTGGCGGTGCAGCACTTGGACCAGCACCACCTCCAAGTCCACTCCTTCTGCACTGGAAGACAACCCAGAAGAGGCGGCGACCGAATCCGTCTTCGCGTACGCAGCGGAGAGGGCCACCAGTGCCACGACCAGTGTTGCCACCAACGTGAGGCGAAGCACGCAAGTCATTGTCGAAGGAGAAGAGGGTAACAAAAAAGGAATGTTGAAACAATGCCTTCGTTGCAAAGCAGTTGTGCTTTGATTCTCTGTACTTAATTCAACAAAACAAACAGCGCTCGTCGTGCCGCTACAGTATGCTGGTGCTCGTAACTCGGCAAGAGTGCTTTGAAATACTCGCGTCCTCTTGCAGATCTTTTGTGCGTTGGTGTTGTTGATATTTCCTCTTCGAGTGTCTCAAAGAGTGCGCGTAGATTTGGAAGCGTGTGAGTCGTTAAAGGTCAGTTATCTCTACCCAGGTGTACCACAACAGCGAGAGCGGTCGTGCAGCTAGTACGTTTTGCTGAGACGGGATGTGAAAATAGTTCCATCGTTTGTAAAAACAACAACAACAGGAAGAGATCGGGAGGAAGGTGAGGGAGGTGTCGAGCGGATTTGTTCCAAGGGAAGTATAAATAGCGCACCGATTGGTACTAGCTTGTCGTAGGAGTGAAGCCAGTGGAATAACCTACACCCTACAAATCATCACCTACCAACAGGTCAAACCTTTACATGAGAATTACATAAATTTATCTTTCTTGGTTTTACAACACACTGTAAATATCAGTAGTTAAAAACATGCAAAGAAAACAAACTATTCAACAGACTCTACGAAGTGGGTAGCCCGCCTTACGCTTCCCCGCTTGGTGAATGGGGAGTTCAGGGTTGGGCGGGTGGGAAAAAGGAGAAAACGGAAGAACTGCTGAATTCTAGCTGTTGAAAAGGAGAAAACAGGAAAAGGGGAAAAGAGATGTAGGACGAATAATTCTTCAGGCTAGGTCATTCTATTCGCAAGCTCCAACTGCTACCTCCTTCTTGTCACCGTCCCTGAAAACAAAAAAAAGAAAGGAGGGAGAGTGGAAACAAGGAGGTGAAGGCATGGCGGAGTGTCTGCCGCACGTGACCAAAGCGCATGGTGCTCTTCGCAGCGTCCGTTCGGATTTGTGTAAAGTGTGACGCTCCGTAGCGCCCCGTCTGTCGACGCGAGTGCTTTCGAGACGGATGAGCATTTCCACGCCCGCGCTACGACCGTTGGTGCTAGCAAAGGGATAATCGCGGTTGATGGGTGCAGGTCGATGGGATCTTCTGGCATGGAGCGAAGTTCTCCGATCCGTTGAATGCACCCGATCCGAACCTCTGCCGTCAGCGCAATCCAGGTAAGAGGGCTCCCGCGCGAGCGCTACGGAAACATACAGCCATCCACTTTCCCCTCTTCCTCCGTCATCACTAGGTGGCGCGTATCCTGACCTGGGAGCAGAAGGGGGACGAGCTCGCACACACTGCCGTAAGTCTCGTTGCGCCGCTTCCCACGGTGCAGAGCCGTGCAAGGTCTCCAGCAGCTGTAGCTACCTCTCACCATTGCATTCGGCATAGGCGCACAGCAGAAACGGGAAGGAGACGACTGCGGTTTGTTTATTGCTCACGTGCTCCTTCTCACGCCATCACCTGTCAGGTGTCCTTCCTCGCCGGGCATGCCCGCCTCACAAGCGCGCTATTTACCTCACATGGCCCGTCAGCAAGGCTGGTGAGCGGCTGCTGGAGGGACTGCAATTCTCTCGGGATCGACGAGATGGACTGCTCCACCGTCGTCGTGTCGAGGGCTGCCGTTTGCTGCCCGTCAGGGCCGAGGATGGAGGCATAACCGCCTCCGAGCAGGATGCCGTTCTTCGTCGTTGCGAAATACTTGGTCCAGGCTGGATCGCCACCCGCCTCAGCGCCACCACCGGCCCACTCCTCCGCGCATACGTGGAAAGGCGATGAGTCCTGTGCGGCGAGCTCCACGGATGGGAGGCTGGGGCTTGCACGTTTACGATCCACTGGCCATGTGCGTCCGCCGCGTCCGCGCACAGCTTCCGCACAGCGTACCAACTGTGATGTAGCGGCTGCTGGTAGCTGGGAATCTTCAGCACGATGGCGGCAAGGTGCAGGGCTTCGAATGCGGCATTCTCCGTTCTCGGGACCAAGATGCATGCCGCCACCATCACCTCTAGTGGGGCCGGTGCACCGTGTTGCGCATGCGTCGCAAACCCCTTCCATAACCGCTTCGTCAGCGAGTTGGGCTGCAATCTGGCGATGCCACGCGTCGACCGCCTCCGTCTGCCGACGCAAGAGTTCCAGTTTGCCTTGCTCCGCCGTCTGGACGGAGAAATAAAAAGCCTTCGCTGGGGAGCTGGCTGTCCCGGCCACGCTCTCTCTGCTGCTTCAGGCGCCGTGCTTTTCGCCATCGCGTGCTGCGCCATCCTTGGCGCGCGCTCAAGCGCTGCACCGTATTGCTCCGCAGTCACCTAACCCTTGCTTTGTAGCGTGTTGGGAGCCACGACATGCGTTAGAAAGTCTGACATTGTGTTGTCGGCAGAAGAGTGGTTGGAAAAGACGCTTTAGAAAGCGAAGAAGCGATGGAGGCTGCGGCACTAGTCCGTCGCGGTAAACGAGAGTTCAAGGAGGATAGATGGGAGGGAGAGGAATTTCTTTTGGCAGTCAAAGAACACTCTGTTTCCTTTCAGACAGACTACCGGAAATGCGAAAACGGAGGACTGTAACTGGCGAACGCAAAGTCTAGTTGTTTCACGCTGACAAGTATAGCGTTGTCGTCGCTGAGCTGCCTGGTGTGAGAGGTTCATGCTCAGAGAAAACTCCAAAGATGGCAATCCCTGACAGCCTACTTTTGAGTGCTGCCCTTTCGCTTTTCTAAGATGGAAAAAGACAGCTGGGGGAAAGCTTTCTACTGTTCATATCTGTGGGATTATGAAACCAAAAATGTCGATAGTAGTAGAATGAGCACCAAGGAACGCGATTTCAAATAAGGGAGAGTGAAAATCGCTCCCCGAAAGAAAGATAATAAAGTCCCGGCTAGCATCGTGTGGGTGAGAAAACATACTGGCGCATTTTCGTGCCCGTCGGCTTGCTATTCCGTTGCTCAGTCCCAGAAGTCGGCGTATCCCGAGTTGTTGTGAAGCTCGTCTCCGTTGTCTTCTTCTTTAGAATCGTTGAGAAGCAACAGCAGTCGGAGTCTTGGAGGGCATTCAGCGTCGCTATAATTAGTCCTGCTTACTCGTATCACTTCCAGGTGTGCAGCCGCAGAGAGCGGCGTGAGGTTGTAAAGGTCTTTGCAGCTGTCAAGGAAGACAGTCTTGAGCTGCGAACACGCTCCCAGACCTTCGATACTTTGCACTCCACTGTTGGCTGCGTTGACAGTCGTAAGCGATGGTGCGCCAGCCAGGGAAGCAAGGGTGGCCAGTTGCTTGCATCCCTCGAGATCAACCGATGTGAGTTTCGGGCACGTATTGAGCCCAGAAAGATCGTGAACACATGAGCTGGCTGCTTTGATAGACTCCAACAGAGGGGCACCTGCAAGCTGAGCAAGACTGAACAAGTTTCTGCATGTGTCGAACTCGACACACTGGAGTTCAGGGCATTCACTCAAGCCGGTGATGTTTTGCACACCGCTGTGGCTGGCGAGAATGATGCGGAGTTTCGGCGTACGAGACAAAGGTGATACATCGGTTAAAACGGGGCAATATCTGACGTCGATGATTTCCAGCTTCGAGCAGTACCGAAGCCCGTCGAGGTTTCTCACCTTTGTGTGGCTTGCTCCGATTCGCTGCAGCTGCGGCGCCCCAGTTGATGGCGAAAGTATCGTCAGCCATTCACAATGATCGAGCTCAACAGTGGTCAGCGCGACGCACTGCGCCAAATTGGAGATGTCACGAACATTGCTGAAGCCAGCTTTGACGAGTCGGAGCGCTGGGGCGCCCGCGAGGCCTGAGAGAGACTTCAGCTGGCTGCAATGCTTCAGCTTCACAGTTTCAAGGCGAGGACAGCTGAAGAGTGGCAATACGTCGCGCACGCCGGTGTGGCTCGCTTTTAGGCTTCTCAACATCGGAGAGTTTGCAAGCGGAGAAAGGGTCCATAGATGTGAGCAGTGCTCAAGCTTGAGATCTTCCAACAACGGACAATCGCTTAAGCCGGTGATAGGACGGACACCACTGTGGTTCGCGTTTATTGCACTCAGCAAAGGTGCGCCAGCGAGGGCGGATAGATCCAGCAACTTATCGCAGTACTCGAACTTTACACTGACAAGCTGCGGACAGGTGCTGAGGCCGGTGATATCTTCAATGCCGCTGCGGTTTGCGTTGAGGCTTCGTAACGAAGACATCCGGGCCAGCGATGCGAGGCTTCTTAGTTGATCACACCACCCGACATCCAGCTGCTCAAGGGACGTGCACGATTCGATACCACTGATATCCCTCACTCCACTTCCGCGAACGTCAACGATTTTCAACATCGGCGTTCCTGTCAATGGAGCAAGGGAAACCAAGTCTTTGCAATGCTGAAAGTTGACAACGGCAAGGGACAGACACAGATTGAGACCGCTCATGTTGCGAGTGCCGCTTTGTTTCGCGTGAATCTCTTCCAACCGAGGGGCCCCAGAAAGCGGTGAGAGATTTGTGAGGCGTCAGCAGCACTCCACATTGATGTGCCTGAGAGACGGACAACTGCCGAGTCCACTGAGATCACTGACCGAGGAGTTGTTAGCTCGGAGAAACTGGAGTTGAGGAGTACCAGCTAATGGAGCCAGCGTAGTCAGATACACACAATGCGCTAGATCAATGAAAGAAAGCTCCAGACATTTCTGTAATCCGGTAATTTCACGAATGCCACTGCCTGCTGCGTAAATGGAGCGCAGAGATGAAGCATGCGCAAGACCTGACAGACTCATCAGGTGCTTACAATGGCAAACATCGATTGTTTCAAGAGCAGGCCAGGCTGCAGTGCCGCCGACCTCTTGCAAGCCACTGCCATGCGCGTCGATGAAGCGCAGGGAAGGTGCAGCGGTAAGAGGCGAAAGACTCTTCAACTCGAGACCGAGAGGAAAAAATACGCTGGTGAGCGACGCGCAGAGTTCGAAGCCTAAAAGGTTCTGCAACTTCGCGCCTCTGATCCTAACTGTCTCCAAAAGAGCGAAGGCTGAAAAATTATGCATATCGACCGTCCGTTCGTTGGTTGAGACGGAAAACGTCGTCAGCGCTGGAAGGCCAAAAAGAAGTTTAACGTCAACGGCAGAGCAAGATTCCGCAGTCAGTGTGCGGAGATGCATCATTTGAGACGGCTCTGAGCCGAGCACAATGCGAGGTGCGTTGGTCAAAGTTAGCTCTTCGATCGAGAGCGCAGCAACATCAGGAAGAGTAAAATCAGATTCCGGCACATCAATGTTTAGCATCTTCAGTCGCGCCAGAGGAAGCAATGATGCGATGGTGCGCCATCGTGATCCACACGTCACGACGCTCAAAGGAAGGTCGCACTTATTCAGCCACCAGGTGATTTTTTCAATGGGCTGCGTGTCTTCTGTCGGCTGCAATCCGTACTGAAGGCGATGTACGACGTCGCCGCTCACACAGCACAGAGACAAATTTTTGAAGGTCGCAGCCTGCGAAAGAATCTCGGAGATCAATCGAGTCTTGGGATGCGCTGCCGCGAAGGTCAGACAACCGAACTGAGACGGATTACTGTAGCTGGGTATCTGCGACAAAGCATCCAACCCTATGGAAGCGAGCACATCGTTCGGCGTCTGGTTTTTGGTTCCTTCTGCCGCAGCTTGATCATGCTGGAAGCACTGCAGAAAAACTTGGATGTAATTCATAAACCAATTCATCATGGGCACGAAATTAACGTTTCATCGAGAGTGTTACGTAACCACATGACGCTCAAGGAGAGATCGTATGAAGAAGAGGACAAAATTGCCTAGCTACATTGTTCACATAAGCAGAACTGGCGATAGTAAAAGGGCGCGTGTAATTGAAAGGTTGAGCGATAACGGTAAAGAATCACGGCTGAAATAACAAACAAAAACGTGGAGGAGAACAAGAACACAAAAATGAAAATACAAGTGTTTTTAAGCAGCTCTCAAAAGCCGATATGCCGCTGACAGCTGAACGGATTAGCTATGCAGCATAACTGAAGCTTTACCTGGTGTGCAACTGTGTATTGAACGGTTATGCTGCTTATTGTGTCTCGGACATGGTGTCACCCAACGTGCTAGCCACATACACACAGCTGCTGTGGGCCTTCAGCGAAAGGTTTTCTGGCAGTCTCCAACTTTTAAAAAGCATCGGCCCCTTGACCTAGGCACACTTTACTTTGCAACCACGGCGAACGTCCTTATTCTCCTCTCGCTTCTTTGCTGCCACGTCGTCAAACTCCACACCGTTTCTATTTTTTTCTTCTACAAAAGTATGAGTTGTCTCAGTCGACGTGCGACAGAAGACCGATACCCAGAAAAAGTTACTTATCTCCTGTTGGTCATCACTTTCATAAAAAACAAAGCTTTATGGACGTCTCAGCGAACACTTCTCCGTTGAGTCATCTGTAGGCAGGTTCAAGACTCGATATTTACTCTTCTTTCCTTTCAAAATCTGCTTTTTAATAATTTCTCTGTTACAAGTTTCATCTTACTGAAGGAAGCATCTCCGCTAAAGGACTCTACGACAGCTGTATCTGACCGCTGCCGTCACCGACACCTTTCGTTTTGTGCAAACAGATAGGCTCACATAAGGTGTTGTGGGCACAACAAAACAAAAATGCACAAACAATATAGAAAAAGGCAAGAATCACAGAAATGAATGCAATGCCGTGGTATTGCGATATATGAATGTGTACATAAATGTGTGCATGCATGTGATGCAACTACGAGTAGAAGTAAACTCGTTTTACTCTATCCGCGAAGTCAGACTTACTCGCGCTTGCGCTCCGCCTTGCGCTTGATGCTCTTGTGAAGAGCGAGGACCTTGTTGGACACGAGGTTGACAGGAAGGGAAGTCATGACCGCTTCCAGGAAGGCGTGGTTAACGTGGCCGGGTGTCTTCGGGACAGAGCCAAGCTTGTTGAGGGTCTGATGGGCCATTTTAGCGGCGTTCACCATGAGGAACGTCTCACGCGGCTTACGAGTGCTGACACCTTGAGTCATCTTACTTACCACCATGTTGGGCGACACGGCGAGGACATCAATGCCAAACTCCTTGAGCTCATAGTGGAGACTAGAGCCAAAAGCGACGTTGAAGGCTTTGGTGCCGGCATACGTGCAGAGAAAAGGAGCAGGGACAACGGCAGAGACGGAGCCCATCACCACAATGGCGCCGCTGCGCTTCGCCTTCATTTTAGGGACGATGTACTTGGTCATGCGCACGGTCGCCTCGCAGTTCACCTTGAGTATGCGGAGGTCCGTCTCGAGATCCACCTCATCGAAGTAGTTCGTGTAACTGTAGTTCACGCCGACGTTATTGATCAGCACGGCAATTTGAATTTTGTCCAGCTCAGCAAACAACTTGTCGTAATTCTGAGGAGTGGCAGAGGCAAAGTCAAACGGGATAGCCTTGCCCTCCACGCCAATTTGCTTCAGTTCTTCGATGACACTGTCAAGCTTCGACTGCGTGCGCGCGATGACGCAGACATTGAAGCCACGGCGACCAAGGTCAATGGCCATGGCGTGACCGATGCCCTCACTGGCACCCGTGACAACGGCCCAGTCACCAGCCTTCCCGTACCTCTTCTTCATGTTCAAGGAGGTCATGTAGTTGATCTTCACAAAGCTTAGGACCTTGAACAGGACGACGCCGAGTGCCGCGGCACCAATGGTAGAGAGAAAGCCGATCATTCTTCTGGCAGGAAAGATACGCTTTGGAACCTTTAGCAGTGATTAGCGATACTTAAATAAAAGAACAGAGAGACTCTTAATGGATGACAATAGCGACAGGTGTAGCGTTTGAATGCAGATGTGGAGCGAGGAAGAGAAAAAGGAAGAGAGAAACGAAGAGAAAGAGGAAACAACTGTACGTACAAATCATTCACGATTCAGATTTTCTGAGAAGTATAGAGCGAGTGCAACCATTATGCGCTGAAGCAAGGTCGATCAAAGAGAGAACCAATTACGCCGCATCGCTACATCAAACGAAAGCTTTGCCCTCCCTCATCTTTTTTACCTCTGGCAGAATTCATGGGCTTTAACGTGTTGCGGTGCTTTGTTGTCGTTGTGCCTACCAAGTCTGATAAACGCTGACGCTAACTACAAAGAAATGTTCATCTATGTAAGCGCGCGGTACTAGGAAAAATAGGGCTTGCAATACAAGACGATGACCTGCGAGGTTCAGTTATGTTACAGTCTTCTGCGACAACGCACAAGCTGCATCACTTTCACTTCGTTTGCGTAGTATTATCGCAAGTGAGCTAAAGTGGTGCCTATCATCCAATTGAAGAGCACACAGACCAGAGGAATAGGTGAGGTTTTGCGCGACTCACCTCCAACAGAACTTGGCAGAAGGGATGCAGAGGAGACTATGAAAAGGTCGCAAAGTCTCCCTGGGCAAATGGCCGAAGGGATCCGAAGGTCAGCTGTTAAAACCTCAACGACGAGAACTGCCACTACACAGAAGTCGAAGAAACGCAATGGGCAGAGGGATAGCGGGAGGGGGGCGGGGTTGACGCTGACTAGAGGTAGAAACAACGCTGCTGGTAAAGGTGTGCTGGGGCGGCAGGGAGAAGAAATGTCATTTCAATAGTGCACGTTGGGTGTTGGCGGAAAAACGGCTTTGCCAACAGTGAAACCCCCTTTCGAACGTTGATAGGGAGACAGCACTTATGAGAAATGTGGAGCACCGCAATTCGCAAAAGCGTCTTGTGATCACTTTAATACACAGTTTGGCTTCCGTTGCTCTTCAACGATCTGTAAAAGCTCAAGGAAAAGTGACGTCTCTGATGTTGCAAAGCAACGCGAACAACCATGGGCTGACACAATGAGGTCGCAGAATCAAAAGCTCTACTCGTGAACTGTCTGAGTTTTCCGTTCGCTTTTCTTCGAATATGCTGGACATTCTAGCAACACGGAAAGCAAAGTGAGGTCTTCGAATTCGGTTTCGTGCGTTAAATCACTGTCTTACTTCCGAATGAACTGTATCCACACACCATCTTTTTTATGTGAAATTCCTTGCGTACATATTGGTCCCACCCCGGTTTCGTTGTGCTTTTGGGGCTCACGGACCAAATACTTACGTGTTTTCTATGACATCATGCTTAAATTGTTTTTCGTGTTACATCAAAGGCAAAGCGTTCCATGAAAACGGAATAATGTACATTTGTAGATGCTTCTTCGGGAGATAAATGCTTTTTTTGAGAATGCCGACCAGTCGTCAACGCGCAGAACGCAGATGGTTGGAGCGCTGTCGCCAGCCGCGCGGCACGAAATTCTCATCACTTCTGGTTTGCAATTTGGCGAAATTCGGGTTTTCATCGACCCAAAAGGCATCGCAATCACCGTCACCGCAGAATGCTCTGTTCCACTCATTGGCTGGTGGAATTATGAAGGAGATGTGACCATCACCAGCAGCGGCGCCTCAATAACTGCATGTGAATTGATTTCCGTTGTGAAGCGCAGTTGGTCACACAGCAGAATTTGTCGGGTCGAGCTGAAACATCAAGACGAAGTTGAGGTGAAAGTGCAAGAAAAGATTCTGCATTCTTTGAGCATTCTTCGTCACGATTTGGTGGACCTCCGTCTAGAAAACTTTTATTTGAGCGCCAACGACGCACTTCCGGCCTTCAATCAACTTCGTAGTATTTTCCTCACCGGATTTAGCGGTCCTGTCCAGTCGTGGAGTGAAGCGCTCAACAGTTCAGCGGAGCGAGTCGAGATATGTGACACCACCGCTTTTACCACTGAGTCTTTTTCGTACTTAGAGGACAACACGTTGTACCGCCTGATTCTGGATAACACAAACGTTGCGGTTTCAAATTTGGATCAGCTCAAATGCGCTCGAGCGCTGGAGACATTGAGCCTGATAGACTGCCGAAAAATCAACAGTTTTGATGCCGCTTCTTTCCCAGAGCTACGAGTTCTCTTGCTAGGCCGCACACCAATTTCCAGCGACACCATGACAGGGATTGAGACTTGCAGGCATCTTAAGCTCATCAATCTTGGGGGTTGCCGGGAAATAACCGACATCAACGTCTTGGGGAAGCTCAAGGAAATACGTGAGATTTTTGTGCACGAAACAAATGTCACAAATGACGGTATAGTAGGGTTAACTGGGTGCGAAAACCTCGAGAAATTGAACTTGGGTGGCTGCAGGCACATCTCAGATGTTAATCATCTGGGTTGCCTCACTGCCCTCAAGGAGTTGCATCTCTGGAGCACTAAGGTGTCGAACCAAGGCATACATGGCTTATGCCATTGCTCTTCGCTGACTGAACTTGTCCTGGACGATTGCACTCGTATCACAGATGTTACATCGTTGGGTTGGTTGCCATCGCTGCGATGGTTGTCGCTTCTCGGCACTGAAGTGAACAGCGATGGTATTAAAGAATTAATTCACTGTCGCAACATAGAGACGCTCGCCTTGGCCGGAACTCGAGTCGATAGGCCGCCGAAGCTTTGGCGACATGAAGCGATAATGGAATACCTCTCGAAGTTTCAATGAACTTTTCGCATCGAATCAAGTGGGCGAACAAACAGCGAATAAACAGCCAACCAAACGGCGATCCGTTTGTGCTCACTCTATCTTTTCCTTCTTTTACACCTGTGTGAGGCACAGCGTTTCATTGAAGTAGACATTGGTGTTCCTCTTTTTTGCTTTTTGCCGTCTTAAACATCCATAGCACCTTACAATGCGGTGTCGTTTGAAACAAAGAGAACAGTCATGATAGACGGCTTTCCGAAACTTCTTGGATTCTGATGTCTTGCATCCTAACGTCGTTGTTGAAATGATAACGAGATTAAGGTCGGTTAATTAACTGTCAGAGGTTAGTGCCTTTTTTTTTCCGGGACTTGCTTTGTATTATCTCTTTGCTAGTTTTGTTGTGTTCACCACTTTCTTTTTCGCTGCATCTGTACCTTCGTAATCACTTCGGTAAACTTAATCACTCATGAAGAGCGCATGTCTAGTAAAGCCGCTAGAAAAGGTTTCTACATTCTTGTTTTGCCTTCAACTTCTATCTCACGATAGTGTTAACATTCACGTCAGCATACCAAAAGAAGTTTATCGTAGGCTTCTCCACTTTCAGAATTGTTTTTTTTTATTGCCCTCTTGTGTAGCTTTGTTTGCGAAGTTTTCAGTGCGACTAATTAGATAAAAAGCACCCCACTTTTACCCCTCAAGTATTCAGTCCCCACGATTCCCTTAAACGATCCTGGGTTTCCAGTTTCCCCTTTCCGGTGTTGTTCGCATAGCTTCCGTAGTTCCATTTACAAACGGAACCACAAAGAGTTCGCCTAAAATGGGCAATTACCTATCGCTGTGCCCGGAGCCTGTTCAAGGGCTCATCAACTCTTATGGCATTGGATCAAGCTCCAACTCACATCCTTCTGGCGTTGCTATTAAAGGGATCGATTACTCCGCGGTAAAGCTTGTCGGCGAAGGTGGGTACGCTTTTGTTTACGAGGGATACAATAACGTAACAGGCCAGCGTGTTGCCCTGAAGCGCTATGTATTCTCTGAGATGAATCAGCAGCAAAATGTTGTAGAAGAGATGACAATCTACCGCGACGTGTGCCCTCATGACTACATCGTCACATACCTTGATTCCGAAATGCTTTACCGTCCAGGTTTTCCGTTGCCTGAGATGTGGGTTGTGATGGAATTCTGCGACGGTCCGTCGCTACAGGAATACATAAACAATCGTTTGCAGTCATCTCAAGCGTTCTCGCTTCGCGAGGTGTACGAAATAGTAGACAACATCGTTCACGCAATTGGCCACCTGCACTTTCAATCACCACCTGTCTCTCATTGGGACATCAAGCCAGACAACTTCTTATTCACTGAGACCGGGAGACTGAAGTTGTGCGACTTTGGAAGCGCCACGCGGCAGTTCTACGCACCGAAGTCTGCGGAAGAGATTGCAGTTACTGAGACGGAGCTTGGGGAAAAGATGACGCTACTGTATCGTCCTCCTGAGTCCCTTGACTTATGGTCGAAGGACCGTGTTGATACAAAGGCTGATATTTGGGCACTTGGAGTCATCATTTACGTTCTTGTGTTGCGCGAAATGCCCTTCGAGGACAACCCTATGGACGTGATGACGGCTGTCCCCAAGCTGTATAAAAAAGGTGAAGATTGCTGTCCTGAGGAATTTAAGCCTCTTATGGAGCTTGTGCGCTCAAAAATGCTTACCAAGAAACCCACCGATCGGTTGGACATTTTTAGCATTTCTGAGGAGCTAGAAAAAATTTCGGAGCTGCCGGCGCTTTCCCGTCCACGGCCAGGTTTTCAAAGCGCACAACGCCCTCGTTTCTCCTAAAATAAAAGAATAGTAGCTATTCATGGCGAAGAAAAACGACACTTGGCTGTTTTTTTGTTGTGCTGTTTTTTTTTTTTTACTGCCTTCTGTTTTGGTGAGTCTTCGCAGTGTGTTTCTTATTTTTCATCCTTGCTTACATTTGATTGTCTTTCCCTTCATGTCTGCATTTCCATTAAAAAAAGGATATCAAAAGCTCTTGAAGTGAACATTTATAGGAAAGCATGGACTATGAAATGACATATTCTACCGACCACTGCTGTTTCTTCCTCTTTCGACAAATATACCTTGCCTCTTTTTTGCCATGGAGCAGCCATTGTGCGAATATGAGCCTTGCATGTCAGTCTCTAGAATAACACAATGCAATCTTTTGAATATTTGGGTCCTATGCGTGATCGTTCTCCACTTCTCTGTTTCATATTTCTGCTGTCCTTCTCCTTTTCTCGTATCTATTATTTTTTTCACGAAAGTGCTGTTTTATATGTCTTTGATTAGTGCTGATATCAAAATGTTGCCTGTCAACTTGAAAGTTATCGAGGATGACACGGCGAACGACTCGCGCGATCTGTTGTCAGAGGTATTGGAGAAGAACAGCGACTTTCGACGTTTCACGCAGCGCATGAAGGGAATGGCGCGAGTTTTTGCTATCAAGTCGAAAAAGGACTCTACCGTTCGCCTAGTGTCCCCATCACGTGATGATGACGAGCAAAACGAAGAATTGGATAGAGAGTGGCTTGAGTGCTGCTTGAGGGAGTATTTGGAGAGAAAGAGACTCTTTGGCAATAGATTTAAGAGCCGCAAGCAACTTGTTCTCCGAATAGTGACTCTCCTCGTACCGTTTCTTGCGGTGTTATGGTCCATTTGGCCTCTCTGGCGCGTTTTGATCGATGTGGAAACAGACGCGTACTACAAGGCGTTGGGAGTCCCTTCCACTGCGACGTCAAGCGAGATCACGAGGGCATACCGTAACATGATGAAAAAGTGGCACCCGGATCACAACCCTAATTGCGGGCAGTATTGTCGCGACGAAACCGAACGCATAAAGGATGCCTACAACATGCTACTTTCGCGCGGCGACCATCAATTTACGCTTGCAAACCAATATCACGAAGGGTTGATGACTTTGCGATCAGCGCTTTCATTCCGTGGATTTCAAATATCAAGCAGGGCGGCTATGGGCGTTTTTATGGCTCTCTCTCGTATGTTTCCCACGAAAGCAAAGAACAGCAGTACACTGCGACTGGGCTGCAACATGTTGATTCTGCTTTTCTGCACTGTTCACGAGACGCTATACGTGAGCGGGTTCAATATCGCCACCATCATCAGTCTCTTTTACTACTGTATATCCATGGCGAAGACCTCTGCGCAGCAGCGTTCGATGGAAGAGGTGACGGGGAACTCTTATTTTGATGTTCTCCGCGATGCGACGGTACTGCTGGGGTGCGCTGGAGTTGCAAGCATGGCACTGTTCCTCACCGAGCACCCCACAGTGTCAACGGAGGAGATTTTTCGCATGTTGTACGGCGGTGTGTACGTGATGTCGTTTCTGTACAAGTTCGCGCCCAACATTTACGATAATTTCCTCATGCGCAAGTATTCACTCCCGCTCACATACTTGGATATGGGGAGCGTTAGGTTTACCTGGACGAATTTTGCGTTGAGTGAACTGAGTTTCGCGGTGGACGACCTGTTTGTTTTTACGTGCAGAATTCCTGGCCCGTACCGTGTGCTAGTGTACATTGCTCATTTCGTGTGTCTTTGTCAGCTTTTTCTGCTTCCGTGGGACGCACCCATCACATCGGTGAAGAAGAGCGCAAAAACGAGCGCTCCTCGCGCCAAAGAAGCCGGACCAACTGCCCTTGCTGCGAGCAAAAGCGCAATGGATTCTGTCGCTGAGCAAGCTGACAACACCGAAAACGTAATTAACCCGACGATTTGCGAGTCTCCGCTAACGAAAGAGGAAGAGGGAGTTGTGACCGACCTCGATAGCGAAGAAGTCACCTGGCTGGACATTGCGTCTCTCAAGTACAAAACCCTCGTCATGACGTTAGGCCGAAAATACAGTCGACAGCGCGGACAAAACGCGGATGCAGTTGATATTGCTGCAAGTGCTGATCTGCAGCACGTGTGTATATTTGCCTTTGGCCGTGCCTCCGGCGCAGGTGCAGGAGCGACCCAACCGAAAATAAACGTGTTGTGCCAGGTACGTGATCCAGACGTCAGCCGTCTCATCGCACAGGACCGAGGGCCGCGGGTGTTGACACCGCCGCGATCAAACACTCCGTGGAACCTGGACATGGCGCGGGCCGAATACAGGAAGATGTTAGGTGTGTCAGCTCCGCTCACAAACTCGCAAATATGGCGCAAACGAACGGCGAAGAAAGCGTTGCAGGCTTGGCAGGCGGTGCTTGTGATGGCACTTGTTTGTTGTGTGACGGGTGTCATTTGCGTACTGCTTGGGCCGACTGCTTTCGATGTTGTCCGCAGCACAAAGGGGGTTGACAGCTCTTTGCGCCCACAGCTCTTTAGCCGCTTCTCAGGAGTACTTCCCGCAGAACACTTCACCAATGCGTTGTCGGGCGGCCTCCTCACAGCGGCGAACTTAACGCTTTGCGTGCTGGACTGGTGGGATGCCGGCGCCACGCTGGGATTCATTCGTTAGCTATTATTGAAGAGAGAATGAGGCGTTCATTGAAATATTCGTTTAACGAAAGGAAAGAGATCCACGACTGTTCTTCTTTTTTCGTTTTTCTCCCATGAGGCTACAAAAATTGTGGCGGTACATGCTTACCCTCTTTATCCCGTGTTTGTGGTGACAAGTCAAGCTTTGGTAACGTAAAAAGTAGCTCAGAAAACAGACAAACAAAGGTGCTCTCCACTTCGGTATTTCGCCTCAACGACGCAACATTTAAGCCTCCGCTCTAGATCCTCTTCGCTAAAAAATGTAAAGTGTTTGGGTTGCTTTCCATAAAAAATATATTCTCGGCCTACATAATACGCACTCTCTCATTGACACACTTTTGTTAACCCTCTCATTGCTGCGTTACTGCGATTTCTTTTTCAACATTGTTTTTCCACACGTACTTTGAATAATAATAAATACGGTAGAAAAGATCATACGTAACGTACGCGGAAGGTTGAATCGTTCCACCGTGATAGAGCTCGTCTCTTTTTTTTTATTTCTGGAAAACGCCGCACCACACATTGAATGCAATGGTGGCTACCGAGACACCTACGCGGCGTGGGGAGGAGAACGCAAACCGCGGTGGTGGCGGATGGTCTTTCGCGTCCAACGCGGTGTTCTACATCATGATTTCACTGCTTATTTCTAACTTTATGTTCTCTAAGCCGCCAGTCGATTCGACATCGCGCACGACGGAGGACATGCGAGGTGCATCTCCTGTATCGTCCCTCGCAGGACCGTTGCGACCGTTGGCGCGAGACCGGGAACCATTCAGCATTGTTGTCGAAACGGAGCCACCGCTGTTTGAACCGATTGAATACGGCAACCTTCTTTTCAACCACGAAGCTCTAGCTGCTGCCCAGCTCAACACGACTGTTCCGGTGGACCTCAGCGCTTGCTTTGCCGTTAACTGCTCGGTAACGCTGAAGGTTACATGGATACTTCGCCACGTAGCCTTTTCTGCCACATCACCGCTCATCCGCTTTTTTCACGACAAGACAGTGCACAAAAAGTATCTCTTTGGAGACAAGAGCCACAATGAGCCGAGTAGGAGTGGCGAAGGGGAAAGCGACGCCGTCGTCAAGGGCTACTTCCAACCAGACGTTACCTTGAGCCCTGTTGTGTTCTTCGATAGCCCTCTGCCCGACGCATACCTCGACTTCACGCCGGTCGTGGACTCGATGAAGGGCAGGTATGGTCCTGCGCTGTACATTAACAATTTCTGGGTTCTGCGTGAGCATTATGCGGAGCTGAACGCAAGCAGTGCTGCGCAGTCATTCAACTTCACCGTGCAGGTGGTGCCGCTTCCGCTGTGGAAGGTGCTGCTGTACACGCAGTTCGAAAAATCAATGGCGTCGCAGGTGAGTATTGGCTTCTCGAGGCACTCAGAGGCCGAGGAGACGAAACGGATGCTGTGGGAGGTGAGCACGAAGAACCCCTACCTTCTTGCCGTGACTGCCATCGTCACGCTTCTGCACACCGTCTTTGAGTTCTTGGCCTTCTCGAATGATGTGAAGTTTTGGAGGGGCAAGAAAGACTTTCGCGGGCTTTCTGTGCGGAGTATCGTGATCAGCTGCTATTTCCAAACAATCATATTTCTCTACCTCCTCGACAGTAACGAAACATCGTGGGCCGTACTCGTGCCTTCGGGTTTGGGGGCACTTATGGAGTACTGGAAGCTGGCCAAGACGATGAAGGTCACCAAAGTGGAGGCGCAGGGCGACGCTTCTCAGGAGCAGACGTCGAGCACGGCACACCGAAAGCCGAAAGGTTTGACCATAGCGGGGTACGTTGTCGGCTTCAACGACTCGTACGACTCCAAGACACAGAAGCACGACGATGTCGCGGTGCGGTACTTGATTTACGCCATGATACCACTCCTGGCCGGCAATGCTGTGTACTCCGCCCTCTACAAGACGCATCGCAACTGGTACTCCTTCATCGTCTCCACTCAAGTCCACTTCATCTACAGCTTCGGATTTGCCCAGATGACGCCCCAGATTTTTATCAACTACAAGATGAAGAGTGTTGGTCAGCTGCCCTGGCGCACGTTCATCTACAAGTCCCTCAACACCGTTATTGACGACTTGTTCGCCTTTGTCATCAAAATGCCGTGGCTGCATCGCCTTGCGTGTTTTCAGGACGATGTCGTCTTTGCCATCTTGCTCTATCAGCGCTGGATCTACCCCGTTGATATGACTCGTTTCGACGGCGAAAGCGGGGGGGACAACGATGGGGGGAGGGGGGAGGAGGGAGAGAAGACGGAGAAGGTCGAGGCTGCGGAGCGTAAAGCGATAACTGCAGAGAAGACCAAGAAGGATCAGTAGCGCCCCTACTGACGTGCTTCGCAGCAGTAGTTTTTTTTTTTGGTGACAGCTGTGCTGTTTCATTTCTTTTTCTCTTGTGAGGTCAAGAAGAAGATGAGTCGACGGCTCTTTCTGGCTCAGTTTAGTTCGCGCGACCGCAGTGCTTCACGCGACGCATTTACGCACTCCCATCTCTATGAAGCAAAACTCCCGATAATAACGCTTAATCCAATAACATCAGCAAAGCTGTATCAATTTCAATTGCAACCATCACCACGACAACACAGTTTTTTTTTAATCGATGCAAAAACGAGCAAGGATACGACGCTCTCAGAGCTCTTTCCCCTGTTGCTCGTCTTAAACTCGCGCATCATCTCGGTGCGTACGCGTCGATATATTGCGTAGCGCGTTCACAGGCAAGCTTCTGGAAACCGTTTTTGATCAAAATCACTAAAAGCCATCGTATCATTGCTCTTCAATGCGAGGACATTGAAAAAACTTTTATCTTCGTACTTTTGCTTTACATCTCGATCATTCTTTTCTTCTTTGTGTTTTTCTTTTTTCCACACACATACACAGAAATGTATATATTGTATTCTCCTGGAAACGATGCAAAGCGACCAGGTGCGCTAAGTGAAAGCTCCATGCGCAAAACGCTGAAACATCTCATTGTCTTACTTTTCTTAAATTGTAGTTCATAGAACGCTGGAAGAACTCCCATTTTTCTTCGTTGCGTGCTCTTGGTGTCCTTCTTTCTTTCTAGTCCAGTTAGCCCAACCGCCTCGCAGCCTGTCTGCCTGGTAATTTGGTCTTTCTCTTTGAATAGCATTATAAAGATTGCCCAAGAAGCCTTATCGATGTGCTTGTGCGCCAAAACATGAGTCAAGGCCGACAAAAACAAAGCCACTGGGGTGAGGTCCTTGAAGAAGTGATCGCGCAGCAGACCTTAGTTGAATCGATTTTGCACCCGGGAAAAAAAAGTTCCGGAGGCCGCACGTCTCTTTCGTTGACCACCTCATCTTATTCCCCACAACGACATACTGACATGATGACACCGCAGCGTGAACGATCTTCGATGCGTGCAGCGTCTGGTGGTCAGCTCGCGCTGCTGTCGCCGAGTTTAGACGCTACCGGTGGCGAGGCGAGGTCTGCAGTCTCGCACTCTGGCAATCTAGCTGACGCAGACCGAGATGCGCCAAAGGACATGGCTGATGGCCACCGTGGTGGATCAGCCGCGGAGAACGGGTCGAAGGTAGTTGAGGCACTCATGGAAGCCTTGTCCACTTCTTCGTGGTCCAGCGACAGCAATACCGCGTTGCCCACTGCGCCGGACGACGGCATTCCTGTGCCACAGTTGCAACCAGCGCGTGTGGCGCCGCTTGATCGTATCACAACTCACGCACCTCCCCCGGATTATGAGGGCGAGGTTTCCGACATGACCACTGCGCAGAGCGGCGCGCTGCAAGCCGTGGCGCTCTACGTGAGGGCCACGCAAATAGTGGCACGCGAGTTTGCAGTACGACAACAGATCATGTTCAATGAATTTACTGCTGTGACGGAGCTCATTTCGCTCTTTGTATGTCGTATGTCCCAGAATTTCATGAGAAGCTGACTTTGGGAGTAGCGGCAGGTTTCTGCGTGAACCGAGGCAGTTGAATGGACGGGATATGCCATTTATATATGCGCGCCTGCGTAATGCCCCTTTTCGTTAATCTTACTGCAGCGTTGGCGCTACTACTTTTCAAAAGGAAGCAACCACAACACGAACTGATGTAATAGCTTGCGAGACGTTCATCGTTTTCTGATTGACCAATTGATAATCATTTTTCTCTAATTTAGTTGAAGGGTTTTCTAAGTTGCAAAGTCTGGGGTTGCTCCTACCCATCGCCTTAGTTGGAAAAGCGTTCAACGAAGGACGGACGTGTGAGTCCCATTGCGCTGACCTTTTTTTTTTCTTTCTCCAAGTCTGTGTCAGAGGAGAAAAGTCCTATATGTTTTTCTCTAAATGCGCTCTTCCATTTTTTTTTCACTCAAGACCCCTTGTTTCTTGTCCTACGTGCTGTTGCCTGATAAACACTCGGTTTCAACATCTTCTGTCTTCCACAGCCGCGAGAAGCAACGGGAACTCCACTTTCCTTTTCGTTGTTGCATCCTTGCTACGCTAGTTTAGCTGCCGCACCACGGCCAAGTAAAACCTCACACAATGCACGTAGAAATTCGCTTGAGCGAGGCGGAACAGGTGTGCGCCTTCGACACGCAAAGCTTCTATCGAGTGAAGCAGCTTTTAGCCAACCATGGTGGCTCCACCGGCGGAGAGGATAATTCTTCAAAGTGCACCGCTTCAGCGGAGCCGATGCTGCGCATTCCACACAAGTTAAGCTATACACCGCAGTTTAAGCTGCAGCTTGTTGTGGAGCGCTTGATTGAGCTGGAGAGCCAGGTTATCTCTGCTCGAATGTGCAAGAAACAACACGAGGCACGCACTAAGAGCAATTGGAACAACAGCGACGTTGGTACTGCCTATCATAGCGCAACCATTGACGAGGTCATCCTCGCAGCTCTTCCGCTAGCGGCGGCCGACAGCGTGATCAAGATACGCCTTCTGCAACTGCCACCTCCGCTCGACTACGATGCGCAGCAAACGGTGAAAAAAGCACTCGGGAACGTCACTACCAACGAGTACCGCCACGACACGCCGCTCTGTATTGGCGTGGCAAAAATCACCCTGCGTGACATGATGGCTGCGCGACGCACCGTGAGCATCGCCATGCAAGCAAAGCGCACCATTTTCAGCACCGTAGAGGCGCACAATCTGGACACGTTGGTCACAAACGCGATGTTCGGTAAAGGCGAAAGCAGCGGTAGCGCGCTCCTGTCGCTCCAGATCAACGGGTACACCTTTGGGCGAGTGCCAAAGGGTCGGCTGCTGCTATACAACGGAGCAGGGGAGGAACTGGGCCGTAATTCGACGAAAGGCTCAGAGACGCACAGCACGGGCAAGCAGAGCGTTTCCACCGCAGGCGGCGAAGACGCAAAGGCGGAGACAGAGGCGGAGTCGCTCAACTCACCGGCCATCCGCTTTGTGCTCATTCCCTACGTCGCGTTGGTGGACGTGGTGTTGCGTGTGAGCGACGTCGCGTCGTGGCGTGTGCCGCGCAAGACGGCGATGGCGCTTGCAATGGTGGTGGTCGCGTTATACGCCGACCTCTTCGATGTGGCGTGTGTGCTCATGGCGACGCTCCACGTGCTGCTGTTTATCCGCAACATTTCATTGTTTTACTGCGTGCCCATCAGCGACTCTGCGTCGCGCACGAACGCGTCGCCGGCGATGCCGAGCGGGGCAGACAACTTTCAACCCTACCTCTACAGCAGGGACAACGCACTGTTGAACAGCCTTCTGCGGGCGCGTGTGTTCTTCTCGCGTGGATTGCTGGAAGACACGTATTTCGAGCTCGCCCTCAGTGCCCACCTCGCGCGTCATTCTCGCCGGCAGATCGCCGTCTTCGTTCTTGTCGTTTGTGCCGGCTTTTTAACGCTGTCGATAGGGTCGGTGGTGGTTTTGCTCACGCTGGGCATCTTCACGGCCTATCCGATTTACCTCAACGCCCCGCCCGCGCGCCGCCGTCGCAGAAAGAAGCTTTTGAGTATCGCAACCGTGTACGGCATTGTCAGGGTGTTACGCACACCGGCGCGGCTGCGGGTGGTGCGGGTGGTGCGCGTCGCGGTGGTGCGGTCGAAGAGCGCTGTGCCGCAGCCGGAGGAGGACACGTCAGCCGCCTCTACCTCGATGGCGCTGCAGCAGCAGTTCCTCGGCTACATCCGCCAGCACTCGGAGTCCATTGGCGCAGGCTCGATCACGGAGCGGTCGGATGCCTCGCCGAGGGCACGGGAGGGGAGCACCCTGGGCATGCACCGACGCGCAAGAACGATGGACATCGACGGGCTCGTCTCCAACGCCGGCACTTTTTCGAGCACGATTGATCACTTCCAGATGACCCACGCGCTGCGCTTCTTTGTCGCCCTCTGCCTTTCACCGGCAGGCCCTGAAACTGCTGGGCCGTCGAGCTCGACCGGCATCGGGCGTAAGACGTCTAGTTGCCTGTCCTTTCAGCGCCGCATGATGGATCAGCTGCGTCAGGCGCGCACCGTCAACACCCTTGTCGCGGCCTCGTGTCCGCAAGCCGGCAGCATAGCCGTCCCCGGGTCCTGCCTCTTTCCCGCACAGTCCAGCGTCTTGATGACCGAATCGAAGCCCAGTGCCGTCTCGAAGGAAGTGCAAGACGCATTCCATGCGTACTTCAACAGCACCATCGGCTTTCTCTCCTTCCTGCGCCAGCAATCCACTGTGCATCCCTATGTGACACAGTCTGTTTTGATTAAATGCGCGCCGGACAGCATGCGAAGCGTCAGCGTGCTGGCGCCTACGCAATGCCTCGTCGACTTGGGCGATGACGATAGCGTCACCAAGGCAATTGTCGGACGCCGCGTCGCCGCTAGTGCCCTTCCCCCGGTGGGCAAGTTCAACACGAGCAACCCTATCGAAGTCACCGGGCGCGTGATGGCCCTGTACGCGGCGTATCTTTTGCAAGGCGCGCGCCTCTCCGTCTACACCTCCGCGAGCAGGTGTACAACGATTATCCCGCTGATGGCGCCAGGCAACCGCATCGAGCGCTTTACACAGCCCAATCCGTGTCCACTGGACTTGCTCAACACGCTGGACTCGGTGTGGCGCGGCGAGACGAATGACACTGCCGGGGAGGGCCAGGAGGTCTTCTTCACCGCAGACGCCGTGATTCAGATCGTCACGGTGTACAAGAACTTTTGGACTGGCGATGCGGCGATGGCTCCGGTGCGGACGTCGTCGAAGCTCGAACTGGGGGGCAACTCGGACACGGCGGCCGCCCACGTTCCGCAGCGCCACCCCATCCGCAACGTTTTCGCAGCGCTGGGGACGATGCCTCGGCATGCCTCGACACAGCGCAGTACGACCGCCTACGCGGGTCGCTCTCCAAGGGGGCTGCTGTCGCCGGGTAGGGGGGGCGGGGCCGGTGGAAGCGGCGCGAACGTGATCGGCCCGACCTTTCCACGCAGCGATTTCGGTTCGACGCGCGCGGGCCCCAACAGCCCTGGTCCGTCCCCGCTCCGGCTTCCTCCGTCGCAAACGGTGGATCGGTGGAACACGAACGTTGTGTCGGAAACGACAGGGTCGGTCGACGTCAACCACGCGAGTGTGGCGATGAGCGAGCCACCCCTGTTAGAAGCCACCAACAATGGAGAGTCGCGTGTGCACTCCTTTCTCCTAGACGACAAGGACAGCCCAGATCCCAAGCAAACCTTGTCGCGACAAGTCAGTAGCCGACTCGACATCCATGAGAAAACACTGAAACCCTCCAAAAAAGCATGAGAAAGTTGGAGCGCGTTTTACTTTTTTTTCTCCAGTTCGAAGAAACCAGCTTTCCTTCTCTCTTGTTCACCACCTGGTAATGAGAGTGCAGGTCGCAAGGTAAACGGCCTGCTGCAAATTTCGCCACGATTCGATGAAATAAAGAAAACGCACCTCTGCTTCCCAGCTCTCAACGCTTCAGGAAAGTTTGTGCTTACGCAGTCTTTTTGTACACGGCGGGGTTGTGGTAACGTGTACGTTTTTTTTTTGTCTTTGAAGTCCTTTGCAGAGCAAAATACATTTGGTGAAGGAAGGAACTCCCGACTGATAATGCTCGTTTTCACACGGTTGTTTGTTTTTTTGCGAGTGTGCGTGCTGCTTTCTATTCAGAAGCAAGTTCTTCGCCTTGCTTCTTGCTGGATCCAGCCTCTTCTTTTTCGTTTCATTTATATATATATATATTCTGCCGCGGTTTCACCTCCTGTCTACCTTCACACATATTTTTTTTTGCACGTACGCTGGTGTTGTTCCACGCAGCTTTCCTTTGCCCCTCCTTTCCTTCTCATTTTTGTTTACAACTTTCCTTCATCCATATTCTTCTACGATTCGTTTCGTTGGAAGAGGGAGTGAATAGTTTGAGATGTGTTTCTAATATCCTTTTTGGTATTTGCGATTTTTTTTTTCCAGTTTTACCCCTTCCACGATACACGGTTAAAAGTGTTCACGGCACACGGCGCACCGGAAAATGCAGTTAGTATATCTGCTTTGCAATGAAAAGGCTCCGGCGAACGGACATGCCGGAAGGAAGCTCATACATTTTGCGACAGCATGGTTCTGGCGGGCACTGCGCAAGCTCCGTTTTTGAATCGGCATTAAAAATGGTTCATTTTCCACTTCTAACCACTTTCGTTTCCTTCTGGCTTGGTAACAACACCTTTTTCCTTCTTCCCATTTAACCCGACCACATTTCCTCCGCGCTCCTCGCAATAATTCGCTCCCCCGATTCTTTTTTTCCTTTCTTGCGAAACGTGACAACGATAAGAAGAGTCTGACTTCTGCTACCGCCCTTAAATCCACCGCAGCATCAACAAAAACACCAAAAACAATAACAACCACAAAAAGCCTCTACCTACCCTATTTTCACGCCATGTTCAAGTTTGCTACCGTCCGCCTCGGGCAGCGTCTGCTCCCCCGCGCGCTCCCCCGCTTCTCCACCGGTGCTCGTCGTGTCACGGGTCTCTTCGTCGGTGTGGCGGGTGGCACTGTCGTTGGTGGCGCCACCTTCGTCTTTTGCGCTCCCTGGGGCTCGCGTGTGGAGGAGCCGCCGTTTGACATTCGTGCGCTGCGCGCAGATATCGAAAATTTAATTTCGAATAATCTGCCGCTGGGACCGTCTCTCGTGCGCCTCGCCTGGCACGAGGCAGGTTCGTACGACTGCCAAAAGAAGGATGGGTCGCCGAACTCGGCCTCGATGCGCTTCAAACCGGAGTGTTTCTACAGCGGTAACAATGGTCTCGATGTGCCGCGAAAGGCGCTCGAGCCCTTGAAGAAGAAGTACCCTCAGATTTCCTACGCAGACCTGTGGGTGCTGGCTTCGTACGTCGCCATCGAGTACATGGGCGGTCCCCAGATCCCGTTCAGCTGGGGACGCGTGGATGCGAAGGATGGGTCTGTTTGCGGGCCGGATGGCCGCCTGCCTGACGCCGCGCAGACTCAAAAGCACGTCCGCAACGTCTTCACGCGCCTCGGCTTCAACGATCAAGAAACGGTGGCGCTTATTGGTGCCCACACCTGCGGTGTATGCCATCAGGATTACTCCGGTTTTGTCGGGCCGTGGACGCATGACGCCAATGGGTTTGACAACTCCTTCTTCACGACTCTCCTCGATGAGGAGTGGGAGGTGAACCCGAACGTCGAGCAGTTGCAAATGATGGATCGCACCACGAAAAAGCTGATGATGCTGCCCAGCGACATCGCCCTCCTCTTGGATCCCAAGTATCACAAGTACGTCGAGATGTACGCGAAGGACAACGATCGTTTTAACAGCGACTTCGCGAAGGCATTTAAGAAGCTGACGGAGCTTGGAACGAAGAACCTTCACAATGCTCCGGCTCCGCAGAGAGAGTAAAAAGGGAGAAAGTAACGTGCATCTTGCAGGGATTTTTTCCCCTTTTCGCCCCTCTCTACGACTGAATAATATCTGAGGCAGACATCAATTTGTTTTCGGCTGAACATTTTATTTTATCGGTCATCTCTGGCTCTTCTTTCCACAGCCACTTACAGCTGAACCTTTGAAAAAGAGCTATGCTCTTCTCGTGCTCCTGTCTGCTGATATTTATTCCGTTCTCTCTTTTTTTTTTACACATTTCGAAGCCTTCTTTTGCTGCATCGGTTACAAATTATATCCAAAACGTTTATTTTTACTGTTACTGTAACTTTTTTCTTCTCCCTTTCAGTACACAAAAGAACGTGCGGATGCGCCTTTACTCGCATTGGCGCGATTGAGGAACGACCAGTGGTGTGTGCCGTCAAATACGCCCGCTCTTTTTTTCTTCCCCCCTGTTGGTATTCGTTGTTTTCTCTTTTCCACCAGTCATTTCTTTCCCCCTTTTTTTAACAGTTAAAAACAAAAAAGACCCGTCTCATTTCTTTGGCTTCCTCCGAAAAAAAAGAAAAAACACGGACAAACAAAAAAAATAGAACACAAACAGACTTCGTTATTGTGCGTATTTGTGTAGTGAACAAATGAAACAAGCTGCGGAGCTGTGAAATCTGATCACACTCTCCGTTAAAAACGACCAAGCACTGAGACACGAATTTTTACTTTGTGTGCGTAAACGACTTATTGAAATTACTACTTAGCTCTTTTTCCCTTGTTATTCGCTCCACTAAGCGTCTACACGTCCCGAACGTATTTACTTGATCTTTATTATTATTATAATTTTTTTTTTATCTCCCTTTCCCTCCTTACAATCTTCCTTTCTTGCAGGAAACTACACATTTTCTGTTTTGTTTGTTGGGATCAAGCTGCCGACTCGGAAAAGTGCAAAAAACCACAGACATTGGAAGCCAGAAAAGAAAACACGTTACTAGATTCGTTTTTTTTTTCTCCGATGCTTTTAATTCTTAAGTGCAGACGAAGTTTATCCCTCTCCTGTTCATTTCCCTGTGCTGAAGATGTAAACGCCAGTTTACACCTAACCTAGTTATCTTCCGCATGCACGCAGAGTGGGGTTTTCTCTTGTTTCATTTTTCCCTTTCCGGTTTGCTATTCTTACGAAGTCCCCGTCGCAAGACTGGAGGAGTTAGCACTTATTATTTGTATTCCTTTCTCCTAGTTCTAGTGCAGGCTCTATGAAAGAACCTCTTCAAAAACAACATAAAACAGAAATCAACAACAGCAAGAAAAACGAAACATCAAACATTTTCACTGTAGGCACTCAATGTCCTTCAGCTTAAAAATAAGAATTACAGCTGGATGACAAGTATAAGATACGTCAGTACCACAGTCGTTTAATGTCTTCGGAGAGCTCACAACGTTGCATGGGCTCCTTTGTATTCATTTTTCTCTTTCAGTGCAAAGATTTTTTCAGCAAAAGCACATTTTAAGTGTTCCTGCTGTTGAGCTGATGGTTGATTCCGATAGCTTAAACATCTAGAGGTTTTGTTTTTACACGCACAAAGAATACACAATGAAAACACTCGCATTAAGATGCAATTCAGCTGCTTCTCTTCTGACTGAACCGAACAACTCTCCGTTATTGCCTTGCATCTTGTGTTCTTTCTTACTCTGCTGCCCAACGAGCTTTCGTCAACACACACACACACACACACACGTGTCCCACTTTGCGACAACGCACAGGGTTGTAGCACATACGGAAAAAAAAAGTTCCTTTTCTCATTTTCGTACTCGCTTCTCTTCGTTTTATTTATTCGAGGTGCCGAACCTCTTCATCTCCCATTTTTTCTTTCTACGAACTCGTTTTACATCTTGAGCCGCAACCATGTCTGGAGAACACCCCAATCTCGACCGCGACCCCTACACCGTGGATGTGGACCACATCCTGGATAGCCTTCGCGAGCAGGTGCTTGAGAAGAAGCCGGATGATGTCTTCAAGTTTCTCTCGAAAACCGCGCTGGAGCTCCAGAAAACGGATAAGGTGGAAGTCTGCGAGCGCATCGTGCCAAAGGTAAGTGAAGAGCAGAAGGTGCGCGCGCTGACGGTGGTCGTGCTCGGCGCCAGCGGCGACCTGGCCAAGAAGAAGACGTTCCCGGCTCTCTTCCAGCTCTTCTGCGAAGGCCTTCTGCCTCCACAGATCAAGATTGTCGGTTACGCCCGCACCAAGCAGGACGACGTGGAGAAGTGGAAGCACGAGACGCTCACCAAGTACTTCACGCGACTCTCCGAGCGCGGGTGCCACGTGGAGGATTTCCTGAAGCACATCACCTACTTCACCGGCAACTACGACAAGACGGAGGACTTCGTGAAGCTGGATGAGCACATTCGCAAGCTCGAGGACGAGTTCAAGGGTGCAGAGAAGGGCGGTGACCGGCTCTTCTACCTCGCACTGCCCCCCAGCGCATTCGCCGTTGCGTGCAAGAGCATCCGCGAAGGGGCGATGCCGCAACACGGCTGGATTCGCGTGATTATCGAGAAGCCGTTCGGCCACGACTCCGAAAGCTCTGCCGTGCTGTCCAAGGCGATTGAGCCTTACTTTGATGAGTCGCAGGTCTACCGCATCGACCACTACCTGGGTAAGGAAATGGTGCAAAACATCATCACGACGCGCTTTGCGAACCGCATTTTCAGCTCCATCTGGAACTCGAGCAACATCGCGTGTGTGCAGATCACGTTCAAGGAGACGATCGGCACGGAGGGCCGCGGGGGCTACTTCGACAGCATCGGCATCATTCGCGACGTCATGCAGAATCACCTGACGCAGATCCTTGCTTTGCTGGCGATGGAGAAGCCGAACTCGCTCGATGCGGAGCGCATCCGTGATGAGAAGGTGGCGGTGCTGAAGTGCATTGACCCCATCGCAAAGGAGGACTGCGTGCTTGGCCAGTACACCGCCTCTGCGGACGGGTCGATGCCCGGATACCTGGAGGACAAGACCGTGCCGAAGGGCAGCACTTGCCCCACCTTTGCCGTGGTGAGGCTGCACATCAACAACGACCGCTGGGCCGGCGTGCCTTTCATTCTCAAGGCCGGTAAGGCCCTGGAGCAGAAGTATGTCGCCATTCGCATTCAGTTTAAGGATGAGATTCGCCCCTACGGCGACGCCGCGCAGCGTAACGAGCTCGTCATCCGTGCCCAGCCGTCGGAGGCGATGTACATGAAGATCACATCTAAGGTGCCCGGCCTGAACGAGGACCTCCGAAAGACACACCAGACCGAGCTCGACCTTACCTACCACTCCCGCTTCTCCGTGCACCTCCCCGAGGCGTACGAGAGCCTCATCAACGACGCCCTTCGTGGCAACTCTACCAACTTCGTGCGCAAGGACGAGCTCGATGTGGCGTGGCATATCTTCACCCCGCTTCTGCACCAGATCGACCGCGGCGAGCTGAAGCCGATCTTGTACCAGGCCGGCACGCGTGGCCCGAAGGAGGCGGACGACTTCATCATCAACAGCGGCTTCAAGTTCCAGAAGGGCTACCACTGGCTTCCCCCGAACAAGTTGTAAGCTCATTACAACGGATCTCTGGTGCGCTATGAGGCCCAAACGGACACATGAACCGTGGGGTAGGCGAGGAAAAACAAAAGTGAAGCGATATTGCAGCACTGTCACAACGTACCCTTGCGTGCTTGCCTGACACACGTCTTTTGCTCCACGTCAGGATCGACACGCATGGGGCGCCCGGCTTTTATCATTTTCAACTGACCCGACTTTTTTCCTCCGTTGATATTTGTGCATACAGCACAGAAGTGAAAGAGGCGTTCGACGGCGTGCTGCATGTCTTTTTTTCCCTTCTTCATCATTTTTTATTCTCTCCTCCGGACATGTAAAATGAGCGGGCATAAATTCATTTTGGAGGGTGGAAGACCGCGGTGAAGGGAAAGCCAACAAAGAGGGAGCTGCCAACAACAAAAAGGAGGGAAGAGCCTTTCATGCATCAAGGGTTGAGCTGGATCGAGCAGTGACATATGTGTTACGCTGAAACACTGTCAACCATCATTAGTACTATTGCTATTTTCTGGCTCCTTCTTCTTTTTTTTTTTTTTGCGGAGCTCTCGTTGTGATACATCTTTCTCTCCCTTCATTTTTCAGTGTCAACGTTCAACGAATGTGGTTTTCAAAAGCACGCGGAGAAGCGCAATATTCATTCACACCTTTGCGCCTCCGTGTACTCGCTGTTTTCCCTCCGCTTCTGTTACTTTCGCGTGCAAACACGTCACAAAAAAAATAATCGAGAGCCAGCGACGCCGTTTTCTCTTTACCGTTACGAGAACATTCTTTTATTATCTTATTCGAGTTTCACTTGCTTCCAACTCCTTCAAAACCCACATCGCCAACCAACACTTGTGTGCGTGTGAAGGGAATGCGCCCAGTGAAGGTTTCATGCAACGAGCGTAGAAAGGTACCCCCCTTTTTCTCTTCCTATTATTATTCGCCGAAGACGCCACGTCTGGCAGCAATGTCCTCCCTCCCGATAAACTTTTTACAGCCAGGGACAAGAGCCCGCCGGTCACGTTGCCGCGCATGTGCCACACACACTCTTTCTCTTTTTCCGGACCACAGCTGTACTGGCGCGTTCTTCTGTATTTTATTTTTTTCCCATATATCTTTTTTTTTATTTCTGGTCTTCTTTGATTATATGACTTGTTTTCCCTTTTGTCGGTTCCTCTCGTTTGTGTTCATGCACTACTGACGAATATGCCTCTATGGAAGCGATGAGAGGGGGAGGATGAAAGAGAAGCAGAAGACAACACCTCCGGCATTTAATGAGGTATCGACAACACATTATGGGCGACTTTCAACGCGTGGTATACGCATATTTCCTTTTGACGCGAAAAGGACGGATGCGCATTTGTAAGACGTCACTGGGAAAGTACCTCGCGTAGCAGAAGCATGAGAAAAATGATTTGTTCTCATAGCATTCTCTCTGGTCAACCAATTCCACCGCTTCGTCGTTGTTCATTCTGTATCTGAACTTCATCCCTTTTCCAAACCCTCTTTTTCTTTTTTTCTTTGTTTCATCAAACCTTGCCTTCTTGCCTTCTTTCTTTCTTCTTTTAAAGGATTGCCATTCACTCTTCATTATTTTCTTCCCTTTTACCGCACGACATCATGGTTGGCGCGGGTGGCTCTTGTTCGACACATGAAAGTGCCAGAGAGGACGCAGATGGCGAGAACCGCGTCCCTCTCCCCTCACACGAGCCGTACAACGCGGAGGGAGAAGGCAACAGACTGGAAAGCAGTCCTTCTCCCAGCGACGTCCATGCTGAGGTGCAAGTGCAGCAAGACCCAAAGGAGGAAGTGGTGGAGCGCACACACGAAAATCCCTTCCTTGCGTACCTCCGCCGACTGAAGGGCGCCGGCCAGCCGGGGCCCGCATTCTGGAACCCCACCTGGGACGGCATCCCCGCCTTCCTCTTCACCGCCATCACTCTGGAGGTGCTCGCCGTTATCGAGGCGTTCGGCTTGCAGCCCTACGACAAAGGTCTCCTTTCGTATCTCCCGTCGTTTGGCGCCTCTTGTTGTATGGTGTTTTGCCTCCTCACGTCCCCCGGTGCCCAACCGCGCGCGATCGTTTTCACACACATCATCGGCGCCTTCTTCGGTGTATCGTGGGCCCACATTACCAATAACCTGCCCAAGCCTCTCAGTCAGCAAATCGCGTGCGCGTTTGCCGTGGGTATTATGACGGCTCTCATGATGCTGTTTGGCGCGTTGCAGCCGTCGGCGTCCGCCACAACTTGTCTCGCCGCTTTTCACCTTTACGGTCAGATGAAAGACCAGGGTTTCATGTTTATGGTGGCGCCGGCAACGGTAGGTCCTCTTGTCATTGTATTCCTCGGTGTCCTCTTCAACAACATTATTCCCTGGAGACATTGCTATCCCGTGTGGTGGTAGCAGACACACGCACGCACACAGTCAGTCAAAAAAACAAAAAAGCAAAATGCTGGATGCGGCTGCGGAGTAACTGTGAGAAGGACATCCACCTCGTAGCAGTTCCACTTTAAAGAAGAAAAAGTCGACTTCATAAAAGAAAATGGAAAGGAAAAAAAACCAGTGGTAGTACTTCATGTGTTGTTCGCTCTTTGCTTTGTTGTCGCTGTTGTGTTTCTCTACTCTTTGGGGTCTCGCTTGCCATCGCCGTTGACCATTATGAGTATTATTGTTGTTTCTGTTTTCCTCCTGTCGAGAGGATCTCGCATTTCGCTGTTCCTTTCCTTCTGTGTTTCGGGTCTTCTGTTTTTTTTCTGTGTGTTCAGCGCTGATCTTGGATGAGAGGCGTTTTTGCGGTAGGGTACATTTGGTCAACGTCTACGTGACACTTCTGGTTTCTGTTTTCGTCGACAGTTCTTGCCATCCTTTAGTACTTTTATTTAATTGAAAGCCCCGCTATATATAAAAGGGATCATCAAAAAGAAAAATAGAATAAAAAAACGTAAAGCCACAAAACAGTTTTCACGGCAGCTCCACGCGTTTTAGACGAGGTGCCGATGGGAAAAAGAAGGGTGTGCCTTCTCCGAACAATTATTGCAGCTATTTTTCCCCACCACTGTGCGATCCACCTGCGCGGGGGATCCCCTGCTCTATCTTAGTCGTATTCCGCGTATGGTGCGAATGCGTAACTATTTTTTTTCCTGCTGACAACATTTTGAAGTCGATGAAGCTGTTCCTTCCCACATAGTGCAGCACGTTGTTATTGTTGTTAAAGTAATAAATCTAAGACGAGGGCGTCTGTGCGTGTACTTCTTTTCTTCCCTTTTCTTGTTGTTACTTTTTTCATTTAAATAGTTTTAGCAGCTCGCGCTTCTCCGCGTGCGACGTTCGTCTCATGGTGCATCAAGCCTGCTTCTTTGAAATTGATCGATACACGGAGGACAGCCTTTCACTCCCTCGCCGCCTTGCAACATTCAACGCGAATTAGAAGAATGATAGAAGGTTTTGTTCTGCTGAAGTCTTTGCACGCATCATCACGCATGATGTGCGCTGGCTTTCCAACGCTGTGTGTGACCCCATGCGTAACTTAAAAAATGCAACGAGAGAGTCATCTCTTTCACTTCTTCCTATTTCTCTTCTTCCTTCTATTTTTGTTTTATGATGCCCTGACACTCGTGCTTAATTGATCGAGGTAAACAGCGGTAACTTACAGGTCGTTGTCTTGTTAACAATTTCTTTTTTTTTTTCGTTGGCTTCGCACCGCGTATAACGGCTGGCACACACGCTCTGCTGCTGCTGTGGCAAGTTTACGCCTACGTTAACGTGCTGTAATCTTTCAGCACATCAACATATATATATCTACAAATAACAGTTGTATCTGTGTTCATGGCAAAGTAGCTGGGTAGCTTTCCATGATGCCGACTCCCTTTCAACCGAACGAGGACGAGGGTGAACTGCTGGGGAGAAATGGGCGCGGCGACGCCTTTGTCGCCATGGCACCGCTCCAAGTCGAATCTCGCCTTTTCGCCGGGCAAGGCGGCATGGAGCTCTCGGCGTCGGAGCTGTCGAACCGCCCGCTGCGTGAGCTGAGCGCCAGTGAGCTGTCATCGAGCCTAGCACACGAGCCCTTCATTCGTTTAGACAGCGACCAGGATCTCGCGGTATCCGAGGGTAGCACGCCGGCGCCGGTGCCAGAGCCGGCGCCGGAAGGCAAAAAGGAAGTCAAACCACCACACGGGTGGCCGTCAATATCGCGTTTCCCGCGGTGGTACTGGAGCCGCGTCCTCGGCTTCGATCAGTCGGTAGACGTGTACGGGTTTTATCCTTCCTGGGACCAGCTCATTGCGTTTGTCTTCACTGCCCTCACGTTGATGGTAATGGGCCTCATTGAGCACTACGGCATCCATCCTCTCCTTAACCACACTCTGACGGTCTTCCTCCCTGCCTTTGGCGCGTCCTGCACAGTGGTGTTTGCGGTGCCCAAGGCACCCATCGCCCAGCCGCGCAACGTCATCATTTCGCACGTCTCCGCCGCGATCATCGGCACTGCCTTGACGAACGCGTTCCGCTCCGTGAAGGAGCAACCCTTTGGTCAGCACTCTGCTGGAGCCATCGGCGTTGCCTTGCATCTCGTGTTCATGATGTTCACCAACACGATGCACCCTCCCGCCAGCGCCACCGTCATCTCCGCCGCGACGGCGACCATCAACGCCTATTACAAGGACGAAGGGTTTTTGTTTGTCATCGCACCCGTCCTCTTCGGGTCCGTCCTGACAACGGTGTTCTCGTGGTTGCTGAACAACTTGGTGCCTTCGCGATCGCCGTACCCACAGTATTGGTAGGCTGCCTACCTCACCCACTCATACAAACATGAAAACACTTGACACCTCAGCGGCAGCAGGTGCACTCGCGCTCATGTCAATAGAATAATATGCTTGTGCATCTGCCGAGACTGAGCTGTGTGTTGGGTGCAAAACAACACTGTCGGAATCACAAAATCTTAACTACAATACAGTCCTTTTTGGGGCGGTCACGTTCAGCGTGACCGTTGTAATTAACACACAAAACCCCCCCAAAAAATTAAATGATGCGTTCTGTGTAACTGCAACGATGCGTGTTGTTCTGCTAATGATTCCCTCCTCGCGCGGGTGCGATGACAACGAAGGGTATGTTGGCCAACTTACGCTTTCTACAAACTCTCAAGAAGAAGAAGAAAGTCAACCGACTGCCACGTGGAAGCTGCGCAATGGTGTTCTGCTGCCTCGAAGGATTTCTCATACACATATGTAATACTCACAACACGCACCGTTATGCCAACGATGGCATACTCATTTGAAGAAAACTAAAAATGGTTTCTTTTTTTTTTTCTTTTAATAGCACAAGTCACCGACACGCTCGAGCTATGCCGGCGCGAGTGGCTCTACAAAAGCAAGATTCCAATGGCCATCGTTTCCTCTCCCTTTTTCCCTCTCCACTCTCACTCTTTAACGGGAAAAGTCGCATCTGTGTTGGTGAGAATTTGTGGAGAAACAAACCTTGTGCCAAGTATTTATCGGTTGCGCTTTCAGCGGCAGGGGTGAGTATATATATCAAATCAAACAAACAGGAAAAACAAAACCTTTTTGGAAGCGTCGTTTTGCACGCCGTACACATATTCGAATCACATCCACACACGCACACGCGACTCAGCACAACCGACGAAACAGAATGTCAAGTTTAGATATCTCCACCATCCCACCGTTGCAGGTGTTTTCACGGCTGAGCGCACACGTGTTTGGCGGCGCCACTCCGCGTCCCACGCCCGAAGCGCTGCGGCTTCTCGGAGAGTATCTGCAGTCGCAAAGCTGTAATCTGGGTGAGGTGGAGGTGCTACGGCAATGGGATCAGCAAAACAGAGGCGACGACGCTTCTCTGAAAGACATCGGCGTGGACCTGGAGGCAGTACAGCACACCGTCTCGTCTCGAGCAGCGGCGGTGCGTGCGGTGTTGGCAGAGAATAAAGAAAAGATCTCCGTCATTGCCAGCACCGCGTCCGCTGGGGGTGTTGGGGGCCGAGGCAGGGCCGCCGTCGCGGAAGGCAACCGTGGGCCCAGCACCTCCGTCGTTCAGTGGTGGCACCTCGGCACTGGCAGTCCGTGGGGCTTCGCACTCGACACCAGTGACAGAGCGGAGGAGTCGTCTATGCAAGTCGACTACCATTTTGTCTGCCTGCGCGACGCGGTAGAGGTGATGGAACCGTTCTTAAGTGGGATGCGTTGCGCCGCCGCGCTGGGCGCGGAGGACGAAGTCAGCACGATCTGGCAGCAAGGAACCGACTACATCACCAGGGTGTGTGCACGCGGCGAGCCGGTGGCGGTGTTCGCCGTACTCGAACTGGCGCGGACGTACGTGACGCTGGCCTTTGGCGGACGCAGCGGCGTGGCGGGCGTGGAGAGGGCATTGCACAGCACCCGCGCGCTAGACGAGATGCGACGTGTGGAGAGTCTGATGGAGCGGTTTGACATCAAGGAGGGGGACGGGCAGGAAACGCATCAGCCAACGCCGGCGGCGGACCCGACCGCTGGGACGCTCACGAAGGCGCAGGCGTACTGGAGCTTGGCGGCGTCCTACAGCGTCTTCTTCCACACCGTCGCGGCGTACGTGGACGGCGTCTCCGGGAATTTTGAAAAGTTTGCCGCGGCGGTGCTGGGGACGGGCGATCGGCCCGCTCTGCACCTCTGGGGTGCCTCGCGCTTCCCTTTCATTCCCTTTGCCCTCCCAGAGAACAACACTGCGGGACATAGCTCGGAGGCAAAGACGAACGCTTCCAAAGCAGCGATGACGGTGCACACGCGGCTGGCTACGCTTTTCCCGCCATCCAGCTCACACGTGACTGGCAGTGGGGCTGACTACTACCTGGCCGAATACAAACCTCTTGTCACGGAAGTCATCACGCCTGCGGCTACCTTCAGCACGTTGCTCCTCCTCTCCGCGGTAGCCACGCTGCCGCTGCACGTTGTGACGAAGCGGCTGCCGTTATGGGTAGAGCTTCGTGAGCTGCACGAGAATTGCGAGGATCTGAACGCGTCGTTACGCGCTCTGCACGATGGCCAGCTTGGGACGGCGTGGCGCTCCGCCACTGCGGCTGCTACGCGCTATCTGGCCAACAGCCCCCACATTCATCCAACGGTGCTACAACAGCTGCTGGAAAGCGTGAAGAGGGCCCTTTGTTTTCATTACCTGAACACGCGAGACGTGACGGACATCGCACACGCGGCAGAAGATCTTTGCTTTGCTTCTACAAAGGAGTTCATGGACGCTGTTACAGTTCTCATACGGGATCAGTACATCGATGCGCGCGTTGACCTCGTGAGTGGGGCGATCCAGGTGCTTCAGGCGGGATCAATTATTCGAGACGAGGAAGGTACGGCGGAGGCGATGTCCCGTGCTGTGATCGGTCTCTCTACGCTAGAAATGCAGCTTACCTGCATGTCAGCGGAGCGCAATTTGATCTTCATACCTGCCGGCCTTGACGATTGATGGACCCGAAAGCTGAGCGTTTTCAACCGTTGGCGTTGTCAATGTTTTTTCACTCTTTTGTTTTTTTTTTCCCTTGAGCTGCGGCTTGAGACACTGACGCTCATTTGCACCTCAGTGAGCGCCGCTTTCAGCTCATGGCACACCTTGCTGCACTTCTTCAGCGGAACATTTGCATCTCATCAAGTACGTACATACGAGGATGTGTGGCACGCTCGCTCGGAGCAATAGGCTACCGCTACGCCTCTGCTTCTCGTGCCGTGAATGCGGATGAGACAAGTTCGGCGCCTGCAACTTTGTACCCACAACATCCCGCCTTCTTGTCTCTTTTAACTCCCCTCCTTTTCCTTTCTTCCTCACAAAAGCACACATTTTTTTTTTAAAATCCTCCCACAAGTGCGCGGCTGCTTTCGTTGCACACGTGCGGAGGCACAAGGCAGGTACGAACACCATGATGGATAGGGCTGTGCGAAGCTTCGCCACCTATTTACATATCTAAACGGCTACTGTTATCGCCATAGCTGGCCTCTTTCCCTGCGCCAACTCCATGTCTCTTTGCCGTAGCACCGAGGAGGGCAGCGTGCTGCAGTCGTCTTCGACATTTGCGGACGACTCCAGAAAACGAAGCAGATCAGAGCACGACAGCGTAGCCTTCGATGATGGCGACAACAGCGACGGCGGCTACGGCAACTCCATCAACCCGCTCTTTCTCGTGTCTGGACCTCGCGGAGGGGCCATCAGCGCGCACAGCGCCGACGCCGAGCTCGAGGCCCTCGCTGACCTGGTGGACGACGGCGTCTACCACGTTCTGAGGGAAGCCTGGGAGGAGGTGGCCGTTCCGGCGGACACTTATTGGAGCTGCCCAACGCACCTCTACGCGGGTGACGCGACGGCTGCGCTGCTGCGCCGCCATGCCGCTGCCACGCCGCCAAAGTCCCTCCCGCTCCGCATCCCGCATCCGCGGCAGCTCCTTTCCTCGTTTTATCCGGCCAGGGTGGAGGCACTGACCGCGCGTGGCTATCAGCCGCACCGCGGACTTGTCCCCGTAGCGCTGGACCGCAAGGGTGGTAAAGGGAGCAAAATGTTCAACGTGCTCGCCCGGTGGGAAGTGGAAGCAAACACCACGTCGTCTGCGAGAGGGGAGGAGGGGGAGGGGAAGCCGGCGCGTCCTCCGCACCGCACCAGTGCCATTGCGAAGTTTGTGGATGCCATTCCGCGACCAACGGACCGCAGCATCTACGTCCTCGTTGACGAGGAGTGTCCGGTGGATCCGTACTTCGACGTGGACCTCGCGTTCAACGCTGCTGTCGACGATAGCAACAGGCTGTCGGTGCTTCGTCAAGACAGCGACACCCGTGGCCTTGCTACTCTGGACGCCGCAGCGGTGGAGAAGGCCTTGCTAACCATTCTCAGCACTCTGCGAAGTGAGGTTGAAATTGCGTGGAGCACCCAAGTCGAGGAGTGCCTCGTGTTGACCAGTAGTGTGCAGTTCAGTCACCAGCCGAGCACAGCCGCGGCGTCGAGCTTGTCTGAACTGGAGGAGGTTAAGCTAAGCTTCCACGTCCACTTTCGCCTGACCGATAGAGCTGCGGTCGAGTCGGTGAGGGAGTTGCACGCGTTTGCGGTGGCGCTGCGCGCGAAGCTGCAACGCACGCAGTTGGATGGCGCCAAAGAGAAGGATGAGAACGCAAAGCGGGCGGCGCTTCTGTTAGAGTGCGTGGACTTCGGCGTCTACACACGTTGGCGCGCCTTCCGTCTCCCGTACAACGTCAAAGCGCCGGACAGCCACGGCGCCGGCAAGCCCTTGGCGGAAGGCGCCGGAGATGAACTGCTAGCCGAGCAGCTCGGCCAGCTTGGCATCTCGCTGCCAGACGTACACGTCGGCAGTGCGGCACCGGCCGTTATTCACAGCGTCGTGTACGCGACGGACATAGAGACGCAGAAGCAGCAGCGGTACCTGGTAGGGAAGCTGATGCTGTACTGCCGTTATCTTCTCCCTCTCCTTCCCGGCCTCACACGCTTTGCGACAGCAGAACTGAAGGATTTTTTGGCCGCTCTGATACCAAAAGAAGCTGACGCAGCGTTGACGGTGCAGAGTGGAGGTGCATCGTCGTCATCCGCATCAGCGGTGTCACTACGATCCTCGAAGGATGTGATCAGCGCGTGGGTGTTGGACATGGCGTGCATTATCCGCGATGCCTCCGAGTTAGCAACTGAACCACAATCGAAAGCGACCACCACAGAAGGGGAAGAGGAGGAGAAAGAGAAGGCAACGGCGAGCGGGTTTAGGCTTTTGCGGTATCAGCCCACCGCAACGGATCCTGCGGCGCTCGCGAAGACCACTGCAAGCCCCTTTGACATTCCGATGCCGCCCATGCCACGCAGTGTACGTGTGCGGGTGGATGACAAGAACGTCAAGAAGCTGTTGGCGGAGGTTTTCTGGTGCGTCGCTCCCGAGTACAAGCAAGCGTCCAAGTCTGCTGGTACAAATTTAGAGGCGCAACTCGTTCCGAGTGCCGCCATCACGCCCGAGCGCATCAACGCTCAATACGAAGAGGCCATTCGCGCTTACTACGTCTTCCAAAAGCAAAGTAAGTTCTGTATGCGGCTGCAACGCATCCACAAGGCCACCTACGTGCAGCTGTACTTGACCTTTGGCTCGATTAAGATTCGCTGCTACTCCAACGACTGCTGTGATCGTTGTTGCGTCATCCCATGGGAGGCCCCAGAGAACCCGAAGTCGGTCCCGCAACACCACAAGGGATACCCGAAGTTCGATCGTCTGGCGGAGATACACCGGTCGCTTTTCCCTCCGTTGCCTGCAGGAGAGCTCGTTCGGCGTTACGGCACTGCTGTCCTACACCAACAGCAACAGTAGCAGAGGTGCAACACGGCGCAGCGTTACGCACGTAGAGAAGTTTATTGCCATAACTCTCCTGAACAGCTCTGCTTTCAAAACCGAGCTGGCTCTGTTTTCTCCTAGTGCTTCTCTTCTCCCCAAGAAAGAAAAGAAAGGCTTGCTAGATAGATGGGCCGATAGAGAGGCGTTTAGGGCATCAAACACGGCTGAGAGGAGTTCTCCACTGCAATGCACATCACCCACAACGAATTTGCTGCTCAAACGTAGTACTAAAAGACGACAAATAGAAAGTTGGCGCTGTCCAATCTACCTCAACAAAGGAAACGGATGGGTGAGCTTGCTTGACGCTGTCTCTGCCTTTGATAGAACACCACCTTTTTTTTTCCCGTCTGATGTGAGCTTTCTCACGTGCATGTCTTTTTTTTTCTCCTGCGGGTATGCCCATGAACCAATATGCTGCGTTCGGAAAAATGTGTTTTCTTTTATAGTGTTTCGAAAGTCGCTATTCATCATGCTGCAGGTCAGTAACCGAGCGACGTATGCTCATCTGATTGGTGTCTCCGCAACTCTTTTTTCCTTTCTTCTCGCCAGCTTTACTCTTCCTGCTCTTTTCCTCGCTGCCCTGCTGTCTCTACCCCCTCGACGCCGTTTTATTCTCTTCTCTCCTTTTTTCTTTGGACTTTAATTTTGCTTTGTGGCAGCCGACTTTCACGCTTTCTAATCTCGCTATCTCTCTCACCCTCCGCAACAGACATGAAGATTGTGCTAATGGGCGCTCCCGGTTGTGGCAAGGGCACGCAAAGCCCCTACGTGCAGGAGCGCTACGGGCTGTGCCACCTGTCCACGGGCGACATGCTGCGCGAGGCGGTGACCCGCAAGACAGTGAACGGCCTGCTCGCGAAGGACGCGATGAACGCCGGCAAGCTGGTGAGCGACGATATCGTGTTTGGAATCGTGAAGGACAGCATCAAGAATCCGGAGTGCCGCTACGGCTACATCTTAGACGGGTTTCCTCGCACGCTGAAGCAGGCGCAACTGATGGACGAGGCCGGCGAGAAGGTGGACAAGGTGATCGAGTTCAGCGCCCCGGACGAGGTGATACTGCAGCGTACTAGCGGCCGCTGGATTCACAAGGCGAGCGGCCGCACGTACCACGAAGTCTTCCGCCCCCCGCAGTCCCCCGGCAAGGACGATGTCACCGGCGAGGAACTTTATCAGCGAAAAGACGACCGCCGGGACGTGTGCGAGAAGCGCTTGGAAATTTACAAGAATGAAACGCGGCCGCTCGCGGAATACTTTAGTAAACTTGGTGTGTACACGATGATCAACGCCGACCGCACCGTTGACGAGGTGCGCAAGAACATCGCCGCTCTCCTCGATCCAATCGCCGTTGCCACCGGGCTCAAATGAAATCGGGAGGGAAAAAAAACATGTGGAAAGAGTCTGTATCTGAAACAAATTTTTATAGGGGAATTGCAACTAATGAGGTTTCTTCGTAGGTGGCCAGTTTCGGCGCAAGGTCTCGCTCTACACACACAGAGGCGCGCTGGAGCGTTTTAATTGTAGGAGACCTTTTTATTTTTCTCTTCTTTTTTTTTTTCACAAATAGCATTGTAGTTTATCTTTTCCTTTTTGCAAAAAGAAGAAAACAATCTCCTGTTCTTTCCTTTTTCTTTCTTTCTCCTTTGAAGCTCAAAAATGTCGAACTCTGCAGAGTGCGAATGACCAGGACAGCAAACCAATGCGATGCGGCACACACGCAGAGAGAGAGGGAGAGATGAAAGAAGAAAGGAAAAAAAGAAGATGGCGTGAAAAAGACAGCAATGACAGCGACGCATAGGCGTGTGAATGACGCGTGCGTTGCGAGGAAAGCCTTTCTGTGACGGACACAGGTTCGTTTTTTTCTTACTGTTGTTTTTCTCCCTTTTCTCCCTTTTCTTCGTTTTCCCTTTTTCTTTGCTCTAGCATGCTGTCAACTCACTTTGTTTGTTTGTTTCTACGAACGCCTCACGTTTTCCTGATATGTCTCTCTCTACACTTCAAGTAAAAGAATTAAAAAAGCATGTAAAGAGGTAGTCTGACAGCGTTTCCTTTTTTTTTTTGTTTCTCCTTTTTTTCCCTCTTGTTGTTTCGTTGTTCATAACTTTTTTTTTTAAATATCGTCTATCAGTCATGTTAAATTTATGTAGTCGCGCTTTGCAGACAGCAGCCCCTTTACAGCGCAAAATAGTGAGGCGCTGCAGGGTATTGGTGTTGACACCAGAATTTCTTTCACGCGTACTTGAGAGCTTCTCCTTCGTTCCCAGCTTTCAGCTCCTCTCCTTTTTTTTTGTTTGTGGTCCTTCTTTCCTCCTTGGCACACATACCAGCACTCACCCCCCCAAAAAAAAACGCCAGTGATACATGCAAGCTGCATCGTCCTCACGAAGGCAGTCCAGCAGCCGCGTGTGTCATGGCACGGAGAAGAAACAATGAAAAACATGAGACATGAGGGGGTGGGTGTCATGGGAGGAGAGAAGCACGTGCCTGACAGCAGCAGCAGCAAAGCACGATGGGAGCGGCGAAGGGAAAGAAGGGAATGAAATCAAGAAAATGGTTCAACAAAACTGGGTGTCGATTGCAGAACTGTGCGACAAAAAAGAAGACTGATAAAACAAAAAAAATGAAAGGGCTGGCAAATGTCTAAGTAGTAACGGGACATGTTTCGTCGCTGCATCGATGTCACAGCCCCCGTTCTACAAGTTTTTTTTTTCTTCTTCTTCAATTATCTCTTCTCCTTGTTGTGTTGAACTGAGTTATGGTGACCCGGTCACGAGACAGTGTTGTGACATCATTCACTTTCTTTTATAAGCTTTTTTCCCTTTGGTTTTGCTCGCCATGATCTTACAGTTGTGTTACTTACTCCTTTTTCGCTCTCCCTCTAGTTCAATCACGCTTCTTACTGATTTCACAAGTTGTGTACTCATGGATGCGAACACATCAATTTCTTGTAGTGCGCGTAGCACTTCCTCTGTTTCTTTTCTTCTTTCTTCTTTCTTCCTTTTTTTCTCTATTTTCAATATCGGAGACAACTCGTCGTTCTTTCCAAACACACCCCTTTCTTTTGTCTTTCTTCCTGGTGCTCGTATAAAGACCGCTTTTTAATTTGGGTTTCTCTCCTCTTCTTTCTCCCCACTGGCGTGCGTTTTCTTTTACCTTCGATAGTTGGAGGAGATCGTGCATCTCTCTCTCTCACTCACTTATCCGTCTCTACCAGACTTGGAGTAGTGAAAGCAAAAAAAAAAAAGGCTACGTTGACGCCCAGTGTTTATGATTTGTGTTAATGCGACGCTGCGCGTGTGCGTGGACGGGCAGGCGTCTGCGACGAGCAGACTGTATCTTTGAATGACTTGGGATCTTTTTCGGTGGGCCCCAATGCTATTTAAAAAACAAAACAAAAAACTAAAAAGAAAAAGAAATGGATGAGAAGGAGGTTCTGTTAGGTAGGATAGTTGTGGTTTACACACATACACATATAATTATTATTATTACAGTCGATTGCAAGAAGAAAAAAGAAACACAGAACTACACAAAACGATGCTATGCTTCCATCATAATAACCAAACAGTAGCAACTAATAACTCGCACATCAAAACACAGCTTTCTTGTTTGTGCTAACAGGCACCATTCACGCAGCTCCATTTGTCCCCTTCTCTCTTCTCAGTGAACTTTGATTCACTTGAACACTTCGAATGCGGCAACGAAGCGACCAGGTTTCGCAAGCTACTTGCAGTGGAGCGGTCCGAGGTGGCGCAGAGCTCCTGTCGGAGCTCAACTGTTGTTGGACAATCTATGTATTCCTCATGATGAAATGTATAATACATACCGTAACTCTGCTCTTTGTTCTGTTGTTTTTTTTGTTTCTCTGGTACGCGGTGATTGAAAACAGGGTTTGCTAACGTAAGCAGTTATCACAGGTGTTCGCAAAGGTGCTGAGCATCGTGCGCGCATTGGTATTGACATTGGCACTGTCGTCAGCAGTTGAATCTCGCATTGGGTGGCTTGAGAAGCGGCTCCACTTTACCTTTCAAAACGAGATCTCTCTTTTCAATTGACAGCGGATTTGCTGTTCAGGGTTGCCACTAGCACTACTTACGTAAAAGGCGAAGGCGAACGAAAATACAACAACAAAGTCAGTAACAGCAGCTGCACAGTGCAGAGATAGAAAGAAGGAGAGAGGGAGAGGCAGTACGCAATGAAAATTGTAGTTGAAGGACCACCGCAGGGAGGAAAGACCACCGTGGCCTCGGTGGTGAAGGAGCGCTATGGCCTGTGCTACGTCTCCACCAGCGAGGCGGTACGAAACGCCGTCCACCTCGGCAACAGCGCACACAGCTCCACGCTGAAGCAGCTCATCGACAGCGATGAACTCATCCCCGACTCCGTCCTCGTGAAGGTGGTGAGCGAGGCGACACAGCGGCCCGACTGCATTAACGGTTTCGTGTTGGACGGCTTTCCCCGCACCCGCAAGCAGTCGAAGCTGATGCAGGAGTCGGAAGATGTGAAAGTCGACGTCGTCGTGGAGTTGGACGTGCCGGACAACGTGCTGCAGTCCCGTTTCGGCGGCCGCTGGTTTCACCCCCGATCGGGTCGTGCGTACCACAACGTGTACAACCCGCCTCTCGTCGACGGCAAGGACGACGACACCGGTGAGCCGCTGGAGCAGCGGGCAGAGGACAAGCCGGAGATGATCATGCAGCGCATGTTCCAGTACCGTCGGCAACTCAGCGAGCTGCGCACGACCTTCTCGAACGAGGCGTGGACCACAGTGGAGGCGAGCGGCAGCGTGGAGGCGGTGCGAAACAACGTGTTTGCCGTGCTGGACAGCCTCTACTACGCACAGAACAGCAAGAAGGCCAAGAGCATCCACCGTGGCAGCGCATCCTCGTGGTGGCGGTTTTGGTGAAAACGTGTGATGACGTCGGAGACGTGATGCGTGCCGCCGCAGCCGACGCAACCGCGAGAAAAGAACTTTTTATTTTGTTTTCTCCATCTTGTCTTCCTTCGAAAGGGAGGAAGGAGAGGGGAAGCTCGTCCTGCGGCGGTCCCTCGTCTTTTCTCGTCTTTTCTCTTCTTTTCCCTTTGAATTCGATCGACTAAGCTTTGGCCTCCTCTACCATCAACACACGCACATACATACACATACATGCACGGACAGAGAGGCAGACATGCGCGTACCTGTTCGGCCGAACTCCTTTTTTTCCTTCTCTTCTCACGCAAATCAACAGTGCACGGCACACTGCCTGCAAAGTGGCAATCCGCGCCTCGCACGACTCGAGAATGCCAAATGCAGCTCCACCTTCGTCACATCTTGCTGTACGTCTATGAACAACGCAGGACTCTTTTACGCCTTACGAATTCAAAAAAAATCTCTGTGATTTTGTTGTCGTCATCTTCGCTCTCGACCTCACCTGCCGGGTTTTTTCGTTTCCCACTCGATCTTCAGATGAGCAGAGTTCGCCGACGCGTATTCACGCTTATGCACCTCCTTTTTCTCTGGAACAGCTTGAGCCAGAATTGCACTTGCTGTTTTTCGCATGCCTTCAAAAAGTAAGACAAAACGACTAATTCAATTGCTAAAGAAACCTTTAAAAAAAGGAAGGAATCAATGATTTGCAGAAATACAACTCGCTAGTTTTAAAGAGAAAAATAGCTGCGTTTGGAGGGTCTTCTTCAAGTTCTATGGAATGAGCAAACAAGAATTAGCTAGCGGTCTTTATCAATCTTGTTATCTTGCCCGACGCTATTCATTTTACGGTAACCTCCTAGAAAATGGTGGTGCTCGACACGATCGAGACTTGTGGATGACAGAACTTGCGTAAATCAACGACTCGGCACCCAGAAATCTGTGTGGCATTTCCTATCGGTTTTAATCCGCTCTTTTCTGGCTTTTTTTTTCTTCTCTCACTGTTTGCCCTCCCCTCCTGTTTTAGGTCTGCGCGCTTACGAATCGTGCTCCTTCTGCCGTTTTATCAACAGCGCGCAAAAAGCGGCAAGGGCACGGCCGCCTCTTCGCATCTCGGTGGTTCTTCCGTGCAGAGAAGATTGCACTCACGCCACAGCGTCACGCTGTGGACGATACAACGATATCAACCAGACTTTGATCCCGCCCCCCGCTTCTACAGCGGCACGCAATCATGGGATTCTTTTTTCTCCGCCGTGCCCCCGTCGCTATGAAAAGCGGTAAGGTCGTGCTGTTCGGCTGCAACAACGCGGTGGGCCAGCCCCTCTCTCTCTTGCTAAAGATGAATCCGCACGTGGAGGAGCTCGTGTGCTGTAGCACCGCGGTAGACGGTGCCGTGCCTGCTGCTGGAGTGGCCGCGGATCTGTCGCACATGGATACCCTCTCCAAGGTGCGCTACGCGCGTGACGAGGCGGAGTGGCCGGCGCTGTTGCGCGACGCCCAGGTGGTTCTTGTCTGCTCCGGCAGCAGCTTCGACCCCCTCCGCGAGGATCGCGACATCGCCTTGCGTGGCTCGGCGCCTGCGGTGCGTCGCGTGATGCGGGCCGTGGCGACGTCCGACACAAAGGCACAGCTCGCGATCGTCTCAAGTCCCGTGAACGCCCTCACGCCCTTCTGCGCAGAGCTGCTGAAGCGGTCTGGCACCTTTGACCCGCGTCGGCTGTTCGGTGTGACTACACTGGACGTGATTCGCACCCGCAAGCTGGTCGCGGAAGCGCTGCATATGAACCCGTACGATGTGAACGTGCCGGTCGTCGGCGGCCGCGGCGGGGTCACGGCGTGCCCCCTCATCGCAAAGACCGGCCTGCGTCTGCCACCAGAGGAGATAATTCGCATTACGTCGGAGGTGCAGAGCTACGGCGTTCCTGTTGAAGCGGCTGTCGGCGCCGACACACACGACGCCATCAGCACGGAGGTGGCCCCACCGGTGGCGCTGGGACTGGCCTTCGCCGCCTGCGACTTTGCCGTCTCGCTGCTGAAGGCGCTGCGCGGTGACGTCGGCATTGTGGAGTGTGCGTTGGTGGAGTCGACAATGCGGACGGAGGTGCCGTTCTTCAGCTCCCGTGTTGAGCTTGGCCGCGACGGGGTGGAACGAATTTTTCCAATGGGGCCTCTGACGTCATTTGAGAACGAGTTGATTGAGACGGCTGTGCCGGAGCTCGTGAAGGATGTGAAGGCAGGCACGGAGGCCGCATCCAAAGAATGAGAAGAGGGAAGAAGGACTTGCGTTTGTCTAAACTATTACGTTCCTTTTTTTTTTGGCTGGCTGAGTGCTGCGCCGAGCTGCTGGTAGCACCGCTCCTATCCCTTTTCTCACATCTTTTTTTCTTGTTTCAAGGACCTTAGTTTGGGGTTGCTGTTGGTGACCGTGTTCCGTTGTTTTAGTTGTCAGCGTAACTCCCTCTGTACGTGTGGCGGTGCGGAGCTGTGCTGCGTTGTGTGTGTGTGTGTGTGTGTGTGTGTGTGTGTGTGCGGGGGTGCGCCTTCCGTAAGCGCCCCGGCAGCACAGCGTTGATGGCCTTACAAACTTGCTACCATTCACAAGCATAAATAGCAATGAAAAGCAACCATATCTTCGACAAGCCAAACAAACGGGAAAATCGCTTGCAACTGGACACAGCCGTATGATGCAGGCATCTCTGGCGTCTCTTGCGACCCAACGGTGGCATTGCTGAGCCAAATTGCGGAATGCCTCCGGTGCCCCCTTTTCTTCTCTTCTAAGTTGCCTCTTGGGGGGACTGGAGAAAGGGTGTGGTGGAACCCTTTCTTTTTTGGTTTCCGTAGTGGCACGGCAGCTGTTGTTCAAAGTCTGCTTCAATCGTTGGTGCTCTCTGTCTCACTTTTTTTTCTTCTTCTTTCCTGTATCCTGCACGTGTTGTTGTGCATAACGCCTACGCCGTTTTTTCGCACTAAAAACGTGTTGGTGCTTTTACCTTTGTTTCTCTTACACCGCTACCATTGCTCGTTGACCGAAACGGCGTTGCACCGCTTGACTATCTGCACGCACTCAGGTTTTATTATAAAAAGAGATTCAAGCTACCCTCTTCCCTCTCCACTTCCAACCCCCCAGTTTCTAGTTTTCAGCAAAGCCCCGGCTTGTGTTTTAACTCGCTCTTTTTTTTCTCCGATACTCTATCTCTACTTCGCAATGCGCTGCTCTCTGAGGTGCCTCACCCGCGTTGCCGTGCTCGGCGCCAACGGCGGTATCGGCCAGCCTTTGTCTCTGCTGATGAAGAACAACAAGTACGTGACGGAGCTGAAGTTGTACGACGTGAAGGGCGCCCCGGGCGTGGCGGCGGATCTCTCGCACATCAACACCGACGCCAAGGTCACCGGCTACGCCGTGGAGGACCTCGCCAAGGCGGTGGCGGATGTCGACCTCGTCCTCATCCCGGCAGGTGTCCCGCGAAAGCCTGGCATGACCCGCGATGACCTCTTCAACACGAACGCCGGCATCGTGCGCGACCTCGCCACGGCGGTTGGCAAGGCGTCGCCGAAGGCGGTGATTGGCATCATCAGCAACCCGGTGAACAGCACCGTCCCGGTCGCCGCGGAGGCACTGAAGAAGGTCGGCTGCTACGACCCGCGCAAGGTTTTTGGCATCACCACCCTGGACCACGTCCGCGCCCGCACCTTTGTCGGCGCCGCCATCGGTAAGAGCCCGACGACGCTGTCCATCCCAGTCATCGGCGGCCATAGCGGGGAGACGATTGTGCCGCTGCTCGCCGAGTTCACGCAGCTGTCGGAGGAGCAGGTGCAGCAGCTCACCCACCGCATTCAGTTCGGCGGTGATGAGGTGGTGAAGGCGAAGGCGGGGGCGGGGTCGGCGACGCTGTCGATGGCCTTCGCTGGCAACGAGTGGGCCACGTCGATGATGCGCGCTCTCAACGGCGAGAAGAACATTGTCGAGTGCACCTACGTGGAGAGCACGGTGGAGCCGTCGTGCGCCTTCTTCAGCTCGCCGGTGGAGCTGGGCAAGGATGGTGTGGCGAAGATCCACCCGGTGCCAAAGCTGAACGCCTTTGAGCAGAAGCTCTTGGCGAAATGCGTGGAGGGCCTGCAGGGCAACATCAAGAAGGGTGTGGCGTTCGGTAGCAAGTAAAAACCGCCTACTCGGAAGTGACGGCAATGCGGAGAAAGGAGGAGAGGGATGCTGGCGCTGGTCATACAAAGCGACAGATGCTGTCCCATCTCAGCGTTTTGTGTGAATATGGGCGTTCACGTTGCCGGTTGTCTGCGAACGACGTGCAGGCTTCTTGTTGATGAGGCCTGCAGCCTTCAGTGTCTTCTTAAGATGGCGTTAGCGATTCTTTTTCCTTTTCCTCCCTTTTTGTTTTGCATTCCTTCTCTTTACTTTTCTTTATTCGAACGTCGTCAGTCGCGGCCGAGTGCGAGAGCAACATCGTCAACAACAACGGAAACAAACAAAAGCAGATGAATTCGTCGTCTTTTCCTCGTTCTGCATTGTCCTGTTCTATCAGGCCATATTTTCTTTTTTATTATTCCTACCAGTAATCTCGCTGATTACTATATCATCTCCCCTTTTTCCTCCCATTTATTTTGATACTGTAGGCTCATTTTTATTTTTCCGTAGAATAGCACAATCATGGAGATCGATAGCGTGTGACGATGCGGAGGCACTTGCAGCCGAGGAAAGACTGAAAAGTGGAGGGGCTACGCTCTCAGCTGCATAAAAGCATTCTTCTTTTTTTTCTTCTTAGCGTTGTTGTCGTGTTCCTTCGCCAGCGGCCAGCTGACTCTCCGTACACATGTGGCAAAGCAGTGACGTTTTCTTCTTCGAAAACAAAAGTCCTTTTCATATTTTTTTTGCCGTCGCGTGTCTTCTTCTTTGTTGTTGGCAGGCGATTGCTTCCGTTTCTTTCCGAAATCTTAAAGAAGGAAAAGAAGAAAATAATGCGAACGAATGAAGGTAAATACAGATGATGCGTGATCTGCTCAAGAAAAATGTTCTTTTCTTTTCTAGCTTGGTTTTCCGACATGTCTTTGAAGCGACGGCGTGAATGGCAGCAATGCATGTTGACGGCGTACGCGGAGGTGACGTTGTCAAAGGGAAGCGACAGCGCTTTCGAGAGCGAATCTGCCCAGGAAGATCCCACTTATATATATATATATATATATAGCAGAATGTGCGTGGTCGTTCGCAGTGTTGGCTCTCTCAAGCGTATTCTTTGCTCTTTTTTTTTTCTCATTGGTACGAAGGGGCGAGGAAAAGATAAAGAAAAAAACACTTTCTAGACGAACACATATTCATTTCTTCTTTCTCTATTTAGCTCACTTATATATGTGGTCCTTTCTCTTCTTTTTTTTTTTACAACTATGCTTTTAGTCTTACATATCTTTATATGCTTTTCTTAGCTTCGGCTTCCCTTCTCACCTGCGCATCTCGCTTCTATCTGCATCGTGCGGTGTTTGTTTTGTAGTTAAGCAAACTCCTTCCGATGCAGGACGGTTATTGCCTGCGTATTCTCCTTTGTATGAGAAGAGAAGGAAAAAAGAACCATGAAAGCGGACGTCCAGAGTAGCCGTGTGCAAGTCTTGACGACTGTGAACACACTTTGAGTAAAGAACGAAAAGTCGAAACAAAGCAAATGCAGTCTTCGGACGGTGCAATTGAAGGAGACACCACGTGCTGGGACCGCAATCGGGGAGAGAACTGACGTTTCAAAACAGCTCTCTTTCCTCATGATAGGCACTTGAAATGGCAGAATTGTTTGGCCACTGAAGGTATATATATTTTCCCACCTTTAGGATGGTTCACTGCGAGCATCCTCTCGTGCTTCCGGCCGTCTGCTCCGAAGCACTGACCGAGACATCGTTGTCGGGACCCTTTCTTGGCGTGTCAAACGTTGTCACTCTTCCGTTGGAAAAGGTCGCGAAGAACTGTGTTGGATTTTGGAACTTCAGGGTGCAACGTGTTCCGCCACTTATCACGATGCATTTTGTTTTTTCTGAGGAGTGATTTTTCTTCTCGCCTTTCTCTCTCTTTTTCATTTACTTGTCGCATTACTTGCATTCGCCCTATTTTCTTGCCTTCGTTTGTTTTGCAAATTCGAACGTGCACTTACGCTTTGCATGTACTCCGTTTCCTGGTGTGAATATCAAGTCAAAAAACAATAAATGAGCCGAAAGCTGACACACACACACACAGACAGACAGACAGCAACACCTTCTCTTCTCGTTCTCTCTTTTTTTTTCTTTTGCAACATCAAACACAAACACACACGCACACACAAAGATATACATGTAAACAAAACGTTATAATTTAATCTGCTTTCAAAACTCACTTTCGTGTCACGTCGGCTCGAAGACAACGTAAACAGCAAAAAAAAGGAAGAGTGAAAGAGAGAAGGAAAATATTGCTCTAATTTATTTCGGTAACTAATTGCACTCCGCTGAGCTTTCCCCCCCTCACGCATTTTAATTCTCGAAGGATGCGTCGATCCGTGCAACTATTTTTTAAGGTCGCCGTCCTCGGTGCCAGCGGTGCGGTTGGGCAGCCGCTCTGCCTCGCCCTCGTGCAGAACCGCAAGGTCAGTGAGCTGCGCCTCTACGACATCGTCTCCCCACTCGGCGACGCGACTGATCTTTCGCATATTCCCCGCAAGGTGAAGGTAACGGGCCACCTCCCCAAAGGCATTCACCGGGCTCTGGAGGACGCCGATCTCGTGCTGATCTCCGCGGGCATTCCTCGCTCTCCGGGCATGTTTCGCGAGGACCTCTTCAACGCGAATCGGCACGTCATACAGGATCTGTCGAAAGAGGTGGCGAAGTACGCGCCGCGCGCCGTCATCGGTATCATCAGCGATCCTCTGAACAGCATGGTGGCGGTGGCGGCAGAGACGCTGCGGCAGGCGGGGACCTATGACCCACGCAAGCTGTTCGGCATCTCGTCCCTTGACACGATGCGGGCCCAGTCGATGTTGGCGGACTTCACCGGCAATGACCCGGAACAGCTGCACATCCCCGTGCTGGGCGGCCACAGTGGGCAAACCATCGTCCCCTTGTTTTCGCAGTCTGGGGTTCCATTGACGAGGGAGGAGGCCGAGTATTTGACGCATCGGGTGCGGCGCGGCGGGGATGTCGTGGTGAATGCGAAGGGCGGGCGCGGGTCGTCGTCGCTGTCCGCTGCGTATGCGGTCGCGGACTGGGCGGACTGCGTGATGCGCGCCCTCGACGGCGAAGAGGGTCTCGTGCGGTCCAGCATGGTCGAAAGCCCTCTTGTCCCGGAAACGACCCGCTTCTTTGCCAGTCCGGTGGAGTTCGGAAAGCACGGAGTGCAGCGCGTGTTGCCTCTGCCGCCGCTGAACGAGTACGAGGAGGAGCAGCTCGATCGCTGCTTGGCAGACCTGGAGAAGAACATCCGAAAGGGACTTCAATTCGTCACCAGCAAACCTTCCGAATGAGTTTTTCAACTTCTGAACTTTTACAAATATAAGTTGGTGCGGGCTTTTCATGGGGTGCTCTGGCTACCTACACACACTCACGCAGCTTTGTGTTGTGATGTGCTTTTTTGAGTTGTTCATGACATCACGTTTGCTAATTCCCTTTTCCAGCTGTTATCAACACAGCTACCGTCTAGGGAGGCTATCGCGCGCAGATTCGCCTCGTTTCGCGCTCTTTCTCCCTCTGTATTACTATTGTCATTGCTTTTTTTTTCCCTTGTTTGATTGTTTCTGACTTTCGTGTAACTAAAGTGTTTCTCGAGGTTCTCCATTTTTTATGTCCTTGCTTTCGTTTCTCTTGACACACACACACACACGCAAATGACAGCGACAATTTCAATGACCAGCAAAACGTTCTTATTGTCGTGCTTCTTTACTTTGAAAGGCAAAAGCGGTTCTGCAAAATGCAAGCAAACAAACAAACAAAACCCCATCACCACCGCAACAGGGAAAAAAACCGATAGTTGACCGTGGTACCATAACAAATCAACAGCATCAACAAGAAGCAAACGTTCGCACGCACTCGATTCGATTGCTTAACTCTCGTGTCTCGTTCTTTCATTGCATGGAGGAAAACTGCAAGGGAAAGAGCGGCACCCGCTTTTTGCGCCTCCTGTTTTTTCTTCTATTTTTTTTTTGTGTAAGTTTTGGTGGCTGCTTCTCTTCCTTCACTCAGCGATTTTCACAAATGGAGGCACGCGTTGCTTCCTTACTTTTCCATTTGACAATAATGCATGTTTCAAAAATAAAAAGAAAATAATATCTGTGCACTCTGTTGCAATGAAAATGTGCACCACCGAAGCAAAGCGCCAGGTCACAGAAATGAGATGGACACTGGCTTCTGCTAAAGAAGCAGCGTTATGGTTGAACCCCAACTCGCCGCAGCTGCGGCCCTCAACTCACAAATGAATGCAAGAGTAATACTACGCCCTTGATTTACGAGATTTTTTGTTCAACCTGAATAGTGGTACATCGCCGATCTCTTCTTCCTCTCTTTCGTTTTCTGCTTTCCACCTCTCTTCAACGGACATCGTCGGCTCCATGTGTCAGTCATTTGAATCTTGTTCCTCGCGCGAAAGACCAGCAGCTGGCATCGTCGACAGTTAACACAGGTGCAACAATATTTGCTTTTATGCCGTTTCAAAAGATTTTAAGCGAACAAAACCAGAATAGCTAACACTCTCACATCCTCTTCATGCGTCCCTCGAGGTCTCTGCTCTCACGCGTTGCCGTGCTCGGTGCTGCCGGCGGCATTGGCCAGCCCCTGTCCCTGCTGCTGAAGTGCAGTCCTCTCGTCACAAAACTCTCTCTGTACGACATCCGCGGTGCCCCGGGCGTGGCGGCGGACCTTTCACACATTCCCTCGCCTGCGGAGGTGACCGGCTACGCTGCCGAAGAATTAGAGGAAGCCGTGAATGGCGCAGAGCTGGTCCTCATCCCTGCCGGCATCCCGCGCAAGCCTGGCATGACCCGCGATGACCTCTTCAACGCGAACGCCGGCATCGTGCGCGACCTCACCGTCGCCGTTGGCCACCACGCACCGAAGGCGATCATCGGCGTCATAGCCAACCCGGTGAACAGCACCGTCCCGGTGGCGGCTGAGACGCTGCGGAAGATCGGTGTGTACGATCCGGCCCGGCTTTTTGGCATCACCACGCTCGATGTTGTGCGGGCACGCGCCTTCGTCGCGGAGGCACTGCGATTGAACCCGTACGACGTGGATGTCTCCGTCATTGGCGGCCATAGCGGGAAGACGATTGTGCCACTGCTTTCGCGCTTCCCGGCGCTCTCGCAGGAGCAGGTGCAGCAGCTCACCCACCGCATCCAGTTTGCGGGAGATGAGGTGGTGAAGGCGAAGGCAGGTACGGGGTCGGCGACGCTGTCGATGGCCTACGCGGGGTCGGAGTGGACTTTCGCCATGCTAAAGGCGCTACGTGGCGACAAGGGTATCGTGGAGTGCTGCTACGTGGAGAACGATCTGCAGCAGCCAAGCTGCCGTTTTTTTGCCTGTCCGGTGGAGCTGGGCAAGGGCGGGGTGGAGAGGGTGTTGCCGATGCCGGAGCTGAACGTGTACGAGCAACAGCTGCTCGAGACCTGCATCCCGGCTCTCCACGACGAGTGCGGGAAGGGTATTGAGTTGGGCGTCAAGACCCATCTTACCCCTGATGAGTAAAGCAACCCTTTTTCACCTCCTTCGAAAACGGCGGAGCAGAGGCGAAGCGTGGTCCTCGGACGCTGAGGCGTGATGTCCGCGATGGGTGTTATCGGGTTAAGGGGAGACACCGCTATCTCTCCTTTCCTTTCTCAACTATTGTATATAATCGCCGTTAGTGGCTTTTCTCCCCGCGGTCACAGGCTCGCTGTTGGAGTTGTCTTTACCGTTTTACACCTATGCGTATGCTCGTGCTTTTTTTCTGGCTCGCTGTTTCTTTGTTTTTGTTTTTGCTTCCCTCTCTCAGCACGTGAATGGCCCAATACTACTACTAATAACAACAATAGTAGTAGAGAAAAGAAACACGGAAACCTGCGCTGCTCAAGTAATCAGCGTTTTCCGTTTTCTTTTCGGTTTACCGTGGTAGCGGACCCTACGCACATTATCTTCCTTTGTGTGTTTTCCTCTCTTTTTTTTTTTCCTCCGTAGCGACCGCGTTGATCATCCCTCGCCGATTGGCGAACGATGCCGTTTCTCTCTCACGCCTTTTACCTTTTCTCAATTTGCGTGCAAATCTCCTGTGCGTCCCTTTTCCTCCCTTCTTGCATTCCTCCCGTTGTGCTCGTCGATGCTTGTATCATCGTGTATTGAATCCTTTAAATGTGTTTACCCCCCGCACCCCCCTCCCATCCTGCTCTCGCCACGCACACAGCTCAGAGCTCGGAGTAGTGCTACACAATGGTCAAATACGTCGATGCCCGCACCGACTCCGGTGACGCCTCCAAAAAGAAGAAGTCCCGCAAGGGCTTCAAGGCGGATCGGCTGGAGAACTACAAGCGCATGCTGGCCAAGAAGAGCGGCAAGAAGGTGAAGGAGACCCCCACCCCGACTACCCGCCCCAAGGCTATCACCTTCGACGATGCGGACCGCCGCAACTACCTACTCACTCTGCACAAGAAGAAGAACGAGCGGCGGGTGCAAGCCTTTGTGGATATGAAGCGAAAGCTGCGCAAGGACAACGCCAAGACCCGCCGCGGACAACGGGAAGAGGCGCGTCGTGCGTACAACAACTACGCTCGAGTGCCCATCCTACCGGATTACACCTACCGCCTCCCTGACCGGCAAGACGAGGGCTTTGGCGAAGAAGACGAAGAAGAGGAAGAAGAGGAAGATGGGCACTACGGCGAAGGGAATGTGGACGACCACAGCAGTCAGGAAGGCGGAGAAGAAGAGATGGAAGGCGACATGCCGTGGGTGTACATCGAAGACTCCGAGGAGGCCGCACGCGACGCGCATGCGAGGCCCAAGGCGTCGGCGGAAAACAAGGAAGATGCCTCTCGCAAGCGCAAGAAGGCGAAGCGGCTGGCCACCGTCGCGCACAGCTCGCACGCCATGCCAGGCGTGATGCTTGGACACGAAGCTGGGGAAGTTGAAGGTGATGCTGCTGCGACGGCGACGCGGTCGTCATCCAGCGTGGCGGAGGATGAGCTGGTGACGGTGGAGGTGAAACCTCTCTTTGCGCGCCCGGGCTCCTCGTCCACCGCCTCTTCCACAGGGGATGGCGGCGCTGTGCCGACCGCAAAGCCGCTGCCGTCGAACAACTTTGATGATTTGCCGGTTGTGGTGCAGCAGGAGCTGCGGCGATTGCGCCAGGAAATAAAAGGTCCTGCGAAGACGAAGCCGCGGCTGCACATGATGAAGGAGCTTGAAAAGATCCGTAAGATCCGCAAGTACTCGCGTAAGGGCCACGGTAAGCGCAAGGCGTCCGGCAAGCGAAAGAACCGTAAGAAGTAAGAGGCAAGGTAGGGCGTGCCTTGCGTGTGTGTGTGTGTGTGAATAAAAGCCCCCTCCTCTTTTTTCCCTTCCTTCTTGCGTTGCTTACATACCTTGCGGTGATCAGCAAGCAGCTGGGCAAAGAGAAAAGCTGCCGTTTGTCGTGCGGGTCCACGCGTGCCCTTCTTGGAGTGCTGAAGTGCATGTCTTTGCTCGTGGAAGCGCGCCACGCCAATTAATAATCTGCGAATAACACCACTGACGTTTGTCTTGCCACGCGTTAAGAAGATGCGAATAATACGGAACATAAAAAAGAGAAAAAAAACATTTAGTGACCGTAGCACGTGTGAGTACGTCTTTGCAGAGACGAGAATGGTATCGTATTTCCTTCTCACCGACGTGAGGCTTGAAGCCGGGCAGCTTCCGAATGCTCGGGTTGCAGATACTCTTCTAAGAAAGAAAAAACATGGTATCCGAGCGGCAAATGACGAATGAGCGGTTATGTGCTGCGAAGCAACCTCTCTTCTCCTGCTGCGACAACGTAATGAAAGCATCAACCGAAAGAGTGAGACATTTCCGTCTCGTAACGCACCCATACAAAAAAGGATGTGCTTCTCCTCTTCCCCCTCACCCCCCGGTGCCATCTTCATTCGTATCTTGTCTCTTCAAGGCCAGCATTCATACGTGGCGAAGGCTGGCGTGGAGCAACTTCCATTATCGCGACGTATCCACACACGCACCCGCGCTTTCAGCTCCGTATTCAAACACCAACACCAACAGCACTGGTGCGGTATGTCGCATCGCCCGACAAACGTCTGCAGCCCGCTCTTCTGCACGGATCGTGCTTCTCAGCAGGGTGCCGCGGAGCCGACTACACCCGCCCCCCTCTCCCGCACACGTCCGGCGATAGACACGGCGATCGCTGCGCCGCACTCCACGACGCCTGCTTCCTTGACTGCGGGCACCGCTGCGGCCTTCGATGGCTACGTGGAGGCACACAGTGTGGCAGGACTGCGGACGAGCCGGTGCGTAAACCCCGACCGTACTGCTGAGCGCGGCGCCTGCCACCGTGCACAGCAAAAGGAAGATGCCGAAAGGCAGGAGTACACACCGATGTGGAACGATCTCACGCCGCTTTCCGACACAGCGGAGACGACCGTCGCACAGCCCCCTGCTTTTCCTCGTCGTGCTACATCGGGGAGGCGGCGGCGCCAGTCGACGTTGCACGTCACCACCGCCACCAATGCGGCTGCGACACACTCGCCACCCAGCGTGCGTGACGTGACGTCCACGGTGAATGTACACTCGGCGACCACACTGGCGTTGTGCCCATCCATATGGCCCTGCTTCTCACCGGCCCAATCAGAGGCAGGGCGCAACACCGCGCCGCTTCCCTTTCCTCCTGCTGCTGTAGGGATGACGGAAGAGAAGGATCACGACGGCGAAGACCAGTACGCGAAGGCTCTCATCAGCCCTGCACCGGCAAATGGACTTGTCGTGTCAGGGCCGGACGAGGACGACGGTGACGACGACACGTCTCGCTTCAGCGATGACCTTCGGGGTGGTGCACGCGAGGCTGCTGTGCCGGCACGCGCTGCGGTCACGGAGACCCTTTCCCCGTGTCTGTCGCGGGACGGGTGGGCGCGGACGTCTCTCCTGCGGTCCCCACTCGCGGCCTCCCTGCAACCACTCGCACCAGCCACCACGAGGACGACCATGGCAGCGAAGGATCAGACGGCCTCGGCTGCCGCGCTGGACCACTACGCGGATGGCACGCCGTCCTCCCTGCTCGACCGCCCCCTTTCCTGTTACTACGGCCTGTCGCCGCGGTCGCCGTCCATCAGCGTCGCGTACGATGCGGCCGGGCCGGCGGTGGGAGGGAGCTGGGAGGCGAAGCGCGTCCATCGCATCTCCGCCATGCGACGCAGCCACAGCTACTCCCTCACGAGCCCGTGCGGCTCTATTGGGTCTTTCTTGGTCACGCTGGGCTCACCCACCTCGGAGGCGCGCTCGAACAGCGGCTGTGGGCGGGACAGCGCCCGGGAGAGCGGCAAGCGTAAGAGCACGACAACGGTTTCTCCCGATGCACCGGCATTTTACTGGTCGCCCCACTTGCATGCTTCGTGGTCTGGCGTCTTCGCAGACCGCTGAACACGCAAGGCCTAGCAGCAGATTATCCTAAAGGTTATTCTCATGATTGTTATTCGCTTTCTCTCATTGCGCTGACGATGCGTTTTTTTTTCTTCTTTTAAAGATATTTCTGTTGTTATTTTTATCTTCAATATTTCCACTACATTATGAATCAGACAGGCGACTTCATTCTACCTTTTTTTTTCTTTCAAATATCGGAAGCAGAAGATATTCCATCAAATAATAATGATGTATGTTGTTCTCTTGTCCATCAACTTCGCCGGAAACGTCCATCTCGGGAGAAGACGCACAAGTGGCTCTTAGGATGACGATCCATATACTCGTGTAGATTACAATCATCGTTTTTCACGCTCATCAAAATTTTGTCCTTGTCCTTGTCCTTGTCCTTGCTATTAGTATTGTTTTTTTCTGGTGTTTCTGTCCTCTCAACTGTTCACGATGCCGTTTGTGCTTCTTTCTTATTTCATTGAGTAGAAGAAGAATTTAAAAATTTCTCATCCACCGCCTTTTCCTGTTTTAATTACTCCCATCTGGGTCTCTCCCCCTCCCCCTCTTTGTCGCTTTCCGCTACACTCTGTCCGATCCCACACCCTGCCACTCTCTTCACGTTGGGTTCTCAGAGAAGTGGTAGTGGGAGTGGGTTTTATAGTGTCGCTCTGGTTTTCTTTTGAATGAATCTTTGAGTGTCTTCTATAAACGGTCCCACTATTTTTTTTTTGTCAGCGTGCATCTCCCATTTTTTTAAATAAAGAAAATAATGTTACTTTGTTTTTGTTAACAGCATGGATGCGACCATGCAAGTGCGCACTGGGTGTCTATGAAGACGCTAAAAGTCTATTCATATTTTTTCAAGTTACTGCCTTCTTTTTTTTGCGTGCTACTATGTCATTTAGATTTGCTGAAGTAACAGCACTAGTAGCAACTGGTGTGTCTTGAGGGGTGGTGAGCGTTTCCCCCAATACCGACAACGTTGCTTGCTCTTTTTTTCTTTGTCTCTTTCGTTTGATCAGATGCCTGTACAGCTCTTCCTCCCCCACCGCCTCTTTGTGCGATCAGTGTGCGGCCCCGCTACTGTGCCTTTCTCCCCCTTCCTTTTCTAACGCTGCTGAGAATCTAAGCGAGTAGAAGGTACCACATTTGATCGCTTTTTTTTTTCTTATTCTTTGTGGTATTTTCCATTGTTTTTCATTTTGCTACTCCCAGATCCGTATCCCCACTGTAGTGGGCATCTCATTGATCGTCGTTGCGCTCTCTCCGCGCTTGGCGCCTCCCCCTCCCTTTTTTTCTTTTCAAACGTTCCTGTTACTCTTTGTCTTTTACTTTCAAAAAGTATCTCCCTTTCTTCTTCTCTCTTCAGAGCGCACGAATATATATGTTATACTCCCTCGTTATCGCTGTACACATGCTGTTTTGTGTCGTAGACGCGACCGCAGTGCGCTACACACACACACACACACACACGAAGCGTAAAGACGACAGCTACGTTTAACACGTTTTTCTCCCCTTTCTTCTCTTCTTCGTATACGCCTATCGAGAAGATCATAGCAGAATAATAACAAAATACTAATAAGTTTCGGGAAGATGAGGTTGGGCTTGTCTTCCAGTGGGAACCTCCATTAATTGATCAGTGTGCAGCTGATGATAGCGACGCTCAAGTTGCGCAATCACTGTTCAGCTGTGGTTAAGTTATTAAATGGGTTCGTACTTGCATCTCCCTCTCCTTTTTTTGTTGAAAGCGGCTCCTCCTGCGCATCGGCGAGTTTTTCCACTTGAAAAGCAAGAAAGGGAAAAAAATATATAGATGCATCATCTACTCTTTTGGCAGAGCAGCCCATGTAACGAGCAGGGTACGTACACAATATTTTTTTTTCTCCTGTTTTTTGATTTTGATTTATATTTTAAGGAGTGTCAAGAACTCCTTCTACTCTTTCACTCGAGCTTTTTGTTTTGCTGGCTGTACGTATGCTGACATCGAAAGGGAAGAAGACCCGTTATCTTTCATAATAATTACACTAGCGGTAGGAGTAAGAATAATAATGTACTAAGCACATGTCTGAAAAGCAAACATACAGGGATGAATCCTCCAAGACCTTTTTTTTCTTTTCGCTCCGTTTTCATCTCTCAACTCTGAAATATTTGAAGAGAAAAAGGTAAGCAACGACATACGCTTTGTTTCTCCTCTTTTAAATTTTGACTGCCGTTTCGAATGCGGTAGGATTTCGACGTGTGCATCGCGTGCAAAAGCGATGCGTTGTGATGGCGCTTCTCAGTACCGGTCTCCTCGTCTCAGGACAACAAAAAAGAAAAGGTTGATCTGAATCCAGTTACCTGAAAGCTACGTGACACTCCTCCTTCCCATTTCTTTCGCTGTGCGTGTAGCAGCTTTAGGATTTTGGGTTTCAACTTCATGGGTCGGCGTTAGCGTAGAAGGTGTGGAATGGAACGGCTCTTCGGTTCTCCTCTTTTCTTTAATTTTCGTTTGCTCTTCTCGATTCGATGTTCATTGAAGTGCCACTGAAACAGCGCACCGCCATTCGCGTGTGTATGGCAGGAGCGGTAAATACGCAGATGCTATTTCCTCCCAATAACCATGTCAGCTGAAGGTTTTTTCATTTGCGTTTTTGTATTTTGAATCACGCGTGTTACCCACTCTTCCTCCCTCCCTCACCTCTCTTCATGTGATTCTGGGCAGCTCAACCCAGCCATCGCCACAACACTCGCAGCCAACTTCGTGCTACGAGGGCTGAGGAGAGCGACGCTTTCCTTCGCGCCATATTCTGGGGCACCCACAGTATATAGTTGGAGGTAAGCGACATTGTTTTCGCTGGTGCTCACGCGTAGCCTCTTATTTATTTATTTATTTCTTGAGAATGCGAAGACTGAAGTCGCATCGAGCATTAGACCATTTGTGGTGGTCGGCGCTGCCTCGGTGTGCTCCGACGTTGGCCTGCGTCTCCTCTCGCCGCCTCTGTGCTGCCTTTCCCGTACAGCAAATCACGCCTGCCAGCCCGGTGCTGCACTCCACGCTCGCAGATGCACATATTCATGCAAGCTGCCTGTTGGCCGAGATGCTCCACACACGGCAGCCTACCTCGTTAGCGGCGTACGTGCAGGTGACAAGGGAGTGGTGGCGGGCAGTGGAGCAGCTCGTGCTGCTGCCCGCCGCAGCGGAAGAAATTCACGACCTTCCGCAGTACTTAGCGGAGCTCGCGGGCGTCCCGAGACAGCACACAAACGAAGACAACACATTAGAAAAACTGCACAACGAAGCGGGCACACTGTTGGAGAAGTGGGAGGAGTGGGTGTGGACGAGTGTGCCGAGTACGATGCCCACCGCAGCGGCATTCAATGAGACCATCGACGAGGATCAAGGTGCCACACGCAGCGCGTTTGGCCACCGTGACGTCTTGTCCTTCCCGCTACTGACCAGCCTCCTCTACTCCTATAGTCGATATCATCGCGGTGTGCGCTGGGGTGCGGCTCGGCCCAACCAACGCCACCACGGCAGCAACAGTGGCACGAACGAGCACGCAAAAAGCGGTGGTGCCGCCGCCGCTGCGTACTACCGCAGGCGATACCTCCTGCACCCCTGGCACGGCTTGTGCTGCCCCGAGGGCACCGCGGAGCAGATGCCGTACGTGCATGTTCTGCGATGGATGTTGGCGGGTAAGGAGTCTAGCACACCGCCGGAGGAGGTGTGGCGTCAGCATAAAGCGTTGGCGCACTTCCGCATGCCTGCTGCCGCTGCCACCGACGCCCCTTTTCGTGCGTTAGATGTTTGCAGCCAGAGTGGGTATGTAACGGATCTGCTGCTGAGGGCCGGAGCCGACCTCGTGGTGGCCGCCGACGCCGATCCACACGCGCTGGGAAACACCGAAGCGACCTTTCACGAGCACGTCCGCGAACAGCGCAGCAAGCGCCGCGACCAGTTGCTGCTGACTCGCCGCTGCGACCGCTTGCCGATGCCGCGCAAACACGATGAGGACGATGAGATATCCAGGAAGCTGCAAGAAGCACAGTTCAGTAGCGGCACGGCGGACGTAGACGCTACAAGCGCTACCGCGGCAGAGCGACGCCGTCGGCGAGCGCGAGAAGAAGGCCGCGGGTACACTGGGATGCGCCTCGGTGCAGAAAACACTGCGGACAGCGCCGCGCCGTCTCTGGCAGAATCGCGTGCGAGTGCGGATGGGAGCCCTTTTCAGGTGGTTTACATTCACCCCCCAGCTTCGACCACGGTGTGGCCGGTCACCTCTGCGCACGGTGGAGCTCAGGCGTCGCTGCAGAGCACGTCGTGGTGGCAGTCTCTCCTGCGCAAAGCAGCCGACGACGGTGTATCACAGCAGCTCCTTCTTCCTTTTCTGCCATGCGATGCTGTTCCTGCAGCAGGTCGGCGCAGCCCGCTTGCTACGTGGTCGGGACTACGGCACACCATTGAAGCGCTGCGCGGCGACGTAACGGAACGACGGCCTACGGCGTTGCCCGACTCTGTAGAAGGAGGAGAAACCCTCGCAGGTAGGGAGCCCCAATTTAGTCGTGGCAGCGACGCTCTTCTTTGCGATGACGGTTACGTGGTGTTGGTGCTGCCACGCACGTACGATGTCGATCTTCTTTTGCGCGAGGGCGAGCAGCAGAACAGCCCGTCGCTGGCTGACTGGGTCGTAGCGCAGCTGGACGGTTATTACGACCTCGTACTTCGACGTCGGTGTCTGGCACACGCTTCAGCCTCGCCTGCGTCTGCAGCTGCGCAGCTGAACGCCTTTGAGGAGGCACTGGTGACGTATCCACGCCGTGTTCAGCACTTGGAGGAGCAGAGCGGTGAAGATGAACACGGTACGTCACAGAACGCATCGTCTCGTTCTGCTGCTGCTGTTGATGCGGCACCGTGGAAAGGGCAGCTGACACGGCTGTACCAGAAGGAGTGGTGGCAGGATGTGTTGGTCTTCACAAAGAACCCCGCCATGGTGCGTCGATGCGCGGCTGCACGCCACAACTCTCCGTCGCTGTCGCCGCAACGACTTTCCATGATGCAGCGGGGGAAGAGGAAGCAGGACGGCGTGGCGTGGGAGGACTCCTTCGAGTACAACGAGTACCACCCCCGCGACGCCGCCCAGCTCACCAGCCATCACTGGACCGATCTGATGCCGACCTACTCGTACTTGGAGCCAGACTTCTACGACGAGCCCGCCGCTGCGCAGCTCAATTTCCTCGCCGTCGGCCACCAACCGGCGCTGCTTCGCGCCACGTCCGCTTCGGCCGGGTATGGTGTGCCGTCGCTGCAGGACGGCGGGACAGCAAAGGAGGCGGCAGGGGAAGACGGTGTAGCGTCGGCGTCGGCGCAGGCTGCGGTGAACTTCCAAACGCTGTTTGCGCAGGAGCTGCGGACACGGCGCCGCTCGAAGCTGCGCAAGCTCGCATTAAGCCCGCTGGAGCGGCAGGAGTGGTACATCGATGAGAAGCTCATCAAGTCAAGTGGAGCGCGGGTGGAGCTGATGAACCAGCTCTCCAAGTGGGACTTGAAGGACTACGACAACTGAGGGAGGGAGGGGCAACGTTTATTTTTATCCACGAGCAGTCCAGAGAGACGTATATATATATATATTTTTTCCTCTTCCGCGCTTTTCTCTGTAGTCTAACTTCATCACAGACATCCTTTACACCGTTTGCATAATAGTAAAAGAAAGACCGTTTTCCTTGCTTACATGGCTGTTGCTATGCACGCACTTCACTATGCCTATGCCGCAAGTAAAGCCTTTTTTGATGAGTGATTTTTCTGCTGTTCTTTTTGCATGCTTGGCTTCCGCTCTTTTCCCGAGAAGAGTGGGAAACCCTTTGGCTGGTGTCGAAGGAGATGCGCTCGCACGCGTTCTTGCTGCTCGCGCCCAGGTCTCTTCCTTTCTTCGATGTCATTGCTGTTGCCGTTTGTCCTTCTTCTTTAAATGCCTCTTACCACCGCGTGTTGAACGCGCTCTGATTATTATTATTACTGTTACTCTTACTATTATGACTCTTTTTTGGCACTTCGGCGTGTCCGCCCCACCGACGTGCGCCCGTACGCATCTTACTCCAGTTTGTATTCCCCTTACCCGCCGAGGTGCATCTACCTTTCGTCTCTCCATTTTTATTATTTATCCCTCCCTCGCACACCCACCTTACGCGAGTGCCACGACACAATTCCCCGCAGCAAAAGACAATAGCAAGACAACAAAAAGAACAACAATATCAACCGCAATAAGAGCACTAAGCACTCTTATTCTTATTATTCATTTCTATCATCGCAATCATGACTGACGAGGTGACACAGGAAGTCCAGTTCGAGAACGGCCACCCCGCCTTCTCGTACGACCACGTCTACCGCTGCTTCAAGGGCGACAGCAACGGCCTGCTCTTCCGTCTTGTGAACGACACAAACCACAAGTGGGCCTTCTACAACGACACGAAGGACACCGTCATGCGCGTGAAGGCGCACTTCAGCGCCGACAGCAAGGTGAAAGCTGCCGGGCGCGCGAAAGCGACGGCGGTGCCGGTGGAGGACCAGGAAGAGCTGCAGGAGACGATTATTACGGTGGAGGTGATGCCGATGGCGACGGAGGTCTTCATCGACGGCGAGGCCAACGGCTTTTCGCTAGACTTCCAGACGGAGCAGATGCCGGCGACGAACGTGAAGTTCATGAACCAGCGCAACACCCTCCCCCCTTACACAAAGCTGTACAAGTGCTTCAAGAACGAGGGCAACGGTCTCTTTTTCCGCCTCGTCGATGAGGAGAACAAGAAGTGGTACTACTACAACGACACGAAGGACTTCATGATGACCTCCACCGTGACCTTCCCGCGCACCGAGGACGTGGCGCCGGTCGGCAACACGCTGGAGGTGGAGGCCGAGGACGCGGGCAACGATGTTGCCTACCAAATCACCGTCGCCCCGGGCAACTGCGAGGAGTTCATCGAGGGCAGCCCCGCTGCGTACCGCCAGGCCTTCAACGCCGACCCCATCGACGAGAACTGCCTCGACCCGAAGGACGTGCAGTTTAAGCACAGCGAGCCGGACCGCAACGTGGTGGACCTCGACAACTGCAAGATCTACAAGTGCTTCAAGGACAACGGCAACGGCCTGCTCTTCCGCATCGTCGACCACCAGAACCAGATGTGGGCCTTCTACAACGACACGACGGAGTACGTGATGCGGCCGAAGGTGCGCTTCTTCGGCTCACCGAGCATCGCCCTCGCGCCAGGGGCGGAGGTGGTGGAGTCGGAGGAAGAGGACGGCTCCTACGCCGTGACGATTGAAGTGCCGCCGCTCGCGACGGTTCACTTCATCGACGGCCTGCCCTCCAAGTACGAGGTGTCTGTGGTGGCCGACAGCGTGAACAAGACCGCGCCGGAGGAGAACCCGGAATTCCAGACCGGCGAGCCAGACAAGAACCTCGTGAACTACGATGAGGTGTACCAGTGCTTCAAGGACAAGCCCGATGCCCGTCTTTTCCGCCTGGTGGACACGCAGCGCCACCGCTGGGGCTTCTTCAACGACACGGCTGACGTTGAGTTCACCGCGACGTTTTCGTTTGATGCGGACGGCGCGGTGCTCCCGCTGGGCTCGACGTCGCAGGAAGGCGATGAATTTTCCGTCAACATTCCACCGGGCTCCACGGAGGCCTTTGTCCAAGGCAGCGTCAAGGGCTTCAAGTCAAAGTTCACGGGCAAGCGCAGGGCTGCTGCCGCGGCTCAGGCGCAGTAAAAAAGAGGTGGGGGTATTCATACCTTTCTCCTTGAACTTTCATAGTTTCTGATTCTCCCAGTGCAAATAAAGGGCAAGACACCCACACACTCAGAGCCTTGTAGGGAAGAGGCAGAGGGTGAGGACATACAAGGAGTAGCTGACACCATGTAGCGGTTCACGCACAGACACAGATGCGCACATACAAAGACCCACTGTGCCCTGCGCTTTGCATTCCTCTCTTTTTCTTCCTGTCATTGTTTACATCTTCACCGCTAACCATTCTTGTTTTACAATCCCTCTCAAGCTTTGTTTTCATTTCTCATGTTTTTGTTTTTGTGTTGTTGAATGTCAAACCACTTAGAGTAGTGTGTTTGAATATGGGGTCGGCTCATTTCGTTAGCAGCGGAAGACAAAGTCAAGGGATGCAGTGGCTACTGCAACAAGGCGTATCCGCTGATTCTTTAGCTTCCTTAGGTGTCTTTTTCGACTGTATCACGACGAAAAGAGAAAGGAAAGCGCTCCGGATTCAGACATTGGACAAACGTTGTTCTTTTTCTTTTTCTTTTCTGAAGCAGTGGTAAAGGGAGTCGTACTCAATGACGTCTTCCATATCACCTCTTCCACGCGAACACCTTGTTGCACCCTTGCGCGGTGTCTCCACCACCAGCAGCATGTTCTCTGCAGTTGTGAACGTGCTGAAGGACGCGAAAGGCAGAAAGGAACGGAGCATGCCTGTCCTACATAGTTTTTCTTCTTGCGTTAGAGAGGCTACAGGGTTTTTTTTTTTCTTCTCGTTTGACTGTGCTCCTGAGATTCTCGAGATGGCGAGAGAGGAAGTCGACGCCGTTGGTGTTGATCTGAGGTGAGTCGCGTACTATTCCCCCTTTTCCAGTGCCTTTTTCTTTGTTTTCTTTCATTCCTTCCTTCCGTGTTTCTTGTGAATTGATCGGCCCAGCGGTGCAGTGGAAAAGGCGAACTATTATGAGGCCGAGCTTTTTTTTCCCCTTGTTTTTGTTTATTTATTTATCGAGGCTTCGTAGAGCACAGTAGCGCTATTTTTGTGTTCTCTTCATTACTACTGTTTACTATTTATCTTTGTGCTTATATGTGCCGTTCCTCTGTTCAGGGGTACCCGGTACGGGGAGCGCGAGATGGCAAGCCGTTGATTGACGGCGATATACGCCGAGACAGGGAGGCGCACAAAAGTACGCATGTATATATATATATATCGATTCGTTTCTATACGTTTTTCTATTTCAAAGCCTCTTCTTTTCTCTCTCTCTCTCTCTGTTTTCTGTGACGCTTCAGCACCGCACTCGGCTTCAACCGTCAACAAGTTTATGCGTTAGAGTGATGGCCAGCAGCCGCAAACTCCCGCGGAATATACATGCGAGATGCAACAGCAATCAAACAACCAAGCAACAAAACAGCCAAAAACACTTCTGCGAAGGCCGCTGAAGTATAGATGTGCATTTTATGTTCTTCCAGAGGCCCTTCACGATCGTGGCAACAAAATGAAAAGGGAATCTTCTCGTTTGCACTACACCAAAAGGTCGCTGCTTCTCTAGTGGGGATATGTGTGCTCCACAACTTTCGCTCCTCAATCCACTCAATAGGTAAAGGTTTTTGCTTTTGGAATGTTTTGCCTTTTCTATTTCTTCTCTTCCCCTTTCCCCTTTCCCTCTTCTCCGTCGTGCGTGGGCGCTACTATGCATCGAAACACACTGACATCTCACGTAAACCGTGAACCTCTCACACACACATAGTATTATTTTCTATGTGAGTTTTCGTTGCTCTCTCGAAGTTTACCGCACGCTGAGGAGTACATACATCACCCTGTGAACTAAACTGTGTGTAGGCTCCCAAATTCGGCTACAAAAGCAAGGGAAAAGAAAACCGGCTGGCTTTCAACTTCTATCGAGTCCTTCTTCCTCTTGAGGAAACGAGAAGAAGAAAGAGAAAAAGCGCGCTTGAAAGTAACAAAACTTCGCGCCGCCTTCTTTCATCCATTTAACGACCGCAGAACTCTCCGTATATATTTTTTGGTCTTTCTTTAATTCATTGAGTGTCAAAAAGAAGTCACACCATAAGAGAGAAAAGACGAGAGATTGGAATTGTTGAACTTACGCACCGTCCGGAACTAAGAACCACCAACAGAGGTGAGGCTCCACGCTGCTTCTGTTTTCTTTTTTTTTAACAGTGACTCTTATACGCGGGTGCCGAGCCGAAGAGTCGCAGAGCCCCCTTAAGGTTTTACTTTTGTTTTTACACATACATATATATATTGTTTTGCCCACTGCTTTGCTGTTCTCTTTTGTTGCATAGGTATATATATATATATATATATATATAAAGGATACAAACAAAAAAAAGGGTTTTCGCTCTCACGATTCATACAGTTAAACCCGAAGCGATGACAGAGCTTGTGCCGGTGGAGTCGATCCACTTCGTCAACGGTGAGCCACTTTGCGCCTTTCAGGAGTGCTATCGCTGCTTCGAAGGACGCGACCTCCTCTACCGACTCGTCAACGTGGAAAAGAAGCAATGGTTCTTTTACAACAACACAGTCGACGTTATTATGCACGTTCACGCCGTGTTCTCACCCGGCAGCGTCATCAAACCTCTGCAGCGGGCAACACTGCACGTGGTGCCGAACGCGGCCGGCTTTTCAGACGACACGTGCTCGACCGAGGTCACCTTGGACGTAGAGCCCGGCTACACGGAGTCGTTCATCGAGGGCGATGTGAAGGGGTTCAACTTCGAATTCCGCACCGAGGCCGCCCCGGCGAAGGATGTTGCCTTCGAGTACCGCCGTCCCACGGAGCCGTACGACAAAATCTACAAGTGCTTCAAGAACAACGGCAACGGGCTGCTCTTCCGCCTCGTGGATGACAAGGCCTCTCGCTGGCTTTTTTACAACGACACGCGGGATTTCATGATGAAGGTGAGCGTTGTGTTCGCGAACGGCGCTGAGGTGCGTCCGCTGGGGAAGACGGCAGTGACCGGCGCTCCGCCGGAGTCAGGGGAGAAGAGCATTAGCTGTGTACTCCACATCGCACCCGGTGCCACAGAATCCTTTATCGAGGGCCACCCGGTCACGTACACGCTGGACTTCGCTGCGGAGCCGGTTGTGCCGCCGGCCCTTCCAAAGACGGCAGAGGAGCCCGTTGAGTACGTGCATGGCGGCCCCGATGCCAGGGTGATGCCGCACCAGTCCCATGTATACAAGTGCTTTAAAGACCACGGCAATGGGCTGCTCTTCCGCATCGTGGACGACTACAACAACATCTGGGCCTTCTACAACGACACCGCAGAGTACGTCATGACGGCGAACATGCGCTTCCCGCACTCTAGTAGCGTGCAGGTGGCGCCCGGCGTGCAGGTGATCGCGGATACGGAGCGTGAGGGTGGCGTGGTGGCTGCGGTCGAGGTGCCGCCGCTCGCGACGGTGCCTTTCTTGGTAGGCACGCCCGCCACTTACGAGCTCGCCTTCTCTGCCACACCGGTGCAGTCGCCGCCCTTGACACCGTCACCGTCGACGTCCGCTGCACCAAGCACCGGTGACTTCCCCAGAACGGAAGCGGTCCGCGATGCCTCAGCCTCTTCCTCTCCTCCCCCACTCGCTACTACTGTTCTTCCTGCTGTTCCTGCTGCTGCTGCCGCTGCCGCCCAGCCGCTGCCCGCCGTCCCCGTACCGGAGGAGCTCCCGATGTACGCGCACGGTCATCCCGATCCAACGATCATGCCCCACATCGACGAAGTATACAAGTGCTTCAAGGAGCACGGAAACGGCCTGCTGTTCCGCCTGGTGGACAAGACGCATCACCGCTGGGCCTTTTACAACGATACCACCGACGTGGTTGCCTCGGTGAAGGTTGCCTTCCACCCAAGGGCGCGTATTGAGCTGCTTGGCAAGGCAGAGGCGGCGACGGAGCCCGAGACGGGCACCGTCGTTTACACCCTTCGCGTGGAACCGCTGGAGACGGCGGTGTTTGTGCAGGGCGACGTGGACGTCTTCACCACGAGTTTTATGGCAGAGCACATACAGGTGTGAAGACGCCTTTTTTTCCCTTTTGCCGCCGGTTTTTGTTGTTGTTGGACTTTTTTTTTGGTTTTCTCGTTCCTCTTCCGGTGCCTCTTCTTCTTGAGAGCTTGCGCCAGGAAAAAATCGCCGGGAGATGAATCGAAAGCCACGCGTTGTGTACTTTCCCTTTCTCTTTCTCTCCCCTCCAATTGACCTTTTTCCAGGAAAGGCTGTTTTCTTTTTTCCCACCGTCCCGCCCCTTTTCCAACCCCACGAGGTGGAAATGCAGACGATCTGAGCCTGCAAGAAACTCCCTTTCGTAAAGTTCTAATTGGTTCAAAAATAAATACAAAAAGAAAATAACGCCGTCTACCCTTTAAGGAAAATGAAAACGATACAGGGATGTAACGACACTGTTTTGCACTTTATTGATCTTTCTCCTTTCTCCTTTCTCCTTTCTTCCTGATCTGAGAGTAGCCGACTAGATTTTTTCTCTAGCTTTATGGCAAGCTGCAAGACGTCGGCACGATCAGCTCTCATTCCGACCCGCCTCGCTTCTTCATGTTGTTCGATGCATTCACCCTTTCACCTGAATACACACTCACGGAGACACACACTGCGTGAACGAAGCTTTGCGAAAAGGATCAGCAACGAATGACGCATTCACGCTGAGAATTGACGGCTGTCGTTGTCGAAAATTTTTTTTCCCATCGCAGCATTCGGAAGACACTTCTTTCTCTTTTCTTTCCAAAAAAAAAAATTCGCGCGGCGCAGCCGGAGCTGCCTCGTCCAAGGTCCGCGGAGGTGCCATTTATTTGTTTACTTCTTCCCGTTTTTTCTTCCTTTACCGCCTGTTTGCGCTCTCTCTCCGTCATAGCAGGAACAAACGTGGTGGCACGTTATCGCTGCGGCTCATCAGCATTGATGAACTCTTTTCGATTATTGCACCTCTGAGTGAAAAGCACCAATGCCCAATAAATTCCTCTCATTTTTTTCCCCGAGTGTTACACTGCGCTTCTGTTCAGCTCTTAGGTTTCTCTTTTCTTGTTACTTTTGCCGGCGGGTCAGAGACTGAGTGAAAACACCGGAGAAGCGGAGCGTGGCGCAGCAAGCATGTACATTAAAATGGAGAAAGCAAAGATGAAAGAGCCACGACTTCACTGTCGCACAACGCTTCTTTGAAAAGGCGAAGCTCTCATTGCGTAAATCGTGTTCTCTCTTCCTTCCTGTCGGACACATCTAAAGCAATTCTTGGAGAAATTTCTATTTTTTTTTCTGCCGTGGGCTAATGCGGAGAGAGAAAGAAGTTCTGTCTAGGTGTAGTTTGTATTCATGGCAGCCGTGAACGGTGCCCGCTGAGGTGCACATCAACACTCCCTGGTGTGGAAGCCGGTACTTTCGTTTCCTTCCTTTTTAAAAAAAGTTGTTTAATGCAATGTATCGAGTTAAACTTGGACATCGATGCAGGAGGGCCGTTGTTTTTCTCTGTGTACTTTTTTATTATTTTTACCTAAAAAAGACAAATAGAAGTCGAAAACTAAAATGAATCCGGAATGAATCAAAGAAGTGGTGTTTTTGACGTTAAAAGATACGTATAACTGATTACGTTTGTTGGCTTCAGGAGCTGCACGACCTTAAATCAACGAGTCCTTTGGCCAACGCTCATATAGAAGCGTTTTTCTGTAGAACGCTTCTGCACCCGTTATGCAAGGGTGTAAGACGCCACAGCTTAGGCCTTTTTCTCCGTTTCGCTTTCGAGAAGTGAAGCTTCCTTTCTTTTTTCCTTTTTTTTTTTGCACTTACTTTCACACACTTATTTCTCCTTGTGAAACTCCCTCTCCCTCTCCTGTGATACGGTGCACAAACGGCTCATCTTCTCCTCACATCATTTCTCCCCCCTGTGTGCACGCCCTCGGTTGAATGTTCAGGATTCACCCACTCCTATTCTTGTTTGCACTGTTCTCGTGTTCTTTTTTCTTTTGCCAATTCTTTTGTTCTTTTACCGTTCTCTCTCTCTATTTTTTTCTTGATCGTTGCGACTGCCATGTGTGCCAGCGGAGCCTTGGTGCCGCCCATCAGCTGGGCCCAACGCCCCGAGTACGTCCTCCTGACGATTGCGCTGCAGGACACCACAAACGTCACGGTTGAGATGAAGGAGGAGGGGAAGGTGCTCTATTTTTCCTGTACAGCCCCAGAAGACAAGCACTACGCCTACACCCTCCACTTCTACGCGCCGATCTCGCCTGAGGAGAGTCAGCACGTGGTCCGCCCGCGCCAGATTGAGCTGAAGCTCAAGAAGAAGTTTCACAAATCGCTCGAGGAGGCGGAGGACGACGAGGTGGAGTGGCCGCGGCTGACGGAGGAGAAGACGAAGCACTCCAACATCAACATCGACTGGTCCAAATGGAAGGACGCGGGTGACAACGACGCGGGTTCGGATGACCTGGGTGACTTCGGCCTCGACGGTGATGGTGGCGGTGACGAGATGGATGAGCAGTACTCGGAGATGCTCAGCCAGCTCATGGCGGCGCAGGGGCAGCAGGATGCAGAGCAGCACGCCGGACTTCCTGCGGGCGGCCTCCCGACATTCGGCGCTGCCGCCGGTCAGAAACCGTCGGAGGGTGCGGAGGAGGAGGACGACGACCTGCCCCCTCTGGAGGAGGATGCGAACTAAAGGGAAGATACAACGGCCGATGAGACACCTTCTATGATCTTGGTCGCGGAGTACAACGTGGGCCGAATCAGTGATGCAGATGTTCCTGCACGCGCTTCCTTCTTTCTTCACTCAGGGAATAAGCTCATGCCGTCTTCACTGCTGACTCTTCCGCCTTTTTTATACTTATTTTTAATTGACGTCTGCGCCTTAATGGTATGCTTACCGTGTTTCTTTTCTTCTTTTTCAATTGTGTGACTTGGTGTGGAAGCTGCTTTCACGAGATCTCTCTCGCAGACTTCTCTCACCCTCAAATTTGGCAGAGGAGAAGTGTAAGCTGAAGAATCGTTTTGCACCGAGGCATGTTAAACTGTACGCGCCATCAATTTTCATTTCTTCCCACATCGCAATGCAACGAACGATGTATTGCGCAGTGCATTTCTTGTGATGCACGGCGATAAGGAGAAGATCAAAAACAAGTAAAAAAGAAAAAGGTATCACTGTTGTCGTACTTGATGCAGCGTCTTTGTGGGGTTCTTTTCTTAAAAACGATTTTTACCGGCTATTCGTCGTCTTTGAAGAGCTGTCGAGTCCGGAAGGAGCGCCACTGCAACATCGGTGGAGCTCGGCAATACAATCAAAACTCTCTCTCCTGTTTTATTTCTTCTTCTTGCTCCGTCTTTTCTGCCTCCCTCATCTGCACGTCGTCACGCCGCTCTTCAAATCAACATTACCAAATAGGATGCAACGACAGCCGTATTGTACAACGCTTTCAATATTTGTTGCCCTCGCTCATCAGCGTTCTGTGAGCTGTCGTTTAGTGCTCTTCTTCCTTTGTTCATTGTAGAGTCGTGTCCACCGGAGTTGCAGCCCACCACTTCGAATACAACAAAAACTGTCAAAAGCCAAATAAAGCGCAAGGAGAAAAAGGCTGTATGAGAACGATGCGACCAGCGCTGTTGGCGGGGTTTTTCCTCCTGCTGCTGTGGTGCTCCACCGCATCGCACGCGGCCCTCTCCTTTCGCCTCAGCTCAAAAGACTTCCCCCCACCGGCGAACTCAAAGATGCTCTTAAAAGACTACGTGTCACAGAACTCCGCCAACGCCGTGTGCGTGCTCGTGGCGCTGGACAACGGACTGGGCGGCGTCATTCGTTTCACTTACAACTCCAACGTCACCGACGTAGGCCGCCGCGCGGATGTCGTCGTGTCGATCCATAAACCAATGCCCTCCGCCCCGTCGGTTGCCGTGCTCGACGTGGCGGACAACGTGGTGGGGACGAAGTTGTTTGACGCGGCGGAGCTGCATCGCGTGAATGTCGCGGCGAACGTTGTGCGGCGCGGCAAGGACCGTCAAGGCAACCCGGAGGTGACGGAAGATGAGGAGGTATCGCGCAGCTCTACACTGACGGTGCGACCCACGCAGGAAGGCACCGGCGCCGGCGCGCGCTTCTTAGACGGCAACTACGCCGCGTGCTTTCGACTCATGCGCCCGTCAGGAGTGTCGACGCAAGCTGATCGGGCGGCACCGGAGGAGGTGCAAATTCGCTTGTTGGAGGTGGCCTCCACCAGCCACTCTACGTCCACCTACGTTGCTCGTCTTAGCAACCCGGTGGTCAACGCGGCGGGCAACGGGCAGGCGGCGGACACCTTCACCTCCGAGGCAGATCGAGAGTACGCCAAAATGATTCGGCTGATGTTCCGCGCCAACAAGAACACCGACCTGCAGAAGCTGCTCGACACCAATACCGTCGTGACGTCGCAGCAGATGCGGCAGCAGCTTGATGAGCTGAAGGCGGTGCAGCTGCAGCTTTTCTCCTTGTACACCTCCTCGGAGCGCCTGGAGGAGCGGTATGCCCGCATGCGCGTCACGGCTGAGACGACGTTTACGCGAATATGGATCTCAATGGTCGCCGTCGTCACGGTGATGGCCGTCACGATTTGGCTGACCTTTTACTTCACGAAGGACATCATCGTCAAGAGGAAGCTGATTTAAAAAGGCGGTGGTTGTGGGGCGTGGGGTGTGCTTGTGTGTGCTTGTGTGTGTGTGTGTGTGTTTCCGCCTTTTGCCTTTGCGCGATATGTGATGCGTGAGGCAACTTCTTTATCTCCTCTTTTTTTCCCCCTCGGCTTTGTTGTTTCGAAGATGGTGGTGTGTGTGTGTGCGTAGCGCTCTCACGTTGGTTGAAGGATGACTTGCGTGTCATCAAAGTTTGCTACGCAGGATGGGAGAACCATTCTTCGCGTAATGGAACATGCCCGCATTGTTTTATCATTGCCGCATCGCAGCACACTCTCTAAACGCGCCGGCAATAGACACACGCAACGTTGCGACCGATGTCCATTTCCATGAGCAGGGAAAACACCCCTAATAACTGTGTCCTCTTTGTTTCTGGTTTGTTAGCGGCCAGCACCTTTGTTTCCCCTCCCCTCTTCAGCAACAATCGCGACAAAAAACGGCGTGAGGAGCCGGCGTTGGAGTGGTAAGCGAGCGAGGCGTAGGAGCAAAAGCAAAACATGGTGGCGATGTTGTCGCCTGTTGCTCAAAAAACTATAAAATCTAAGCTGACAGGACCTCCCTCTTTTTTCTCTTTCTCGCTTCCGCTCGCGCAAAGCGTCAAGGTCTGCTGTAAAAAAGCAACAACAACAACGACACCAAGTTATATAACTGCGGTGCGATTTGAGCAAGCGTTGCGAACTGTGTGCTAAAAGAGCAAGCCGTCAAATATGCAGCGGCCGTACCTTTTCGGTTTTCCAAAGCTCCGCTTTTCTTCTTTCGGATGCGGTAGTTGTTGACTGGGCAGTAACGCGAGCAGCTGTTTCTCGTCGTATTTTGCGTCAATGCGCGGTCAACACTATCCGCTCCAAACAGCAACAAAGAAAAGAACACACAAGAACACCAGTACCTTAAACTCACGTTCTGCCGCTGTCGTTTACGCGTGCTGTCGTGATGCGGTCGCTGCGCTCACCATTTAAAGCCGTCTCTCTGTACCCTAATCTTTCTTTTCCCGTTTATGCATTCTGTGAAACTCTTCTACTCCTCCTGCTCTACTTCCTCTTCGCATTTGTTTAAAATTAAACAACGCTACTACTGTACGCGGTCGTTCTCCTTTTTTTTTTTTTGCTGAAAGTAGTTCTCGATCAAGTCACCGCTCCAGCGGGCGCATTCTTTCTGGCTCTTATACAGGTTTTTTCTCTCGTGTATTGTTGTTACTATCTAGGAGTTAAACAGAATCGGCGTCCTATTCCTCCTTGAGTGTCTCCGTCATGTCTGCCTCCCCCACATCGCAAGGAGCTGGAGACAGCCGCATGACGATGTCACCTGTCGAAGACCCGTCCCAGCTCTCCGCCGAGGAGCTGCTTCAGCAGATTGTGGAGCTGGTGAACACCGTTTTGGACCGTCACTACTCGTTGGTGGAGTTCGATGCGCTGGGCGGCATGGACCTCCTGCAGGTCGTCAACGACATTTTTGCCAAACTGCAGCCGAACATGAAGATGGACATGCAGTCCGTCTCCCCGGATGAGTCCGTGGCGAAGATGCTAGACTTCCTCTTGAAGATTCTCGGCTACCGGGTGCCGGTCTTCATCCAGGGCAGCTTCCCGCAGAGCTTTGCCGACGCGGAGCCCGTGGTGGTGTACCCGACGATGTACTGGATCCTCACCCACATGGAGCTGAATGAGAAGCGTGTCTACCTGGCACGTTTCCTGCAGCAGCTAGATGTGCCAGACGATATCCGCGCACAGGACGAGGACGTACGTGGGCTCTACATGCAGTACCAGGCGCTGCGGACGGAGTTCATCAAGGCCCACCAGAGTGTGGAGCGGCTGCGCTCGACCTTCGCAGACCCGGTCGACACCCGTCGCAAGGTGGCCGCGCTCGAAGAGGAAAAAGAGCGCCTGCAGGGTTACGTCGAGGCGGCACGGAAGAAGCTTGCGACGGTGCCCGAGAAGGAGATGCTGCTCGCGGCGAGTAAGTCGTTGCGGATAGCACGCGAGGAGAGCGCGAAGTTGGCGGAGCGAGAGGTGGAGCAGCAGCAGGCGAAGGTGTTTGCCGAGGCCCGCCGCACCGAGATCAGCACACGACTGCAGAACCTGCGCCGCGATGCCGCGGATGGACGGGTCGAGATGATGATCCGACGCATGAAGGATGAGACAGAGACGAATCGAATGAAGTTGCAAGACCAGCTGCCGCAAGAGCTGGAGGCCGTGCGAAACGAAAACGCGGAGCTGGAGAAGCTCGTCTCGGAGCCGCTGGACATGGCCTCGCTGACGGCGCAAGAGCGCAAGCTGGATGACGAGCTACGGACACTGAATCAACGCATCGCGCAACGTCAGCAGCCCGGCGCAGATGGCGCCTCGCTGCCTCGTTTCCGTGATCAGGTGCAACGCGTGCTGGCCCGTAAGCAGGAGGTGCTGAACGAGCTGAGCTCCCTGCAGGCGGATAACAACAAGGCATTGAATGATATTCGTGAGCGCCAGCTTCGCATTACGCAGCTGCAGTCGGCGACCAACATGCTGCGCAGCGACGACTTCCGCGACTTCTCGAATCAGGTGCGTGCGAAGAAGGCGGCGACGGAGGGCATGCGGACCCGTCTTGCCGAACTGCGCACGGAGTGGGGCACGCTCACCTTCACTGAGGGGACGCTGCAGGAGCAGTACAACGAGCTGGACGCCGCTATTGGGGATCTGGAGAGCAAGTTGGGTCTTCAGGGCTACAGCCGCACCGTGGAGGCCCTCTCGAAACTGACGCACGAGAAGGACGCGATTGAGGAGGTGAAGGGGAAAACACTCGAAGAGCTGTCGCGCGTGGTGCAGGAGTTCACGCTGGCCATTCGCGAGGGCCGCACACGGCTGGCGCCGCTCATTAACGAGCTGCGTGCTGTGCGGCAGACGGCGGCGGAGGTAGATCAGGAGTGGTCGGAGAAGAAGTCCCAGTACGAGTACCAAGAAATGCTGCTCACGGAGGATATCCAGAAGATAGACGAAGAGGTGACGAAGCTGAAGGAGGAGACGTCCGCCAACGAGTCCCTCTACCACCGAGTGCGCACGCAGGGCATCCTACTCGATGCCCAGGCGCAGCGCACGGCGGAGGCAAAAAAGTACCGCAGCGACCCCAGCGCCTCCTTAGACCCGCAGCACAAAACATACGCCGACTACTTCAACGACGTCACCCGCACGTTGGAGGCGCGGACAAAGGAGATGCAGGTGAAGCGGCGCGAGTTGGAGGACACGCACGACACGGGCGTGCAGCAGGTAGAGTGGTTCAGCGCACTGCACACAATTCTGCAGGCGAAGCTGGCCAGCTTGCAGGCGGCCGCGCCGGTGGTGGGGGCTGCAGATCCGCGTCGCAGCATCGACGATGATATTCAGCAGGTGATGGGCCGTGCGGGTGGGGCTGATATGCTCGTGCTCAACGCGAACTAACTTCCTGGAGATGATTCCTTTTTTTTTTGACTTTCCAGGATAGCGTCCATCTCTCTGCTCCCATTATGATTGTTTTTGTTTTTTGCGAAATCAGCTTGTTGTTGTCTAGGGTGTATATGACACACAGTTAGCGGATTTGTTGGGCATGCAGCTGCTGAGCACACCGATGCCGAGACCGTCAAACGAACGTCGAAGCGTTAGGTTTTCCCTCTTCAGCTTTTTTTCTGGCGCTGATTGTGTATAGAGTTGACCAGTTTCTTTTCAACGGAAACGTTTGGTATTTATCTTGTTTCTTCTTGTTCTTTGAAGATGTACACTGACGTTACTACTCACCCCTTTTTTCGAGGGGGTGAGACGGGGAGAAGCAGCCTGGATGTTGTGATTTGGCACGACAGAAAGAAGAAGAAAAAAACGGAAATTGTCGCTGTCTTAGAGTTCCTTTTCTATTACACCAGAATGTCATCTCGCCTGTTTAGCCATTTTTTCTATTTCTTTTTTTTTCTTTCTTCTTCCCTGTGAAGTGCGATGCTGCAAGTAGATGACTGTCAAATACCTTTTGGCATTTTTAAATTGTAGTGTTAACGATGAGAAGGAGACGATCTCTCTTGGTCAACGCGGCCCCGATGCGTCGGTGCGGCCTTGACGCGAGGTAGAAAAACGCGTGCCAGCACGCGGGCAATCTTGTTGCGAAATGTATTGGCCAGCTGGAAAAAGAAGAGGCAATAACTTCTTTCTGTTGAATAGTAATAGTAATAATAATAACAAAAAGACGCGAGCTTCTTTTCTGTCCGCCTGTCCTTTTATTTTCTGCCGGTCGTTGGTGCATCTTTATTGTGTTCACTTCGTCCCGCACGCGTTTCGCCTTCTTCTCCCGATTCCTCTTTTCCTTCTTTGAAAACTCCGTTCATCAGGCACCGACAGGCGGGTTTACCGAGCATAACCGCGTACACATAAAGTCATTGTCAACAACCCAATCCTTTATACCTTTCACCACCGCCTATATATATATATATATATATATTTCTGCAGCAAACGTTCTGCGCACTTCGCCACGCGCCGTGCGATGCAGCAATCAAGAAGTCGCTTTCGCGCCTCGAATGAGGGACTGCCGGGCACTTCCACTCTTCTCGATCGAAGAAGCGGCGGCGGCGCCTTCTCTGCCTCTGCTGCGGACCCACGAGCACCGTCCAGCAAGCCAAACTGCAACCCCCTCCATCTCGGTGACCTCCACGGTCACTTAACGAGCTCGTATGATGCAGACGAAGGCGACACGGCTGCCGACCTGCAAGCTGGCCACTTCCACAGCTCCGGTCGCTCTAGCCCCTCTCCTCCTCCGACGCCGCAACCCTTTCCAACCCTTTCGAATTCGGTTTTGGCACGCGTCCAAAGCGACTACCCCGCCGTCTACGCTGCCCTGCGCGTGTACGAGAAGGCGCTGCGGCACCACAGGGAGCGATTCCAAGCGAAGGAAACGGAGCTGCTTCGTTGCATCGGTGTTGGGGAGGAGCTGCTGGAACAAATTGACGCGTTAAAGGAGCGGTGCGAAACACTGGCGCGGGAGCGCGATGAGGCGGTGACCTCTGCAGGGACGCTGACGACGAGTGAGCAGGTGCATGAGCGAGCTGCTACAGCAGTGGCGGAGACGATGCAGATGAACGCGTCGCGTGCGGCAGAGGCGGCGACACGTGCGTGGGACGAAGAGAGGCGGGCCTTGGTGGAACAGTACGAAGCGCAGTGCTTGCGCTTTCGTGAGCAGCTGCAAGATGCACTGCAACAGGCGTCGAACGCCAGCGTGGAACAGCGGGAGCTGGAGTCGACGCTCCAACAAACGAGAGCGCAGCTCCATCAGACGGAGGAGCAGCTGAGAAAAGTCGAAACTGCCTATCAAGAGCGGGAGTCCTTCTATGCAACGCAGCGCAACCGTGAAACGCAGCAGCAGCAACTGTGGATGAAGCAGCAAGTGGCACAGCTGCAGCAGCAGGCGGACGTGGATAAAGAAACGGTACTCGCGGAGGCGACGGTGGAGCTGGAACGACTTCAGCGTGCCCTCGTGCGGGCAGAGAAAGAGCTGAAGGAGCAGCAGCGCTCGGCTGAGCGACCAGTGACGTTGTTGGCCGAGCCGGGAAACGCGACAACGCTGGAAATCGCACGCCTGCGCCGCCAAATTCGCCAACTGGAGGACATCAACCACGACCTTCAGACGCAGCTGCGATCCAAAAAGTTTGAATTGCGGCCTCAAGGCGGAGCTGACGAAGGGAGACTGGTTGCGCTGCATGGCCATTCGATGAACTCCGGCGCTATGCCCAGTAGCAGCAACAAAAGCCCCGTCTTTGGGTTTCCTGCAACGGATTCGCATCAGCAGACGTCTTTCGTTGATGATTCTTCTTCTTCTGCTGTTGTTGCAAGCTCAAGCGCTTCGCTGCAGAGGCGCCTTCAGGAGGAAAACGCACGTCTGCGCGACAAACTACAGGAGGTGGTCCGGCAAGCACAGGACGACGTGGACAAGGCGCACGAGGCACGACTAGAACTGCAGCAGCAGCTCAGGAGTGCCGCGGCGCAAATGCAGCTGCTGCGCGGCACCGTCATTGCTGGTTTAGAAGAGGAGCTGCGGCAGGCGAGAGAGCAGTTGGATGCGGCAGAGGCTCACGGCAGGGACTTGCAGGAGGTCGCGGACGCGTTCGAGGTACGCGCCGTCGCCCTCCAGAAGGAGCAGGCAGAGACGGCATCGCAGCTTGATGCGGAGCACCGTGCGTGCGAGCGACTCCAACAGGAACTGTGCGAAGCAAAAGAAATGATCCCTGCAGTCCAACAAAGAGTGGAGACGACGTTGGTGGAGTCACAGCACAAGGACGCGCTCATCGTTCGACTTCAGCGAGAGAAGCAGCAGCTGGTGGTCGCACTGCGAACACTGCAAGCACAAACCGGCACCATCGAAGAGGCGCTGTCGGCGATGCGCGCGAAGCACGAGGAAGGTACGGCGCAGAACGAGATGAACACCGCGCGCCTGCAGGAGCGGTGCGTGTTACTCGAGCACGAGCTAGCAGAGGCGAAGGAGGAGCGCGTGGCGCTGTGCGGTCGCCTGCGCGATGCGGAGGAAGCCGTCGACGTGCTGAAGGACGCACAACGCATCGCCAACGAATCGGTGCGGGACGCGCAGCGCGGCACCCAGGAAGCGAAAGAGAGGGCCCACGCCGATCTCGAGCGACTGCAGCAGCAGCAACAGGTCTGCAAGTCTCGCGCGACGGAAGCAGAGCAAGAACTGAGCCAGCTGCACAATCGGCTGCGGGAGATGACCCAGCGAGAACGAGAACACCAAGAGGAGCTGTTGAGAAAGGAGGAGGCGCTGCGGCAGAGTACGGACAAGACGACATCGCTCACGACAGAGCTTCACGAGCTGCGTGCGATGCTGTCGAGCCGCGAGGAGGCGGCACGCGAGCGGTGGCGGCAGCAGTACGCGCAGAACACCGCCGATCGGGAGCAGCTGCTCGCCAACAAAGAGCGTCAGATCGAGGCCTTACAGGAGCAGCAGCGGGAGCTGCGGCAGACGCTGACGAAACAAGAGGAGCGGCAAGAGCAGCTGCAGCAGCAACGGCAGCAGACACAAGCAGCGTTATCCGAAGCTGTGGCCAGCACGGCTGCGTACAAGGGGCGGATACAGGCACTGGAAGAAGAACTGGGTCGCCTTGCAAAGGAGCGGGCAGACGCAAAAGCGGAGCTGCGGCGGCTCTCCGAGAGGTACGAGCGCATGGAGGCCACGGGTGCCACAGCGGCAGGCGCGGATACCTCTGCCGCATCTCGCATAACGGAGCTCGAAACGAAGCTCACTGAGTACGATGTGGAACTGCGCAATGCCGAGCGGCAGCGACAACAGGCGCAGAAGACACTTCTGCAGCTTATTCTGACTTCTCCCACCGACGCTACGCAGCTTTCACGCCTAGGCAACGGTAATGGTCGCGGCTGGAACGATCTAGTGGAGGTGTTTGATGACGCGGTGAACAAGTTTGAAGCGCAGAGCGCCTTCGATTTCAATGCAAAACGCATAGGCGAAAGCGGAGGAGGCAACGTCAAGGCCGCTTCCGGCTCGTCAGCTCTACCCGACGCGTGCCAGCGTGCGGCGAGTGCCGTGCTTCGCGCCATCCGTGACTGGATTGAGCGCCTGCACGGCGATGATGACCAGCGCTGGGCCGCGCTGAAGAACGCGGTGCTGACGGCTTACGCTGCTCCCAAGAAGGCAGAGGAAAGAGAGGAGCTCGCTGACGCACACGACACTCCACCGCCGCCTTCTTCAATCCACAAAGAGGGCAGAGTGTACACCGCAGAGGAGCTGCGCGATCGCCTCACAGCTGCCAATAAGTGCTTTGCGACGACGCTGAACGAGCTGAGGACGCAGTGGGCCAGCGCTAACGCCGAATTGGCCAAAACGTCACAGCTGCTTCAGGACGAGCAAAACTGGAAAGCGGAAGTGGAGCAACTCCAAGCCGGACTATCGGCGAAGGAAGCTGAATGCGCAGCCACGCAAACTGCCTTGGACGATGCCCGCAAAAAGTACGCGGACGCTCTGCATACAACGGCGTCGCTGCAGACCTCCGTTGATCAACTTCGCCAAGACCTGGCTGAGCGTGAGGGTCGTCTGGCGGAGCTGGAGCACCGGTTGGAGGTTCGCACCGCAGAGATCCAGGCGGAGCGCGCGGAGTGGGTGGCGAAGTGGCAGGAGGGGCAGCGGCACCGTGAGAGGGAAAATGCAGACCACGAAGACGAGCTGCGTGCGCTGCGCACGCGACTTGTCGCAGCTGAAGACGCCACCACCGCATCGGCTGGTGAGTTGCGCAGGCAGTCGGAGGAGGCGCAGCGACAACTTCGCGCACAGCTGCAGGACCTCCAAAGGGGCGCAGCGACCACCGAGGCGAGTCTTCATCAGCAGGTGAACGCGCTGACGCAGGAAAAGGCGCGTGTGACGCAGGGTCTGCTGACGTTGAAGAAGGCGGTGGTTGGGCTGGAGGAACGCGTAAACACCACAGAAGCTGCTCTGAAGGCGAAGGAGGTGCAGCTGGCCACGGCGGAGAAGGCTTTACACGACATCAAGAAGGCGCATAAGCAAACGCTAGCGAATGGCGCCGCCGCTGAAGCCTTCGGGCAAGAGTCCATGACAAGCCAAATCGCCTCCCTTCAGTCGCAACTTCAGACTTCTCGGCAAGAGAGTGAGTCCATCACGAAAACGCACGCGGCGGCGAAGGCCGAATTGCTCGCGTTGCGCAAGGTGAACGCGTCGCTGGAGAGCCGGCTTGCGGAGGTCGAAGAGGATCGTGCGCCACTGCGGCGGCAGCTTCACAGCCTCCTCTCTTTTGCTGAAAAGTAAGGCAGCACCGGCCCTAAACTCGAGCTAGAGTTCTTTTGTTATTTCCTGCTATTAAAACCGTTGGGGTGCCGATAGAGTTTCTTCATCTTTTTCTGTTTGTAGAATAAAACATAGATATGGTTGCGTGTAATTGCTATTATTATTTTTTAAGTTGTTTACGCTGATTTGTTGGTGCCAGCTTTCTCAGCTTTTGCTTTTACATGGACACGCTAGATGCACATGTCACCACGGCCATGAATGGCTACACAAAACTTCGCGTTCAAGCAGCCCTGCTAAACGGGCGAATACTCGTTGGCAGCATACAATTCGTGGAAGACGAATGAGTCCTTATTTTCTTTATATATACGGAAGAAAGCGGATCAACTGCGTTTACGTGAAGCAACTTGACCAACTCGTTTCTATTGCCCTACAATGTCTGATAGGTAAGCCTTCGAGGCTCCGATAGACGTGCGCTTCTCTATACATTTTCCCTTCTATCTGTTTCACGCCGATTATTTCCTGATCAGCAAAGAAAGAAAAAATCCTTCGCTTTTTATTTCTCTCTTCTTAACTCTCATTTTTTTTTTAGCAGTTATTTTGCTGTCTGTCGCCAGATACTTGTACTGATTTCTTTACGCAAGAGTACCCCTTGTTGCCGAATCGTTTCTATTCTAAGTGCACCATCATTCTTTCCATTTACTCTCTCTGTTTTCTGCAGATTAAAACGTAGTCACATTCAGAAAATTACACGAGTGCTTTGCACCAAAGCTGAACCATCGGCTATTGTCTGAAGTTTTAGCCAGACCGATATCTTTTTCTCCTTTCTTTCTCGTAACGTAGTTTAATCGAAGCTTAGAGAAACAACAACAACAACAGAAAAACGATGAGTGCTGCCATGAATTTCGGAGAGAAGGAGCCGCCAGTGCACCCCAGCGGCCGTGCCCACGTGGCTCTCTACCCCAAAGGCGGTCTCACCTTCGGCTCCACCGGCCTCATGCCCAGCGCAGCCAACAACAGCGTCGCCGTCCAGCGCGCGCCGCTGCATCACCGCTTCAGCCCCGGCGTGCGGGCGGGGGTCTTGAGCGGGAAGCAGCACCCGCAGGGCCGCCGCCACCTCGACCCCAACTTCTTCACCAACTTATCCGATGACGCGAAGCGCGAGGAGGGCCGTTACGGCCGTGCGCACGTTGCTTCGGAGCAGCAGCAGCAAGCCGACGCGTACTACTCAACGAAGCAGTCGTCCGTGGAGCAGCCTCCGGGGGAGGAGTGCAATTTGTATCTCAAGTCCTACTACTACACCCCGCTGTCGAAGGCAGATCGTGCGTCTCCACCACCCAAGGTTCCCGTGTCGGACGTGGGCAACGGCGCGCAGAGCACCTCCTTTAAACTGGCGGAGGGCCGCCTGCGCCGCCTCAAGGCAGAGCACCCCGAGTACGAAGCAGAGGTGAACAAGGTGCTGCGCGAAGAGCACGGCGACTACGCGATTGTGAGGTCGCAGGAGAAGCTGTCCCGCAAGGCCGCCGTCGCCGAGTACGCGAAGGGCAGCGACGCCCGCGTGAAGCAGATTGCGGCGACAACCAAGTACCACGGCGCGCCAAACCTCGGCTCTCCAACCCCATCGATCGAGCGTAATGTGCCGTACGCGCTGGACGACTCGCGCAGCCGCCAGGACACGCAGCTGACGTCCAACTCCCACGTGCGGCTCTTCGACCAGCGCAACCGCCGCTCCGCACCCGTCGAGCCGCCTGTGAAGCCGCGCGACCGTCGCGAGCACGAGAGCCCCGTGCCGTACGACTCGGCGGACGTTTCGAAAGAGCAGTACCCCTCCCCGCCCCCCATCGGCGTGCGTCAGGGCATCTACGCGAAGCCGACAATGGTGCACATCGACCCGCGCAACCGCGAGCAGTGCGGCGAAGACGTCGACACTCTCAACTTCAAGCGAGCGCGTGCACGGAGCGGTGCGAGCCAGTCGCAGGAGAGCCGTCCAGATTTTATCTTTGGCACTGGTCCGGCGCCGCGGCAGCCACGCCCCACGCTGGCCCAGCGCACGGAGTCGCGATGGAAAGCGCAGGAGCGTGACGCCGAGGAGCGTCGCACCGGCAAAGCTTTCTACCCGCAGGCTTATCCAGAGACGTCGCTGTGGTAAGGTGGTGCGAACCGTGTAACACGGCTGCGCTGATGCAACCGTGGTGGGGATGTGGCTGAGCGCCGTTGTCTCGTACAGGACCCCAAAAGGCTCGCTGCTCGCTATCATTATTATTATGGATTCCTCAAGGAAGATATGAAAAGGTTCTTTCTTTTTTCCACACCCAGAAAGGCAAGTTCATCTTCAACGTTAAAAAAACTTGTGCTTTTCTCCTATTTTTTTGTCTCCTTGTGGCTGTAGCTTTGTGTCTTCCTGTTGTAGCGTGTAATAAGAAAACAAAGGCCTCGTATCGCGCGACCTGGAATTGTATTATCTATTTTTGCTTTGTTGCGTTAAAAGACTGGCATATTTTTTACTTCGTGTTTGGCGCCAAAACCTGGCGCGCCACCGTGTGAGAAAGGACTTCATCGTGGAAGAGGCTGGCCTTTTGTTTTCTACTACATGGCCCAAGTATATGTTACCTGTTTATATATATATATTTTTAGAGTACCCCATAAATATATATCTTTGTAAGTTCTCTTTTGTTTTTCGTTCACTCACGCTGCGACGCTGCACTTCATTGCGTCGCCTGGGTCGTACAGCTTCTCATTTGCACAGACGCCTTCCTGTATTTGCTACCCACAAAAATAATCATAAAATACAAAAAAGGACGAGAGGCAAGAAGAGAAGCCCCTCTTATTTTTCTTCTTCAAGGGCAGTGCTGGGTGAAGGACGGGAAAACGATGACACGTTGTGCTCGAGGGTGGAAGAAGTAACAACGAGAAAAAAGGAGCGGCATGCTCCTTCTTGTGAGAAGCGCCTTTTCTTCTTTTGTTTTGTTCTTCCGTTGTGGCGGGGAAAGGAGAGAGGCGCTGCGTTCCATTCAAACCAAAACTCTTTAACGCCTGCAAAGAAGAAAGGAAAGGAAAAAGAACGCGAAGGGAAATGAATCTACTGTGCGCTTGCAGCATAGCCCGCCATACGTATGTAACCCCCTCCCTCCTCGACTGCTTCTCTCTCCCTGATTTCGCACTCTTCTCCTGTCCCTGCACTCCAACGGTATCGCTCCATGGTGTACAATTGGCCTTTGCTATTCTTACTGATGCTGATTTCGAAAAAAATGCAGAAGAGGAAGAATAGTAGCACACAGACACACTCACATAGGCAAAGCACACAAAACATGAGTAATTTAGACCCCACCGGGCTCATGGCAGCACCGACGCTTTCGGAGGCTGTCAGTGCCGTCTTCAGCGAACAGGAGCGCGAAGCGCTGAAGTCCAACCTGCAGACTGAGCAGGTGGCACAGGCCAAGTACCTTCGCGCTCACCCTGAGGTAAGCCGTAGTCTGCAGGAAGGGCTGCGTCGCGTGCTGCAGACACAGCCAGACAATCCGGTAGCGGCTCTGACAGAATACTTCACTAGTGCGGAGTTTATGAATTATGAATGTAAGGGTGAGAGTGCCGCGTGACACAAGTTAAAAAGAAACGAGGCAGCAACATTGGGTTAGCCCGCCACACACACACACACACAGAAGTTTACCTTTTGCGGATGTTACCCACCGTCTGAAGTGTTTGCTGCTGGACTTCTCACCTGTGCGATTAAGACCATTGAGGGAGTCGTGGCCGCCTTAAAGTAACGTTGTATGTACACATGTATAGCTTCAATATGCCTCATGGAGGTGCACATCGGAGTGGGAGTGGCGAGGAAAGGAAAACAATCGCCTACCTTCTTTACTCGCTCAAAGACACCCACACCCACATACACACACTGTGAAAGCTGGTTGAACAGCGAAAAAAAAATAGTATTCATAGGAAAGAGCTTTGTTCTGCGAAAGCTATTGGGGCCAGCAACAATTGCAAGAAAAAGAGTCGTTTTTTTTTCCCCAGATGTATCTCTTGTAGGTTCCGTTGAAAGGTATGCTGAGGAGGCATCTTGTAGCTTGTAATAGTATGCGTCTGCGCAGGCCAATTCAAATGTGGTCTGACTCGTTGCTCATCGGAGTAAGTGTTATTTTAAGGCTGATTCACTTCCAGTGCTGTTCTTCTCCTCTTCGTTGTTTTCGCCGTTGATGCTCCTATGAAACAAACGCCTTCTCGTTCTGCAGCTGCCTTTCCTTATTACTCCATCAAACTTTGCTTGCATAGTTGCAGCACTAATACACGCCATGCGTCGCACGCGTTTGCGATGGATGTATCTCCCTCGGACGCCGAAGAAAAAGGAGAAGGACCACCCGCTGCAGATTCAAAACGCCCAGGAATTCCTCTATACGACGGCCGTCGTCGCTACTTTCACCTGCGTGGTGGCGGCCATCATGGCGCTGCGAAAGGTGCAGCAGCGCAACCGGCAGGCGAAGCAGGAACTCATGCGCAAACGGTGCGGCCAGAAGGTGGTCGTTATTGGTGCCGGCGCGGGTGGCTGCGCGACGGCCGCCCTTATCGCGAGCGCTTCACCAGATGTCCACATCACCGTGATTGAGAAGGATCGTCAGCAGATCTTTCAGGGCCAGGTGCCGCTCGCCCACGTGGGGCACCGCAGCTACGACTTGGGGACGACCACCGGCTTGGATTCCCTGCGCTCCCCCGCAACGTGGAACGTGACGCGGGATGCGAACCTGGTGATGGCGGAGGTGCTGAGAGTCGACCCGGAGGCACGGCAGGTGTACGTGCGGAGCTCGCCTGGTATGCTGGCCTCTGCGAAGTCCCTCGACGAGGAGACGCCCGCCACGAATGCTGTGAATTCTCTCGTGCGGTGGTGGCGCGGCGGGCCCAAGACGCCGGCGACCATCTCGATAAACGAGGACGGAAGCCCAAATCTGTCTGACGGCACGACAGTGTTCTCGTACGACGCGTTAGTTGTGGCGGCCGGGGCACAGCGTACCCTAGGTCACCTGCGCAACGAGCTACCACTGCATCAAATCGACAGCTACCGCATCGCGGTCAACCCTGGCACCACGCGTGACAGTCTCGCCACCGTCTTCGCCGGCAACATCGTGCACATCAAAATGCCCCCTGCTTCGTTTGTGTGGCAGATGGAGGCCGCTCGTGCGCTGGTGGGGAAGGGCAGCGGGAAGCAACGTGAGGGTTGTGTGACACTAGAGCTGGGAGCTCCGTCCACCACCGCCACCGCGGCGACGTCGGTCACCACCGGGCCAACGTCATCGGCGACGGACTCCGTCTCCTTTGAGGCGTTTGCGTCGTCGGAGGACCCCACCGTGCTGTCGACGCTGTGGAAAGCAGTTCGAGATCGCTGGGAGAAGAGGGGTGCGGCATCGACAATGCGCAGCTCCAATGACGGAGATAGCGAGGCTGCGGTTCTAGATGAAGTGGCGCTGCGTCTCGCGAGCGAAGCAGAAAAGAAGGCCACATCCTCGTCGTTGTGCGCTTCGTCTTCACGGTCGTGGCCGCTCTTCTTCTTATCGCAGTGGTGCATGCACTTCAGCAGCCGCCAGCACGACAGCACCTTCGTCTCCAGCACCAACACCATCTGGAAGTATCTCTGGTATTACAACAAGCTGAGCCTCTGCCAGCTGTTTGCGGTGACAGCCGATCTGCAGCCTATTGGGCCGGCTCCTCGCCAAGTAAATGAGGTGATTGAGCGCTTCTGGCGCGAGCGTCAGCTGGGTTGTCGGCACGGCCACGACAGGGAAGGAGATCGGTTCCACGTTTTGTATCACTCGTACGCGACGTCGCTTGACAGCCAAACCAACACCGTGACGCTGTACGATTACAAGAACAACGCCGAGGTGCGACTGCCTTTTCATTTAGTGGTGCTGGATCTGGCGTTGCGGGCACCGGGTTTTGTGCGGCAGAGCGGTCTGCATCGCACCCGGTATGTGGAGGAGTGCGTGTTGCCTGCGTTGACCGAAGGCGCTCGAACGGTGGCCGATGCGTGGGCGAAGGACACCTCACCTGAAAAGGCGAATGCTGGAGCGACAGTTCAAGCGCTTCGCAAGAATCCCCTGCTGGGCAAGACGAAGGCGGAGTTGGAGTCTATTTTCGCCGATGAGACCTCCTTCATGGATGTCGATCCCACCACTCTGCAGCACCGCCGCTTCTCTGACGTGTTTGCCGTCGGCGACGTGGCCGGCGTCCCCTCTGCAAAAAGCTACGGTGCCGTGTTTGCGCAGGTGCCGGTGGTAGTGCACAACGTGCGGCAGGTGCTGAAGGCACAGCAGATGGCGGCGAAGGGAGCGGCGGACACAGCCGTGGAACAGCGCGGGACGACATCTGAACTCACCACAGCGTCGACGCCGCCACTCCCGCGCCCCAACGCACGTTACACGGGCTATTCCTCCTACCATGTGATCATGACGACGTGGCGGGCGATGTGGCCCGAGATGCGCTACCCCGTTGATCCTTACGGCAACGCCAAACCCCTTCCATCGTTGACGTCAAGCGCCGCATCCCCGCAGGCGGAAGAAGCGGTGTTGCAGATGAAGGAGAAGTGGGATGTCGTGTCTCCGCTGACGTACTGCGATCATCACATGTGGAGCAACCTCGCCTGGCGCGATCCGCGCGGCTTTCTAAACGGTCTGTTCTACCAGTCGGCCTTGTATGAGGTGATGTACTTCTTCATCTTCAGCCGCGGACAATGGCACCCGCCGACGTGGTTCTCCGTTCCTACGTTCTCGTCGGAGGATGGCACGCCATGCGTGCCGTCTCTCGTGGATTTTCTGTAGTGCAAGTTTGTTGGTGGTGCACTTTCTATTTGTTTTGTTTTTCCATGTTGCACGATTCACAGATTACCTCAGAAACCTAAAAAAAGAATATGGGAACACATATTTGCTCGTTGCGGAGCCTTCATAGGGTGGCCACTGTTGCTGGGGTGGTGCTGCTGCTGGTCTCGCCAAGACGCGAAGGGCTTCTTCGTTCGCTGTTGTCTTTCGTGCCGTGAGGTACCACTCAACGCCTTTTTTTTTTCCTTTCACCTGCGCGCCACGACACTAGCGAAAGTGAAGGAATACGAAGGACACAGGTGAAAGAGCATCACATGGAAAATAGAACATGGGACTGCTCTCTTTGCCATCTACGTCGCCCTCCCCCCGTTTTTTTTTGGGGGGGGGGTTGCGGAGCGTTTCTTCGGTGCACCATCGCTGTTCGTTCTCTTTCTTTTTGCGCCACTCGCACGTCATCGTTTTCACACCTTTCTGGTCTTTGCCCCTCTCTCGCCCCACTGCACATGTGATCCCCTCCGTCAAACAGTACGGAGTACACGGCACACAACTGAAAAAGGAGGTGGTGAGAGAAGGAAGGGAAGTACGAACGTGATAGCATAGCTGCCACACACGCTGGTCGCCTGTGTTCTGCAGCTTTCCTTCCACATGACTGCCATAAATCCCCCTGATGATGCCAGCCACCTCAGCGTGGTGTCAGGGTCCAGTACCCACTAAGTGGGGAAGCCAAGAATCTGCAGCTTGTCCGCGTGTCCAATTACGGGCTTATTGGCTCGGCGGACAGGTCTGGGTCGTGCATATGCGGAAGAGACTTGCAGCAGGTCACATGTTCGATACAGCTCACAAAAACGCGTATCTACGGGTTACGCAAACCCTGCGATGGACTGCTGAAGTTATTTTCCTACTACGCCGTGGTGATGTTGAGCGCAACCCTGACTCGCCACAGGGTTTGTGCAGTTTAACGGAGGGGACCATTTCGTGGGGAGTAATAGTAATATCCTTCGTGCTTGGACGGAAATGACACATATGAAGAAAAAAGCGCGCATAAATCGCGTCGCACGTCGCGGAAGCTCCCGTGAGACTCATTTATCCTTTGTAGTAGACATTTGGCCAAGGACCCTACCGCGTCCCCGTAGTAGTATTAGCTAGGTAGTTTGTCCTGTGGGGGTTCGTGTTCTCACGTGTGGGTGTCGGCCTGGGGAGAGGACGAAAAACGGGGGCCGTCCTCCACGCGTGCCCCAGCCAGCCCCCATAGCTACTCCTCCTCCTGTTATCGGTCGGCCGGCCAGAATTCTCGACTGGCTCATAAGCGGACCCGGCGCCATCGCACGCCACCGCTGTCATCTCCGGATGCATCGGGAGTTATCAACAAGTGTGGATGGCCTCGATCCCACTGGGACCGTCGTGTGCGGTGCTCTGGACAAAAATCACCTTGTCGGCGCTGGTGTACGCATCCGCTGCGTCCAGAAGGCCTGGCTTCTTGCGGTAGCCCGGTTTGCCGAAGAGCAACACGCGAGGCCGCATCTTTCCAAGGGCTTCACCGACATCTCCTGGCTGCCCTTTGGCAAAGCCACAGCGATGTGCTCGCATGTACGTAGCATGCACGCGCAGTTCCCTCCGTCGGCCGTCAGCCACGTTCGCCAAGGCACTCGCGACCAGCATTGAAGCACAGCTGGCGCCTTGCGGCTTCCTCCGCGTAGAGATCGTGCGTCTCGATCTCCTCCGTCACACTCGTCGTGTGGCCGCCCTGAAGTTCCGTTTTATGGGGACTTGAAGTCCGCAGCTGTCCCGGCCGCAGCTCCAGCTCCTGGCACAAGTCGCGCTCGTATTCTCCCGCTGCCGGGAGTTCGCGCATCGCCCGCGTGAAAAACGCACACAGGCCATGTGCGATGGTCTAGGCAGCGCCGATGGCGACGCGGTAGAAGTGCGAGAAGAAGGAGGCGAGCATGTAGAGCCCGCCGTCGTCGCTACCGCGCTCCTGTCGCCCGCACACCCCAATGCTCCATCTCCAGGTTCGGCCACACTTGGAGAAGACCTCTGTGCAGGTCGTGCAGTTGCAGTCGCCGCTGTTCTCGACGATGGCGTTAGAGGCGGGAAACCTATCCCTCTTACGGGAGGTGGAGGAGCTGGTGGGTGGCGCCGACGAGGGGCGTGGGGAGCGGGGCTGGCGTTGTTTTTACGACAAGAAGCCCGTCCCCCGTCTTTCTGGGCGGGGGTTACGCCCCGATACTTGGGCCGGATGGACAGCAGATGGCTGCCCTTCACACCACTGTGTCGGAGCAGTCAGTGGCTAAATTGCAGCGCCAACTCTCGGCGTTGCAGCGGGCCATCAGTGTCCTAAACCCGCCGAAGAAGGCTTCGAAGCAGTCCTCCGGCCCACCTCGCCAAGTTCCCCCAGCGTCCTCGAGGGGGAAGCAGCCTCCGTACCCCGCGCAAACTCCGCAGGTGATGTGGAGGGGTGGCGGCACGGAGGGGAGCACGTTGAGTCCATCGACGTGGAGCCCACCTTACAAAACTGAACCGGTCTGTCACAGACGATGACAGCGTCTTTGCGGAGGACTGCTTCGAAGCCTTCTTCGTCTGGGTCAGGCCACTGAGCGACCGCTGCAACGCCGAGAGTTGGCGCTGCAATTCCGGAAGAGTGACAGGTTCTCCGCCTCCAACCCCATCGTCGGGAACAGCGGCGACTGCAACTGCACGACCCACTTGCCGTGTGTGTCCGCCCTCTGTCCGTACAGGCGTCGAGCCAGGAACCAGTTGTGGTACAACGCTTGCTCGCTGGGAGGCACCTTCAGAAGGATCGCTGCCAGGTGGAGTGCCTCGTACTCCGTGTCCTCAAGGGAAGGAAAAAGCATGTATGCCGCGACCATCACCTCCATTGGGGGGGAGGCCTCCGTGCCGTGCCCGTGCTACAAACTCGCTCTGTAGCCTGGCCCGCACCTCGGACATGTTGTCCTTGTTGCCCACCTCCACCTTCATCTGGTGGTGCCAGGTCTCCGCAAGTTCCGTCTTGCGACGCCACGGCTCAATCTTCTTCGGTTCTTCCGACTGGAGGAAGCTGGAGAGGGATTTCCCTCCCCCCAAAACCGTCCGGCGTCTCGCCGCCCACAATTCTCGCCACAGTCGCTTCTTCGCACTTCTTGATAGCGCTGGCGACAGCGAGATCGTACGCCGCTTGGGTCGTCGACCCTCTATCCTTGAGGGCCGCCAGTTGGGCGATGTGCTCCTGAAGGGCGGACATTGTATGGGTGAAGAGGCGATGTGGTGAGACGAGCTGTGTGTGTGGAGAGAACACCAAAACACAAAGCTTGAGGTCGTTGGGGCGGGTGGGAGAGAGCTTCGACTTTACACGTCGTAGTCAAGGGAAAAGGGGGAGAGGAGCAAAGGGGATGCAAAGTAAAGCGCTGACCCGCATGCACCCGATGCCCCCTTGCCCTGTCGCCATGCCACCCTTGGCAATGTTCAGCTTCTTCTTCACAAAGGTGTGACATCTGTTTTGCATCGATCTCTCTCTCGTACCCGTAAATCTTCCTGAAATAGAGTCCGCGACACGTTATAACCTGCTTCGGTCGCGCTTTAACCAAGGTGCCCGCTGATTTGCGAGGCGCTTTTTGAGAGCACCACAGTCGCCCACAGCGTCGTGCACAAATGCCCTCTTTAGGAGAACTCTTGCACTTTATGGTTTTCCTTTCCTTTCCTTTCCTTTCTCCGTTCGCCGTCAAACACACACACACACACAACAAAGCGGTGGTTCTTGCAGAGTCACCGATAATCCGCGACACGACACAGAAGGGAAGGTACGTTGTATGTGTTATGGGTGCTGGCGGGCAACCACAACTACCACCCCAACTATTTTTTGTAGACGCTTTATAATCAAAGCGTGCCGTTCTTTGCGTGTGTCACGCAAGGGTGCTATTTACGCTAGAATTGGAGTCTACCTTGTTCTGCTGTTCTACCAAAAGTGCGGTTTTTCTCCCCTCCGCGCTCACGATATTGTTGCTGGTGGAGTTGATTGTCCTTGATCATTGCCCGGGTTTTTTTTTCAGCTATTCTTTCTTCATTTTTTTTTTGTGTACGTCTGTGGTGAACCGTGTCTATCGCTCCTTCTCTCTCTCTATATATAATTGGTTTCTAATTCATTCGACTCATATATAGATACGTGTGTGCAAGTGTATCTTTTCATCTCCCTCTTCCCCCTTTCTTCCATTTTCACTCTCCTGACTTTTTCTGTTCTTATCCGCTCTGCCTCTTTTCCTTTTCCTTTATCCTTTTTTTCTTCTTGAACATTTGTGCCTCTACTTGTCTTTGCTCTTTCGGTGGGCTGTCTTCTGCTCTTGTCCTTTTATACATATAAAATCCCTCTTTCCTGTTTTTTTTTTGTTTAACGTACGAGCTGCCTTTTTCGGTTTCCGTGGTCGTATCTCTGCTCGGTTTTGGTGATGCCCCATCGGGGAGAGGTTTTGTTTCTTCTGTTTAGTTTGGATCTGCATTTTCGTTCTTGTTGCCTTGCTGTTCATTTGGTCTTCGTAATACACCCTTTTTATTTTATTTTTCCTCCAGCGTAATCAGCATCGCTGTTGGCGACATGTCCGGCGAAGACCAGCGCCCTGTGTTGCGAGTGGCAACCCTGCCCGGTGCCAGCGCCGCCTACGGGCTACCCCCGATCACTGCACGTCGAGTAGCGTCCCGAGACGACAGCGATGATTCGATTCAACTCAACGCACCGCTGCACTCTTCTCGACCTTCCGCCGGGACACAGCTAACGACTCATTCGGTGGCCGCGACGCTGCCCCCCATGCCGCTTCCCAATGGACGAATGGAGTCATCCTCACCTGCGAGGGCACCGATGACGTCGACCAACCCACCTGTCCTCCCCGCGAACGCGCTGCCCACCACCCGTACCACCACCGCTGCCGACGCAAACACCGTGCCACCGCTCGCCACAGGCAACTTCATGGATCATGACAAGGACATGGACCTCGACGCCCCGAATGGCTTTGAGACGTTGGACGCGAGGGCAAACTCCCTCATGAACGGCTACGAGGTCCCCAGTTTTGTCATGTCAGCTGGTGGGCTGCAGGCCCTCTCATTCCTGCTCGACCACCGCGATGATATCGTGGCCGATGCTTCGTCGCCGAAAGCGGCCGGGGCGGAGCCCTCCACGCTGGAGCCCAAGTCTAGCACCCGAAAAGACGGCGACAAGGTGGGGGAGAGCGGAGGCACGATCCCAGTGGTGCAGTCGCACATCCTCGCCAGACTCGCCACGCGCTTTCACACAAGCGACCACGCGGAGGACGAGGACGACTGGTACAACATGACCAGCGTTAGTCGAAGCGAGCAGAGAACGACGGAGAGCAACACTTCCCCAGAGAGGGACAAGGAGACCACGGAGGCGGCGGCGGTGGAGAGCGAAGGGTGGTCCGAAGCGCGCTCTGACGGGCGCAACTCACCGACACCGACGCCCTCAGCGCAAAGCAGCTCCATTTTGATGCCCACCGCCCACCGTCGCACGCGCAGCTTCGAGGAAAGCTTCGTCGACCAAAAGTCTTTTGTTAACCGCGTCGTCATGCGGCAGGAGACGTACGCCGATGTGCAGTGCTTCCGCGCCAGTGCGTACATCGTCTCCTTCTTCGAGGACCACGGCTACAACGTTGACGAGGATCGCAGCGCCAGCTCAAGGTCGACGCAGTCGAGCCGACATAGCAGCCGCAGCAGCCGCAGCAGCCGCAGCCCAGTTGCGGTGGTACACGGGACCGACTTTGTGGAGCGCTCACCGCGGCGTGTGCCCACCGACGAGGAACGAAAGGCCGCCTTCCACACCAGAAATATGGAGGAGCTCTATGCGACCGTGGCTGAGGTCTATCGGGTGGCTGGCATTCCAAAGGGGTATTTGGATGCGTTACACATGTCGGAGGTGCATCAGGGCACCCGCTCGCTTCGACCGCAGGATGCGCGTCACCACGGCCACCGCAACGTTCCCGTGACTCCACCGTGTGGCGAGGACGACGAGGAGCCGAATGTGCTGATGCGAGCGACGGAGGTCGTACTCGCAGATTACGACATTGAGAACGCGATCTACGAAGCCTTTGGGCGCGATGACATGATGGGTGGAGGCCACGGGTACGCACCTGGTGCATCGCGCGGCAAAAAGGGCGGTAAGAACGGCGCGTGCCGGACTCGCGACAATCGCGAGGATAAGCAAATCGTGGTCCAGAAGAAAAACAATGACATGAAAGGACACAGCTCCACAACGAAGGTGGCGGAGGAGACGCCAGCCACGGCCAAGCCACACCGACCAGCGCGGCGAGGCAGCGCGTATGAGTTCATGCTGAAGATGCTGTGGAAGAACGCGGTGCACTTTTACTACCAACACAACGCCATGTCACTCTTCACGCTCAAGTTTGTGAAGAGAAGCGGCAACGTGTCCATTAAAGGGAGAGTGTTGCGGCTGCACAGCTGGGACGACGCGAAGCGTGGCTACCTGGTCACCGGCGTGTTTGACCGCACCTCGGGGTACCCAAAGAACTTCAAAGACCCCTTCACACACGACCTCTACGCGGAGGAAATGCACGGGGGCGCCTCCACTACCTTCCCGGCGCCGACCATGACGCGGCAGCACGGCGCCGTCAATGCCCGCTGCGCGCCCGCCGAGGACGGCGTCACGCTGTACGGGTGCTCCATTGTGCGGCAGGCCGACGTCTACGGCATCTTCGATGGACGTGTGTACGGCTGCCAGGTCGCCCGGGCAGATCGGGACCACCGCCGCACCGCGATGCACGCAGCCATCCAGTCTCTCGCCCACTACCGCAACCTCTTTCCGAGAGTTCCGAGTCTCTTCCGCATTTTGCACCCACAGGACCGGTATCGGTATCCCGTGGTGAACCCGGTGGGTGGGATGTACTGCGTGCCGCTGATCGTGAACGGCGCGGCGCGGCTTGTTAAGGTGGACGACGTGGTGCCGATGGACCCCGTCACCGGCATCTTCCGCTGCTTAACCTCGAGCGCCAACGAGTTCTTCCCGACGCTGCTCGAGAAGGCGCTGCTGAAGGCGAACGGCGGTGGCGTCAACGTGACGCTGATGGAGAGCAACCAGGTGATGCACCAGCTGTGCGGGTGGATTCCGCAGACGCTGTACTTCTTCATCGACAGCGCCGGCAACGAGCTGTACTGGGACGGCATGCTGTACGCCTCCGAGATGTGGGATCAGCTGACGGATATGTACCGCCAGGGCCGTATGGTGATGTCGCTCGTGAGGCTGAGGGAGAGCGAGGAGGCGAAGAATGCGACGGCGTTTGTGCGTCATGGACCGCTGAGCCGCACCCGCAGCTTCTTCGCGCCGGTCTCCTTTCCCGTGGTGGATGTGATCTCGCGCATCGACAACACGGAGAGCAAGGTGGGGCGCCACATTCGGGCTGTCATGCTGCGCGACACGACGAAGGACCCGACGCAGGCCGAGTTTGTGCCGCCGGTGCTGACGTCCCTGTCGGAGGCGGTGCTGAGCAGCATCGGTTACAGCGCCGTCCACCGCGAAGCAGGCGTGTTCTGCCTGACGTGGGAGGAGGCCGCGGCGTACTTCGATCACTGTTCCATGAGCCTCAACCCATCCACGCTGTGGAGCAAGAATGGTACGCGACTGAAGCCGAAGGAACCGACGCGGCTGTGCTGCCACGGCGTGTACGACGCGGACTTGATGGATAGGGAGATGTACTACCAACCACAGTTCCACATTTGCTGCAACCACGTTGCGGCCAGCACGCAGGTTTTTCTCGTGTACACCCCACACACGTCGTCGCAGTACCCGCTGCCGTGGCCCTGCGATGGGCTCTCTGTCGACACGGTGGACAGCTGCTCCGACGGCGGGGTGCAGCTGCGGCTGCGCGTGTACGAGGTGACGACGCTGCCCTCCATCGTGCAGGTGGCGCGCAACCGGGACGGCCGGCCCGCGCAAACGTGCACCTTCGGCAACTGCGTCGCTCGCCGCCTCACCGGGGAGTCAGAGTCACCGTGGCAGATGTCGGGCCACTTGATTTCGTCGATGGCAGCCATACACGTGGCACCGTGGATGAAGACTGCGTTGGCGGGCACCAGCGGCTACTCCAACTCAATGCTCAGCATTGCCTTTGACGTCTCGCCTGGGACACGCCAGTACGTGGTGGTGATGGAGGCAAGAACCGCCTCTGCCTTTCGAATAGAGGAGCGACCCAACAGCTTCTCGTACACCTTGACCTTGTACAGCGACCTGGACCCGTTGGAGTTGGGGAATCCAAGGTGTGTGCCATTTGTGGGCGGGCGTGCCGCGCAAGGAGCAGCAGAGGAGAGCACGCCGCGCACGCGTAAGTCTCGCCTGCAGCAGTTCCTCGAAGGCGATGAAGGGCAGCGTAAGCTGAATGGACCGACAATTGCGATGCACTCCATTCCACCCAGCTTGAACGTCAACTCGCGCACTGTGCAGGGCACGTGGTCGCGGAGCACCTTTCGGCAGCGCATCGTGTTGCTGCGGGAGAACGGCATGTCCGCTGAAAAAATGTGGGTCGGTCCGCAGTACCACCTGCACCTCAGCCAACCGGACGAGTTCTGCATTCGGCTGTGTCGCACCGGCGGTGACCTGAGGGTACGATTTCCAGCATCGTTGAAGCTGCTTCTGGTGCGAAAAATTGTGAAACAGACGGAGGCACTCGAGGGATCCGCGGCGGATCAGTGTGACTTGGTGCTGGCGAGTCGCGGTCTTGACACAAGGGGGGTAGCGCTGTCTTCCGTCACGCCGCACACGGTGTTGCTGGACCGCAACGAGGTTCTGGTACCCGGACAGTTACGGATGCGGCAGGAATATCACGCGATGGTGTACCTCAGCGCCTTCGTTCTGCCACGCGACAAGGTGAAGGAGGCGGCCTATTTCCTTCTTATCCGGTACGCCAACCCTGCTGAGAGCGTGCGGTGGCTTGTGGTACGCGCTTTCGCGGAAGGGCTGCTGATCTCACCCGAAGAATGCCGCGTGCGGTTTATGGGTAAGGTCGTTTCGCAGGACACGGAGCTGCGCAAGCTGTTCGCCGACGCGCGTGCGGGCTACACCTTTGATGAGAGAAGCGGTGCGTGGAGGCTGTTGATGCAGGAGGAGGCGGGGCTCGGGCTCGGGGAGGATGTGTTAAGCTTAGGTCTGTACTTCGACGTGGAGCTCGAAAACACATCGCCGTTTACGGAGACGCACTTCCCCGAAAACGAGCCGACCGGTAGACTTGTGACGCGGCTGCGACACTGCGCACGGACGATGCTCTTCACTGGCTCGGGGCAGCGCACCAAGACGCTACGAGCCCTGGCACACATCAGCGGGCTCATACGGCAGTCCGGCCTGACTGAAGACAGGATCGAGTTTCTCCTCGGCATTGCACGCGGCATAGCGACGTGGTGCAGCAGGAGCGCGGGCCGCGCAGCCACGGCATCCACCGCGCCACCCCAAAGGCTGCCCCTGTTGCCGGCAGGGGACTACGTCATTGCCCCCTGCTTCGTTCCAGATGTCCCCAACGAACAGATGAGGACCTTAAAACCGCATCTACGAAATGCTCCCGGCGATATGCAGTCGGTGACTTTCGAACTGAAAGTGGAGTTGCTGCGACAGCATGTGGAGCTGAAGGCCATAGCTAGCACCGTGGAGCCGCAGATCAATAACGCTGTCCCGCTACGCTCTTTGGTAGACGAGTATCTTCCACAGTATTGACGTTGTGTGCGTAGGTGTGCGTTGACGAAGCTCTAGAAGCAAAAAAAAATTACCGTACCACACAGCTTCTTTTCTTTTTTTGGGGGACGGAGATGATGGGAGAGAGTGCCAAGGCGACAACTGCGGGGAAAAACAAAACAGTATTTTTTGGTTAATGATCTCATTCGTTTCTTCTTTTTTTTTGTTATTAATGTCTAATTCATTCTGCCTCAGAAGGTGCTGCTACGCACATGTAATTCCTCCCTTCTTTTTTTCTTTGTTGTTGGCCCTCACGACAGGTTTCTTGTTTCTTGTTTCTTTTCTGGGTGGAGGAAGGAGGGCTGCGATGGTTGTCAAGGCTGCGGTTTTGGTAGCGTCAATAGGCTCTATTTCCACCCCTTCCTTCTCCTCTTCCTCCTCTCTTCAATAATAAAGTAAGCACATCATTGTGGGTTTTGTGTTTCTCCGTTTATTTTTCTTCGGATTCTTCAGAACTATTTTTTTCCTCTTCTTCATTCGAATGACATCTGTGAGCACGCGCGGTAGTCAGAATGTGGGCGAGAGAATCGCCGTCGCTGTGTTTTCGAAGTCACTCTTGGTTTCCTTGTCTGTGCACGTAGTTTTTTGTGGCCTTTTTCTTCGCTTTGTGAAAGTGCTCTTGGATGTGACCTGTCGCTGTAGTGGTTGCTTTACTATCATCAGTGTTCTTTTGTTTGTTTTTAACGGTGTCCGGTCTCAAATAGTGTGTGTGTGTGTGTGTGTGTGTGTGCGTGTGTCAGTCGGATGAACACTGCAGCTCATCTCCGAGGTGAAAAACGAAGTAAAAAACAAGATAGACCTTTTCGGATATGTCGATCGTAGGAACACTTTGGGTGACAAGCTGCGGCTATGCGCGTGCGTGCATGCGTGCGGCAAGCATTAGAAGGGACTATCTCCCCAAAAAAGTATCTCTTTCCGTGATCGAATTTAACTTAAGGGCCACTTCTTCACCCTTCGTGCCTTTTTACACCTCTTTCTTCTATTCGAATGCTGACGGGCGCATGTGCTCCAGTTAGTCTCACACGGAAGGGAATTACGTATCCACGTTCTACCTTAACAAAACAGAACGAAACGCGTTGAACAGCAGCTTTCGTGTTCCGCACCGACAGCTGCAACAGCATAATATAACGAAGCGGCGGCGAACGAAGTGTTCAACCGCAACATCAATTGCTCAGCAGCGTTGCCGCAATGTCTCTCTCCGGCAGTCTCGCCGCTGTCGTGCAGGGTAATGATGACGATCCCATGCGCACGCTCTGGGAGTATCCTGAGCACGTCTTCATCTTTACCCGGGCTGGCAAGCCGGTTTTCTCCCTCCACGGTGGTGAGGAGCGGATGAGTCCGCTGTTTGCGCTGTTGCAGGTGCTGCTGCACATGGGCGACGCCAGCGATGACGACAGCGCGGACAACGATGATGTGCCGCACACCAGCCAGCCTTCATCTAGGCAGGCGTCTTCCTCCTCCGCGAGAGATGCAACGACCTCCGATGAGGTGCGCCAAGCAGTGTACTATCAGCCATGTCCAGATCCTGCTCAAGGCGGCGAGCACGAGGTGCAGGCCCTCACGCTGTTTTTCTACGTGCAAGGGGAGCTCATGTACGTTATGGCGCAGCGCGCGGTTGCCCCCGCCTCACCCGCCCGCCACGAAGACGCAAACGACGCTGAGGAGGGCTGTCCCTACGCTTGCACGACACCGCCGGTTGCGAGCTACTGCGCTGCGCAACTGCGGCATCTGCATCACTTTATTCTGCTTGTGCTACCCACCATCAATTCGCTCCTCGAGCAGCAGCCAAGCCTTGATGTGATGTGCATCTACACCGACTCAGATCGGGCCGCACTGCGTGAGTTGATCGAGTCCTACGCCTCACGACTTACCTACGCCGTCGGGGCAATGGCCACCCTCACGTTAAGCGTCGAAAAGCGTCGTATTGTGGAAGGGGCGCTGCTGCGCTCTTTCCGCTTCACCGACGACGTGGCCGCCCCTCCTGCGCAGCAGCTCTTTAGTCTCCTCTTCTATCAAGATTACCTCGTGGCGGCCGTAGGGCCACCGGAGACGTATGCGATGTCGCCCGGCGAGGCAGATCGAGCCGCTCCCCTCGCCTTTGGGCCCGCGGACGCCTGCTGCGGCGGCCTACACGTCGATGACGCCCTGCTGCTGTACCGGTTCGCCCGCTCCCTCGTGCGGCGCCAGGTGGGCGAGGCCTGGGCACCCGTCTGTTTGCCGCGCTTTAACAACGCCGGCTACCTCTGGTGCTACGCGGTGGACTTTAGTCGCTACATACGCGATCTGCGCGGCGAGCTGGGGCTGTCCGTGTGGCCGAGCCTGTGGCCGGCCAAAGGGGATCAAAATTTGCTGCTTCTGCACGTCTCCGCCGGACAGGATGATTTTACGCCGCTGTCGCGGTGCACGCGTCGCTTCGCGCAGCTGCTCTACGCCCCCGCCGTCAGCGATAATTTCTACCACAAGTTAGAGGAGGAAATCTGCTACCGTACGCCAGCGCTGCTGACGGAGCTGCTCGGCCCGCTGCACGCCTCCTACTGTCCTATCGGGTCGCACGGCGCTTCCAATGCTTCGCCGCCCTCGCGCTCGCCTTCGCCGCTGCCGTCGACTTCATCGTCGAGTCGCTGCGCAGGCGTCCCGCTGTGGTACGGTCTGGTGGTGCAGGGCGGAGACCCGGACTTCTTGACTTCTGACGAGATGGCTGAGCCGCACGCGACGACGGAAGCCGCCGCTGCCGTTGCTGCGGCCGCCATGCGCGCCGTCCCCCACGCCACCGCGGACGTTCGTCTCTTTTTTGAGTGTCAGCCTTCGCCGCTGCTCAACTTGACCACCGTCGATGCAGTGAAGGAGTTTCATCAGTGCGTGGTTCGCTATCAGGCGCAGCTGCGCTCCATGCCGGCCTCGTCTTCCTCGCCGTCGATGCTGCTGGTGCGCCACAGCAGCTCCGTCGCCTTTGCGCTCGTGCATCCAACGGTGTCAACGCTGACGACGCTGGCGCAGCACTTTTTCTCGACGTGGGCCCCGCTGGGCATCCCTGATGACGTAGACGAGGTGGAGGTGGCGGACGGCAACGCTGATCCTTCTTTTGCCGGTGATCGCGCGACCGCTTTGCATAGTCAGCGACGGGGAAGCGACAGCAATGAGGAGCCGCAGCACCTGTCACGGCGCGGGGTGTCCTTTTCGGCCTGGTTGGAGGCGGTGCGTGCGTTGGGCGTCGCGGAGCTCGCCGTTGTCTTTCCCGCAGCCACACCAGACGCACTCGCGTGGTATTGGGTGGCGCGGGTGCTGTTCATGGCGGTGCAGCGTCGCAGGCGCTACGTGGTGCGTCAGCTGGTCGGAAAACAACCGCAAAAAAGCGCTGTGAAGGTGTGACGTTGCGCGACGGATAACGCGTCTGCAAGCAGCAACAACAAGAACAGAGCCGTCGGGGCGTGTTGACGCTCTACGTTTCGTAGCTTTTTCAGTTGTCGATGGATATCCCACTCAAAGATACCAAAAGACACAGAAAAGCACATCGGATTAAAAAAAAAAAGAAGGCGAAGGGACGGATCATCACTTGAAATAATAGTAGAAGATGTGTCATCGGTGTAGGTGCAAAGCAAAGTGTTTCCAAGCTTTCTGAGATGACACGTGGCGTTTGAAAATACACGTAGAAGACGGAAGACGTGCCGGATACGTCGAGCTTCACCCATTTGCAGCACGCTGTGCGTGAATGTCGAAATCATCAACAAAGGAGAGGAATAAGCTGCGAAATGGGCGTCTTTTCCTGATTGTTTGGAGCTTTCCTCTGTACTTCCTTGCTCTTTTTCTCCTTCTCTCTTTTCCCTTTTCCTATTTTTGCGCATTCTCTTGTTTGTGTTTTTGACACATGAACTATTTGAAAAAAACCACTTTCGTGTGTTCTGCTCTCCCGTATTCTCCCCTTCCCCCGCCACGCATACACATTCGCTCTCTCTCTCTCTCATTTAAAAAGTGAGGTGCACAGCTGCTAATTCATTGCCCCTGGGGGTTGAAACGAAGAGCAGCAAGCCAGTTGTTTCTTTCTCTTTTTTCTCTCTCTCCCTTCTTTTTTAAAGGAGAGGCTCCTGTGCGTATTTGCTGCAGTGTAATTTTGGCGAGAGCGGCGATGCTGTCCAAGAAGAAGGCCGCAAAGCGGGCCGCCATCAGTGCGACGGTGCGGAAGGAGGAGAAGGTCCACCGCGATGCGGTGCAACAGCGCAAGAAGGGTGTCTCCGCAGCGGTGACACGCACAAAGGGCCAGGGACACCACGCAGAGAAGGACGCGCAGCCCCCGCACCGCGTCCTGACGCGGGCGGATGCGGTAGAGGGGACCAGCAGCACCGACAATCGGGCGGAGCTCATTCGTAGCCTCGGCGACCACATCGACACACGTTTGCAGGACATCACCTTTGACGACGACCTCGACGGCGATGTCTTTCACGAGCGCCGCGCGCTGTTGATGGAGGAGGCACGCCTTGCCGCGGGCGTGAAGCAGCGCGTCGTCTCTACCTCTGTGCTGGACTATCTGGGCCGTCACATGGAACTGCGCGACGTGCACACCGTGCGCATCGCTCACAACAGCAACTCCATCACGTGCGTCGCCGCCCTCGGCACCGACCGCATCGTCTACGGGGATAAGTCTGGGAAGGTGTACCTAGTCGACATTTCCACCACCGCGAGCGGCACGGGCATGACGATGAGCGATAGGGCGGAGGCGCAGCGACGTCGCAAAGTGCTGCTGGAGCCGGTGCTGCCCACCGGCATCGTCTCCATTGCCGTGAGCGACACAGCTGCCAACCGGCCTACCACTCGTGACGTCTTTGAGAAGACCACTGTAGACATGTCCTGCCCTTCGTATGTCGCCGCCGGCGCGATGGACGGCTCGATCAGCGTATGGGAGACGCTCACGAAGGTCCACAAGGGGCTTCTCTTTATGCACCGCAAGCCGATTACGGGGCTGCGCTTCCGCATGGACACCGCCACGCTTTACTCCTGCTGCGAGGACGGCACGTTACGTGTGTGGTCGGTGCCGCAGATGATGGCGATGGACAAGCTGTTTGGACACGAGGGCGCTATTCACTTTATTGACGGTCTGCGCAAGGAGACGGCTGCCACAGTGGGCGAGGACGGCACGATGCGGTTTTGGAAGGTCGACGCCGCGACGCAGCAGGCCTACACCTACGCGCCGACAAAGCCGTCTGACGTCCTGGTAAACGGTAGCGGTGCGCACGCATCGGCCACACCGCAGCCACCGGCGCCGAATGTGGTGATGGAGGCGGTGGCGATGCTGAACGAGGGCATCGTGATTGGCGGCGCCCGTGATGGTAGCATCATTGTGTTTGATTTAAACCGACGCAAGCCGCTGATTGTCGTGCCGGCCGCACACGGCTACGGCTTCATCGGCGACGGCACGGGGCTTGAGAAGGCCGCAGTGCAGCTCGCTGAAGAAGACGCGAGCGCGCGAGTGGCAGGTGGGTCCTCTTCGTCGGCCAGCAGCGGCGCTCGTCGCAACGCGAACCCGATCACGGCGGTGGCCGCCGTGCCGTACGCGGATGTAATGGCCACCGCCAGTTATGACGGAGTGGTGCGGGTGTGGCGTGTAGCCGGGGTGGGTGCCGGCGCCACCGCACCTGGTCGCCGCACCGAGGAGGCCGAAGGCCAAGAGGCTTCTTCGACGTCAGCAACGAACACGATGCGGCGAGTGGAGCCGCATCTGGTGCTCGTGGCAGCCCTGCCCGTCCCCGCGATCGTCAACTCCCTGCGCTTCAGCGACGGCGGCGATGTGCTGTACGTGGCGATGGCGAAGGAGCCGCGCCGTGGACGCTGGGTCGTGCAGTCGGCTGCCCGCAACGGCGTGTTGGTCGTGCCGCTGACGGAGGGCGGGAAGACGCTGCTGCAGGGCATGAGCGGCGAGGTGGAGCACATTCCGGCCCAGCTCTTCGGCATCGACGACACGGCCGTGGAGGCGGAGGAGGGGGAGGAGGACAGCCACAGCGATGGCGGCCACCGTCGCAACGCAGGCGATGAGGAGGAGGGGGAGGCGGAGGTCAGCTCCAGCGCGGATCTATTCCTTGACGAGGACCACGACGACGATGGTGCAGCAGCGGCGGCGGTCGACGACGAGGCGCAGGATATGTTTAGTGTCGGACCAGATGGGATGCTGCGGTTCAAGGACGACGTGGCGCGTGCCTCGAAGAGCGCATCACCGTTGAATAAAACGAAGAAGAAAAGGAGCGGGATGCCGAAGGTACTCCGTCAGACCTCCGCGGCAGAAGTCTCGACTTCAGCGAAGCCGCGAGATGGTGACGCACCAGCGAAGAAGTCGCTTAAGAAAACGAAGAAGATGAAGAGCGTCGGCGCCAAAGCGAAGGTTGGCACATCGAATGGCGCAGCAGCGGTGGCCGCGAAGAAGAAAAAGAAGATGAAGATGGCGTGACAAACAGGCGAGGACGAGCAGCAAACCAACAGGCGACACCCACCTCTTCTTCTTTCCCCTCCTATTTCACGCAAAAAGTGCGAGCACCACGCATTTGTGAAGAATGGCGACGCCGCTGGAGGGTGTGGGAGTGGGTAGGCAAAAAAATTCGCCCCCTTTGTGGCTCACCCTCTCCCTCCCCCCGCTCACTATTCTTTGGGGAGGGCTTAACAACTACCTAATTTGTCGAATAACAGTTCTTTTTTAAAACTCTTATTTCACTGTTTTTCTTTTGGCGGATGATAATAATATTTATCTGAGTAAACAAGTTCTCCAAAAACAAAACGTAAAACCCACAGGTGTGGGCGATTGAACAGTTGCACGGACGCAAACTGACCGTCAGCGCTTCATACACAGCCACTGACAGCTGTTGAGGCGCCGCGAGAGGATGAAGCAAGTGTTTGGAGAAGGATGAAAATCTCTAGGAAACCTTTTCTATTATTTTCTCCACTATGCCTCCATGCTTCATGCTCCAATCGTGCTGCGCCGCGCACGCAAGATTAGGCTGAAGGCAGTGACCTGTTTTCAGATGGAGGGCACTGTTAGCAGGAACGAATAGCACTGAGCTTCTTCTTTTTCTTTCCTTGTGCTGAATGCGCAGCGCACGGTCACTCCAAAGGGCTCTTCTCCACTTGACAGGGAACCGTCACACCTGCTTCTCATCTCTTCTTCATGATTTCTTTCACTTTTTGTTAATAACATTCCGGAAAACGGAAGTAAGTTGTGTAGAAGACGGTACTTCCCCTCAGTGAGCTTGAAGATGTCGTCCACAGCAGAGACAAATTCCACCGCCAATGGAACGGCAGATTCCGCTGCGGGGTTGCCTGCCCCTCCGCTGGAGCCCATCATTCCAGGTTGCACACCACACAAGTACTACCGTGTGCCGGACGGGCTGAAGGCTCTGCGGCGCAAGCAGAAAGTGGGGATTATTTTCGGCTACGTCGGTGAGTGCTACTGTGGACTGCAGTGGAACCACCTGCCGGAGTACCCGACGGTGGAAGAGGCCCTCATGAAGGCGCTCTTTGAGACGGACATGGTGAGCGAGATCAACTTCTCCAGCTTTAAGGTGCAGCAGCTCCTTAACTTTGAGCGTGCCAGCCGCACCGACAAGGGGGTGCACGCCCTCCGCAACGTCGTCTCGGTCGCCATTATGCTGCCGTACGACCCCGCCTACGTGGAGAAGCGCCAAGCCGCGATGCACATCGAGCAGGAGCGGCAGCGTACAAGCCAGGCAGCTCCTCCCACCACCACCGCCGGCTCGGAGGAAAAAGAGGATGAGTCGGAGCTGCAGACAGCATTCAGTTGCGAGGAGGCGAAGCGCTTGCTTAACCTGGCCCTCCCTCACGACCTCCACGTGTACGCCGTGGTGCCCGTCACGCGCAGCTTCAACGCCTACCTCAACTGCGGTGGGCGTCGCTACGAGTACTACCTCCCCACGTTCTCCCTCATGGCCCATCGGGAGTACGCCACGGACTACTTCCCGTCTGCGCTGGCGCCGTCGCAGCCGACGCTGAGGGAGGTCGGGTTTGTGCCGGGCAAGGTCGGGAAGTGTCAAGCGGCACGGCCGAGTGCGGCACCGCTGACGGAGGAGGAGGAGGAGGCGCAGCGACGCAAAAAGCAAAACAGCGCACGCAAGAGCAAAGGACACTTTCCGAAGCGCAAGCGTGCAAGAGCCGTCGCTGTTGCGCCGGTGAAGACGGCCACGATGGCTTCCGCAGAAGGTGCATGCAACGTAAAGCGCGAGGAAAACGCTGTTGGCGCAAATGACCTACCCCCAGAGACAACAGTAGAGGTCGCTGCCGACTCCAATTCAACGCACGCAAAGGATGCGGCGGGGGAGGAGGCGAGTGCCGGCGAGGCGGACAGCGAGGACAGCGACGCAGAGGTGCGGGAGACGCTGGCGCAGGCGGAGACGAGCACCCTGGCCGACAACTACGCTACCCATTTCCACGATGGCCTCTTTGAAACGATGATCCTCTTCCGCACCATTCCCACCAACGTGATGCAGCACGTGGCGCGGTACCGCCTACCAGCAGACCAACTCGAGCACACTCGCCGCCTCTTTCACGCTTATGAAGGGACGCACTGCTACCACAATTTCACTCCGGGCGGCCGCAGCTACGACGCCTCGTGCCACCGGTTTATTCGCCGTGTGAGCGTCAGCGACCCCTTCGTGGTGTCGCCTGAGGATGCGCTGCTGCAACAAAGCATCGACCACTGGTCGCTGAACCACTTCTACTCACCAGATGAGCGCGTGACGGCGACGTACGAGGAGTGGCTGACGGAGGCAGGCATTACAGAGGGCCTGAAAGATGGAGTTACCCATGGCGAGAGCTCCGCTGAGGGAGCAGGCGTGACCAGGAAAGTTTCCGATGCGGTCGACGCGGCTCTCCGTGACCGCATGCGACAGCACATCCGTGACGTCTACAAGGGCGGCATCGAAGTGGTGCGTGTCGAGCTCGATGGACAGAGTTTCATGCTGAACCAAATCCGCAAGATGATCGGTGCAGTGGTCTGCATTGCAGCGACGGGACTGCCGGACACGTACATTCATGACGTGCTGCTGCGCAAAGGCATTCGCCGTGGCATTCCGATGGCGCCGGCAAACGGGCTCTTCCTTTCGTTCTTGGACTTCTCCGGCTACAACCGTCGTCTGGAGCGTATTCAAAACAACGGCAACAATGGGACAGGCAAAGGGTCGCTCGATGTCGAGCTCAACGTCAATCCTGAAGAGGTGGAAGAGCAACGACGGCGCATTATTGCGGTGGTGCTGCGCAACGAAATGGCCGAGGATATCATGGGTAAGTGGATGCGCTCGCTGCGGCACGTTGTGCGCCTGGCGTGGAAGCATGACATTCCCTGAAAGATAAATGGAACCGGCCAAGTCGCGTAGGAGCTGCGTGGTCGGTCTTTCCTTTTTGTGTTTGCCCGATGGAAGCTGAAATGGCGAGGGGTGGTTTGGAGAGGCGAGCCGAGAAAGATATGGCATGTTCATGCGTGGGTATAAGTAAGAGGATCCCTACACACACACACACACAAACACTTACAGACACACGCTTTCACCCCTTACCCTAGCGGCGCTGGAACAACGAGTAACCGAGCAAAACTGCCTGCAAGCGTTTGCATAAAAAAAAACCATCTCCCCTCAACGAGCCACCACGACCACCACCGCCACAAGCGATTCGACGTGTCTGTTGAATTGAAAGCTGCTCTTGACTGCGCGTGTTTTTTTTTTCTTTCTTTCTCTTTTCATCGTCGTGGTGTTTACTCGTATTCATTTGTTGACTGTCTTCCGTCGTTGCTCATCCGCCGACGAGTTTGTGTGAAGGACAGAAAGGCGAGAACGCACAAATGTAAAGGTGCTTATAACACCGAGACGACAACACCGAATGCACGAAGGCGGCAGTGCAAGAAGCTGACAAACGTGCATTTCCATCTTGGCTTAGAGGCGACCTCCTCATTTTTGTTGTTTCCCACCCCCTCTTTGTCTCTATCTTCTCTCCCCCTCTCGTTGCACCTTGCACGCGCTCCGACATCCACGCGCCTGACTCACACTCTCACAGAAATTGTAGCTAATGTGACTCCTTTAAATCGACGAAGCACAACACTACCTAATACTTACTTGAGTAGCTTGATTTTGGATCAGCAGCGCCGCTGTACTTCTCCCGATCGACAAGAAATCAAGTATATCTAAAAGACTCAGCTCTCACTGGAAAAAAAAGAAATATATTTTCTGCTTTGTTTTTCTCTTCTCTCTCTCGCAACAGATAATAATAACAACAAAGAAATAAACCCGTGGTGACGGTGCTCCCCTTATTATTACTGTTGTTATTGAAACACACACAGCAAGAAAAGGAGCAACCACGTCCCTCTTTTCCTTTCTTTTCTCTTTTCCTCTCCATTTTTCTCAGTCGTAATAGAAATAATAACCAAAAACAATACGGTTTGAAAACTGCAATTCGAAAGAACACTGCAAAGAGGAACAACAAAGGACACATTAGTCATTTTGTGTTTCTCGTTCAATCTCGTATTTTTTTTTTCTTGCTCATTGCGAAGCGGAGATCCTTTCTTTTCTCTTCTTTTTGCTTTCTCCGACTTCGCCTCGCGTTGCTAAAGTGAATGCTTTTGCTATAACACGTTTTAGCTTAACTTTCTTCTTCTCTGTCTTTCTTGAGCCCATCTCCTTCGCGAGACCACAACACAACAGAAAAAAGAATCATCAACGAACGGAGCAGTACGAAACCAGATCTTAAAAGAACAGTTTTCTGCCTGCTAGTGTAAGTTGGCTCCATCATCTCCTCTGTCTCGCCGCGCCTTTCTGTGTGTGTGTGTGCTTTCTTTTATTCTCTTTTCTTTAGCTGACCTTTTTTTTCTTACTTTATCGTTTGGTGAACCACAAGCTGACTGCTCTTTCGTGAGGACAAGTATACATTTATACGAAGGGCCGCGAATAAAGATTCTCATTTGCCTTCACCTTTTCTTCTTTGTTGTCTCCGCTTTACTTTCTCACTTTTTTGTGTGTTTTGGTTTGGCTTTACCTCATCATTAAGAACCGCCTTCTGTGTGTTTTTTTTTTTGGCACTTCTATAGGCGTCACCTAAGTATTTTTTTCTGTCTTGTTCTGCTTTCTCTGACTATCAAAAGAAGAAGAAAACAAAAGCTGGCACTTTGCGCTCCTCTGCCTCGCTTCTTCTCCGATTTTTTCTATTTTTCGGTGCTTTTGTTTTTAAAGCACATCAACTTTTCCGTAGTTTCTGCCTCCATCACGATGTTCAAGTTCGTCTCTTCGATTGGTGATGCGGCGTACAAGGCGGCCACGAAGACCGGCCTGGCGGCGGGCTCCGATCAGCCCCCGTACCCGTGCGCGGTACCGCTGCAGGTGATTGAAGATCGCGACGACGTCGATGCTGTGGAACGCGTGCTGAATGACTCTTACGCGGCCATTCAAGACCTCCTTAGCGACGACCTCCCGCTGTTGTGTGGTAGCATCGCGGACCCGAAGCAGCACAAACCCTTCCACTCGGTGGACTTCACGGATCACGGTGGCGATATTCGTCTCTTCACCCGCCCTCATGTCGGCACCTACAACTTCGCCCGTGCGACGCTGACGTTAGACGGCATCTCGCCCCCGCAGATTCTCCGCCACATGCACGCGCAGAACCTGAAGGATCGCAACCGCTACTCGACCAACCTCTACCAGTACGAAGTCATCACCCGTAACCCGGAGCTGCCGGCGCAGTGGGTCGGCAACGACGACGATCACTTGGAAGAGATCGCCCAGATGGGCCTTCGCGACTGGCACGTAGAGTACAACCGCTACACCGCCCCACCCCCGGTTGCAGCGCGCGACTTTATCTACCTCGTTGAGAAGCGCTACGTGCCGGAGCAGCAGAGCTACTACATCTACGGCACCAGCGTCGACTTCCGCGACACCGCAGGCGTCAAGATCGAAAACGATAAATGCGTGCGCGGGGCCGTCATGTTTGGCTGGCGGCTGAAGATGATGGGGCCGAAGACGTACTGCACGTATGTCTCATGCATGAGTCCCAACGGGTGGGCACCGACGTTCATTGTAGGCTGGATGAAGACGGAAATCGCGAAGGAGTTCCAGAACTCGCGTCGTCTTCTCTACCAGGACGTGCCGCGCTCGCAGAACGCCGATGCCGCCTTCCACGCCAAAGCGCAGCCGGAGGCGAGCTTCAGCGCGGCGATCAACGGTGTGCACAACAACGCACTGTCAAGCGATAGCTCGAGCACGCAGTCGTCCCGAAACGGTACAGGCCTAGCTATGGAGAAGGAGGAGCGCCGCTTGCTTGTGGAAGAGGACCCGATCGTGTTCGAGTAGGCGATCAACTGGGAAACGACGAAAGGAAAGAAACACAAGATATCGTGTTTGCTGGTAGATCGTACTACTTTGTTCTTTATTCTATTTGGCTGTTATTATTTTTATTTATTTTTTTGCTTTTCGTGAACGAGTGCAATCGCAATGATGCTTTCTTCCTCTTTTCCTGTTATGCCAAATATGCGGAGTGTGGTGGAGGCGAGGAGACGGAAAGCACGAAAACAGAAAAGCTGCGCCAGTGCTGGTTGACGGCTACGCTGGAGAAGGAAATCCGCGCAGCCATGTTTCATCCGTATTCTTTGAGGTAAGTCGTACCGCCTCGGAGAGGCGCAGTGTGTGTGTCGCCGTCTTCCACCTCCCTTTTTAGAGTCTCTACTCCCCCATCCACAGCGAAAAACTTAATAAAAAAGTTCTGAGTAGATCGCCAAAGAGAATTGTGGGAGTAATACATTTTTCTGTTTTCCTGCTTTGCTAGTCGGGTTGTGCTGCCTCCACTCTTACTTCATAGTTTTTCCTTTTCTTTTTGTTATCGTGAGATACAATATCACTGTACTTACCTTTTTTTTCTTTGTACTACACCAGCACTAGATGAAGCACGAATGTCTTTCAAACAGCAGTGGGCTGGGAAGACGGAAAAAGGGGACGCGAATGTGCGCCTACGCAAATTGCGGTTCCTCCGTTGCTCTCTTTGGACTTCACAACGGCCAACTTGTCCCTGCCATGTGCAGCTTAACGGAAACGAGGTGTTGCTCTTCTGCTTGATTCCCCTTTTTCTTTTGGTCGTCCTTCTACCATGACTACTTCGTTCATTAGCTTCGTCGTTGTTGCCTCTCCACCTCATCTACGTCGTTGTTTTCGCCACCTTTTTTTCTTCTTCCCCCCTCTTCTTTGACGCTAACCACAGCATGGTTTAGACAAAGTGAAACGGGGGACATCCCTTGATGTATATATATATATATTCTTCTTCTGCTCTCGAAGACTTCCATGACCGCGTTTGTGCTTTCCCCCCCTCCTCCTTTTCTCTGCTGTGTTTATGCGGTGTAGTGACCCCTTCAGGGCCACTACTATTCTCTTTTGCTTGTTATTATTATTATTTTTTCTTTTCCGGGTGGTGCTCGTCACTGCGCTACACGAAGCTGTCTCTCTCTCTTTCCCCAACAGACGTCTGAAAGGGGGATTTCAGGCCTTTCTTTTTTTCTGGACTCTTTCTTTCGTATGATCATTTCGAAGAGAATCAAACGGTGCTAACGCCCACGGAAAAAAACCGGCCAAACAGCCTTTCCACTCTTTTTTTTTGCGTCGTGTGTGCTTTCACTGCGCACCTTCCTCATTTCCTTTTTTTCTTTTTTAAATACTGTATTTTGTCGGCTTTGTGGAAGCCCTCTTAAGAAGAAGAGGATCGAAACAAGAGCTGATCCCACCCTCAAAAGAAACAAACAAAAATAGAACAATAAATTATCATGCGATGTTTGCCGTGACTTTCTTTTCTTTCTTTCTTCCGATACTCTTCCCGGCTCGCGATATATATTTTTTTCTTAAATGTTAGTCGTTGTCCGTGGAATGGTGGTTGATGAATGAGAGAGGTAGCGAAAGCGGAGGCATTTGCCGAGGCTCCCTTGACGTTGTCCTGTATATATATATATATATACATATACCTTTGATTTCTTTTTTTGTCGTGGATTCTTCGTTCCTTTTCCTTTTCCTTTCTTTTCCTTTCTTTTCATGGTCCCGCTAAGCTAAACTCCTGTTTCTCAACAGATGATACCGTGGAAGACGGACGGAGCTTCTTTTTTTTTTTGAATTTCCTCTGTTTCATTACCTAGTATTGGTAGATGAGGCGGTTGCTCCTCGCTTCTTCTTTATTATTAATTTGGACGACAAAAGCCTGCGGGGAGGACGCAAGACCTTTTCTAAACGGGAAAGAAAAGGGGAAAAATAAATCGCGTGGGTTTTGGTTTTATTCTTTTGAACTGACGAACGTGCTCGTAGAAAATGTGTCGTCGTCTTGCAAAGGTGAACCTTCTAATCCGAAATAAGTGATGTGTGGGATCGATTGAAAAAGGAAAAAGCAAAAATCCAAAGAGATTGACACACGTGAGAGCGAACTGTGCAACTCAGGTTTGTTTGTTTGCTGACAGTTGTGTCTTTCATGCGGAGAGGCCACCGTTTCTTTTTTGTCTTTGCTTCAACCGGCTATCATCTTCGCTAAAGCAAATAAAGAAAGGCTTGAGTACGCGCAGCGAGAGAGCGAGGGGGAGAGAGATCTGTGCCTTTCAGCGAGGCGGAGAAGTTTTTTTTCACTTCTTTTTTCTTCGTTACTTCCACCGACGATCGCGTCGTCTTTTCGATGCGACTCGACGTTCACTGTTGCTTTGTCATGTTCACCTTCTTTTCCGCGTCACGCGTCCGAACTTCAACTCGTATTTTTTCCTCCTTTGACTTTTCTGTTTTTGTGAAGAAAAAAGACCCCTTTGTATGTTTTTGTTTTGTTTCTGAACGTTACGGTGGTTTCCCTTCTCTTTCTATAAGTACCTTTCTATTCATCTTGTGCTTGTGAACCATGCGATAGAGGGCCTGCTTCCGGTGTCCGATGCTGCGGTAGTCTCCCCGCCCCCCTGTCTTGGGTGTTTTTTTTTTCGTGCGGTCTCCTTTGACAGGGTCAGCTTGCCGAGACTCACGCATCCGCTGTGCTACGTAAGTTTTTTTTTTGTCTGTTTTATTGTTGCGATCTTCTTTTTTTTTCCTTTCTCTCTCAAACTTCGTATTAACCGGTTTATGATATCTATTTCTATAGCATCATTTGTTTCCCCATTATATATACATATATATTTGTTTTCTGAGTGGAAGCACAACTGGACGTAAAACTCGAGAAACAACAAAAAAAGCCAACATCAGCGAGAAATCAGCAGCAAAGAAGACCAGACTGATCGAGTCGGGAGAACAATCTTTTGTTTTTACTTTCCCCGTTGACTGCGGCAACGAAAAGGCTGAAGCGTTGCAGGAAGAGGTCTTTTCCTGATTGAGAACGCCTCCGAAACCACATCTGATGGTTTCATCTGCGTATTGATCACGTTCTCAACTGAACCAGGGGTTGAAGCTAAGTGTCCAGCCGACCGCAGATGCGCTGTGCATAAACCCGCACAGGAATTCATAGGTGGAATCGTTCTTTACGGGTTTCCTGTTTGTGTGCAATGTGCAGGATTCATCGGTGTGCGTGCGGCAGCGTTCTTTCCAGCTCTTTGCGTTCTCCGTCCTTCTATATTTTCCTCCCCTTTTTTCTTGCCTTTTTTTTGTTTCACACGTGCTAATCCCCCTCTGCCGCTCACGTCTCCCCCCCCTCCTGCACGGTTTGTGCCGCGTAAACACGTGGTGCGAGTGAAAATTCAACTGGTTGTCTTTTGCGCTCTCTTTCCTTCAAAAAACGCATTCTTTCTCCCTTTGACCTAAGAGGACGAAGGAGGAGAAAAAGAACGTAGCTCATGGCAGGCGTTGCGGAGTCGGCTGTGCTGGTGTCCTCGGCGGGGGCGGCGGAGGCGATCACAAAGTTGAAGCGCGTCCAGGGCCCCTCCTCAGACTTCCACAATCCGCAGCACGTCTTGAGCTTTTACCCTTCGCTTGGCTTTCAGGCGACCCACTTCGGCCGCGCGTGCCACATTGCCGAGGTGATGCTGCGCCGCCAGGCTCCGTCGAAGGTGTACCTCATCCAAGACGGGAAATTTGTATTAATGCCACGCGACAACGGCAATGGTAACGGCAGCAACGAAGGCGAAGATAAGACAGAAATGGAGACTGAAGGGCGGCAGAAACGACTGCACAGTCGCGATGACCACGTCTACCCGAATCTGTTTCTTGGTATAACGGCGAACTTGCTGGGTACGGGCTGCCGTGAAGCGGTGCGGTTCCTCGTGCAGGAAGGTGTCGTGCCGAACCCGACCGCGCTGAGCCGTGAGGAGGTGCCGCCGCCGCCGGAGGACGCATCAGAAGACCAACTTATGTTTGCTCGGCTCAAAAAAGAATACTGTGACATCTACGGCACAAGCGCGCTGGCCGACGAGGCGGTACCGCCCTTTCGTAGCTTTCTCTGCTGCGTCGTGGTGAGCGGCGGTGGCGTGGAGCACGACGTGCGCTGCGCCTGTGCACCGTACAGGGTGACGCACTACGCGAGCGAAGAAGCTGCACCGGCAGCCCCTGCTTCGAGGAGACTAAAGAAGAGAACTTCTGCCTCGGCCTCGGAATTGGAGCGGACCTCGAGCACAAACGCCCACTTTGGCAACGTCTCGTACCCTTCCCAGGGCACGGCAGAGTCGGCGGTCTTTGACGCTGTGATGAAGCTGTTTGCACAGCGCCTGTGCGCGCGTCAGCAACGCCTGCGCGCCGCCGCCGCCGCCAAACCCCCTCCAGAAAAGTACCTGGACGTGTGCAGCTGGTCCGTGACACCGAGCGAGGTGTGGGCGCTTCTGGGACTCTGGTTGGTGGACATCATGACGGAGGCGCTGCACACCCTGCAACACCAGACAAGCGACAATGGCGACGGCGGGGAGACGACGAAGGAAACAAGCGCCGAGAACGCTGCGAACGCGGAAGCCGCTCCACACGCCGGAGCACACCGGTGTGCGTCGTGCCGCGCGGCTGCATTGCACAAGGCACGCACCACCGTCGTGTACTGGGCTGCCGTACAGCAGGTGCCTCTGTACAGTCCTTCCTTTGTGGACGGCGATATTACTTCCTACCTGGTTACTGCGCAGCCTTGCACGTCGGATACGACCACGGAGGAGCCACTGCAGCTGGATCTCGTGCGTGACATCCACTCCATCAACAAGCTGGCCATGCAGAGCAAGAAGACGGGCATGCTGATCTGCGGCGGCGGCGTCGTGAAGCACCACATCTGCAACGCGAACCTCATGCGCAATGGGGCAGACTACACTATTATTTTGAACAACGGGCAGGAGTTCGACGGCTCAGATGCGGGCGCGAAGCCGGAGGAGGCGCTGTCGTGGGGCAAGGTGCGGATGGAGGGGGAGTTTGTGAAGGTGTACGGTGAGGTCACCACTTATTTGCCGCTGCTGGTGGCGCAGGTATTTGTGCCGGCGGCGCGTCGGCGCAACCGGCAGCACCCAGCCTCCGCGTCCGTCGCACGGAGCCGGCAAGAAGCTGATGACGAGCACCGCGGAACGAATGCCAATCCTACGAGAAAGAGAGGACGAAGGCGTGGGGCGCGTCGTTCGCGACATGAAGAAGAGGCGGAAGCTCCGTCCTCCAGTACCACGCCGGCACTTCTTGCCGAAGGGGAGAAGGTAGAGGACGCGTAGATGCAAACGCATAGCTAGTGAAAAGCCACCGACCTGTATCCCACCAACACCAAGCTAGGAGCCAACGGACTCGTACGTGCTTTCACACTCTCTGATTGTTCTGTGCTGTACATATATCCGGTTCTGAACTTTTCAGCGCACGTTGCGTTGAGCATGACGCACCTGTTCGTCTACTAACATTAAGAGCTTCGATGGAAACCCGTATCATTTATAGAAACTTCATGTTGCACCTAGAGGCTAGCGAAGCCACTTGGAAAGCTTCCGAGTAAACGGGGGAAAAAAAGAAGAAAGAAAACGGAGTCGTTTTTTGGCGTTGTCGAATCGAATGTGCGCTCACAGCACTGCGGGAGTTTTCTTCCACGCCCGGCACTAACTTCATTTTAGTCTCTTCTTCATTTTGCCTCCTTCTCTCCTGTCTTTCCTTTTCTTTTTTGTGCAATTTTGTCAAAGGCCACTGTTTGAGGGAAAAGAAGGCCAACACGACTGCACATAGTTTGTCGATGCTGCGCTAGTTTGCGTGGTCTTTGCATTTCTCTAATTTCTAAAAAACCTTTTACCAAGTACTCTATTGGACACTCTCTCTGCTACCGTTGAAAAAAGAAAAGAAACGAAACGATGAACACTTTCGACGCTGCAGGGGTCTCGCCTTTAGCCTCCTCTCCCGTTGGACCAGGGAGTTCCTTGGCGAGTATTTTTCTGGTCGCCGTCATCCCTTTTCTTTTTCTGAAGGTGTTCTCCTTCTTCCATCACACGTGGCCTAACTTTGTGTACCGGCTGCTGACTTCTCGAATGGAGCGTCAAATCGCCACGGTGACGGAGCGCGTCTACCCCAATCGCATTGTTCTAGATGGCCTCATGATCCACAGCATCATGGGCTACGTCTCGCACTGCTACCTGCGGACTCTGCGTCAGGGGGCCAACGCCTGCGACGCGGTCAGCATCGCTGATTACGAGTACTCCTTCATCTACGAAAACGTGGAGGAGTTCGATGAGTCGTGGGTGCCGTACTCGACCCGCTACAAGTCGCTCTTTGGCCGTGTCATTGCCTCTGCGATGGAGCTGTCCGTGATGCCCACCATCGGGCAGGCGATTCAGGTGGAGCCAGGGCTCTTTGTGCGCTCGCTCGAAGACAAACACCGGCACCGCAAGAGCAAGGAAAACGAGTCAGGAAGCGAGGAAGACGAGGCGAGCTCCGGCGCGAGTCATCGCACGCAGGGCAGCGGCGAGAGAGGCTTGACCAAGATGAATCGGGTGGATAAGTTGAATCAGTACGTGTTCTACGACATGCGCAAGTACGCGGAGAACATGGACGAGCACGCGCAGCCGCCGGTGGACGGCAACGCGGACGATATCAGCTCCGCTGAGCATCCCTTCGACCAACCAGCGCAGAACCGACGCAAGCGCCATGGAAAACAGGAAGGCAAAGGCGGTTCTGAGAAGGAGAGTACCCAATTCGACAACGACGAAAACCCGAAGGAGGAAACTTTTATCGTTATTGAGTACCGCCGTCCGCTACCATACGAGCGGTCGCAGGCGCTCTGCCACGCCAGCAACACGCCCGGGGTGGCGGTGGAGTACGATGAAACGCGCGCGGCAGGTGATGTCATTGAGGGCTTTCTGGCACGTGCGCACGGCTGGTACTTGGGTCACGCCGCGCAGCGTAAGACCACACCCCTCATGGCGATCTACCCGTCATCGGCGCTGCCGATGTTTGCAAAGAGCGGCGTCGCCGGCCTGCGCGTGCGGCGCGAGTGGGAGGGTGACTTCTCGGGCCGCTGCTACGTGTTCGACAGCGCGTCACTTGCGGCAGAGACGGTGCCCTCAAGCTCTTCGGCTGCTGTTGGGAAAGGTGGAAAAGGGCAGGTGAGGGCTGCCGGTAGTAGGATGGTGGTGGAGGAGGGAGAGGAGGGCGAAGCGGACAACGGCATCGCCGCTGGTGTCACCATCGGGCCGTCCACCCTCTCTGGGGGTCACGTCGGCCTGGGCGGTTCAGCCGACTCGGTGCAGTCCATGGGCAAGACCTTCAAGTCGCTTTTCTTCCCCTCCAAGGCACACGTCCTGTCCGTCATCGACGACTTTGTGCAAGAGCGGGGTCGCTACGGCGTGCCGGGCGTGGTCGCGCGACTCAACCTCTTCCTCTATGGCGCCCCTGGCACGGGAAAGACATCCTTCGTCAAGGCGCTGGCCCGCCACCTGCGCCGCAACCTGGTCGTGGTGTCGATGAGCGAGATCTTGACCGTGGACGAGCTGCAGAAGCTGCTGCAGCCGTTTGAACTGGCACACACCGGTGACGACCACGACGAGCACCGGTTTAGTGTGCGGCCACATCAGTCCATCTACGTCTTTGAAGATTTTGACGCCATTGGAGACGCGTGGGAGGCGCTGATGCGCGATCAGAGCGAGCGCAAGACGGCTCAGGCGCAGCAAGCAGAGGCGGCGGCGGCGCGAAAGGAGGCCACCACGTCAGAGACGAACGAAGACGACACAGAGAGCAGCACCGGAACCAACAGGGATGAGAAGGGGAGTGAGGAGGACTCGGCAGAAGACACCACCGCGGCGGGGTCGAGGGAGGAAAAGCGGTATTCTGCATCATCGAAAAATGACAAGAACAGCAGCCCTGACGACGACGACGGCGGCGACAGTGACGACGACAGCAGCAGCAGCAGCAAACCCCCATCGAAGAAGAGCGACTCGTTTGTGCTGGAGGACGAGCGGCTGGAGGAGCTGGACCGCGTGCACCTCACGGTGGAGAGGTTCCTCGACTTGTTCAACGGCTTCAATCTCCCCGACTCCTTCATCGCCGTCTTCACGACGAACCACCCGGAGAGGGTGCACCCCCGCATCACCAGCACCAACATGATGGATATTACGCTAGACATGGGCATGCTGAACGACGAGTGTGCGACGGAGATGATAGAGCACTACTTTGTGAATGAGCTCACGGCGGGGACGGCCGGTGCAAAGGGTCAACCACACCTTACCACGGCACAAGTGGCGGAGCTGCACGCTGCGTTGGAGGTCTTTAACCGCTCGGCGGACGGTGTAAGCGGGGCGCTGCTGGAAAACATGTGCATTGAGTGCGACACAGTGGCATCGCTGACGCAGCGGTTGCGAGCGGCGGATACGTGGGATATCGTCAACGCCTTCTGATGCTCCGCTCTCCCCGGTGCCACAGCAAAACATTTCTCATTTTCTTTTTTTTCTTAATTTTGAGACATTTTATTACTTACTTGCGTATTGGCGGCTGTGTATTTGTTGTATTTCCTGCGTGCAAGGCAGAGTCAGCGCCGGGGGACTGCTCCCTCCTCTCCCTCCCTCGCTCACCCCAATTCATCTCCTTTGTAGATTCTCTTCTACTGCTTTTACATCTCGGAGGTTTTCGTTTGTGCTGCAGCAAAAAGAAGGGCAACGAAACAGTGGCGCCGCCTTGGACAACGTGCTGTTTAGTCCGCCGTTTCCGCTTCTTTCCGTCTCTTTCTCGCTTTAGTTCTTTGTGGAGGAAAATCGATGAACCTGCACGGTTAGGAAAAGGAAGGAAATAACACAGAATAGCGCAATTCCCATACGACGGAGACATCTCTACCGGCTACCGACTTTTGCTTTTCACAAGACCGTAAAGGACGAAAGACAGCCGCTCTTATGCTCGCGTACTCCTCTATATGTGCGTGCGTGCTCTATGGCCATTTTTTATTTTTATTTTAACAGTTTTCACTGTCGTATCGTATGAGCGCTGCGCATTCCGCATCAGCCTAAAAAAAAAGAAAGAAAAACTTGAATGCGCAGCCTGGAAACTGTGATCATGATTCAATCCACTTCTGTCACTTCCTTCTCCTTCTCCTCTTTTTTGTTCTTTACACATACACGACCTATATCAATCGGTTTTTAATGGGCTCTGCTATCACCTCCGTACCGTCGTGCCGTTCTTTCCACAACCACTAAATGCCAATGAATCAACTTAGAACTAAGTCCCATTCCCCTCCCACATACAATCACATCCACGAGTACACTGTTATCATCTTTTTTCAATATATTTATTGATATTTTACTCCGGTAACACCACCACCTTCCAGTCAAGATGGCGACTCAAATGATTCCGGTGGATCCGGATAAGAAGGATGATCAGTACTACCGTTACAAGATGCCGGCCCTGCAGACGAAGGTCGAGGGCAGCGGCAACGGCATCAAGACGGTGATCCCAAACATTCACGACATCTGCCTCGTGATCAACCGCCCAGAGGAGGTGCTCATGAAGTACTTCCAGTTCGAGCTCGGTGCGCAGCGCACGGTGTCGACGAAGGACGACAAGTTCTTTCTCATGGGCTCCCACCCGGAGGACCGCATGCAGGACAAGCTGTACGATTTTATTCGCCGCTTCGTGCTGTGCAAGCACTGCCGCAATCCCGAGACGACCATTCACCTGGACGAGACCAAGAAGGGTGCCCCCGAAATCAGCATGGTCTGCGGCGCGTGCGGTAAGCGCTCCGCCTTTCTCGAGCACCGCACCAAGACGTTCATGATCCAGTACTACGACAAGCATCGCGATGAGCTGAAGAGCGCGAAGCACACGGCAGAGGCCCGCAAGAAGGGCGAGCAGCCCTCGGCCGACGATGCAGCTGCGACGGCGACGGGTAAGAAGGAGACGGAGTCTAAAACTGTCAGCAAGTCCGACCTCGCCGACGACCGCGAGGATCCGAAGGCGGTCTTTGCGCGTGTGCTGAAGGAGTCGTGGGGAAAGAACGACGAGCTGGTGGGGTACACGGTGCGCCTGCTGAGCCAGTACAACCTGCCTGAGCACTACGGGCCCCCGATGGTGCTCTCCGGCATGCAGATAGAGCACCGTGACGACCTGCTCTCGACGATGCGGATCCATGCCCGCCTGCTAAAGCGCCTATGCACCGTGCCGGAGTTGTTCTCGCGCTCCGAGGGCTACGACGAGAAGGAGTTGACGGACTTCTACAAGCGCGAGAAGAAGATTCAGAAGACCTTCTTGCGGGAGTGTGCGAAGGAGTTTGCTGCCAACTACACGGCGGAAAAATTTGCCGTGCTGCTCTTTATGCTCTTCGTCGAGGGCGTGCTGCGTGACCAGAGTATCATCGACTGGGCCAAAGACGAGAAGCCGCTTAGTGACGTGGATCCCAAGATTCAGAAGGATATGCACGCGAAGGTAGCACCCATCGTGGCCTGGCTCGGAAGGGAGACAAACGCGGATGCGTAAACGGAAAGTACAGAGAAGCCCCTTGTCTTGACGATCTACTTTATGTTTTGAAGTACACCTTGCTAGTTTTGTTCACGGTGCATGCAATAGGATTTCAACATTTTTTTTTTTTTACATGTTCTGTTGTTTTGGTTGGCTGCGATTGGAGTGTTTGAGCGAGTGCATCTATAACGAAGGTTTCTTGTAGTGAAAGCTTCAAGCAGAAGCGAGCGATCGGTTTGATTTGGAAGACGAGCACACCTTTTGTTTGTCGTTTATTTGACCATCTTTTTCTCTTCTTCCTCTTCTGGTGTTGTATGGCGCAGTGGGCGCTACGAAAGAGGAAATGGAAAAACCCACCCGGACCGCTTCGTCTTGCGGTTCTTGTTTACTCGGCACCGTGCAGCGAAGTTGGCCGGGAAGAAGGAGGGGGAAAGAAGGCATGTTTCTTTGTTGCTCCATGTGTTTCTCATTTCGTCACGGGCGCGCTTTTCGATGAGGAATGAGGAGCGCGTTGTGACGCAGCGCTGTCGCGAAATCGTTTGAGGTCGTTCTTTTTTGTCGGTATGGATAAGGTTTATTATCATTATTAAGTGTTTTCTAAGTTGTGCTTTCCGATGTTGTTTTAAGAGGAACTGTTTTAAACGTTAACAAGAACAATTTTCATTCGTAAAAGCCTCAAAGTTGGAGTTGCCTTGCAGGCAGAGTACACACACACACACACCTCATCCACTCTTCGCAACGGAGTGTGCGTGTGGGCGGCTTCTCACTTGGTGAGCTTGCCTTTTGCAGCCCGGCGCCGCGTGCAAACGCGAGTAGTAATGCTCTGTGCGCTGCCGGAAACTATTTCTGCAGTTCCTTTTTTTTGAGGCTGAGATCTTTGAAGACTGAAAACTGACATGTACGAAGCAGGCAACTCTGCCGGCGGTTAATGTATTTCAGTGAGGCGTCATACATTGGCTATGCATACTTCGGTGTTTGTTGCGCTCTCCTTCGCTTTGACTCCGTTTCTTGCGATTTTCCGCATTACCTTTTTTTCTCCTTCTCACAACGATCCCCCCCCCCCTCCTCCCCTTCGCCCTTTTCCCCGTTCGTCCGGAGCAGTGGCCAGAACAGTTTTGTACTTCAATTGACGACCTTTTGGAGGGTGTGAATCAGCAACAACATTACAAGAAAGAAGGCCATCGTAGTCTTTTCTGTTCTCGTCGTCAGCGCCGTAAGTGCCACTCCACACCTTACGTGTTGAGGACACGGCACTCTAATCCAACTGAGCTGTGCCACTTCACGCTTCGCGCTTTGATCCTTTCTCTGTTTGTCGTCTTAAATCAGAACAGAGGAAGCGGGCCAATCGTGTACTTTCTGAAGCGGTAGTGGTGATCTGGCTGGCCTAAAACTTTGGGAAATTCAAGAAGACCTGCGCAGTGAATGCGTTGTTAGTGAGCGAAGACAAGGTTTTTTTTTCTCTTTGTCAGAGAATAAATTATAGCTTTGATTTGCCCTTTGTATCCTTCTGTGATGGCACTTAGCGCGTCCGCGACGGCGCAGTTCGTGCAACCGCTGTTGGACAAGCCTGTGGAGATCACCTCCATCAAGTACGGTCTCCTCTCCGATGAGGCCATCCACCGCCTCTCCGTGCTGCCGTGCCACCGCGTCATCGGCAATGAGAAAAACTTCGGCGTCAACGACGGCCGTCTCGGCCCGAGCGATCGTCAGTCCGTCTGCACCACCTGCGGGCAGCGCAGCACCGAGTGCACCGGACACGCCGGCCACATTAACCTTGAGGCACCAGTGTTTCACCTTGGCTATTTCTCCACGGTGATCCGAGTGTGTCGCACCGTCTGCAAGCGCTGCTCCAACGTGCTCCTCACGCGGGGGGAGCGGGACTACTACCTTCGCCGCCTGCGGTCGACCACCCTCGAGCCACAGCAACGGACCGCGCTCATCAAGACAATCCAGGAAGACGCCTACAAGACGCGTGTGTGCCTCGTGTGCGGTGGGTTGAACGGGACGGTGCGCCGCGTGCGGCCGATGCGCATTGTGCATGAGAAGTATCTCGTGGAACCGCGCCGCGGTGAGCAGGCGAACGAGGACCGCGAGGAGTTCCTTCAAGATGAACTGCGCTCGGCGGTACTGCACAACGCCGATGTAGGCTCGCATAAGGAGTACATTCACGAGTTTCTGCACCCGCAGCGTGTAAAGGAACTATTCGAAGCTATTCCTCTTGATCAGGTTCCATTGTTGGGGCTGCAGCCAGGGACCAATCCATGTAGCCTGTTGATCAGCACGCTGCTGGTGCCCCCCGTCTGTGTGCGACCACGAGGCATGTCCATGACAAACCACATTCGCGAGGACGACCTGACGACGCAGTACAACGAAATCCTTATCTGCTCTGACATGATGAACGACGGCACGAACGACGCCGCGCGCAGTGTGGAGACGTGGGAGCTGCTGCAGACACGTGTGGCACGGCTGCTGGACGCGGCGTTGCCCGGATTCCCCTCGCACCTGCGCACAGTGGAGTGCAAGTCTTTCGCGCAGCGCATGAAGGGTAAGCAGGGCCGCTTCCGCGGTAACTTAAGCGGCAAGCGCGTTGATTTTTCAGGTCGGTCAGTCATCTCACCCGACCCGAATCTGCGCATTGACGAACTGGCCGTCCCACTGCGTGTGGCGCGGGTGCTGACCTATCCCCAGCGCGTCTTTGCAGGGAACATCCAGCTGATGCGTCGGCTGGTGCGCAATGGCCCGTACGTACACCCCGGTGCGCTGACCGTCTATTTGTCCAAAGAGCGCTCCCGCAAGTCGTTGCGCAACGCACGCGACCGCGAGGCCATCGCCGCCCGACTCAGCATCGGCGACATCGTAGAACGCCACGTGATGAACGGCGACTACGTCCTCTTTAACCGCCAGCCTTCCCTCCATCGCATTTCGTTGATGGCACATCGCGCGCGTGTGCTGCCTTTCCGCACCTTCCGCTTCAACGAGTGCTGCTGTGCGCCGTACAACGCCGATTTTGACGGTGATGAGATGAACATCCACGTGGTGCAGACGGAGGAGGCCCGCGCGGAGGCGAAGGAGTTGATGCTCACCGCCCACAACATCATCACGGCGAAGAACGGCGAGCCGATCATCGCCTGCACACAGGATTTCTTAACGGCTGCGTACCTGGTCACGGCGCGTGACGCGCTCTTCGATCGTGCGTCTTTCACGCAAATGGTCTCGCACTGGCTGGGTGCGGAGACGCAGTACGCGCTACCGGTCCCTGCCATTTTGAAGCCTGCGGAGCTGTGGACGGGGAAGCAGCTGATCGAGCTGATCCTGCGCCCGTCCCCTGAGACACAACTCTTGCTGAATTTGGAGGCGAAGACCCGCTTCTACTCCGGCGCCGGCGCGCACGACGACCCGGCGGAAGGTTACGTGGCTTTCTTGGACTCCGTGCTTATCTCCGGCCGTTTGGACAAGAAGCTGCTCGGTGGAGGCGCTAAGGACGGTCTCTTCGCGCGCCTCTACGCCCTCAGCGGGGGTGAGCAGACGGCCACCTGCATGACCCGCATTGCACAGTTCACCTCGCGGTATCTGCAGAACTACGGCTTCTCCCTTGGCCTCGGCGACGTCTCCCCAACGCCGTCGCTGAACAAGAAGAAGGCGGTTGTCCTGGCCGAGTCGTTTGAGCGGTGCGAGCGCATGATCTCGCTGGCCAAGACGGGCCGGCTGATCCCGAAACCCGGTATGACGGTGAAGCAGAGTTTGGAATCGATGCTAAACAGCGAGCTCTCGCAGGTGCGTGACGCGTGCGGCTCAGCTGCCGTGCAGGCTCTTGACGCCAAGTCGAACGCTCCGCTGATCATGGTGAATTCCGGCAGTAAAGGTAGCGCGCTCAACACCGCGCAAATGATGGCGTGTGTGGGCCAGCAGACGGTGAGTGGGAAGCGCATCATGAACGCGTTTCAGGACCGCGCGCTGCCGCACTTCGCACGTTTTGCCGAAGACCCGGCCTCGCGTGGCTTTGTGGCGAGCTCCTTCTACTCCGGCCTCTCACCGACGGAGTTCTTCTTCCACAGCATGGCGGGTCGCGAGGGCATCGTCGACACCGCGGTGAAGACGGCGGAGACGGGCTACATTTACCGCCGTCTGAGTAAGGCGATGGAAAACCTGAGCGTCGGCTACGACGCCTCGGTGCGCAGCGTGCAGGGCGGCATCGTGCAGCTCTGCTACGGCGAGGACGGCATGGACCCGTGGCTGATGGAGGGGATGCACGGGACGCCGCTGAACTTGGAGCAGGAGTGGCTGAGCAACCGCGCCGCCTACGCCCGTTTCCGCACGCAGGTGGAGGCGGTGTTACGCGGGCCGGTGTCGAAGGCCGAGCATACCGCGTCAGACTCACTTCTACGTGAGTATGCAGCACTGTACGCGGAGTGGCACGCAGTGTCGCTGCTGCCAAGTGAAGTGGAAAGCTTTGTGCTGCGCTGCTTGCACGGGGAGGCGGCGACTCTGGCGGCGTGCGGGCGTGTGTTGGAGGCCGAGAACGCCATCCGTCAGGGCGGTGCGTCGATGTCGCGTGTCGCGCACATGAAACTATCCTCATCTTCCACCGAGTTGGGTGGCCTGCGGGTTCTGCAGTTTTTTGCTCAGCACGGCACCGAGAAACTGCGAGGCGACTTCCAAGCCTTCTTCCACAAGAAGCAGGGGGAGCTGGTACGGCTTCGCGAGAAGCTCCAACTGCCCACGAACGCGCACGTAGGGACGCAGGACAGCCGTGCGGCGATCACAGCACCGGATAAAGCATCACGCAACACGAAGCGCAAGGCCGCGCACCCCGGCGAGGGCGCCGTCGCCGTCAATGCTAAGGAAAAGGCGACAACAGCGGCGGCAGCGGCAGCAGAGATCCACGCTTTTGCCGAGTCTCTTCAGACGGAGCTGCTGCCGTTGACACGAGGCATGCTGCTACACTTTCTCACGGCGTGTGCGCGGAAGCTGCAGCGGAAGCTGTGCGAGCCCGGCACCCCGTGCGGCGCCATCGCTGCCCAGTCCGTCGGCGAGCCCAGCACGCAAATGACGCTTCGCACGTTTCACTTTGCTGGCGTGGCGAGCATGAGCATCACGCAGGGTGTGCCACGTCTTGTCGAGGTGATCAACTCGAACAAGAACATCGCCACCCCCGTCATCACCGCCCCCATTAAGTTAGAGGATGACTTCACCGCGATGGATCTCGGGAACGGAAGCCGCACGCCGTACCAGGCAGCGCGTGCGGTGAAGGGTTTAATGGAGCGCGTGCTACTGAAGGAGGTGACGCGGGAGATGGTCGAGGTCGTCACGCCGCGCCAGTACTATATTCAAATCTTTCTTGACTTGGATTTGATTCGACGCCTAATGCTGCCAATCGACGCGGCCGTCGTGTGTCAGCGCCTCTACGCCGCTGCTGCGCGTCCCATGTCTCCTCTGCGGCACCTGTCGGAAGGCTGTGTTCAAGTGATCAGCCGGGACTGCTTGATTGTGATGCCCTACGAGAAGGACCCGTCCCGAGTCTACTTCAACATCCAGCATCTACTGACGTTGCTGCCCGAGCTGGTCGTCGGCGGCGTGCTCGGCGTGAATCGAGTGATGATCGCGGATAAGGGCGCGAAGCTGCTCGCAGAGGGCGCCGAGCTGCTCTCGGTGATGTCGCTACCTTATGTGGACGGCATTCACACCACCTGCAACCACGTCGCCGTGGTCGAGCGTGCTCTCGGCATCGAGGCGGCGCGTGAGACCATCGTGAAGGAAATCACGAGCATCCTGCAGGCCTACTCACTGAACATCGACATTCGACACATCTACCTGCTCGCCGACGTCATGACGAGCCGGGGCGTGGTGCTGGGCATTACCCGGTACGGTATTCAGAAGATGAACAACAACGTCCTCACCATGGCCTCGTTTGAGCGCACCACGGAGCACCTGTACAACGCCGCCGTCGCGGAGCGCGAGGACGTCAACCTTAGCGTGTCGGAGAGCATTATCATCGGGAAGCCCATCCCACTCGGCACGAGCAGCTTCAACGTGTTGCTCGACAAGGGCAGCGTCGCACCGCCGGGCTGCAACACGGGACGGATGGCGACACCGTCTGCCGCGGAGGCCGCCGCCGGTCTGTCCGCGGCTGCAGCGGCGAAGCGCAACGTCGGGAGGTCGGGCGCGAAGGTTGAGCTGACACCCAAAGAAGTGTACCTGCGCAACTCCTATGCGGCCTGTGCGGCGGCGTCGTCGCGCGGCGTGAACGGCTACCACCATCGTACTCCGCACGGCAACTACGCATCGCGGCCGCTTTCCGCGGAGGGTGTGTTTCAGCTGGATCTCTTTTCATAGCAGCTGGATAGGTGAGCGCGGCATGTCTGTGTGAGTTTTCGTGGATTTTTTTTTGAAAGAAGAAAGTGCGTTGGCGCTCGCACGTAAGGTAATCACGGATGGCATAACTCAAAGGAAGCAAAAAAAGAAAAGAAAGGAAGAAAACAACACTTCAAGGCGGGCCACTTCAACGTGTGCGTAACGAAAGACGTGGTGGTCTTTGCGATGTTTTTGTTTTCTTTTTGTAAAAGCCCCGAACCCCCTCGCCCTCCCAGAGCAACGTCTTTTTCACTCTTTTCCCTTCAACCCACCCCTCTAATCACCTGAAATGGGAGCGCAGTACGCCTACTTAGAACTGAAGGGCGTTTCCCGTCCTACCGTTTCTCTTGCCATTCCTAGTATTCTGTTTCTTTTTTTGGTTTTTGTGATGCAGCCGCAATTTACCCCTTCTGCAGGACTCCCCTCGATCTCCCAGGCGATGCCACGCGCCGATGCTTCCGCCCTTCCTCCCCCGGCTGAAATGTCAGAACCCGGCGTGGCACCGCCTGCCTTCAGCGCCGCCCCCGCTGCAAAGGTGCAGATCGTCCCGTCGACATCGCTATCTTCGTCGAAACTCGCCGCCTTCGACCCTTCGCCAACACGACAGCCGAATGCGGCTCCACTTTCTACTAGTGCTGCTGCCACCTCCGCTGCAGCAGCTGCAACAACGACCACCACGACCACCACCTTTGCGTCAAACAAGAACAGTGCGACGCAGCGCAAGGTATCCAAGCTACTGGATATTACAACGAGCAGCGACATTAAAGACCTGGCGAGCTACGTGGACGAGGTGCTGCCTGGGTACTTCTACAGCGTGGACGCCGACGGCATCACCTCGTCGCCCAACAAAGACAAAGGAGACAGCGAGGCGGCATCGACGAGTAGCAACACCGGCAGCCCCGGCACGAGAGGGGCAGCAGCAGCAAGTGGTAGTGGCTTTGGCAAGGCCATCACCTCGGCGACGCTGCGCTCTGCGCTGGACCATCGCGCCATCGACATGCACAAGAGCTTTCTCCACGAGTTTGCCGCCGTCTATCAAAGCTACCAACGCGTTGCCGCGGAGGTGAACGCGCTGCAGGAGAAGTGCACAGGGCTGGAGAACGCCCTGTCCACCTCCACCGGCGGCTCGGCGAGCGCTGCGGAGGACTTCTTCTACCAAATCCACATGCACCAAGTGGAGCTGCAGCTGCTGCAGCATCACGAGAAGGAGGTCGACGACTTCCGCAAACAGCACCACTTTGGCCCGGCTGAGCAGCAGGTGCTGGATGAGGGTCCGGTGGATATGAACTTCCTCAACGTGCTCGAGCGCGCTCGCGAGGTGCACCGGCGCAGCAGCGAGCTTATGCAGTCCCAGGAATACCACCAAGGCGCGGCGGCCGTGATGGAGTCGACGTACACGGCGGTGGCGCGGGCAACGGAGAAAATTGCGCGGCATCTGCTGGCCACCGCTGGCACCACGGCGGCCGGACGGGGAGATGCGGGTGCGGGGGCGACGACCGGCGGCGTCGGCGCCATTGCGGCGGACGTGCCCGAAGTCACGGGCTTTCAGCTTCGTTGTGTGCGTCTCTTGTACGAGGAGAGCCCGCTGCTGCACGAGAAGTTTCTGGACGAGGTGGCGCGGCTGCGACGTGCGTCAGTGCTGCGGCGCTACTTCCACCTCCTCACGACCGGCTCCGCCAACACGTCCAGTGGGATGTACCAGTCCGGTGGGCAGCCGCGAGTGGACGCAGGCGGCGCGACGACGGGGGACGTCGCTGAGGCTGGCATGGGCGCCCGTCCCCTCGAAGCGGAGCTGAACAACCCGACGTACTTTTTTAGCTCGCTGTGCGCCTGGCTGCATCAGACAATCGTCGAGGAGCAGGACTTTCTCCACACCTTCTTCATGAACGACGAGGCAGAGGCACAGACGGGTCGTCGAGGGAGCGGACAAGGCGCGAACGCAGAAGCCAACGCGCCAGTTTCGGTGCTGATTGACGCCGACCGCGTAGAGCAGGATGTGGCACGCCAGCAGGTGCTTCTCGACAGCGTCTTCGGTGGTGTATGCAAGCACATCCAGGCGGCGCTGGACAACGTGCTGACCCGTCTCGGGCGTTCTGCGTCTGCGTTGGGGGTAGCCAGGTGCGAAGGCCAGAACGGGCCGGGTGACGCGGGAGAGGATGGCGTGGCGGAGAACCGTGCGCCGGCGCCGCACAAAGGTCCGCGTGGACTGACCGGCGGCTTAACGCGCCTCTTCATGGCCGCCACCGGTCGCACTCCACTCGGACCATTTCGCCGTAAAGGTAGCGACGAGTCCAACGCCGTGCTTCAGCGCTACGCCACCGTCACAACCCGCGCCCAACTGGAGGCCGTTGCGTCGTCGGTGCTGCACGCCCCGCTGAACGGCGTGCAGACCTGCGTCGCACTCGTGCAGCTCTTTGAGTACTACAGCGTCACAACGCTTACGCCGTTGCTGGGGGAGGAGGCAGCCCTGACCCGGCTGATCCGCGAAACCGCACCGCAGCAGACGCGCGATGTTTTCCAGCGCCTGCTGCGGGTGCTGGCGGCGCACCTGCTCGACAGCACGGTGGGCGTGATTCACTACACGGCGACGCTGCGCCGACTGGCTTCGTCGAGTGCGCTGAACAGCACCGCGGCGGGGTCAGAGGGGGAGGCGTCGTCTGCGCAACAGGGTTCTGCCTCCTCTTCCATGAGCATCCTGCGCTTTTTGACGTCGATGACGTACGGCGAAGACGCAGAAGGTGTGTCCAACTTGTCCGTCAGTGGACCAACGAACGACTCGAGAAGCGACTTCTCCGCCTCCGTCTCCTCCGCCACGAATACGAAGTTCCGCCAAGCCAGCGACAAGCAGCTGCAGCGGCACAGCGCGCAGGACTTAATGCGGGTGCTCGTGCAGCTGGTGCTGCCACCGTCTCCCGAAGTGGCCGCCTACTGCAGTGTGCTGCGTGCTGTTCTTCGCGACACGGCCCGACAGGCCGACTTGCTTCACGCCATATCCGTTCAACAGCAGCGGCAGAACGTGACGGGTGCGGCGGAGGCTGCTGCATCATCGGCGGCCACAAATGGGAGTGCTGCGTGCGGTAGTGCAGGAAGTGCTTCCCACCTTCGCACGGAGGTGGCGGGCTTTGTGCGCGAGCTCTTGAACGCGTTGTGGAGGGCGGCGCAGTATGTGCAGGAGGACGGGACATTGCGTGCCCACCTCGACGATCCCTGTCGTGCTATTCTGCAGTACAACGTCCTGTACCAGCTGCTGGAGATCATGGAACAGCACAGCGACGTTCTTGAGCTGCTGTGTGGCTCGGCCGATGCGGACATAGCGACAGCGAGTGGCGAGACGGCAGAGAACGGGGACACGCGGTACGAGTTCGATACACTGCGAGCAGAGGTCGGCGCTGCCATGAACGCGCTGCGTCGCCGGCTGCTGCTGCAGTGGGAGGACGCTGTTGCCTGGTTTTACTTCCCGCTGTCCACCGAGACTGTGGTGGCCTCAGTGCTTGCTGCCAACACTACCGCCGGCGCAGAGGCGCCAGGGGAGTCGGAAGCAGAGGAGCATCGGCGCATCGTGCCGAAGAAAGACGTGCGACGAGCGCTGAAGCAAGTCGTGAACGTGTACAACACGATTGCGTCGAAGGGGCATCTGCCCGAGCCGGTCCCGCTGCTGCCGGCGCTGTGCGGGAATGAGAAGGTGCGGAAGGAGGTGAGTGCGGAAGTCACCAAAAGCGTAGTCGAGCGCGTCTACCCGGCGCAGTTCCGCGCACTGCAGAAACTGCCGCCGAGCGAGGAACTGGCCGCGGTGCAGGAGGAGATGTCGCCGCAGAACCTGGCCATTTTGGTGGACTTCGGTTCCTCATCCGCATCCGCACCGTTGACGTGAGGCATTGTTGCAATCGCGGTAGTTTGTCGCTGTTGTTCGTTGTTTTGTCGATAATTCACATCTGGGCTTTTCTTCTCCTTTTTTTCAAGGACTCTGCGCAGGCGCTTTCGTTCTTGCAGTTTGTACGACCTCTGCGGCGGGTACGCGAAACGGAAGAGGTGCTCGTTGTCGATTGCCAGCCGCGTCCGCGTTTTTTTCTTTGCAATGAGTAAAGATGTACGAGGAGGGAATACTCTCTTCATCAACGTCGTTTCCGTGTTACTTCTCTTGACAGCAGAGCGCAAGCAAAACAAAGAAGCAAAACAAAAGCCGTTGAAGGACGGAGACCTAATTGAAGCGTAGCGCTCTTTCTTCTCCACGTCTGTGCCGCATTTTCGTTCCTTCGTAGTTTTCCATCTTTCCCTCCTCTTTTGCTGTTGGTGTCGGCAGTGCCATGCGTGTTGTAGAACGGAGAAGCCAAGTCCTCAAAAATACAAAAGATGCTGGACGCTCTTTCATTATGATCACCTTCCTCTCTTCTGTTGCCTTCCTCGTTCGCTAATTTGCCCTCAACTGAATAGTTTAGTGAAGAAGCTTTTTTTTTCTTTTAGCAAGCGTGATCGGTTACTATCGAACCGCGTCGCAAACGTTAGGCTCTTTCGTCTTCGGTTTATCGTCCACATCCAAAAACACAACAGCACATACATATCCTCGTGACATCTTTCCCTTTAAAAGCCGAAGTTGAACGGCTTATTGGGAGGATATCGAAGACACTTCTTTTCTGTTGTCTGTTCAGGGGCTCAACGCTATCGTCTACGCTCACGACTCCCTCCCTCTCTCTCTCTCGGCGACTACTATCTTTCTGCCTTTCACCTGACGTTGACCGAATTAGCCCAATTAACAGCTGCGTGTGACACAAAAAATAAAGTAGAGTTAAAAATAGTTGAAAAGAAAGTGTCGAAGCATGTCTCTTTCGGTTTCTCGCCGGTGGTGGGTTAGTTTGGCGCTGGCGGTGCTTCTGTGTGGCTGCTGGGTGTCGTGCACGCTCGCCCTCACCTCGACCAACCCACATACCGACGCCAACCATGAGGTTGAAAAGGCAGAGGAGCCGATTCAGGTTTTCATGTGTGCCGACAGCGGTGACTACTCCGGCGCGCACGAGCTTGGCATCTTGCAAAACTCCATGGAGGACGCAGAGGTGTTGAAGCTGGCGCACTGCCAATCCGCTCAGCTCGGCTACATTCGCCACGCAGATGGACATGCCATTCGCAGCCTGATCGTCACGACGGGCATCGGTTACATCAGCGCTACCCTCTGCACGAGCAGCGTGCTGCGCTTTCGCCACGCGCGCCACGTCGAGTACAAGTCGATCGTGTTCATCGGGACGTCGGGGTTTTCGCCGATGGTAGGCGGCTGGGACCCGCGGAACACGACGGCGTTCGCGGCTTTTGTGGAGCGAGAGAATGCGGCAATGCGGCAAGGAGAGCCGGACACGGAAGTGAACGCCGACGCCGCCCCACCAGCGCTGTTTAAGACCCTGAAGGAGGTGCAGGAGGCAGAGGCGGAGGCAGCCCGTCGTCTGCAGAGTTCCGTCGATGCCGGTGAGAAGTTTCCGCTGCCGTCGCCGTCGCAGCTCAACTTCGAGCACGCCAAGGCGGGCGTTCAGCTCGAGCAAGACGGCTGTGCGCCTCGGCTGGTCGGCGCCGCCACCCCCCTCGCCATCGGCAGCGTCTGTGTCACCTCCGCTGCGTTCTTCATGGAGAGTGGGAGCTGCACGGAGCGCACGCGGCACACGCAGTGCAGCCGCCCGCACTGTTCCGGCTTCGAGATCCGATACATGCGAGAGCCCAATATGTACTTTACGAAGAACAACTTCGCGGAGGCGATCAAGGCGGCCTCGGCGGATCGCGCGTGGCCGGCAATGCCGCCGTTGGTGGAGGCGGGACTGCAGCGCTTCTGGGCCGCAAACGAGGCAATCGAAGCCGCCGGCCGCGTCTCGCCTGCCAAACCGTCCTTCGTCACCTGTGCCGAGTCAACGGTGAACGCGATTAACGTCGGCGCAGAGCGTGACTTCCTCTGCCGCGAGTACACCGCCCACACGCTGAATTCCATGTACCGACAAACGGCTGAGCCGCACCGCGACGCAGATCCGGTGCGGGCGCCGCTTACGGTGAACGATGTCGTGTGTGTACAGGCGATGGAGGGGGTGGGGTTTCTGCGGTCGATGGCCGCCGATGCCGCCGCGGTCGCTTCGATTCCTGTGGCAGTGCTGCGCACCGCCTCGAACTACGACATGTACCCCTTGAAGAAGCACTACGTGCAGCCGGAGGTGTGGAGGGCTGCGGTGACGTCAAGGAAGGTGGCCGTCAGTCCTGAAGTGGCGCAGGCGATCGAGGCCGCTGCTGCCGGTGAGTCCACAACGAGCGACATTGCGGCGTACACCTGGCAGCAGAACTTTGAGTTCATGTCGGCGGAGGAGTATGAGAAGTTTGTGGTCGCCTCCTTCCACTACTCTGTCAAGACGGTGACGTTCGTCGTGTCGAACTTCTTCTTTGGGGGGCGGGCCTTCGAGTAGGTCGATTCGGGTACGTGTGCACGCCCGCGTGCGTCACGCGTTTGGGTGAAGTCCTGGGAGTGTCGAACTCAAAGACGACCGTGCGTAGTGCGAGAAGACACGAACGTGGCGATCACTGCGGGTCGCGATGCTCCTGTCTCGTATCTCAGCTGCGTGTTTTGACTTTCGGCGTTCCGCTACCTGTGACGATGTTGACTGTACACAGACGCCCCTCCCCACACCCCTTCTTCCATGCTTCGACTGCAGAGGACCTCTAAAAAGCGCACAACTCAATCCAACCGTTGATTCTACAAGGACGTTGTTTGCGCCAGCACGTTAATCGATGACGGGGACGCCGCAGAAGGTAATGACAACCACCACATTAACCTGCGGTACCACGTTGATCTTTTTCTTGAGAGCATTTAATCACATCGCAGATCAGCGAGGAAGCCGTCAAAACTGGAAGCTAATAATTTAAGGAAAGAAAAGAAAAATAGAAGACTCGTTCTAGGACAACCAGCCGCCTTTCAACTACTCGGCCTGCAAATGTCAGACGACGTCCGCCATGCGGTGGAACTGCCTTTTTTCGAGACTGGTGGCTGATGCTACTGGTTACGGAGCGAGAGCTTCGTGCAAGATACAATCACTAGAGCCTTTTCGCATCCAAAAGCCTTGACAAAGTCAAACAGGATCTATTTTGGAGCTTGCGAATGGAATGACCTAGCCTGACAGTTGTTCACCCTATCTCTCTCTGACTCCCTTTACTTTTTCCTTTCATCCTCAACTGCTTGAGTTTAGCAGTACTTCGTATTTTTGTATTTTTCGGAGGATCCACTTATCGTGGGATGATGTCGATGAACTTTCTAACGGCGACACTATCCCTCCAGCTGGACCAATGGCCAGCTTTGCCGTGGGACGACGCAGCGTACGTCGATTCCACTGCCAGTTGTGTGTCGATCGTACGCGCTGGAACGGTTGTGGCTCCTCTCACTCGGGAACTCGAGACACAACTCGAGATCACCGTCGCGCAGGCGACGGTAAAGGTGCAGCTTGACGTTCTGGCGCAAGCTGAGTTTTCGCTCCTGCGTCAGGCGCAGGAACTGGGTCACAGTGCCCAATATGTGGCGAACGCCGTGCAGGCGGCGAATAACACCACTTATGGCCTGGACGCGCGTCAGAGCTATCTTGACGCACAGGCGCTCGCCCTGCACGAGCGTAACCTTGCCTCGTCACGTGGAGAACGGTACTCCACCGCCCAAGGCATTGCCTTGGCCACCGCGCAAGAGCGCGTGGACAGAACCAGTGAGCGCCTCAACGCTCACGATGCGGCGCTCCGCGCGCGCGCATGGAGGGCCTACACGCCGAAGAGCTACACGCTGCTGGGCGGCAGGGCTTTCTAGAGGCCCAAGCGGCGCATCATGATTATGTGCACCGCCGCCAGACGGAGGCCGAGGAGCGCCTCAATCAGAGCCGCACGGCTCTGAGCAACATAGAGGGCGAATTGCGAGGCAAGATCGACGAGGCCCTCCATCAACAGCAGGCTGCGCAGGAAGCGGAGAAGCGCGCAGCGGTGATCCTCTCGCGGGACGAGGAGCTCCACCGGCAGTTGCGCGAACAGCAGCAACTGCTGACCGACGCGCTCCGAAGAGAGCAAGATTGGCGCACCAACCAGCGCCAGATGGAAGAACGCTTCGCAGCATTGCAAGCGGAGATACAGGCCGCTCGCGGTGAACGCCCTGCGACGGACGCTGAAACTGCCGCTGCTGTCGCGCCGGCGCCGTCAGAAGCCCCTACGCCGCCCCCGCGGTCTCGCACGGGTGCACAGTTGCCCCCTCCTCCCCCTTTCTCGATGGCGCCGGTGCGCCCTTCGCCACCACCGGCTGCTCCTTTCGCGGCTCGCCCACCCCCGCCCCCGTTCAGCACCCTCCAACATCCAGTGGCGGGCGGTGCCAAAGGCATCTTGCGGGGACGCGAGCCGTACCCTCTCGACGTGCCAGCGGCGCCGGGACTGTTTCAGTGGCACGACGTGCGCTCTTGGGTCCCTGTGCTGCGCCTGCCACAAGGCCAGGCGATTTTGATGTTGGAGCTCCAGACGGCGATGGAGCTCAAGCTGCCGGTCCCGATCGTACGGGCGGTTGTGGAGGCCTTAAAGGCCTTCATGAACAACCTCGCCACGAGGGTCGAGCCGGATGAGTTCGACTTTGCCGAAAGCGAAGCGCTTCTGTTTGCTCTGCGGGTCGCGGACATGTACAGCAAACACCCGGGAACAAGTCCACAGGACTTCTACTCCCAGTTCGGCAGGTTCTTGAATCCTGCTGATCCCTTGACGGTTCGATTTCTGATATGAAAAAATACACTCCTGCAGGGCAGCGTAAAATGCGTTACTCCTCTCTCTCTCTTCCTCCTCCCTCTTCTGCTCTTCGCCGTTGATTCAATGCACGTGACTCCCCTCCTGCACAGTTTGAACATTCATTTTCACAGCAGCGTAAAGGAGAAACAGAGAAGATAACAGGAGAGAAGAGAAGCGACATCACTTTCCGTTGACCAAGTCGCGTCTCTACTCTCTATATACGCATATAAATAAAAGCGTCAGAAAGAAGAAGACCACGGCTCTTTCCGCTCATCTTTCTCTTGTACCAACATATCACCGTACGCAGTGCGTCTGGCAACTCTACTGTACCGCGAAGTACAAGCTGGCGTCGCTGCTTCCGTTTGTCACGCACATCCACACAAACGTATTCACCAGTGGCGGTCACGATCATTTGCAGCGCTGTCGTCGTTGTGGAAGAAAACAAGACAAAGGGGACACACATCATGCTGCCGCAGAATTTTTTCAACGCAGCCTTCGTTCTGGTCCTGGCCTATCTGCTGTTTGCCTACACGAACCGCGGCGGTATCGACCTGCCACGCCCGCTGGACGGCTACTACTTCGTGCCCAACGAAACGCAGAAGCTGCTTGCCGAGGCGAACAAGGAGGCGGCGCGGGTGCTGGCTGTACGCGAGGCCAAGCAAAGTCAGCTCGGTGCCGTCGCCGCCTCCGCAGCCCTCACGCGGTACGGCGTAGCGCTTAAAGACGGCGACGAGGCTCTGGAGGCCACCATTCATTACGTCCATCAGTATCGACAGCTCGCGACTGGCGCCGAAACTCTGCGTCGGCGCGAGGCACCGAATCGAAACAAGAAGCACACGGATGCTGCATCGCCCGCCGACGTAGACGGTCAGTCCCCTGTTCCAGTGCAGGTGTTTCTGGCCGCCGACAACGGCACTTACTCGGGCATGCACGAGTTGTACTTCATCCAAGCCGCTATGCGCTACAGCACTCCTTTCGAGATCGACGGCTGTCGCTCTGCTACCTTCGGTTTTCTCGAGAAGCCGCACCGGGACGCGCTGACGTGGAGCGTTCAGAATCAACAGCGCGGCGCCAACGAAGACGCATCGAAAGGGTTACGCCACATTCCCGTGCTGGCAGTAACAACAGGGATATACGTGACCAGCTCCGCGGCGTGCACGGCAGCTGTGATGGAGCTGCCGATGTTCCACGTGCAGAGCGTCACGCTCATCGGCACGTCAGGCGCTTCGCCGGTGGTGGGCGGTGGTGGATGGAACGCGCAGGTACCGCCGGCCCACCGCGCGGTGTCGAGCGAGAAGAACGAGAAGGACACAAACCCCACCTGCCAGCAACAGTGGGCGCCGGACGCGGAGAAGGTTGCCCTGGGCTCTGTCTGCGTCACCTACGGTTCCCTCTTGCAGGAGTGTGGGCACTGCGTGGAGGAAAACGAGCTGACCTCGCTGTGCGCGCGTCCGCGGTGCACAATGCACAACTCAACGACCTTCTTCGGCCCGTGCAGCTTCCGCCACCCGACCTCGTCCTTCGCGGAGCAGATGAAGGGGGCGATGTACCGCCGGCCGTTTCCCACGCCGCCGACGATCGTGAAGGAGGCCATGCAGGCCTTCTGGGAGGTGAACGAGGCGGTTCCTGAGTACGTGCTGTCCACCGAGGAAAGCGGTACGGCGAAGCTCAACGCCTCCGAGATGATTCTCTCCTACAACCGTGTCCCACCCAAGACGCCGATACTGCTGAACTGTGCGGAGGTGGTGACCAGCCAGATTCTCGCCGGCCCACGCTCTGATATATTGTGTCGGCAGTACACGGAGGAGCTGTTTGAGGGCCTCTACCCGGCGAAGGAGCTGTCGTGTGTGCAGTCGATGGAAGGGGTGGGCGTACTGCACGTCCTGACGCGCGAGTACCCGCACGTGCCCGTAGCGATCGTGCGCGGGGTGTCCAACTACGACATGTTTCCCTTGTCCCGCCACGTACACTTGCTGAACCGCACGACAAACGCGAATCAGGTGGCGCGGGACGAGTGGTACGTGTCGTGGGATCAGAAGGAGCACTACATGAGCGACGACAAGTTCCACGATTTCACCAAGGCTTCGTACCGCTACTCCATTGAGACGGCGAGCGCGGTGGTGTTGAATTACTTCTTAAGCGCAGAAACGGGACTGCCGGGGATGGTGTGACGTGAATGAGGGAGGATTGCTGGTGGGTAAAGGGGGAGGGAAAGGGAAGGAAAAGGCCTTGATGTCGTTTGCTGGGGTTTTTCGCTTTTTCCTTCTCCTCCCTCGTGGTGTTTGTCTTCCTCGCTAACACGTCTTGTTGAATATACGTAGGAAGCAGAAGACACACACATGCACCACTCTTCCCGTATTCCTTCTTTCTTTTTGTCTTCACAAGTTGACTGTGGATCATAATTGCATTAGTTCTGTGTTTGTTTTTCAAATTATTAATTCTTATCGGAATTACATCACAAAAAGAAGCAGAGGAGAAGAAAAGGGGGTTTGCATTTTGTCGCTGTGCGCTGCGCACGACGGCTATCACGCCGTATTTTCCCTTCGTCTGTTGCAGCACGCACAGTTGGCAAATGCTCTGTTCTTCTTTGCTTCTTTGTCTCCTTCACATCGAGCGAACTGCCGTAACGTACTTGAGTAATTTGCTTTGTCTTTTTTTTTGGTTAAGGATTGGAATCGCTGACCTTGCGGACGGAGCAGCACAGCCAAGAAACACGCTGTCCTCGCGCTCTCAAAATACTACTATTTGAAATGAAATCGAAAAGCGTTCTTCAGAGACAACCGCGATGCAACAAGAACTCTTTTCCCTCCCCGTTCTTCAGAAGAGAGAGAGAGAGAGAGACAAAACGGCCGTTTCGCGCACTCGCACTTTTCTCCGATTGGATTCTTGAACGCACGCTGGAAAGCGACTGTTGCCGGTGGGACATGCTAAGGCGACGCCCCGCCGACGACTTTGCGGTCCGCTGCCATTTCTTCTCTATTTGAAATCGCTGCTCGTTCTTACACTGCTTCCTTTTATAATTTCTTTTGTTACTTGATGCGTCGCCTAAACCACATACACAATCGCCTTTGATTTCACGACAAGTAGGTAGGTCTCTTCGTCAGCAAGGACGCTTCGAGAGGTCTGGGAATAAGCAAGCCGGGAGCGTTGCAGAAGGAAGACAGGAGAGATGGTCTTCTACTCCCTTGTACTCGTGATGAAGCCGCGTCCGCGGAAGTTCACTTCACAGGCGCTCCGCGAGATCGCCGTCAACATCTACAACCACGGAGGCCTCCTTCGTAAAATGTCGAATGAGGGAATTCTTCGCCCTTACAGTCGATTCCGTGATGCCGACAACACAGCCATCACGTACGCCCGCTACGTCACGGTGCAGCTAGATATCGGTGAGGAGCAGATGAACAAGGTGGAAAAGATTATTCGCGAGCACGCCGATGTGAACATCACGTTGCGGCTGAACAACCTGGAGCGTCCTCCTGGGGTGAAGCACAATAAGCAAAATGCAGCGTCGTACTTCCCGCTCGACACGTTTACCCGCTTGGAGGAGGAGATCAACTGGCCGCCGCAGGTGTCAGGAGATGTGTATGAGCAGCTAGACATGAACTGGAAGGAGTTCTCGCGTACGCGATGGTCCAACTATCTTCGCAGCTAGGGATAACGCTGGGAGGAGAGATCATCGAGGCGAACTGCGACATAAATCTTCACAACCTTCTTTTTTTTGGGTTTCTGTTGCCGGAGGAGACGTTTCATGGTGCATTTGTGTTCGTGGCTGAAGTGTCCGCTGAAGTCTCATCTTGGGTCGTTGGCGGTGCCACGCTTTCATAACTTTTTTTTTGTTATTGGTGAACGTCGGAACAAACAGCAATATACTTAAAAAAAACAACGAATCAGAGTGCGGATCAACTCGCTTGCACGTAGAGATGCCGACGCTTTGAGTACGTGAAAAGCAGATAAATGCGACGCACACGCACGGAAAGGATCACCACCAAGACAATAAGCATCATCCATAAATAGATGCGTTTTGGCCGCTACACCGCGTAGCTTCGTTTCAAGCCGGCCACGCGACGTACTCGGTGCACCAAACAAGCAAACAAAGCAAGTTAATCATGAATGATCTCCACACTCTTGAGTGATGATTTTAGGCCTCTCCTGAGATTTGTTGAAGCCCCTCTTTTTTCCTCCTCCTTTGTTCTTATCTTTGCCGTTGTTCTGGTAATTTCCGCTCCTCCTCGCTTTTCTTTTTTTCATTTACGCTCATCTTCAAAAAAAAAACAACACCATTCCCTTAGAACACCGAATCACAGGCACACACACACCCACACACGCGAAACCGCCCTCGCCCGCTCTTCCAAACACCTTCACTTTTCTGTTTTGCTTAAAGGAATTTGCCTTTTAGCAAGTGGCGCCGTTTGCGGAATAGGGCTCTCTCTTTGCATCGATCTGTATTAGTTGTCTCCTCCTTTTCACCACTCAAAAAACAACAACACACACACACACACACAACACACCCTTAGCTTCTCATGGCAGCTCCCCCCTCAGATGATCTCGCCCGTCTCCGGGAGGAGCTCGCGCGGGAGGAGGCCGAGCTCGCAGAGCTGGAAAGCGACGTGGAAGCGAAGGCTGCCCAGCTTGGCTACCTGCACACCGAATACACCCTCAACAAGATGCGTCTCTGTCACTACTACGAGCCACGGCTGCAACCGTTGCGCAGCACCACCTGCGCCGCCGCCGAGAAAGAATCGCTACTGCAGCTGCAGATCGAATGGCTGGAGCGCTTCGTGGTGGAGCAGGAACGGCGCTCGCAGGGCGGTGTGTTTATCGAAGTACGCGACATGAAGCCCGCTGCGGAGGAGTACGAGAAGAAAGCCCGGCAGACGCTGCTGCGGTGCTACGAGCACATTTTGGAGTGCCCAGAGGATGCCCTGCGCATGATCAGCCAGTACGCCTGCCCACCAGACGACGCCATCGCCACCATGCAGCTCGTGATGAAGGTGCGCGGCGAGCCGCTGGAGGAGTGCACGTGGGGTGCGGCCCAGGTGCTGCTGAGCTACAACTACTTCCATGACTTTTTTGTTACCCGCAGCGAGAGCCTGCTGAAGCGGTGCGACTTGCTGGACGACAACCTGATGAACGAGCTGGAGCTCTTCTGCGCGAACCCGCATCACGCCGTGGCCGCACTCTATCAAGTCAGCATCCCCATTGGATGCATGGGGGAATGGCTGCGTGCTATCCGGGATTACTACCGCGTGAAGCTGGTGACGGCACCGGTGCTGCTGCCGCGTAGCGCAAACACACGTCATGAGACGGAGCGGGCACGGAGCTGGTTGAAGGCGGTGACGCTGGGCGGCGGCGAAGCAGCGGAGTCATCCGCTAAGCGCCCCTCAACCCTCTTTGTCGAGAAGGGGAATAGCGCTGCCGCGGAAAGTGCAGCAGCGGACAACACGGCAGCAACGGAGATGGACACGGAGGAGAAGGCGGCGCTGGAGTCGTACGAGGCAGTGAAGGAGAACCTTCAGCAGTTCACGCAGTCCGCCGCTGAGGCAACGGAGCTCGTGGTGAAGCTGCGCCATCGCCTGCATCGTCTGCGGGAGAGCGTACGCGTGGCCGAGGAAGAGCGGGCTGCGATTGAGAAGGAGATGGAGGAGAAGCTGGAGGAAGTGCGTGGAAACTACGATGGAACGATGGTGCCGCTGGAGGATCAGTTGGAGGGAACCACTGAAACCTTTGTGCAGCGTATTACGCGTAAGTCAGCGAACACTCCACTTCCCCCACCAACCCCGGCAGACACCGCAGCTGTAAAGTCGAGCGAACAGGTCGCTGATGCTGTTCCCGCGTAGACGCACGGCTTCGTCAGAGCGCTTGCCAGCTGCACGGCGCAGAGGTTATAGAACTTTGCAAAAGGATAAGGTGCTACATCTCTCTTTTCTCTTCTCTGTGGCCACGCAGATGTACGCACTCGATGTGCTCGATACCCTCCGTCTCCTCGTTTCTGCGCTAATACAATGGAATAGGTGCTTACCTCCGAATGTAATGTAGCTATCTTCTTGTTTGTTTGTTTGTTTTCTTCTTTCTTTGCACTTTTCACAGTGCCCGATGTTTTCTGGTGGGTAGTTGAGGCGAAGACTACGCAGCTGCCATGTACAGGTGGAACGCACGCACTTTTGCTGTTGTTTCGCGTGCTTCCTTTTTGTTTTGTTTTTGGTTGTTTTCGCTCTTCTTCATTTCGGATAACGTTCATGGAGGAGGGACAAACAAACTAACAAAGACACAGACAAAATTCGGAGTAGGAAACCATGGAGCACCGTTTCGTTCCAACGGCTTTTGCGACAATGGAGAGGGTAAAAATAAGCGTGGCTTCATTCCCAATTCAATGACAAAGACGCCGTCGTACTCTCCGCTTTCTTTCTTTCTCTCTCTTCTCGAGTGAGGGTTGAACACGCTTTCCACCACTAGAAGTACGCAGCCGGTGCATTAGCGGCTTCGGGCGCTGAGCTGCTGGAAAAGTTGGCTGAGAAGCACCGCTGATAAGGGCGGATCAACAACGATAATAGTAATAGTATGTGCTGCCTTTGCGGCCTTGAGTAGAGCAACCTATGTATCTCACATCCCCCACCCGTTTTTCCCTTTCTGCCTCTTCCTTTTCTCATCAAACGTTGGGGTTTTTTTTTTCTTGGGTCCGACGATTGTGTCAACTCGGTGAGCGAAGACGGAACGTGAGGACAAAAAGTACTGCCATTGCCACCGCAGCAACGAGAAAAAGCAAACACCGAAAACGGACAGGAAGCGACATGCCACGTGAGGTGTACACCTGCTCCGAGTTTCCCTCGCACCTTCCCAGCCTTCTGCACCGACACCCGACGGCAACAACGCTGCTGCTGCAACTCTCTCCCGTCACCGCGGCATCGGACGCAAAGCAGACATCACATACGGCACAATACAGGTTGTTACCTGCGCCGTCGCAGGCAAGCTGGGCCGATGGCCCAACCGACTTCATCACGTTCTATGCCGTGTTGTTGCGCCAGACCGGCGGAGAGGAGGACGGTGCATCCGAAGGCCCTCGATTCGACTGGTCCTCCGCCGCAGCAGACGGTGCTGCGTGCATTGAAAACGTATCTCTCCTTGTCGGACACGCGTCTCACATTACGCTGCAGTGGTGCGCGCTGCTGCAGCACGCGCTGAGTGTCACTTCCCTCCTGCTGACGGCGTCATCTTGTCGCGGCGACGAAGGCGCTGATTTGTTTTCTCCGTCGTTTGGCAGCGAAGGTGACGGCGTTTCCTGCCTCAACAGCCGCCGCTACGCAACACAGGGAGTGTCGAGGCTTCTCGTGCGTCTCGCGCCCTTTGTTCCGCCGCTGCAGTGGGACCGCCACGTGGACGGCGTTCTTGGCTCGCAGCACTTTGTGTGTACGTCTCACCGCTGTTTCCTTTCGGGGAAGAGCAGTGCGGACGAAGGCGACCGCAGCGAGGTTGTGGGGTGCAGTGGTGAATACGAGAGAGGCGCCACACGAGACTCTTCTGGTGCTGCTGCTGCTGCTGCTGCTACTGGAGAGGAAGAAGGCGGCCACAAGCAGCTTCCGTGTGAGGGCTCGTCCTTGTTGCAGAGACGGCGGCACGAGCAGCATGGCTGCACAGCAACCGTCAGCCTGCCGCCGTTGCCGTTGCGAATCGCCGCCGTCTTGAACGGCAACGTGCCGCTGCCACAAAGTCCTCTTCCACCAAACACTATTTGTGTGCTGTGTCTCGTTGCCCACGACGGATGCTCGCTCACCTCCTCTTCTTGTGCTGCATCGGCAGCATCATCAGCACCAATCACACAAGGATCAGAGCCGAACGCTTTCGATTGCATCTGCGATTTTCTCGCAGATGCGGTCATGCCGATTGTCAGCCTCGCAGTTGTTGGCGGCTCATGGGCCCGCACGCCGTCAGGCGAGCTGCGGCGTGACGTGTGCAAAGCTCGTGGGAAGCTGGGGAACAGCTACGCGATACAGCTGCCTAACCGACCGGACAGTTTCGCTGAACAAAGAGCTCGTAGCGTTACCTTTGTGGTTGACTTCTCCACTCCACTGCTGCGTGAGCTCGCACGATCGGCAGCCAACGCTCGTTCAACGTGCGATGCGATGGTGTCGAAGGAGCGACACGGTATTTCACGGCAGATTGCTGCTGCGATGCAGGAGGCGTTGGGGCAGCTGGTGTCGGCCAACATCGACGTGTTTAGCTTCCCGCCCCGTGAGAAGGGCAGCACTGCAGCGGCCGCAGTGCACGACGACGTCTCGTCTGCAGCACATGCTGCAGGCGGATCCGCGCCGCTGACACGTGAAGTACTGTGTCGCAGCATCGCGGAAAGTGTGAGTCGCATTGTGTCATGCTCGCCCCATCCAGAATTCAAAACGGAGGTTGTCCGCCTTCTCTGGGGTACTGAGGTTGCGGACACGTCCGTTGCGGTGGGTGCGAGGGCGCCGTGGTCGCTGCCCTCAGTGGATGTGATCCAACGTCGCATTGAAAGGTGCCTACTCGCATCATCTTCAGAATGAGCACGCTCAAAGAAGCCTCTTCCTCTTTTTGTTTAATTGAAAAGATGTCGTCTGCCATGTTGCAGCGTCTTTCTGCTATTCAACCGCTAGTTTCTCTGATGACAATGACAGCACTAATAGCAGTGAAAGAGCAGAAATCTGGTTTTGAGTGCATTCGCGAATAGCGTCTGCGTTGCTCTCTATGTATGCTGTTTTCCGTTCTGTATCGGCAGGGCTTCTCTTTCTCGCCTGGGAAAGGAAGAAAGAAAGAGAGAGAGAAAAAAGGTGACGTCCAACGCGCATCATCCTTAACGAGCGTCACCGATTCTTACTATTATGCTTACTGGCATTATTTTGAATCTTCCTTCCGCTTTCTTTTCCACTTTTTCACGCGCCTTACAAAAAACAAAATCGGTAGCAACGAACAGCAGAAACGATACTTCTGTCTTTCTTTTTTTCTCCCCTCTTTTCCCACTTCTGTTGTCACCGGTGTACCCTACACGGGTTCCTCGCGGTACATCTGAATACTCCGCTACACCAGCCACCATTTTTTGTTCGCTGTATCGTAAATGCACCGCCGTGTTCGTCTCCTGTACCTCGAGTTCATGTATCTCCTGCCCCAACTCGACAGCTTTTTCACACCACGAGGCACGGCAGCAGCGACAAACGCCAATTCTAGGCCACCATCACCGACGCTGTCACGCCCGTTCTTCCTACGGGTCGCAGACGATCATCCAGTCTGCGTACCGCTTCGACGCGGCAGGGCGGTGGAGTTCCGCACGCGTCGTCAAGAGAAAAACGAAGGCGCCGCAGACGCTGACGCAGCATCGGAGCGAATGGTCGTCTTCAAGCTGCAGACAAGTGAGGAGGTGAAGATGCTAGACGCATACATGCCGAAGGGCTGGGAAAACAATCGTAGAGTTTCTGCCTCGAATTTGTCGGCGCAGCCTCCGCAGCTCTCAGCGGAGGCGGAGTACCGCGCCCACGTGCAGCAGCTTTTCTACGCGAACGCGTTGGTGCCGGTCGACGCGGCGGAGTGGAAGCGCTGCCTCGCTCGCGGCCGCTACGAGCTGCGCGGCATCCAGAACGTGCTGCATGTCCGCAAATATCGCGCGTTAAACAAGCGCTACGGGTGGTCCTCGCAGCTCTCTCGCACGGAGCTGGAGGCGGTTTGGGCAGGTGACATGGCGCAGGTGGAGCAGGCACTGCTGGGTCTGTCGAACAAAGACGTCTACGGTTACGCAGAGTCGGCGGAGAGGGAGGACGAGGAAGTGGCGGCCCCGTAAGATGATCAATAGCTCTTTTTTTCCCTTTGGCGTTCACTGGTTGCTTGTCCTCTGTCCTGCTCGCCGATTACACGGTAATGTGGCGGTTCCCACAAAGAGTTAGTTCATGTTCTTTTTTTTCCTTCTTTCTTCTTTCTCTTATACCCTTATTCGTTTTTCTGCTCTTTTCTTTTTCAATCCTGGGTGTTTTTTTTTTTTCACATGCAAGCGATGACGTTTATCTTAGCGGAGTCAAATATCAAAATCGAGACGCACAGACCCACAGCCTTCTCGTGTCTCGCCCTTTTTTTTTTGCGGTACGGATGCTTCTCACAACTATTGGGAAGGAGCACGGCACACAGATCTTGCAATTGGCAGCAAAGCGCTTTTTCCCTTTTTTTTCTGACTACCGATGTTTCGCTGCGCACGAAAGCGACGTGCTTCGACTTTTTGTCTGCATTCTTGGTGGGTTGACACTCGTGCACTCCGCTGCGTTTACCATTTGTGTTGAATCCCTTCTCTCTTTCTCTCTCTCTTTCTTCTCTTTTACGCCACTTTGTTGGCACGCTACACTCTATTATATTGCTCCTATCACCTTTCCTTTCCTGCAGTGTGCGTTCACGCGTAGTGTTAACTTGCTTGTTTTTTCCTGTTCTACACCCAAAGCAACCAATCTCTCTCTCGCAACCATGCCGCCGAAGATGGGACAGACGAAGAAGGCCAAGATGGAGGCCGCCAACAAGGGATCCAAGAAGACGACCAAGAAGTGGAGCAAGGGTCAGTCCCGCGAGGCCCTGCAGAACGCCGTGATGTTCGACAAGGAGACCTACGACAAGCTCCGCACCGAGGTGCCCAAATACAAGCTCATCACCCCCTCCATCATCTCCGACCGTCTGAAGATCGCCGTCTCCATCGCCGCCGCCGGCCTCAAGCAGCTGTGCCGCGAGCAGCAGATCCGTCTGGTGTCGTGCTCGAACAAGACCCGCGTGTACACGCGCATCGTGCAGGCCGCCCCGGCTGATGCTGCCGCCGCTACCCCGGCCCCTGCTGCCGAGTAAAACGAGAGGGCGTGTGCTGCAAAGTAGGAAGTAAGTCAACATGTGCGGAGTTGCGGGTGGGCTTGTAGCGCTCGCGGATTATTTCTATTTCGACGCTTCTCAGCCTTCTCCCCCTCGCATTCTTCAGCTTTTCAAGACGCGCTTCGCCGCTTGTATTTTTTTGCACCCGAGTATTACGTGAGTGATAGGGGCAGAGAATATGAGTGGCGCCTGCGCCAATTGATTTGGCGTGTTCTCGCAACTTTTTTATTTACTTTTCTTTTCTGTTTCTTTCTATGTGTGCTGACTCACCCTCTTCTTCCCGACTTCTAGCGGGGTGACGGGAGAAGCTGGGATCGGGCAGTACGTATTACTAAGAAAACATAAGTAGTAGAATCGGAGATATGAAGTAGTATTCGTGAAGGTCTCCGTGGAGCTGTGCAAACAGGGTGTAAACGGGCCTTGTTCTATCACCAGGTCAGCCGAATCTTTTCGGTTCCAGCTGCCTTGTGTCCTTCTTCGTATTTCCGCAAAGAGGAAGCGCGTGCGCTCTCTGCGCCGCCGTACGCTTGCGTAGCCGGCCGATTTTATATTACCGTACCTCGCATGTTGTCTCGCGGTGCCTTTTTTACGGGAAGAAGAATGAAAGAAAAAACTGTAACTCTTCCACTTCAATAAACGATTCTTTCCTCTCTCTCTCGCCCTTTTTCTTTTTTTTTTTTCTGTTTCCCACGCATCAGCGTCCATAACGCGGTATTTTCCATTTAGGAGGAGAGCGAGTACCATCGTTTGTTGTGGTTCTGTCTGCTCAGCCTTGTTTGTTGTATCTTCAACGTTGTTCTTGTGTGACTGGTGCTTCTTTTTGTTTTGGTGTGTGTCATTCTCGTGCACCGAAGTCTCGTAACTGTCGTTGCGTGCGAGCGTGGCGCACAACAGAGTCGCTCCTCTCTTTCTTTCTTTCTTCATAGTCACTGTTATTTTTGGCTTTCTTCGCAGTACTGCGCTCCTCCACACGACAAGATCCCATAGAGTCACACTTACGCGAGCACAGAGATTGACTCTGGGTCTGCCACACATTTGGGTAAACCGTTTACCCTGACACACAGTGCTCCTACGCACACGAGAACCTTCTTCATCTGTCGAATCAAGAACCGCAGCCCGCTGCTCTCCTCTGCGTCCGGTCCTTTCCCCCCTTTCTTGTTGTACTTCTTCACTTGTTGGAGTGCGTAGTTGACGCTCAGCACCACAAATTCCAAAAATAATCGGTTTCTTCTTCTCTCTTTCTTTCACTTTCTGTTTCATTTCTGTTTCTTCTTCTTCTTCCCATTCTCTTTGGCGCTATCTTTCTTGTGGTGAGTTTTCCCCTTTCTCTAAAAGTAAAAGAAAAATTAAAAGGCCTCCATTACGTGTGTTCGTGTATCGTTGGACATAAACGCATATTTTCCGTTTCTGGATTGGGCATGTAACGCGAAGAGAAGCGACGACAGTTCGTGCATCACCCTTTGTTATTTATGTATTTATCACAAATCCCGCACTATATACATTTTTGTTTTCCTCAGTGTGTCTTCGACAAGAGTTGCTTTTCGCAGACACAAGAAATAACAACAGGCGAGGGTCCAACGCACGCTTCTCATCGTCTGCACACGCGGCTATGAGCGTCTCGGCGGATGTGCTGCCGTCACCCGTCGTCATGGAACCGCCATCGTACACCGCTGACGGGTTCGTCGCTGTTACCTCACCACATACCCCTCCCAGCGCCCCGCCAAACTCCGCCAACCACAGACTTGTACGGCCACTGCTGCGACAGCGTAAGAACACTCTCCAGCAGGCGAGCCACGGCCTGAGTGGACAACGTGCCTCTCCACCGGCAAAACCTTCACTGGTGTCTTCGAGGTACCCGGAGGAAAAGCAGGAGGAAGGCAGCGGCACGGCCGAAGAACGTGGTAGCACCGAACCAGCAGATAACGAGTCGAAGAGCCCTGCGCTCGCTGCGTCCACTACCACCACTACTACTAGCAGCACAAAGGCACCGTTTGCGGCGGCCACGTGTTACCAAACAGAGTCGGACGGCGACGACGTCCGCACGGAGCTGTCCACACTCTCGGCTGTCCATTACCCTCCTATTCACTCATCCGCCGCGGCCAACGCGAACATCAGCGCCACTCAGCCGCGCGTACAACGCCCCAGATCCTCCCGTCCTGGCCCGCTCCTTTTACCCCGCACTGACGCCACCCTGTCACTGGCGTCCTACCCTTCGAACCTGTCGTGCAGTGTACCGGTGAACAACAGCGCCTCCAGCAGCCTTGCGGGTATCTCTTCCCTGTCTAAGCAGGGGAATCCCACGGAGGGTGCTTGTTCTGCCGGGCCGAAGCTGTCCTCTCCGTCCACCGCCTTATCTGGTAATGGGGAACGAGTGGGCTTGAACGGTAGACCAGCGCCGCCGCTGCTGCGCTCCTCGCTGTTCACCCCCACGCTGAACGACGACGCCCGGCCGTCTTCTGCCTTGTTGACCACCTACCAAGTGCAGCTCAACGGCCCGGTCAGCGTCTCACCGCAGCTGCATGCTGGCCCTACCCCACCGCACATCTCGAGCAGCACGGCGAGCGTGACGAGCGGAGGGGCTACCCCCCTCAGCGGCAGCCGCAGCAGCGCTCGACCGTCGTTTACGCGCACGTTGCTCCCGACCTCCGCCGTGAGCCCCACCGAGGTGCCCAGCCCACACGCTCAAGCCAATGGAGGTCCTGCGGTGCTGCAGCGAAACGGAAGCAGCAGCGCCATCCAAGTGGTGAATGGGCGCGTGCTGGCGTCGCCGCGTGTGGCGCAGCGGCCGCCGCTGAGCGCGCGTCGTATCACGTTCGATCGAAGTGCTTCAACCGTGTACTCCAACGACGGCCCTACCTCAGCGTCTGCCTCGAGGAAAGGAGCAGAGAGCGGGGGCGTGAAGGGAGGGCTGGAGGAGAGCTGTGGTGCCGGTGATCGCGTGGAGCCGATGCTGACAAAGGAAATGCGCAAGTTTGTGCTCGGTCAGTACCGCTCCCTGCAGCGCGACGTGCGCACCTTGGCGACGGCGACCGAGCAGGCCGACGCGCCGGCCCAGACGGACGTGTCCGCGACAGACTTTGTCCACATTAAGCGGAGCACCTGTCCGCGGCACTCCAAGACGGCGGTGCGTGCCGCGCAGAAGAAGCAGGAGGAGGAGCGTCTTCGCGCACTGCAGCAGCGGCACCACGACATGGAGATTATCCGCAACGGCGGCCGCGAGCAGGTCAGCGCAAACATGAAGAGCAGCGCGGTGCTGGCAGGGTCGCTCTCGAAGCTGCGCTCGCGCCACAAGTCGAACACCCAGGCAGGCAGTGTAAATCGTATGAGCAACTCGCTGGACTGCACGATCAGTGCCGCCTTTGAAGCGCAGGCTTCACCGTTTGGCTCACCGGATGAGGTGAACGGAACGGCGTTGTACGGCGCAAGCTCGTATTCCAGCTCCTCCCACGAGAAGCTGACCCAGGGGGGTAGTGAGGCAGCAGGTGTAAAAGGACGAGGAGAAATGGACGCCACCCCGGAGGACAAAACCGCATCAGCAACCGCCGCCACTACAGAAGGGGGAGAGGCGTGGCACTCGTCGAAGTTTTTTTTGCCGGCCCGCACAACATCGGCATTTGCTCCCGCGGCGGAGCAAGAGCGTCGCAACAGCCGTACAGTAAACAAAAACGGCATGAAGGGCGAGGCCATCGTGGTGGCGGTGGTGCCCGACAGCGACGAGGACGAGGAGTCGGAAGAGGAAGCAGGAAAGCGGGGCACCCAGCTAAGAAGAACAAAGGGCGATACGGAGGTGCATCGACCCAGCTCTCTCAGCATGTCGGCGCCCTCCTCCGACCTCAAAGACCTGACCGTGTCTGTCACGACCGCAAGTGCGGCCAAACGGGCGGGGGAGCGCCTCCCTACGAAGAGCAGCTCGCACCCACCACAGCAGCGCAGCACGAAGCCTTGTTCCTCGTCGTTGCTCCTAAGCAACACCCACGGTGACAGCGACGACAGCGGCAGCAATGGCGACGACGATGACGCGTACTTTTCTTTTAACAAGCAGCGCAGTCAGCGCCTACGCAGTACACCTTCCTTGTCCTCCACGCAACCACTGGATCAACAGAACCTGTCGATTACGCAGCCCTCGACGCCGCCCAGAGCAAGCGCGCTCTCGCCTGATCGTGTAGGCCACCGCCGCGAGCACATGCCACGCCGCACGAGAAGGTCCTCCTCAGACATGAGCGCCGCGGACGACGACGACGGAAGCAACGAAAACGCGTGCTGCTTTTGCTGTCCCTGCAGACGGCCGGAGAATTTCTTTGTGCTGTGCCGCGCGAGCCGGGAGGGCGGATCGTTTGGCGTGGCGCGCGACGCGCACGAACCTCTGCAGCGCCGTCACCCGTCTTCTCCTGCGCTCCCGCACACTGAAAACGAGAGGTCGCGGCACGAGGCAACCAAACCTGCTCCAACCACAGCGACACAACCTAGCAACGGCAAAGGAGACGTTAACACAAGTGCGGACAGTCACGTTCTGTTTGAGGATTTAGAGGACGCCAGCGATGATGACGAACCTTTGCTGTCCATGCAAAGCTTTCGTCGCACGAGCATTCAGCGTGTCCGTTAGTGTGCGAGTATGTACATTTTTAACTACTGTGCGGCTCCTTTCCCGATTCTGCAGCTCACCGTTTTAAACACGCTTTTTTTTCCATTTCCTTGTGATTTTCACCAAAGAACGAAAATGTGTTTTTGCTTCGAATTGAGGCGTTGATGTCTTTTCTTTCTCGGTGTCTCTTCAGCGCCTCTTTGTTGGGATCGTTCAAACGGCACAATTTTAGGTGTAGAAAGTTGCCTACCACTGGCTAACTATTTTGTTCAAGAACAGACGAAGAGAGGCGTCGCCGCGAAAAGTAAAAAACGATCTTTTATTATTATTTTTTAAAATTCCGTTTCCCCTTCATGTCATTCTTACTCTTGGCTTTTCTTTTACTGCTGCTGTTTCGCTCTATCAGCAAATTCTATTTTTCTTTTTTCTTTTCAAGATGTGATGCTACTACAACTATATAAATCACACACATATACGTACCAGCCAGTGCACTGACGTTTGTACAGAGACGTGCTACCACATCTCCGGAGTGTGGCACATATTGCTGACCTTCGTTCATATTTTTTTTTTTGGTTTTCCGACTTTTCTCATTTATTTGTATGCGTGTGTGTTTGCTGTGACTTCTGTTGGCTTCGTTTCTCAGTTTCTGCTTTCCTTTACAGTTCTTTTATTATCATTGTGACCATTCCCCCTTCTTTTTTCTCTTTGGCTGACATTGTTTGGTTATTGATTATTCTTATTTTTTCCTCTCTTTCAGCATGTTCACGTAGTGCTCCTTCTTTTTTTTTCCTCCTTGCGTTTTCCTTTACGTGTACGGTGCAAGATACTCTTGAGCGATATCTGCAGCAGGCGGAATTGGCATTTCATGATTCGGAGTGAATCGGCTACAAACAGTTAATATATATTTTTGAATTTGAGAAAAGAAAAGCGAAGACAGAAGAGGAGAAGTTGTGAGAAGTCTGAGGAATGTAATAGTCGAGGGCCCAGACGAAGTCCTGCGATGCTGTGCTGCGGGGTGTTGTGCTCTCGTTGAAGCTTGAGGCTGAACGTATCTGCTCTCTTGCGTGGCCAGCGCACTTATGCACGCTGGGGACAAACAAACAAAAGCTTCGAGCTGTTCGTTGAGTGAAGGCATCCTTCAAAGCCTTTGCTGCGCTATTCATGCTCCTCTCTTATTGACTGCTCTCCCTGTCTCTCCACATCCTGCCCCCCCCCTCCTCTCTCACTTGGCTTCAAATAATCTTCTCTTTGCTGCTGTCTGGCCCACGACGCCCTTTCCTCCAAATCTTGCCGTTCTTTAACGTGCATCACCCCGGTGCTGTCACACAGTAAGACTTCATAAGTTTAATTCGCGCCACCGCTGCAAGTCGAGGTGGCTGGAGGACGAGTAAGGACGATCGCACCCCACAGAATTCACTCAGCCCGTCACCACTGCACATTTGCACGTCTTTTGCTTTGGTGTTGGCGCGACCATTTTTTTTTTCCCTTCCGAATTCTGGCGCATAAGCCCATTCATTAAAAAAAAAGCTCTTCTCACGTTGGCTTTGCATTCACAAGGCAGCGCGGAAGCTTCACAGCAGAACCCAAGCAGTAATTTTTCTTTCCTTTTGTTTTTCCCCTCTGTCTCCCCCCTCCCCCTCTACTTTCAGATATATATATATATAAAGAATTATCGACACCTTTTTTTTAAGTGCCGTGTTACCCTTTTCCGCAGTAGTTAGTCTCAATCGCTGTATTTCACTCATTGCAGATTTGCTCCTACAGGTTCGTTGGTCAGGCTTGCACACAGAGAGAAATAGTATATATATTAACCGTACAGCAGCGGAACCGTTTCAAGGAGTTGAGCTTCCTATGATGGCGCATGCTTCTTGAAGACGCTCAACCACCCCAAGATTATTCCTCCTTTGGCTTAATTTCTTATTTCTATTTTTTTTAGTTTGCAAAGAGTCATTTGCTCCTTCAGTGCGCCGAGTTGTGTCTTCTTCAGCACTTCTTTCAGAAGCAGGGTTTTTTTTTCGCGGTCAGGTACATCGAACTTGTGTGCTTCGGTGTGGCCTTTTCAGAATTTTTTTTCCAGACTTCGTTTGTTTTCAGCTCTTTTTCGTTGTTGTTTCGACTCTATTGAGTGCAGCTCACTCGAGTAACGCTTCAGATCACCTCTTCTTTTGGAAATAATTATTTTACTTCACCAGCACTAATCGCTGTCCTCTCACATCAGTATATATTTAAATCGATTTTTTTCCATTCTCCCAGATTCTTTTCCCCTTTGTACGGCTTTGCGCTATTTCAACGAAACAGACGGGGCTTTTTTCCCGTCTTGACCGTGTGTGCGTTCCCCTTCCGGAGTTTCGACACTGGAGTCAAAAGGAGGGCTCTCTTTGAACAAATAACTTCTCCTCTTCTTTTTCTTTTAATCACTATCATCACCTCGTCTTTACAGAATACCTCATCATAGGCACACCAAATTGGGACTGTCCCAGTAAGCCACTTTACTCATGCTGCGGGTATGTGGGTTGCGCATTTTACTGGCGATGCTTTGCGCAGTTGCCGCCGTCGGACTCTCAGAAGCTCAGCTAGCGATTGTCAGCACCGACCCCACACTGCCATTACTGGATGTTCCCTTTTGCGCGGTGCTATCTTCAGAGGGCCGAGGCAACTCGCTCTTCGTATCGTCACGCCCTAGCTGCACGACGACTCTGGCAACCGCAAGCAGCGGCTGCAGAACGAGTGGCTGGTTTGCCTTTAATGTGACGAGCGCCTCGGTAGGTGTTGACTTGAGAGCTCCTGTGGTTTCTGTTCCAGAGACATACTGGTGTTATCGAAACAGCGGTGACCGAGGGGTGTTGGTGGACCCGCTGCAGATGAACGTGATGCAGACCATTCCTATGCGCTACATTACAGATGAACTTGTCACGATGACGTTCAATACCGCCACACCGGTTGGCTCAACTATTGCCTTTTATTATGCGGATGGAGAGTGCAGGACACCGATCATTGGCTACGGAAAATTCGTACTGGGGGAAAGCCGAACACTTCAGTTGAAAATTGGAGCTGCCAACGTGGGTGTGTGCGCCATGGTGGAATCCACTGTGAGTGGGGGCACTAATACGTTCATGACGTTGCGCAACACGCTCTTTGGCGGGCCTCCAGTAATCGTAACTCCCAACTATGGTGGTCGCGATTCGGTCGTCACAATTAATCCCAACAGTTACCTCATCTACTACTGCGCTCTATCCCGCAGCAGGACCTGCAGTGATTTGCCAAATCCGGCCATACCGCAAGTTGACAAAACTGGCGCTCTTATTCTTAACATCACGCAGCCTCTTGGCGAGTACTATTTCTGCGTTGCAGAGGGCAGAAGACTGTATTACGCAGCAGCGAATATGTTCAGCGTAATCGAGTATGGCGTCCGACCGGCCTTTGCCTACGCGCAGCTGCCCACAAGAGTTTATCCTTCCCTCAGCGCAATGAGCAACATGCAGGTGGCGCTTTTCTCTTCGCAGAGTTGCAGCGGCACTGCTGTGGAGGACTGGTCGAATTTTGCGGATGCGTTGTGGAGAATTCAAGCTACAGGGACGTACTACGCGTGTGTGCGCCAGTCTCCGTCGTCGAATGGGTACTATGCAAACACATTACTGGTGGCTCCAAAGCCAGCTGTGACAACTGAACAGTCCGTTGTGGTACGAAATTTTGGGTTATCTCTGACGTTTTCCCTGTCTTCTACGGAGAAGTCTTCCGCGGAGTTCATCATCAGACTATCAAACGACAAGGAATGCATCTCGTTTTATCGAAGCGCCTCAGTAACGGATGGCATGACTGCGAGTTTCGCGATCGATGAGAATGCTGCGGACACGTTGTACTGGTGCTTATCGAACCCCATCACCAGCGGCACGGCTGACAACGGCGGAACAAAGGTGGTGGCGTACGCCTTTGTTGGCTCAATTCCAGTGCGTGATTTTCAGCTGAACTACGGTCCGCTGCACATCAATTCTACGGTCACTATTTCCCTAGACACTGTAGAGACTCTGCCAAGTGGAGTGTCCGTGGCTTTCGTGCCTGCACCGAGGTACACGTGTGCGGACGTGACAGGAGCGGCGAAATCTGCTGCTGTGATGGCGACTGTGACGAAGAACAACACGTTGACTGACGTGATCTTTCCTTCGGAGGGGCAGTGGATGATGTGTGCGTCGTTAAAAGGAAGCAGCAATCCATATTCAAGGATGCAAAGTGTGCACGTTTACGGCGACGCAACGGTGTGGTCACGCGAGATTATTCCTCAGATGGAGACTGCGTTTACGATAGGCAATCTCCAGCCACTTCAGTCCGTATTTTTAACAGACGACATGCACTGTTCGAGTGTGGCAAACATATTGGTGTCAGGCGTGACAGACAGCAACGGCGCAGTGACTTTAACAATGAAGAAAAAAAATATTCCAACGGTAGTCGTGTGTGCATCCTACCGTGGAATGCAAGATGGAACAGCCTCCGCAGCTGTAACAAAGAAAGTGGCCTATGCCGCGAGCACCAGTACACAAGTGTTTCCTACCGTCATTGAGCTATATAGAAGAAAACAGCAGCTGCGAGTTGTGGGTGGTGGCGCACATACTGTGGTAAACAAGGCAGTGCATTTAACGTCTGCTGACATCGCCTGTCCACTGTCCATGACAGTGCCCAATTTTGCTACAGTACTTCCTGCACTGCAGAGAGGCAGTGACGCGGACGTCCCTGTCACGACGCTGACGCTGAATGACAACATGATGGACACCCGATACCGCGTGTGTGTTGAGACAAGCAACACGTACGAAGATGCCGGCACTATCACAATCACGCGTGTTTCGCTAACAGCAACCATCACGTCCAAGAACGTCTCATTTGTGGCTGGCCAGCTGGCTTCTTTGACGTTCCCTGCTGATTACACGAGTGTTGCGTTGGTGGACAGCTTCGTGGTGGTGAGCGAGATTGTGGACTGCACAAGTGATATAGGAAGTGTTACAATGTACGCCAGTGGGATTATTAACGCGAGTAGCGGCGCAGCAGATATGTTTATTGCACCGACTCCCCCCGGAAGTACGACGATGAACCTGCGCGTGTGCGTTGCCCAACAGAGTTGCCTGCTGAACAACACCTTCGGCTACGTGGATGGTGGTTTGCTGACCTCCAACGCTTTCACTGCGGTGAGCAAGTACGCACTGAGCAGTCTGAACGGCGGAGTGGCGGGGTGGCCGGTGCTGAGCTACGCTGCACTCTACCTGGTGAAGTGCTTCGGCGCGGCGTGCGGTGCAAACGCTGCCTCCATGACTTGCAGCAGCGCGTGGCCGCAGTACCCCGTCAGCGAAAGGACGAATGTCACTGCGAGACCCAGCCGTGGAACGTTCCTACTGTGCCAGAGCGTTTCGACAGCTTCCGCAACAAGGGTGGTAGGCTCCAACTCGACTGTCGAGGTGATAGATCCGTTTTCCATGTCCTTCACAGAAAATCTCACTCAGCTTGAGGCTTTCGTGAACTTTAGCGCCACTGTGTCGGGTGGCAACGGAGAGAGTGTGGAGGTGGTTGTGCAGCCCCTTTCCGTGCCCTGCGGCACCACAGCAGCCGAGTCGCAGTCCTTCACGTTTATCCCCAACGTTCAGCGGACTTTGGCGGTCACGGACATCGCTGGCTCTGAGGCGATTCATTTCTGCGCGAAGCCAAGCAGCCAATACGCGGACGCCTTCGAGGTGATGACGACAACACTGGTGAGCTTTGTGAGTCCCACGTACATTTTGTTTTCATCCACGAGCAGCGCCTCTACCGTCACCATCACACTGGCCGGTACCGTCAGCCAGCAAGGGATGCTAACACGAGAACGCGACTGCAACGTCAGCATTCTGGGCGGTTCAGTGACAGACTCGGTGGACGGTGCTTTCACTTTTACAGTTCCTCCGTGCGACGCCAACGGTAATCTGAGCACGGTGCACTTCTGTGACGTGTCCTTGGGCGTCGCCACGTATCGCGGATCACTGCTGATGCTGCGCGGCGATAACTGCTCCGCGAACGACGGCACGGCGTCCATTAAGGCCGTTTCAGTGGTTGCCAATACGCCCATCACCGACTTTGGCGTGAATACAAAGTACCTCGCGGTCTCCGGGATTTCAAAGAAGGCTGATTGCAGTTCAAAGATCCAGACGAGCGTGGCAGAGGCCGGCTACATGCCGAGCGTGGGCGAGAACGCCGTCTTCTACGTGTGTACATATCTAGTTGGAGCCCCAACGGTGGCGTTTACGACGCAGAAAGCGACACTGACGGTGCAAAACTACCGCGTGACGCCCACTGCAGCCCTCAGTCCGCTTATCCTCATCAACAGCGGAATTGAACGCGTTCTGATGACGCTAAACACTCCCCTGCCACCGGGTTACACCTTCTTTAGTGGTGGGGTCGGCTGCGCGAACAACATCGGCGATGCCCCAGGCTTCAACACGTCCGCTGCAAGCACCGTCTACAGCCACGCCAACCTCTGCGGAACGGTCTCGGTGTGCTGGCAGGGTGTGTGGACCAACACGTCGGTCGCCGTCGCACAGTTCGCATCGGTGACCACGCCACACTTACAAAGCTCAACCGTGGCCGTCGTGCGCGGCGCCTCTTACAGCGCGACCTTCTCCAGCGACAGCTGCAGCCTTGATACCACCACGGCAACATCGTCCGCAGGGGAGAGGCAAGTGTACCTATCGGCAGATCAATGCGCGTCCGTGTTGGATGGGACAGGTGCGGGACTCGACTCACTGAATTTCACGACAAGTGTGTCCAGCAGCGTGATGACAGGCCTATCGACGGCGAGCCTGTGCGCCAGCACGAGCGCGGGCATGGCTATCGTTCTTGCGGGCGTGCCTGTGGCGCGCGGCCAGGTGTACCCCGCTTCCCTCACCACTGGCATGGCAGAAGCGAGTATTTTTATCCCCAGCTTCGCACGCACAGCCTTCTGGTTAACCGCAAGGGACACTAGTTGCAGCGCCACAAATGCGCAGACGCTGGCGCCGCTAGGCTTCACGACGGACGCAAGCGGCTACGGGACGCTAAGTATTGTGTCAGCAAACGAGCTGCCATTGCCAGTGGGCGACTACTTCCTCTGCTACTCTTCTACCAGGTCTGCTGTGTCCCTCGAGAAGATCAGCGTGGTTGCCCCAACTTTCTTTGATGTGCGTGGCACGTCGTTCGTCACGGGTGTATCGAGCAAGATTATGATGCAGAAAGACCTGCAGACGTCCCACCTTCTTGAAGGCTTCAGCACCACCACCGACTGCAGTGCGCTTTCGACGGCGTACGGCTCGTGGACGCGGGTCTCCGATACCGCCATCGAGGTCACCGCCACGCGGCCGTCGAACAGCGGCACGTACTTGTGCGCCCGGGTGCCGCTGAACCTCTCCGTGTCGGCTCTGCCGAATGCGTGGTCGATCATTGCGCGGAACCTTTCGTTTGCACCGTCTGTCCTCGTCCTCCCCCCTGCCGGCTTTGACATGTGCACCGACTACACGCTGCAGAATTGCACCGCCCCCAACGGAGGTGGTGATGACCAGACCAACCGGCTGACAGTGGTGCCTGGAGACTGCTGCAGCAGCAGTGACGAAGCGAACGCTGTGGGCGTGGGCAGCATGGCTGGCGGAACGTGCACACTACACTTTGATGACGTCAAGGTGCGGCGCCAACCCGCGAACACCGTCTTTAGCCTCTGCGCGTGGAACACCTACGACGCCTCGGTGTGCGCGACGCTGAACTACGTGACGGTGAGCACCAACTGCACAGTCAAGACGACGACGACGACGAAGAAGCCCGGAGGCGTGAGTGGGGGCGCGGTGGCTCGTGCCGCGATCGGCTGCCTCTTCGGTGCACTGGCGATGGTCGCCGGAGTCGCCCTTCTCTGTTGGTATCACCACCACCAAAAAGTCGAGAAAGCGGCGGGGCTCAAAAGGAACGTCGACGTTTACAGCAACGGAGGCTCCTTCTACCGGGGTGATTACGATTTGTCGGCTGAGTGGTCCGTCTTTCTGAACCTCCCCCCGGACGGAAACAACTGCGGACGGTCGAACCGGTTGGGCGTCAGCACCAGCGCGGCCGAAATGCGGCGCGACGTCCTCGCCGAAGCGACGGGTGGCAACGATGACGCGTGCTCTATCGATTCGCATGGCGCGCCGCTCGACACAAACTTCATGGACGACTGTGAGGAGCTCACGGAGAAGTATAGAAACTTTATATGTGGTGCTGGCCCGTGTGTGGATGCGGAGAGCATAGGCGACTTCCCTATAGAAACGTTCTTGCGTCGCACCAAGCTCGACACGGAGGCACTCTGTGAATTGGCGAAGCTGCGCAGTCGGACGTCGGCTGCTGGCGACCTTTCACAGCAGTGGAACGACAGGGTGCAGCGTCATGAGCTGTTCTACAGCATGGAGCGCACCAACCCAGCAGCGAAGACCTTCTACCTCTTCTACGAAGAGCAGAACTGTCGCCGCGACGCCATCGAGATCAGCGAGGACACCGCCTTCTTCAACATTCGAACGCTGTTCAAGTCATATGCTGCGATGATGAAAGCGCAACACGGTGTGTTGCTCGCGCCGCAGCCGTCAGCCGAAGACATCCTTGAAGGCGTCTGCAGCGATCAAAACGCTTCTATACTCTCACCCGATATGGTCAACGAAGGAGGACGCGATTACTTACTCGAGAAGGCGTTGATCGCGACAGGCGCTGATCTCCTGCCCGTGTCGCGGCAGCCAGCTGAGAAGGCGGAAGAAGAGACACCGGCGCAGGCGCGAGAGAGGGTGTGGCTGTACCGGCACCGACGCGAGCTGGAGTTCCCGTGGGTGACGAACAACTTTCGCACACTCGTGGGCTACCGCGAGGACAACGGGGAGCAATACAACTACGTCGATTGGAGCCTCACGCTGCTCGACTTGCAGGCCTTCCACCCCTTGCATCGGTGGTGGTCACCGCTGCTGCCGCGTGCGCTGCCGCCCTCGGCCGACGACGCGCGAGACCCGCGCTTCGCCTTCATGCACGCCAAATCCACCGTTCCGTTTGTGAGGCGGTACTTCATGCTCTTCAAGGTCGAGTTTACAGAACGGATACAGATCGAGACGCAGGAGATGATCGGCAAGGCTGCGATCCAGATGCGGCTCCGCTGGTTTGCGAATCAGTTCGGTCTTTCGGAGATGCTAGAAGATGAACCGGGCCGTGAAGGTAATAAGGCACGGTCCACAGGAAGCGCAACCGCGGCTGGTGGAGCAAATCCGCTGAACCGCGACGGTGGCGTTGTGTGTGACAAGCTGAAGGGCATTGACAGCGAATTGTCTCGCAGCGACATAGGCGTTGAAGTCGTGTCTACCGGAGACTTCAGTGATGAGGACAGCACTGTTTTTCCGTGACGGCATCAACCCACTTGGACCCGTCAGCTCCTTTCAAGTTGTCGCCAAGTAAACGAAGTGCAACACACGAGGGAGGAAAGTGCGTAACACTCAACCAACGGTCGCCACCGATGAGCAGGAAGGATTATCGAAGGCCGCGTTGCACGTACTTCTTTGTTTCATTTTTTACTCTAAATTCATAGCTGTTCGAGTGGATGGTCGAATGCAGCTCATAGCGGCATTCTGCCTTTTTTAGTGGTTGGGCTTCTCGGTATCGTGCCTCGAGCGTCAGTCGGTGCGTTGCACGGATACCGGCCCCTTTTTTTTTTTGAAATAGGTATTCGCTGTTCCATGAGCATCCGCGGGTACTATTCGCAGTCCTTAATGCTGTTTTTCTCAGAAATTTGTAGGTCTTTGTCTGCGCCACTTTTTTTTTACTTTCCTCTCTCTACGCATCACTGGAATATTTTTTCTAGTTTATTTATCATTTTTTTTTTTTGCTTCGTTGGTGTTAAAAGAATGAAAGAGCAGAATGATGAGGAAGTTAAAGAAAATATTTTCTGGTGACGCGTAGAAACAGGAAATTAAAAGAAAAGTGGCGCAGACCCGTTGTTGCCACCTCTGATGGTTGTGTGGGAGCTGATTTGTTTACGATTTTTGCCAAAGTGGACAACCGTTTCCCCCTTTTGCTGACTTTTGAAGGCTCCTCATCCGTGGGTGAAGCACAACGGAGAACCGAAGTACAAAAGTACTTGTGAAGTTCATTTGTTTTGTTTTTCAATCAATGAACGAGTCCTTTTTCTCTTCTCTTTTTCGAAGACGCGAGAGTGCTGTTAGCTTTTTATTATTCTTCTACTGTCGCTTCCCTCCGTTCTTTTTTCTTTTCAATATTTCTCCTTGTGTCTCACCTCAAGTGTTTAGTGTACTTTTTTTGAAATCGGTATTCGCTGTTCCATGAGCATCCGCGGTGGTCGTGGTTTCACCTTCCTACTTCTATTGCTTCTTTCCCCCTTTTACTGTTTTCTGCCTTGTGAAGGCAATTCTTCATGATGGAAAACGATTCTATTTTTGATCTATTTTTGTTATCGTCCCAGATCCGCCTGACCTCGTTTTTTTTTTGGGGTTTAGGGAGCGAACGTGCTGAAGCGATGTCAACGTCACTGCAGCAAGGTTCATCCTTTTCGCCTTCATGCCTTTCGTGGTGTTTTCTCTCTTTCTCTCTCTCTCTTTGTGTTTCGCTGCAGCGTTGTTCTCGTGGTGCCGCTGAGAGGGGCCGCATCAATGGAATAGGGCTTCAGGAAGTGGAGTTTGTCTCTGCGCTGTGATTATCATTGCGCAGTTTTTTTCTTCTAAATCCTGTGGTGCAGGTGCTTTTTTTTTAGCTCGGTGGTTAAATGCTCTGCTGCTGATACACCGATGCCTGTTCTCGCTTTTCAGAAGTTGCCCTATGGAGACGCATTGTTCTCAACAATAACGGTTTGCTCTTTAGGGTGGTTTACGATATGAATTTTCCGACATCGATAAACTCGACTGTGCAACTCGCACGTCGGTTGCGCCGGTGGGACGGAGTTCGTAGTCTTCTTTGCTTTGAGTTTTTGGTTGTCTCTCTTACACCTTTTTTTTTGATTCTGTGTGTGACGTCAGATATTCACACGGCGGCATCATCTCACTGTTCTATCTAAATGTGTTGTTTTTACTGTTATCGAACCTTCTCTGCGATGATAGTGCTGTTGTATACGTTTTGGGGGGCTTGTCATGGTGGAAAATGTTCTACTTTCTCTTCCGCGAGATAAGGAAAGGAGGGGAAGGGGAAAAAGCAAACGATATTCAAATCGGTCGAAAGCAATAAGAGTAAGAAATGGTGGATTGTGAGCGTTGTCGAGCAGTTCACGCAGTTTCATCTCACCTCTTGTTCGCATCAACGAGCGTTTTTGTTTCTCCTTCTTCTTCTCTGCCGTCATACGCACGCCGCGCATAATTTTTTGCCCTTACACCTTCTCTCTCTTTCTTCATGAGAAGAAGAACTCTTTCCTTCGTTTGTTTTTTCTTCTGTTTCCCATCCGGGTTCTCTCAGCGCGGCAGGGGGGGGGGGGAGGAGGAACACCCACTGCGGAAATTGCTGTAGGAGAGAGGAAATCCGCTAATAATAACAAAATAATTTTCAACTTCAGCCGACGAAGGAAGAGGGATCAACATGCCCTTTTCTCTTAATCGCCTTTTCGTCATCCGCAAAGTGGGGCGGATGATCATGGTGGACGGGAAGAAGGCAGCGTGCGTTGAAGTTAATTGTATCTCAGAATTTATATTTTTCTTTTTGAGTGTTTTGTAGGCGACGCCTACGTTCATCGTTGTCTTCTTTCGTTTCGTTGTGGAGCACACTTCCTGTTTGGCGTGTGTGTGTGTTCGTTTAACGCCACGACGCTCTAACATCCCCCCCCTGACGAATGCAGCAGATACGGTGAAGCGGACTCGTAGGGAGGTGCTTCTTATTCTCTCTCATGTCGTTTTCTTCTCCTTTCGTGACGCGCAGGCTGGAGTCTCACAGCTGGCTCGTGCGTCCGGTAGAAGCTGCGTTGCTCACGCCTTGGACAACAACACACAAAGAGAGAGGGAGAGAGAAAGAGGGGCAATCGCTATCATCGCCATTCGTTGAATGCATAACTTCCCTTTTTTTTTAAAATTATTCAGAAATCATTTGGCGCGTTCTCTCCTCCTCCTCTTCCTCTCCGTAGGAAGGAAAGGAAAACAAAAAGACTCTCCGTGTTTCTATTGAACGTCAACAAACCCAACTCGAGTGTTATTGTTTCCTTACGGAAAAGGAGAGGGGGCTGCTTGAGCTTTTCCTTCCTTTCCCCCCTCTTTTTGCTGAAAGACTCAAGCGAGCCGTTCCTCACTCGATTCTTCTAAAGACCCAAACTGGAGGTGGACAATTTGGCGGTGTCCCTCTTCGTTGCAAGAGCCTTTTCTTTCATCGGACTACCTTTCTCTGTATCGTCTTATATCGTCGTTCCAACTCTCTCGCCATATATATTATCAGGGAGTATGATAAATAATATATATAAATATGTTCCTTTGTACACCCGCATCTAAAAAGGAAAAGAAAAGAAAAACCAATGGGGAAGCCGTTGCAAGAGGTGTTGTCTTCCCAGCAGCGGTGGAGCATCGAGAATAGACACGAAGCTACAACGAATAAACTTGCGAAGTCTTTTTTGTTTTTGGTGAAGCTGAAGGCACACGCGTGATGCAACGTGATGATGCTGCCACTCGCAGTCGCAGCAGACTGATGGACTCGCATGAACTTGCCCTTAGGCGGTTTTTGCTTGTTTATTTGTTCGTGATCTCCGTGTGTATTCCCGCCTTCGAACTAAACTGCTTCACAACACTTCATCTCCATCTTGATTCGCGTTGTCTTATACCTGAAGGATCGTCCTTTATTGCAAAACGAAGCACCTAGCTTTGAGCAGGTATGCGGCCGGCAAGTAGTTGCTGCCCCCTTCATGTTTTTCTCACGTTAGGCTCCACTAACACTACTTCCATTCGAGTGCTATTTCGAAAGACAACAATTTGGGAAAAAAGTGTGACGTCTTCTTTGGCGAAAATTTGCAGCACCACCAAACACAGCAAAACAACACACAGCTTTCATTAGACAAAAGGCGAACATGTATTGTAACGCTGATGCGGCGGCTCCGTTTCAGCCCACGCTGGGCATGACGCTGCGAGGCCATCATCACGGCGTGCGGAGTGTCGCCTTCCAGCCCGCGCCGTCCTCCACCGTCGTCACCCCCAAGGTCATCTCCGGTGGAATGGACGGGGCGGTAATTAGCTGGGACACAGCCGCCACCGCCCGCGCGGTGCGCTTTACGGGTCACCGCGGACCTGTCCTCTCCGTTTCGTACAGCTCGCACCCGCATCTCTTTGCGAGTGGGGGGCAGGACGGCTACGTCCGCGTCTGGTCCCCCGACGAGCGGCGCTCCGTGGCGGTTTACAGCGCGTATCCGGACGGCAGGGCAAAGAACTGCGCGTGTGCGTGGCGGGCGCACACGGGTGCCACTCGCGCCGTCGCCTTCGCCAAGGACGGCTCCGATCGACTGTACACCATCGGCGATGACAAGGCTGTCAAATCGTGGGATCTCGCAATGCTCTCCTCCGCCCACTCGCGGGCAAAACGCATGACGAACCGCTTTGCTGGCGGCTTCTCTGCCTCTCCTGTGACGGAGTACTCGGCGTGTGGCCACACCACTCGCGTGACGGCGTTAGCGGTGCCGCGTGCCGTCGCGTCGTCGCACCTCGTGCACTACGTGGCGAGCGGCGGCGATGACGGCGTGGTGTTTGTGTGGGACACGCGCAGCCGCGACGCCGCACACGTCATCTACGGCCGTGGGGGCGGCGTGAACTCGCTCAGCTTCCACCCCGACGGCTACGTGCTGGCCAGCGGCGATGAGGCGGGCGACATTAATTTGTTCGACCTGCGTCGCTCCTCCTCCTCCGCGCCTGGTGCGAGTGGTGCGGACGGCGGTGGGTCGTACAGTCTTCTCCAGCACTACTCTGCAGCGCACATGGACGCCGGCTGTGTGGGCACGAGAGGCGTCGACTTCGCCCCCAACGGCGGGTGGCTGCTCTCCTCCGGCGACGACGGCACGACGAAGCTGTGGGATGTGAAGGAGGGCCATCTCTACTGTACCGTGCAGGCACACGATGGACCGGTAGCGGCGTCGTGCTTCTCGGACGACGGGGCGTGGTTTGTGACGGGTGGTGGAGCGGACAAGACGGTGCTCATATGGCGCAGTGGGCTCGCGGCGTGTTGTGCTGCACGGGCGCTGGTGCCGGCAACGGCCACCGCCTCCTCCACCTCCATGTCCGTTTGCTCCTCGGAGGGACGCGTTGCTGCACCTTCTTCTCCCCCGCACGTGGTCGCCGATCACACGACCTCGAGATCGAGCACTCCCGCCCGCTCAGCGAAGGCGGGTGACACCAAACGCAAACCAGAGGCGACCTCTCCCAGTCGCCTTGTCACACGGAGCACGAGTGCGGATCGCCCAGCTGCCGCCCAGTCTCGTCGACCGCCGATCCCCCTCGCCCCACCGTCAACCAATGCGTTGCTGTCAGGAGAGTTCGTCGCGCCGCCGGTCGACGACTCCGCGGTGCGCCAAAACGCCGACACCTCAGTCAACAGCGAGAGGGAACGCAGCTTCGAACGGTGCGAGCAGCGCTACAGTCATCTCGGCGCTCCGTCCTCCCCGGCTCAGGCCGAATCAGGATCCACGGCTGATGTTGCGGCACGGAGGAGTGCAACAGCCAACGGGGCAGCACGTAGCAGCAGCGAGACCTCAAGTGCCCACGTACGTGCTTTGAAGGCCGCCGATGCCGACCGTGTGGCAGGGGAGGAGCGCGAGCAGGAGCAGCTGCAGGCGCAGGAGCGTGCCCACCACCGAGAGCAGCGAGAGCGCATCTTGGAGGAGCGCGTCGCAAACTTAGAAGACGCTGTCGCGGCCCTGGTAGGGTACATGCAGCAACAGCAGACACAGCAGGAGGAGCACATGAAGGCGCTGCAGGCGGCGAGTAAGGAGCAGGCGGAACGAAGCGACGCCGGTGTAGCGGAGCTGAAGCGCGCCATTGAGCTTCTGACATCGCGTATTTCATCAGGGGGTGCCACAAAAACGGAGAATGCGGCGGAGCTGAAGAGCGAGTAGAGCGAAGGACGAGTAAATCGGACGCCGTCATCTAAAGTCTGGTGCTCCGTGTTTCTTCCTGCTGCTCTTCAGAGAAGGGAGCTCTCACAAGCACGGTGGGTCTTCTTGATTCTTTGCAAGAGGTATGGTGATTTGGCTATGCCGCCATTTCTTTATCGGTGTACTTTTGTTTGCGATGCCAAATGCGTGTGTTTTCGGCGCACGTCAACGCCCCTTCACTGTGTTCATGATTTTTTTCGTTTAGTTTTCATGCATAGATACTTCTCTTGGCGCAGTTGATATATCTTTTCGGCCCTTCTTATTTGGGCCGCTTCATAGAACACCAAATAGCCTAACGGAGTGTACGGAAAGGCAAGGCACTCCATGCGACACCGCTCTGCAAAAAGGTAAAAAAAAGGAGTACACAATCGTTCACTTCGTCGTGTTTTTCTTTAAGAGAACCGGAAATTCTATCTGTTTGCTGGAGGAAGAATATGTGCTGCGCTTTACCTGAAGGCGCTTCTCTTTTCGGGGGTCTTCACCTTCGAGATAGGCTAACGAGCAGAAGCGCAGGTGTCAGCAAATGGTTGTTATATTTCATCCCCGTGCAGCGGCTTGTAGGCCTTTCTACCTCTCTTTTTTTCCCCATTTTGTTCTTTCCGAGAAGAATTGCTTGACTTCCTCTGTTTCCACCCTTTCTGGCCTGGCGGCGGATAGGGAGTAGCACGCTTTCCACCGACGGAAGAAGGTGTCATCGACTCTTTTCGTTGGTGTGTACAACAGCCATCAACGAAGCACGAGTCGTAGTCCCGCATCTTTTTTTTGTAGAGTAAAACATACACACCGACGCAACGGATTCCGGTATGAACAAGTCCGACTTCAAGAAGGCCGTGGCGGACAGCGAGGCCCCGACGCCGGGGTACCTTTACCGGGATATGGCCAGCTGGACCTACTTGGATTACGCCACACAGCTGCAGCTCATCAAGGCGCTCTTCGACAAGCTACAGAACAAAAACAGCGCCTTTGTGCTCTACAAGGCTCTCCACCTCATCAAGGTGCTGTGCGAGACCGGCCAAGAAGGATTTCAGAAGGAGTTGCAGCTGAGCAAGTACGCCAACGTCGTAAAGGACTTCACCACGTACCGTGGGCCGCTTGATGTCAAGTACGCCGACAGCTGGAATGAGAAGGTGCGATGCGAAGCGCAGGCTGCTCTCGAGGCGATCTTTCAAACGCGCACGGCAGCCTCGATGGGTCCGACAACGTTAAGCGGAGGTGCGAACGGCGACTGGAGTGGCGCCGGCAATTCAGCTGTCGAGCAGAAAGCCGTGAAGGGCACGTGGGGCAGCGGCAGCGGCACCGAACCTGTCCTGCCGAGCTTTTCTACCTCAAGTCCATGCGGTGGTAACAGTTTTCTTCGTGATCCACCACCGCAGGTGGGCGGACCGTCGTCGTCCTTTGACGCCCCGTCGTCGCACATCGGCGAGATGCCGTCAGAGAATAGGTGGGCGGCGCATCGGCGCGAAGTGGCGGCCCTCGGCTCCTCGCGCGCTGCCTCGACGGCGGACAAGCCGAGTAAAACACTGCTGCAGCAACTCGCCTCGACGGCAAAGTCGGGCATGAGTTTAATCACGCAATTTGAAATATTGAAGGGCAAGCAGGAGCGCCTCTACGGAGACCAATTTGGGCAGGCTGCGCGTGCGACGACGCGGCAGGAGGGCGTTGCGGGGCACCTTGGCGGGGGACGCGGCGTGGACGAAGTGGGAAGTTATCAGCCGGTGGGCGTCAGCGTGCCGATGCGTATGGGTGAAGCTGTCGAGCACCTTTCAACGCGACCGCCGTCGATGACGCCTGTCCTGGATGATCAGCGCGCCTCGTCCGCCTCATCCTCTCCCCCGCGGTCGCATCCGCAAACACGCGGCGGGAGTGCCGTGTCGCTCCCCTCTGGACCTTCCTCACCTGCGCCGCAGTCGAATGCCTCCCACGACGCGGCGGAGGAGCTCATCCACTCCTTTGCCTGTCTGAAGCAGGTCCCATCACGTGTCGACCTCTCGCGCCTTCTGCGCGTCATGGGCGAGTCCGCAGATGCGCGGGAGCAGGCGGATGCGTCTTTGGGAGCGTACGGCGTACAACTCGCCTCTGCGCTCGGCGTGCATCTTGTGAAGGAGAAACCGTGGCAGGAGCGACGCAACGCGTTGGCCTCGTTGGAAGCGGTGCTGCGTGGTTCCTCCGCTGCCATTCATGACGGCGTGGCGGACTTCTACGCACGTCAGCCGCACCTTGTCCAGGCGAATTGCAGCGTTGTGCAGGCCAGTCTGAAGGAGAAGGCGGGAAGGGTTGCGCAGCTGTTGAACATTCCAGCCGTGCCAATTTCTGCAGCTCCTACTGCACCTTCAATAAAGGATCGAGGCATCGTGCCGAATGCGGCGCCTACTGAAGCGTCTGCTCCGCAGCGAAGTCACTTTGAGGATCTGCTGGGCGGCAGCACCCCACCCGCTGCGGCACCATCGTCGTCGTCGTCGTCTCCAAATCCGTCGGCAGCCTCTTCGCTGCCCCAGACAGCTTTGCGGAGTGCTGGTGGGCACGACAGCACCTTCGAGGGGATGACGATTCGGCCTGGCGGCTCCAGCAGTCTCCGCCGCGGCGATCCACCGGGTGATGCGCTCGACCCACCCAGCGATACAAACCGAATTAGCTTCGGCGGCGACGACACGGGTCGGCCGCAGCGGCGCACCAACCGAGTTGCGACAGTCGCTGCGGAGATGCCCGTTGCGGGTTCTGGTGAGCGGCGAACCGGAGAGAGTGCAGTGAACGGAGGTGGCGGTGCTGGCTCTATTCAGGTGTTGCGCCACTGCGGTGGTAATAGCAGTGGCAACATGGCCACGGCAACAGCAGCTGGAACAACCGCCGCACAACAACGAACCCAGCAGCAGCATGTCAATGTGAACAAAACAGACTGCGATTTAGACAATCTGCTGGGCCTCTCTCCCCCGGCGACGGCAGCACCGCCAACTTCCTCTGCAAACGCTACATCGACGACGCTGGACGACCTGTTCGGTGGTCAGCCAACAACTATATCCCCTGCTTCCTTGTCGTCCGCCAACAAGAGCAGCAAAGCAGGGACGGACGACCTCTTCGTTGACTCCATATCACCGTCATTTGCACCGCCGTCTCTGTCCAACGTGCCGTCCCCACACATCGCCTCTGCGGCCCAGCTGGCGCGTATTCAAGGCTTAATGGAGTACCTTGAAACACGCTACGACCCGGCGGCAATGACTGAGCTGGAGCGACTGATTCTGCAACGTCAGCAGGCGCTGCAACAGATGACGACACATCAAGGAAGTGCAGAGGAAGTGATGGGCCCCGGGCCGCGAGCAGCTCAGCCGCACCGCCAGTTTCAGCTGGGTGGTCCGCGAAGTGGGCCAATGAGTGAGCGTCAGCAGGCCAACAGCCAGTTTGCGGATGTGCAAGCTGAAATGAAGCGTAAGCTGGATCTCTGAGAGCTGCACGTGTTGTCCTTGACTCCACGTTACGTGCAGGAAAAAGAGAAAACTGGCACGTGCTTTTTAAATATATATATATGTTGCTTCTGTGTTTGTCCTGCTAGGCGGAGTGTGTGCACTTGAGATGCCTTTCTAAGTCGTGTGCAACAACATCTGTACAACAAATTTATATCAACAGATGACAAAGAGCGCTCAAGCATTGATGCGTCATCCTCATCACCAAATCGTAGGATTTATGGAAGCTAGTTGACCATAAACAATTAAAAAAAGGAGGAGGAGGAAATATAAAGATTTCTAAGGAGACTGTGCTTGTAGTAGGTTGCCATGATGAAAGGCCAACTACTAAGGTTTTTTCTCCTCGTTACTGAAGCAGCGCGTTTGGGATGCACCGCACGGCGCGCAGGGGTGATTAACGGCAGTCACCGTCGTGATTCTCTTCCTTTTTGCAATGATGCTGACGATCTTCACTGCACCTTTCTTCAGCACTTCCTCCACCAAAACTGTCCTCCCGTTTTCTTTACCTCTTCCTCTTCTTCGGTCGCTTTTTGTTTTTCTCATGTCCCGTGTTATTACCGCTGCCGTGCAACACACAGTTAGAACGGGAGAGTAAGATAAAGTAGAGTCGACGCAAGAGTTTTTTTTTCCCTCAACTTTTGCCGAATAGCCGTCGGCGTTAGCGTAGTATATTTTCTCTCTTTCTTTTTGAAACAATCCAGATTGCATCCGTCTCCCAGTTCCGTACTTCCTTGCTTCTGTATTGAGTTCGTAAAGAGCTAGCAGCCACTTTACCGCTTACTTGTGTGAGCGAGTGTATGTGCTGGTGTCTGTTGTTGAAGAAGACCCCGCCAACTGTTTTAGCGTCAGACCGCCTGAAGCGTCTGCTTAATAGAGTGAACCGCAGTCACGCTGTCTCCATTGTACACTCCATATACAATAAAAGCAAAGGAAACCGTCAAGCAACCGCGCAGAGACATTCATTCTGCCATATCACAAACACGCAAAGACACAGTGCACGCTTTTTTTTCTTCTTTGTTTCTCAGAGTACTTACAACTTGCTTTCCAATTCTGTTGCTTCAAAGATATTCTTTTCTTTCCAATCTTTCTCTTTCGCTAGATTTTCCACTTGTTCTGTGCGTGCGTCTCTGCGCGACGTGTGGTGTTGACAAGCTGGACTACACCGATACAGAGAAGTTATAGCATCGTCTGCAGTCAGCCGTCACCTGTACCCCGACGGCGTGAAGGGGGAGAGCCTTTTTTGTTGAAAACAGTTCTCTCTCTCTCTGTTGACAAATCGAACACATCGTGTCTTTTCTTTTTTCTTTTTGGTGTAACGCTGTTTGTCCCTTTACCAGCCTTTTTTTTTTGCAACGAAGACGATTCTTTTTTAAGCAGCAACACTTCCAACCATGAGCTCGCCCAATCACAGTCGGGGGCAGCTAGGCAACAGCAACGGCAATAGAACCAATGGACACGTGTTAACACCCAGCATCGGAGCCGCGTCGCCGAACCGCGCTGAGACGGCAGCAGAGACAGCAACAGCTGCAGACGACGGCGTAGTCCCGCTGAACGGCACCATCCAAGGCGTGTACCCCCGCCCCGCCCTCCCCCCGCCGCTCCCACCCGTGCAGCGTGGCTCCGCGATCGCAGGCGCCGACTCCGCCAGCACACCACCACCGCAGAGCGTCAGCCGCCACAACGACGCCTCGGCGCTGCAGCCGAACACGTACACGAGTCGTGCGTCGTCCTCCCACAGCCGACCTGCGATGCCCCGCAGCAACACCCCCGACGGGGCCGGAGTGAACTCCACGATGAACTCCGCCGCACGCCGGCCGTTGACCACGCACCACCAGAACCAGGGTGGTGTGGGCGACAGCACCACTCTCCGACAGTCTTCGCAACCCACCAGTACTTCCCAACAGCAGCAACAACCGCGAAGCCGCGCAGCATCCGCCAAGGGCAGCCGTGCGGCGTCACGTAAGGCGGCCCCCTCGCGCGATCGCAGCGACAGCGGCAATGATGGCGTCTCAAGCGGGGACAGCAAGCGTGGCGGCGACCACGTGGAGGAGCTTCTTGAACTCCCACTCACCCACACCCAGCCGATTGAGAAGTTCTTCGTCGAGTACAACCCTGCCGATGCCGACCGCGCTGATGACGGGCAGCCGCGCAACGACAACGAGGTGCTGCTGGAGCAGTTCGCCGAGTACACGGACGATGACTCGTTCTTTTCCTCTAGTGACACGGTGATTGAGTGCGATCCGCAGCGTCTGCGCAACGATCCACTGCGGCAGCGGGCAGTGGTGTCGGTGCACAACACCTTGCAGCTGCGCGCGCTGACCAACGGCCGCGTGCCGGAGGACACCGCGTGGGATGACGAGACGCGCACCTCGTGGCTCTACCAAATCCACAAGCGCGACATTGCCCTGCAGTACAGCTCCTTTTTCATCTTCCCCGCCCGCTGGACCCCACGCGTGGTGGTGTACAACGTCATGCACCACTGGCTGATGGAGATGTTTATCCTCCTCATCATTCTCGGCTACGCCATTTTTCAGGCGACATGGGGACGATACACCGCGCCGCGGAGCCAGATGAGCAGGCCGGACCACATGCTGTGGGCCGATGTCTTCTACACATGCCTGCTCGGGTTCGAGATGATTGCACGGCTCTTTGCGAGCGGCTTCATTGCACACAAGCGCGCCTTTTTCCGCTCGCCGTGGCACTGGCTTGACACGGCGTGCCTTGTGATGATGATCCTAGAGTGCACGTGGTGGCAGTACACGTGGAACTTCACGGCATGGCGGCTGATCCGCACCATCAAGTGCTTCTCCTACGTGCCTGTTCCCGTGCGCATGAAGCTGTTGTCCAAGTCTCTCCTCCGTTCCACGAACCGGCTGATCCAGGTGACCATCGTACTCGTGTACTTCATCTTCTTCTTTGGTCTCCTCGGGCTACAGCTGTTCGTCGGGACGCTGCACAACCGCTGCGTCAACACGCTCACGGCGGCGGTGACGACGCAGGTGTGCCGCAGCGTCTCCACCGGCCAGTACTGGTTCTACTGGGGCCACCATTGCGGGGAGTTCTTCACCTGCCAGGTCGACGCCTTCCCCAATCCGCATTACGACTTCCGCAGCTTCGACGACATCGGCCACGCGATGCTGTCCGTCTTTCAGATCATGACCTTCCAGGACTGGAGCGGCCTGATGCTGGAGACGAACGACGGAGTGGCGGTGATGGCGTTCTTGTATTACGCCTTCACGATTCTCATCTGCACCTGGATTGTTCCCTCCCTCTACCTCGGTGTCTTTCTGGAAAAGTTGGAGAAGACGAGTCGTCTCTTCGTCCTGAAGCAGCTAGACTTCTTTGAGCACATGCTGACGGAGCAGCGCCAGCGCATGTCAGCCATGGTGCGCCTGCACGACTACGTGGCACGCGACGAGGACGGCCACGTCTCCCATTATCCGACCTACCGGCGTCGGCGCAGCAGGGAGCAGAAGCTGACGGACGATGATATGCCGAGCAGCAGCTCCATCGAGAAGACCCGCAAGAAGCCGCGCAGCAAGAAGGACCACCGTCGCGATATCCAATCCACGCCGTGGACGGATGAACAGCGACTGCAGCTCCAGCTGGCGCTTACTCGCCAGCGCGACGTCGCCGAGGCCGCAGAGCGCCGGCGCCGGCTGCAGGAAGCTACCCTGGGCGATTTGATCATGGGGGAGGGCCAGGACGGCGGTGCAAACGGGCGTCGCCGCCGCCGCACCAGCAGCACGGCGGACAACGCCCAACGTCACGCCCTCGCCGCCCGCGGTGCGTCTCCGCAAGCAGCAAAAGGGCGCGATGACTTCGCATTGGGCGGCCACGTGGGCGCCGTGCAGCACCACCCCGCCGCCTTCGCCATCGGTGCCTCCCACCAGTCAGACCTTCCGTTTGCGGTGCGGCAGGAGGTGCAGGCGGAGCAGCTGCGCTTCTTGGACCCCTACACAAACAACGGCAGCTCGGCCAAGAACGACATGTACAACTCCACCGCCGGCTCGCGCGCGAACGGGAACAACGGCAGCGGGATCCTCAACAACAGTAACGGGGAGTCAGGGGAGGGTGCTGCCATGACCCGAGGGAGCAGCCGAGCGGCAAGCAGCGCACGCCCTCCGCTGGGATCGGACAAGCGCGCGCAGAGCGTGCTGATGGCACGCGAGACGGCCGGTGTGGTGCCGCACCGACGTTCCATGTCCGTTCGTGGTGCCATGTCTCGCACCTCCAGCATGAGCGGCCGCGGCTCGGTCAGGGGCCTCCACGCCTCGATGGTGCAGCAGCCGGAGTCGGCGAACCGGCCGGACCAGGTGGAGATCGTCATCAACGACCCGGAGGGTGGCGACTTCAAGGAGGCCAAGACGTTCGTCGACAAGGTGAACATCATCCGCAACATCGTCCACATGTTCACCGAGGGCTACCCCCGCATCATCTCGCAGTACCTGTGGGAGCACCGAATGATGCAGTTCCGCTACGGCCTCTCGCCTCTGGCGTACACGAACCGGTACGAAGACGAAGCGCTGCGTCTGCTGCGGCAGCGCCGTGCACAGGAGCGCCGCGAGGAGCACGAGGAGCTGCGCCGCATGGGAATGGCCCACCTCATCGACGAGGACGAGGACGAGGAGGAGCAGGCCGGCCCCGACGGGCACACGGAGAAACGGTGGATGCGACGCGAGGGTCTGGTGGCGGGTGGCATGTCGCCGATCCGCATGGCGCGCAACATCCGCGAAAACGCGCCCATCACCGTGTTCAATTACATTTGGTACTTCTTCATCGTCGCCAACGCCGTCTTCAACGCTTCACGCTTTGACACGATGCCGGACTACTGGGAGATGGGCACCTTTGTGGCTGGTGTGTGCTTCTCGGTGCTCTTTATGCTGGAGCTGCTGATCCGCCTGCTCGCCCTCGGCCCAGGTCCGTTCTTCACCGATCCCCTCATCGTCGTTGAAGCAACGTTCATGGTCATCTCGCTCTTCCAACTCGGCTTCAGCAGGGCCAACACGACGGCCGTCTTCAACTGGGTCCGCTTCCTTCGTCTTTTTCGCGTCATTCCCGTGCGACCCCTGCGCCGCGTTGCACGGGTGCTGCTGCACAGCTTCCCGGACATGATCTACGCGCTCGTCTTCTTCTCCATGTACATGTTCATGTGGCTGCTGATCGGCATGAGCTTTTTCGGCAGCCGTATCGGCTGGATTGATTACGGCACGAGTGACTATCAGACCCGTGGCAACTTCGAGACCTTCTCGCACGCCGCGTACGCCGTCGCCCAGGCGTTCTCTGTAAACCGCGATCAGTGGCTGTACATGTCGTGGTCCGGCATGCGCGTCCGAGGTGGGTACACCGTCATGTACTTCATCGCCACCGTCGGCGTCGCCTTCATCTTTCGCTTCTTCTTCATTGCCGTGATGACCTACGCGTGGCAGGCGCAGCAGGAACAGGAGGACTACTACTTCATGTCTGGCAGCAGCCACACTCGCCATCAGCGCAGCCGCTTCTTCCGGCTGCCCTTCTTTGACTACAGTGTCTGGCGGTCGTTCAAGCACATTCACGGCGGCTTCGAGCGCCGCGACGTCGCACCTGACGAGGTGTACTTTCTGAATGAGGACATGGCCCGGCAGTTGCGCCTGGTCGAGGCGAAGGACCACTATTACCGCGATCAGTACGGTCGCGACAGCAGCGGATGGGCGTACACGGAGGACTACGACCCCGACCGGGACGGGGAGGCGTACGGCCCAGACAGCGCGCTGTTGGACGGGCTGCAGTACGTGAACATCGGCGGCCGCCTCTACCGCCAGCCCAGCCTGCCCGCAACGGAGATGGGCTACAGCGAGGGCGGCCTGCCACAGCACCATGGCCAGCAACGCTTTGCTCGCCACTACCACGCCGTCCCGGCGACCACCTACGCTACGGCAAATACGCAGCAGCAGCAGCAGCAACAACAATTGCTGGACGACGTGGACGGCAGTCGTGGGATCGTGAACCCCCTACTCGCCAGCCGCCACAGTCTCTCCCCGGCGCGCCAGCGTGGCTCGGTGATCGACCCGTACGCCAGCCGCGTCGCCGACTCGTTGGCGGAGGAGCGCACCAACAACGTTAACATCAGCCTCGCACCGCGTTTGACGAGGCTCGGCAACTCGCGCGTTGTCGGCGCCGCCCCCGACCAGCGCAACGCTGGCGACGCGGAGGAAGAGGAGGAAATGCGGGAGATGAACGAGCTTGACGTGGCGGACTTCGAGCACCTGCTGCTGCCGGGTCCCCGCCTGCGTTACAGCAGCCGCGTCGAGGACGATGGTCGCCGCGTGTTTGAGACGTGCCTGGACTGCAACACGCACATGCAGATGCCACTGCGTGCACCGCCAGGCGTTGCTCAACGCACCCCAGAGGAGCTGCACGCCGAGCACTGCCACATGGCCGCCGTACGCAGCTCGCAGCAGCTGGTGCTGAACGCACTGATCGGCTACGCCCGCATGCAGGCCGACCACGAGGTGACGCCGACGAAGCGGATGGTGGAAATTGTGCTGGGACAGGCGTGGAGCTGCGGGATGCTGCTCTTCGACACAATAGAGAGCCTCTCCTGCATGGACTTGCCGGAGCGGGAGCGCTCGTGGGACCGCACGCTGGAGGCACTGGAGCTGCAGCAGTGGCTGCTCGGCCTGCACGTCGGCGAGGAGCAAGTCGGCCGTGCCACCCTCGCCTACATCCTGGCGCACCAGAAGAAGCAGGAGGAGCAGGTGCAGGAGCGGCAGTACAAGGAGACGTGGCAGGATCACACCTTCTTTGTGCTGTCCTCTTCCAACCCCTTCCGCCGCGCCGTTACGGCGATAGCGAACTCGATCTGGTTTGAGGCGATCAGCTTAATCGTCATCTACGCCGCGTCCATCTGCCTCGCCGTGTACGCACCAGCGGACGGCAACCGAGACTTTGGTGGCAGCTTCAACAGCGGCAAGTACAAGGCACTGCACGTCCTCGACGACATCTTCTCCGTGATCTTCGCAGTGGAGATGGTGCTGAAGTGGATCAGCATGGGGGTCGTTCTGCCGCTCCGCCGCGCCTACTTCTGGCATCTGTGGAATATCTTCGACTGCTTCATCGTGGTTATCTCGCTCGTCTCGTGGGGCAAGTCAGACATCTTCCTGCGCTACCTGAAGGTGATGCGCTGCTTCCGCATTTTGGGTCCGCTGCGCTACTGGCGGTGGGGCAGCAGCAGCATGTCCCTCGTCGCCCGCACACTGTGGGACAGCATCCCGACCTTGGCCAACGTGTGCTTGCTGATGCTGATGAACTACATTGTGTGGGCCATCCTCTTCGTGTCGATGTTCATGAACAAGATGAACTACTGCACTGACGCGTCCATCGTGAACCGCACGCAGTGTCTGGAGGAGAACCACCGGTGGGTGCCGGCGCAGCGCAACTTCCGCAACTTCTACGAGAGCCTGCTCACAACGGTGGAGATCAGCACCGGCGCAGAGTGGTTGGACGTGATGTACAGCGCGGTCGACTCGCGCTCTCCGGTGATGCCGCCGCTGCGCAACCGCCACCCCTACCTGGGTCTGGTGTTCATCGCGTACTACTACCTCTCGCATTTCGTCCTCTTCACGCTGTTCATCTCCGCCCTCATTTACTGTTACATGCTGGCGAAGAGCGCTACCGAGGACGCGGCCGGCACGACGGTGGAGCATCAGATGTGGCTGCGCATGCAGGGCATGATTCTGCGTCTGAAGCCCAAGGCGCGCCTGCTGCCCATGAACAACCCCTTCTCCCGTTTCATTCACTTCATCGTCGCGAACCGCTGGTTTGAGGGCTTTATGGGGCTCGTTTTGCTCTTCAATATGGTGACGATGGCGCTGCAGTGGTATCACATGAACCACACGCAGCGGGTTACCTTGGACGTTTTCCAGTACGTCTTCAGCGGCTTCTTCACTCTTGAGGTCATTCTCCGCCTCGTCGCGCACGGACCCCGCTTCTTCACGCGCTGGGCCTACTGCTGGGACCTCCTGATTTGCATTCTCTCCTACATCCAGATCGGCCTCAACACGACCCACACCCACCAGGTCCCCTTCAACGTGAACGTGCTGCGTGTGCTGCGCGTGGGGCGCATTGTCCACCTCCTCCGCATTGGTCTGCCCTTCTCGACGCACTTCACGCTCTTCCACGAGGTGCTGAAGACTTCTGTCCCGGGGCTGGTCAGCGTCACCTTCATCTACATGATCGCCGTGTACGTCTTTGCGATTCTGGGCCTGCACTTCCTCGGCTACATCGTACCCTACAGCGGCAATTACATCGACAGCACCTACAACAACTTCGCCACCTTTGTGAACTCGTTGATAATGGTCTTCCGCCTCTCGACGCTACAGGACTGGGCAACGATGCTGCGCGCGAGCATGGACCACGGCGACTACTGCTCTCGGGCCAGCAAGCGCTGCGGACCGACAGACTGGGCACCGGTCTACTACATCCCCATCGTCATCTGCTTCTTTTTGATGCTCAGCACCATGTACATGGCTGTCATCCTTGACAAGTACATCGCCGCCGTGCGCATGCATTCCGCCGTGACCCGGCTCGATGATCTGCGCCGCTTCTGCGAGCTCTGGTCGAGGCGAGACCCCAACGGCACGATGTGGCTGGCGTCATCGGCGCTGCCGGAGCTGCTCGAGGAGCTGCGTCTGCCACTGGGCGTTGGCGACCGCCACAACCGCGTCGCGGTGATGCAGCTGCTGCGGGAGTACAACATCCCCGACCACAACGGCCGCGTCTACTACTACGAAGTGTTGATGCCGCTGGCACGACGTGTCATGGCGATGGCCTTCAACGAGGCGCAGGACGCGCAGACCACCGGCGGCCAGGTGCCAAGCGAGGTCGCGTGGCGCCTGTCAGAGCGCTCCCTTGGCGCGCTGCCGGCCTCCTTCGCCAAGATGGAGCCGAGCTCGGTGACGGTGGCGGACCAATACGCCGCGACATTGGTGCAAGCGGCCTACCGCCGTGACCGGGCGATGCGCAACTACTACATCGCCAAGTCGGAGCTGTGGCGTCTTGGCCGGCAGGCCTGCGATGCGCAGGGCGTTCCTTACGCGGGCTACGGCTTTGGCAAGACATCCCTCGCCGGCCCGGACCCGCGCGAAGAGGGGCAGCGACGCGGCTTCTACGTGCCGAAGGACGCCACTCTGGCGAACTCAGGGGCGGACCGCACCTACGCCGATCCGGTTGCGGCACGCATTGCAGCGATGCGGGAGTCACTGGCGGCGCAGAGGCGTGCGGGCGAGCAGGAGCCGTCGACGCTGCTGCCGGCGGTGTACCGCTCCGCCATCTTACCGGAGGAGAAGCGCTTCGGCCCTGATGCCCCGGACGCCATCCGCCGTCACGAACGTCGCGATGCGAAGCTCGAACGAAAGCGGGCGCAGGAGGCGCAGGAGCGAGAGCACTACGAGCGCAGCCACACCAATAGCCCCGCGCGTGCCTTCCACGACCGTCGCGTCGACGACGACGACGACGACGGTGCAGGCAGCTTGACCGCCGAGGGCGCAGATGCGGACGTGGACCTCGACACGGACGCGCCGTACCGCGAGGGCACCTTAGAGTCGCAGTCGCCGGCGCAAGACAGTCAGTACCTCTTAGATCCGATGAATGCTAACTATCAGCCCCCGCTCGGCACGAACCCAGAGGAGCTGCGGCAGGAGGAACTCGACCGCCGCCTGCACGCTGCCGCTGCTGCTGCGTCGGTGTCGCCTTCTGCGTACAAAGATGTCACATCTATAGGGTACAACCCAGAGTAGCTGCAAATGACAAAACAGCAATGCGTGTGTTTTTGCGTACTGTTTATGCTGCCTTTATTTTAGACGGCCTTTTGTGTTCGCCATGTTGCTAAGGCGTGTTCGTGAGTTGTCTTCCTCTATATATTTTTATTTATTCTCCACCATCACCATCATCAAAGGGCGGCGAGGCAAAGTACCGTTTTTCTCTTCCCTGTTTCAGCTTTTGTTTCTCTCTGAACTCTCACTAGTTGGGCGATGGACTCTGTTCTTGTGTGCTGTGCGGGTGACTTTAAAAAAAGTAACTTATCACCTAGAATCTTTTCCCTTTGTGATTACTTCCGTCATTGTTCTTTTGCTCTCTTCTTCTTTTCTAAAAGCGTTTGGTGAGCCGCAACATAGTTTTTGTCTCCTTTTTCTTTGCAGTGGTGATGATGATGAGTATCGGTGTTTTTTTTTCTTTTGGTCCCTCCTTTGGCTGTTGTTCTTGGGACTCGTGGCTATTCTGTCGTTGGTATCGCCTTGGGAAGGTGTTTCGTAGCACATGCAGCTTCACGTGTCGGTGAAGGTTTTTTCTTTTCCGTTTCTTTGTGTTTTCTAAAGAGTGTAGAACTTTGTGCATCTCTTACGCCTTCGCACACACACACACACACACACATCCACGAAATGAACGATCTGGATTGTACGGCAAGCTTTCTTCAGCACTCGTATTTTCGACAGGAGCTAATGAGTAGATGTCGTGCGAAGGAAAGCGTGGACGATCGGCGAGGCGTGTTTGGTGCCAACAATGCAAACAAACACAAGAGGAGCTTGCGACGGTCTTCTTTAAAAGAGAGAGAAACCCTTTTATTGTTTCTGTTCACTTTTTTGTTTGTTTTTAGAGCTTCTCTTTGTCCTTCAACCTACAGTTTCTCTGTTTTCCACCTGAACAACCACAAATACTCACTATATATATGTAAAAGAAGTGTGGAATGCGTATTCTTGATGGGAGGCGAGACACCTCCTGGGACGATGTGGCGGCAACAGGTATCAATGGCCGACCCTTATGGATCCTCCTTTGCAGCCATCCATTTCAGCAGCGCGTCTTCCACAAGCTCGTTCTGCCATTGTGAAAAGATGCAAACCTTTTTTTTCGTCGAGAAAGGAGGAGGGAGGGGTGGAGTCGCCTTTCACCACACGGAAGACCGCTGTTGAGTGCGCTATCCTTTCTTTTTTCTTGCATTGGCGCCTTCGTATTTGCAGCATGCACAGCTAAGCGGTTTGCGTTCACCGCCGTCTGGGTGTGTTGTTCACGTCGGATACTTAACTTCCCCACAACACCCATACCGGAGGTTTTTTGCGAAAGGGAAACTGTTGGCGGAACTGCTCAAAAAGCAGATAAGGCTATTCTACTCTGCCTCTTGCATCTTCTTTCTCTTCTCCTGATCTCTCCTGCCCTTTACATGAAACGATGTGTGTCATCTCACCTTTTTTTGCTTGTTTTTTTTTAGTTGTTTTCAGTCCGCCCGCAGTTGTCGCTTTAGCAGGGGTTACTTGGTCTGAGTGCGGTGTCTGGCTTGTTTCTCTCGGATTTACTGACGTCGTTGTTGCAGACTGCCACGACGGCAATCATTCACTAACGAACAGCAAAACTATTTAATTAACCTTAACAATTATATACAAGAAAAAAGCACCGGCAACCGTCAGGCTTTTTAAATTCTCTTCTGTGATACCAGCTCTAAAAGAAAGCTCTCCTTCTTTTCATATTGTTGTCCTGGCTGCTGTACCGAAAGGCGTAGAAAATAAGTACACCGAGACAGACTGACATCACACACACATATAGAGAGCGTTTGTTGAAGGCGAAAATCACTACCGGGAAAATCAACACACCCACCCACACAACGAAGGAGCACAATTATCACCGCAATGGCGAGTGTTACCGATCTTTTGATGGCTCTCGGCAGCCCTGATCCGTCGGTGCGTGTGCCCGCGGAAACCGCCGTCAACAACGCCAAGGACACCGATCTCGCCACCTTCATGACAACGATGCTGCAGGAGTTTCGCGATGAGTCGAAGCCGACGTTCGCGCGCAACATGGCCGGAACCCTGCTGAAGAACGCCGTGGCGCCCACCTTTCGCGAGGTCGCTGCCCGTCGTGCCCTGGAGGAGCGCTGGCGTTCCCTCCCAGCCGAGGTGCGGCAGCAGATCAAGAATGAGGTGCTCGGCACCCTTGGCAGCCCCAGCCGCGAGGTGCGCACCGTCGCGTCAAACATCATCGGTAGTCTCGCCCGTATTGAACTTCCCTCGGGTGAGTGGCCGCAGCTGCTTCGCATTCTCGTGGAGGCGGCCAACTCGCCGGCAGAACAGCATCAGGAAGCCGCGCTGACCGCTATCGGATACATCTGCGAGGAGGGCAAGGATCACGAGGAGGTGGAGCAGGCCCTCAAGCCCAGCACGACGGAGATCTTGTCTGCCATCTTGAAGTGCATGCAGAGCGCGAACGAGGACGTCAAATTCAGTGCCACGAATGCGCTGTGCAACGCCATGGAATACATTCACGATAACATGGACGTGCAGGAGCAGCGATCCTTCCTGGTGACCGCCCTGTGCGCCACGGCGAAGTCGTCGTCCTCGGCGCGCACCCGCGAGCGTGCGATGGAGAGCCTGGTCAAGGTAGCCGAGATCTACTACACTACACTACCCGAGTACATCAGTCAGCTGCACGAGATCACCACCAACGCCATCTTCCACGATGAGGAGTCGGTCGGGCTGCAGGCGATTCAGTTCTGGATCTCCATTTGCGAGGTGGAGCGCGACATGAAAGAGGACGGCGACGTCAGCCGGTCGCTGAACTACAGCGCACAGGGACTCACCTTTCTTGTGGACATTTGTAAGGAGCTGCTGGTGCGGCAGGAGGATGGGCAGACCGAAGATGACTGGAACCTCTCTGTGGCGGGCGGCAAGCTGCTGCAGAGTCTTGCCGAGGCCGTCGGCGCCCCGGTGCAGGCCCCGGTCATGCAGTTCGTGTACGCGAAAATAAATAGCGCGTCGTGGCGCGAGCGCGAGGCGGCCGTGATGGCCTTTGGCTGTGTCATCGGCGTGCAGGACGATGCCGGGCAGGTGGCAATCCAAGACACCGTAGCGCAGGCCGTCCCGGGCCTGCTGGAGTACCTGCGCGACTCGAACGAGATGGTAGCCGACACGAGCGCCTGGGTGCTGGCCCTCGTCTGCGAGAACTTCGTGGACGTTTTCTTGAGCACCTCTGAGCAGCTGCAGCGCCTCATGAACGACATCGGCCCGATGATTGGCGGCGACAACCCCCGCATGGGCGTGCGTGCGTGCCACATCGTCAACAACATCGCTCTCGCCTACGAGGAGGAGGAGAACCAGGCCACCAACGAAATCTCCCGCTACTACGGTGACCTCGTCGACGTGCTGCTGCACGCCATCGACCACGGCAGCTCACCAGAGTTTAAGAGCGCCGCGCAGGAGACGCTGAACGCGTTGGTGGACGCCGCTGCTGACGACTGCCGCGAGGCGTACTTGGCGAAGTTGCCGACGCAGCTGCTGCAGCGCATGAGCACCCAACTCACCGCCCTGCAGCAGCCGGGTGGCGATAACATCGAGGCGGAGACGATGATGGGCCTGCTCTGCGGCGCCCTCTCCGCCCTGGCGCGCAAGCTGGATCAGGCCTTCATGCCCTTCATGGATGGATCGATGCAGGCGTTGATTCTGCTGCTAAACCTCCCCACCGACTACGTGCAGGAGGAGGCGTTGGTGGCGATCGGCAGTATCGCGTACGTGGCCAAGGAGAACATGGCTCGGTATCTGCCGCAGGTGGTGCCCTACGTCCTGCGCTCGCTGCAGGCCTTCGACGAACCGGACAGCATCTACGGCGTCGTGGCCGCCGTGGGCGATCTTAGCCTGTCCTGTCGTCAGTCCATGCTGCCCTTCGAGACGGACATAATGAACACCTTGTACAACAACCTGGTCAACCCCGAGGTCGATCGCGAGCTCAAGTGCTCCTTCCTCGGCTGCTTCAGCGACTTTGTGCTGAACGTACTGGGCGGGGAGAGGTTTGAGCCGTACATGCCGACGCTGATGCCGCTGGTGAATGAGCTCTTCCAGGCCAGCTGCCAAATTGATCTCCGCGGCGACCCCGACAGCGAGGACTACGTGATGTCGCTGTGGGAGAGCACCGCGTCTTTCTACTCCTCCATCACGCAGTGCTTCAAGAACACCGCCATCGGTTCACTGGCGCCGTACTTGGCAAACATTCTGAACTTTGCTCTCCACGCCGCCGCCAACTCGAGCGAGTTCAAGGATACGCAGATGGCGGCCCTCATGGTGATCGGTGACATGGCCTCGGTGCTACGCCACGCGCCGAATCCGCAGCTGCGCCAGCAGGCGAAGTCTGCGCTGCTCACCGCTGCCGTAAGCGATGTGTTGCAGCAAGCTACGGCGAACACCACCGACGACGACAACGCGAAGCAGATGCGGTGGATTCGCAACCAGCTCACCAACTTGGAGCGTTCCTGATATTTTTGTATGCTGATGTGTCTTTCTGTGTTCTTTTCTCCTCTATTTCTTTCTTTTTCATTTGCAAGCACCATTTAACCCCCCCCTCCCTAAAGCAGCTAATTCTGTCTAAATGGGTGTGGTAGTTTGTCATAGGAGCCATCTTCTCGTTTAATTCGGACTTTTTCTTTTTTTACATTTTGACCGTTTGTGTGTGTCGGCAGTAACCTATCCCGTAAGGTCTGTTTACGCCAATTATGGAGGGGGAAAGAGGCACTGTGCTTGCTTTGTGGTGTGGAGCGATAAGTGATGCTGACGGGCACCCAACTGAATTCGTGTCTACTCTTTTTTTTTGTTTGTTTGGTGTGTGTGTATGTGTGGGCCGGGGGGGGGGTCCTGGGCAAAATGAGAGGGTGGGTGTCGGTGAGCAAGGAAACCAAGAAAGAAAACGTGATTTCCCTCACTCGTCTATAATGTTTGTCGTCATTCCGTTTTGTAGCGCTGTACTGCCGTGTTCATCTTCGGCATCTGTCTGGCGAAACAGAAAGAGACAACGTGTAGGAAACTCTTTCTCTTTGATTGTTTCACATTTCCTTGCCTTTTTGTGTTTGATAGGAGTTCTTCTCCACGCGTTCATCTGTGAGATTTTGATGTGTTTCAGAAAAAAAAAATTATGTTTGGTAACACGAAATGGAGAGGCGTTTAAACTGGGATGCGTTGCTGCAACATGATGTTCTGTTGTTTTGGGGGCCTTTAAGACCGGTGCTTTGGCGGCATCTTGTGTCTGCAATCTGCGTCATTTCAGATAACGGGACACCGACTTCACCAACGCACGTTTCCATCGCCTGGAGCGCAACCTTACGCCTTTTCCTCTGCTCTTTTACTTTCCATATTCGACGTTGCCCTTCTGAATGCCAACGGCGTTGGTGAATAGACGCCCTAGGTATCCTTTTTATGCAACTACGGCACATTCCACAGCGGCACAAGGTACGTCTATCTGTCTCTCGTTGCGTGCTCAAGGTTTTTTTTTTCTATTGCGTGTGCTTGATGAACGCTTCATCATGGTGTCTCGTTTATTGCCTGAATCGTGTTTTCTTTTTGTGCTCTACACGCACATATCCGCTGCCGATTGATTCCCCCGTCACTCCGATCAACACCGGAGCTGCTGCTGCTGCTGCAGAAATGAAGAGGAGGTTCCATCGCTTCTCTGTCGTCGTGGTGGTGCTTCTGGTATTCGTGGTGGGGCTTGAATGCACGACCTTTTTCTCCATGCAGAGCCCTACAGAATCTACCGAAAAACCGGTAAGTGTTAAGGGCACTACGCCGCTCTTTGACGAGAACCTCACACGGTCCTTCGAACGCTACATCAGCCTGGAGAGCTTCCTTGACTGCCTCGGGGCACGCCTCAATGTCGACCGCCGGACCAGGACGGAGCACCCCTTTAGCAACGTGAACGGGACGATACCCTACTTCGTGCTGCCCGTGACGATAGAGCAGGGCGACATGAAAGCGCTGATGTGCAACCTGTCGGTGCCGATCCGGCACATAACGTACGTGCAGAACGGTGACGTGGGCAGCATGACTGCGTTTCTGGACCGCGTGCAGGATGCGTTCGCGTTCACGTCGCGGCTGAAGCTGCTGCGGATGCCGCAGAACTACGGCTACGCGGTTGCGCTGAACGTTGCGATGCGTGACGCGCTGTCGATGCCGTTGGACGAGGTGCCGTTCTTCATGATGGCGAACAACGACGTGCGCATCCCTGGCGGCATGCTTGGGACGGGGCTCCCGCAGATGTACGCGCGCTCGCTTGCCGGCCGTGCGCGCATTGCGGAGTTGGAGGCGGAGGTTGCGACGGAGCCGAACGCGCACACGCCTGCGCTGTTGCGCTACGTGCCGCTGCGCTCGACGGATGGCCGCCACGTGCTTGTGACGTCGCGGCTGCTGCCTGACCGGATCCGCTACCAGCCGAAGGACGAGCGCCGAAAAGCCTTTGCGGACTAGTACGGCGCCTTATACATCGACCACAATTGTCAAACCGGGTTCTGGGGACTGACGCGGCTCGCAATGGAGGTGACGGGCTACTTCGACGAGAATTTCTATCCTGCGTATTACGAAGACACGGAATATCTGCGCCGCCTGAAGCTGTTGGGCTTCAAGTTGTCCAACGTTCCCGGGTTTGAAGCGATGACAATGCAGCATTTCGGTGGTGGCTCCGTTCTCGCCGCACCGGGGTTCACGCCTGCGTCGCAGCTTCGCGATGTCGTGCCCTTTATTCGAGGCTCGACGTTCGTCATCCACAAAGGATTTCCAGAGATCTACATTAATCAAAAATACGACCTGGGTGGCGCTCCGTGGCTGATCGAGGATACGAAGGAGCCCTACCCTGGAAAGCGCTTTCCACTGGATGCGTTCATCCTGGATGAGAAGCGCAACCGCGCTATCTCAGAGCTGCTGCGTGTGGCGGTGTGGTACAAAAGCCTATCTCCCGAGGAGGCTATTTTGCTTCGTTCCCCCACTGCTTATATGCACGCACATAATGCGTCGTTGTACAGTAAGCTGAGGAAACCGGTGCTCAACGGTGTGCTCTATTACCGCAACGGCAATGCACTGCGATTGCTACCTTCGCTTGCGTAGAGCTAACCTGGCGTGCACCGTGCTCTCCTTTCTTTCTAAGGGCACACAGCTGACGAACACCAATGGCTGTCTTCATTGCGCTGACCGTTGATGTGGCGAGATGCGAGCTGCACAAAATGCACCCAGCGATGCGAGAACTTCGGCAGATGAAACGTATGGACACTTTCCAACATCGCATGTGCGGCTGTGGACAATGCCGCACCTGTGCATTGAGAGCAGTGTCGAGAAACTCAACACTATTATTCTAAAGCTCTATTTTTTGTCTTGCGACGGAAGGTTGCTTTAACCTTCACCGTCTCTCTTTCTTCGTATGCTTTTCTCTCCACCTCTCCTCTATTTTGTCATTTTTCATTGATCATTTTTCATTGCTCTTTCTCTTTTCCTCTCCTTTTTCTTCCTGCGTGTGGCTGCGGGCCAACCACTGCGAGTTGTGCGGCGCCATTTCGAAAAAGGTGCTACGCTGACATGTCGCAAAAACTGAATCACATATACTCTATTTACCTGCCGTTCTCTCGCTACGTATGTGTCAATGGCCGGTATGAGGTGTTTGCAGGTTTTTGATCACAGTCGCTGGGAAGGCATCTGCACTGCCCGTAGAACTTTAACGGACACAACAACAACAAAAAGGAATGGAACTACTCGACGAGCGCCGTACGTGCCGTGCGTGTGTTGACATACGATAGGGTTTTGTTCTGATTTTTTTCCATGTCTTCTCTCCTTGTACTTCTGCATTCCGTCTGCGTCGTATTCTTCAATCGCTTTCTTAAAATAGCAAAAGAGTTCTTGTGTGAAAAGACTTATTTTTGTAGAGCCTGAGCGAGGAATGATTGGATGTATGGATGGTAATGAGAAGTGAACATTATCAGGGATCCTTGCTTCTAACCCTTTTTCCTTTTCCTTCTTTCCCAACTACAGTCTTCAGCTGTCGTGATTCTCTTTTCTTTTTTTTTTTCCTGCCCGCCCAACCCCATTCCGCCCCCCTTTGCAGGCGGATTTGTAAAAGAAAGCTACCACTTCGTTAGTAATCCCCCAAAATGCAACATACAAATTATCTTATTTTCTCAGCAAACTCACCAGTGTTGAAGAGTTTATAACTTCCTGTTCTTTAATATATAAGAATGATTATGTTGTGCAATCTGAATCATTTTCTACCTAACCTTTACTTTCTTCCTATTTCCCCCTTCACCTTTCTCTACTTAAGTCATCTACAATTATTCTGTTAGAATACAGGCGACTGCCGCACTTAGACCTCGAACGTTCAACATGGACGTGATTCCTCCAGAGTACGATGAGGCAACGAAGGAGCGCGTGTATCGCCAGGAGTGGCTCGAACACTTCCACTACATCGGATACGAAGCTGCGCTGCGTGACTTCCCGGCGCAGTACCACGCGTTGTTCCCTCACGGGCATCAGCGACCGCCGATGCGACCAGTTCAGGTCCCCACCGCGGGACCTGCTGGTGAGCCGCCCCAGCAGCAGCAGCAGCAGAGAGCGGAGAACGACCGCGCCGTGCCTGCAACGTCGGCCACCGCGCCCACCGGCTCCTCTGCCCTCACCAACACGCAAGAAGGTGCGCGCCGACCCGCGGAGGCAGAGCGCCGCGATGGCCGAGAGCTGCGTAGCGATCGAGAGCGACGCCCGCATAGCAGTCGGCGCGACGACGACGACGACCACGAGCGCAGTCGCCGCCACCACCACCATCGCCACCGCAGCGACTCCGAGCGCCGCAGCGACCGCGGCCACCACCGCAGTTCTCGCGACGACGGACAGTACGGCGGTAACAGCAGCAGCGGTAGCCGCCGTCGTCGTCGCTCCGACGAGCGGGAAGAGCGTCGGGTGCGGCACTCGTCGTCGCACGATGACGATAGCCGTCGGTCTCGCCGCGAAGGGGACATCGGGTCGTCACGCAGTCGTGCATACGAAGAGCGCCGCGAGGACGCTCTACGCCGGCGTGCTCCAAACTACCGGCGTTGATTTGGGCGGGTGCTACGGTCGTAATAAATATGTGGACGTTGGCGATCACTTTCGTGGTTTACGGGAGACAAAAAAGTTTTGGACTGGCGACGGTGTTGTGTATTCCTTATCGAGGGCTAAACGTTTCTCATTTAGAGGGACGCACGCAGATCGCAGGCTCGGCACGGTTGTTTGGCTCAGTTCCGTCCGCGTATGAGGTTCGACTGTTCGTGTTGTGTTCTGAGTCTTAACACGTTGGCTTTCTGTTGTTGGAGTGTCTTCTTTTCTTAACTTGGCATTAATGCCATTCCCCCCAAAAGAGGAAAAATCGTAGCATTAACGAACTCATGAACAAAGGCACGGTTTCTTCTTTCATCAACAGCGCATCGCGAGGCTGTCGTGCGAGCGAAACTCTCTCGCTCTGCCCTGCTAGCTGTCAACGTCTTGGGTTGCTCGCTTTGTTTAGACTGTGCGTATATATGTGTAACCTCCGCGAATCTATGCACGACAAGATTTTCGCTGCTTTCGTACACTAGTGCTTTGTTTCATTTACACGCGACCTTCTCTTGACGTCAAGTATTGGTTCTCGTTGTTGTGAATTGCATTTTGTATTGCTGATAAAATCGAACGCAGGAGAGACGCGCTGCCGGGTTTTCTCCCCCTTTACCGTAACTTCTCTCTCTCTCTCTCTCACTGTGCTTCGAGTTTAAATCGCTGCCCACCGTAGACGCAACTGTGCTGTGATAGAGGCGGGATACGCTCGTACATTGAGACACACCCACACATCCACACACGTACACATTCAAAGAGGATATCCTTGGTGCTTTACGGCTGGCCTTGGAGGTTGATACGTGCAGCGAGCAATGGAACATCGCTTCAGTATGAAAAGACACAGTTGGCGCCGCACCGTTGTGTGCGTCGGCGTTGTCTTTGTCTTGTGCATCCCCATCTTTGCTCTTTACCAATTATTATCCGCGGATGATGTTGCCGGCTATCTTGGCGAGGATCGGGTGAAGGCGGGTCGTGGAGGCTCGACGGGGACAGCAGCGACGCACCGGGAATCACGAGCGACAGACACAACGACGAAGGCCACGCACATGCCGTTTGATGAAAGGAACACGGAGATGCTGCTGCACCTCAACAGCCTCGATCCGCTACCACCTCGCGTTGGTGAGAGGGCGATCAGCTTTATGGAGTTCATTGGTTGCCTGGAGCAGCGTTTGCAGGTGAACCGCAAGACCAAAACGGAGCTCCCCATCAGCGACGACAAGCCCTTTATTCCGTACTTGGTTCTTCCCGTCACATTTGAGCTGCGCGACATCAAGCAATTCGTCTGCAACGTCACCGTGCCTTTTAAGCACCTCATGTACGTCCAGAACGGGCCGCTTTACAGCACGTCGGAGTTTCTCGACGCCACGGAGGCCGTCTTCTCCTTCACCACACGATTGCAGATCCGACGGTACCCAAAGAATATTGGCTACGCCGGCGCCCTCAACGTCGCCATGCGCCACGCCATGACCTTCCCTTTCGAGGAAGTGCCCTTCTTCACCACGTCGAACAACGACGTGCGCTTTCCCGGTGACGCGCTGGTGCATGCGCTGCCCAAGTTTCTGTCCGCCTCGATGAGCGGGGCGGGGCTGCTGAAGGAGTTCATGGCGGAGGTGGCGACGGAGCCGAACGAGTACACGCCGGAAGTCTTCCGCGCCGTACCGCTGCGCTCCTGGGATGGCGAGCACGTCGTGGTGACCTCGCGCTACCTGCCTGACCGTGTGCGCTACATGAACGCTGACGAACGCAAGAAAATATTTCGCAGCCACGCTGGCGTGCTTTTCCCGGACTGGAGCGTGCAGGCGGCCTTTTATGCCCTAACCCGCCTTGCTATCGAAACAGCCGGCTTCTTCGACGAGAACTGCTACCCCGCCTACTGGGAAGACCCCGATTATATGCAGCGAGTGAGATTCCTGGGCCTCCACGACATTCGCGCGCTCGGTTCGAAGGATGGCGTCTTCCATCCGAGCTTCAACTTCCTCGATACGGAGAAAGCGCACGCCGCTTCGAAAGAGCTTGGCGACGTGCTTGTGTTCTTGCGGGGAGTGACCGAGATTCTTCTTTACAAGCTGTCGGAGGTCTACTGGAACGGGAAGCCAGCCACGGTGAATGTCCACGGGAAAGCGCCAACGGGCGTACTGCTGCCGCTCGACGCCTACGTGCTGAATGAACGTCGGCGGCGTGCCTTGGAAGAAATGATTCAGCTCAGTCTGCAGCACTACCGCAGCAATGCCTCTGCCCGCGTGGACCGCACGAAGTCTGCGAAGATCATCGCGTTTGTGAATCCAGAGAAGCGAGAGCAACTCTTGAATGAGCTAAATGTTTCCGTGGACGGAGTCGCCTACTACAAAAATGGCTACACTCTGCGACGTTTATCGTTGGCAATGTAGACCTGTTTCTTCTTTTGTTGTTGTTTGCGTCGCGCGATTCTAACACTACTCCCAGCCAATACAAAGGCGCACAACTCTTCTCCTTTTTAGGAGATACGATAAACTCGTTACTCTTCTCCTTTTTAGGAGATACGA